TTAATAATTTATTATAAAGGTTATTTTTTATAAAGGTTAATAAGGCCTTTAATAAAAAGGTTAAAATTATTATATTTTTATAAATAAAAATTAAAATATTAAAAGTTAAATTTTAAAAAAATATTAAGGTTAAGTAAAAATTAATTAAAATAGGTCCTAATAATAACTTTATTTATATAATATATATATAAAAGGTAAAATATAAATTATATAATTATTTAATATATATTAATAAAGTTATTAATTAATACATTTTAAAATATAAGGATATTAATATAAAAAAGGTTATTAAGGTTAAAAATAATAGATTTAATTAAAAATATTAAAAAAAGCATCGCGAATAACGTATTCGTTAAGAAAATCGCTTCAGAAGTTGGGTAATTAGTAGGCAGGGGGGGTGGTCGTGAGGCAGGGTTTTTGCTTATATGGAGTAATACCACGTCAGGCATTCCCAGACGAAGCCAAACTCCGGTGCTAACAACGTATCCATTTTCAATGCTTCTCCACTTTTGCTCATGCATTCTCATCCAACACACATCCTGCAGCGACTTCTAACTGGGAAGGATGTGCGGGACTTTATTGCAAGCAGCGCTTTAGATCCTCTATCTTACGAGAGCTATTAAACCCTGTTGGCACATGAGCCTTCAGCTGGTGCACAATCTATTACGTTGAACTCATATTGTAAACGGACATCATCGGGTCTTCCAGTTTAGATGTACATATAGAAATAAGGGCCTAGAAGACTTATCAGATTCACTCAAAGATCAGGCGCCATCAGAACAAAGAACACTAGTACTACAGTGGTTGAGCTGGACCCCGCAATTCAAGTCCTCGTTTCGGAATGGATTTCAAGAGAGATAAAAACAGCAACTCTAATATATTTACTTAGAGTGACTAGGCAAAGTAAATATCAAAACGATATGAATAAATGTTTCGAGATACGTTGTATTCAGCAACAATTCACTATAGTCATCAAAGCCTATGTGGACATTTCCAAGCGTGAGGGTAACGTAGACCCATATACAGACTGCAACAACTTTTCATTCTGGAACTTCACCTACGTAACCATAACTGAACCGGTTAACAAATGCTATACTTAGGTACGCAGAGTGTACGCCGATCTAGATTGACTTGCCGATTACCTAGACACAGGTTGGCAGAGGTGGCTTAAAGTACGAGACAATTCTAAGCGATCCATTCGGACGGATTGAGCAACCGATGTAAGTTTGAATCCCCGACCCTGCTGACAATACCTCGGAACCACTATTCAAAATGTTAATACCCATCAACCCAATTTGAAGCGAGAGCTTACAATAACGTGGTCATAGCATTGCTATAAGCTTTCATATACTTGCCTTTCTCATGAGATCTGAAGTATCTTTTAAGGCCCCAAATGACCTTTTCGTCACTACTCGAATAGTGTCGAACAGGAATGTAGACCTTGACGACTGGGCACTGGTCCCCAAGCTTGAATCCAACGTTGTAGAGCATTCCAGCTGTACGGTGGTGAACTTGGGTTAATGGCTGATCTCCATGATTTGCGAAAAGGGCATTCCATAAACTGCGGAGATCATCGAGTCCAGTCTGCAAGTTTGGGCTGTGAGCCCGACCACCAAGCATCATAATGTTCGCCACAGAATTGAAAGTTGTCTGCCGGCAGCGGAAGTAGATCTTGATACGTGACTCCTGTGGATCGACCAGGTCAATAGCTAGCATCTCGTATTCAAGATGAGCGCTTGCTGTATCACTTGAGAAATCGGAGAACATGACCAACGCGTTCAGTTTGCTTTCGTTGCTGTGGGGTGCCAATTGGATTGCTTGTGTGAGGACCTGTAGTTTAGATTCCTTTCGTGCTATCGCTCGAGATTTGGGGAAAAAGTACGCTTTGGCTGTGGTATTGGGTTCTATTAGATCAAAAGCATAGAATATGGAGCTATTGTGATCGTGTGAGTCAATTGATTCCCACACGTTGTCTCCATGATTCTTGAAGAAATCCTGAAAATGATGTAACCATTCCACGCCTAGGTCTGGTAAAGCTTTGATCAATTGCCTCTCAAAGTCCACTCCCACGAGTAAGTTTAGGGGGTCAAGTGAAGTTCCTGCTGTGAGCCCTATTGGTTCGATAGAGTATCGTATTGTCGGCCTATCATTACCTGTGCCCCAATCCCAGCTGAACTCGACAGGTGAGCCGTCATCCGTCATGAAACTCTTCCAAGGCTGCGTAATATAGCCGCTTGTAGGGAAACTCCCAAGGTTATGGGCTACAAGTCGCATAAAAAAAGCCAAGTTTCGATATTGGGCATCATATGAGTAACCAGCATTGAATAAGATGATGCCCAGAGCCTTCCCAACATGCTGGTACCACAGGTAATGATGTAGGGATTCGGTATGAGCAATATCAGAAGTGATCTGTTGCCAAGCTGAAAGTTCAGTACAGCGGATGCCTAGCATTTCAACTCAGCGTACGCTAGTCGTGTTCAATTAGTCTTATGAGTGATTTAATGGGTTTACAGATTATTAGAAGAAATCCATATTTTGCTCGCTTTATAGTAATATTGAGTTAACGTCTCATTAGTACCCACTGAGCCGGTTCCAAGCAAAACAACAGGAAAGGCTGGATGATGCGGAGCAAAGGCAACGGAATTTTCTTTAACCTATGTTACTATCGTGTGGATGAATCCAGTACAACATTTTACTCGCGGTTTCCCGAGCGGCGCAGTCACGCAGGGTGGCCAATCGGTTCTAAGGTAGAATGCAGACTTCCTAACACATGCCTCCTACATGAGGATCAAGTAGGTAGGGGTAGTATAATACTCAGCGACTACAGTAGTGTCTGCTCTTTCATCATCCTAACCGCGCTTTCGGAAAGAACTTCTATCGCCGGGCCCCATTGGTACAGGTACAGGGCCCTAGTTAGGAAATACATCATCAAATCCAACCATATAAGTGCAGCCAGCAGCGATCCTGACGGCGAATTGCATCCATCTCCCAGGAAGCTGTCTGCGTACGATGCTACGTCAGATGAGGCCAATGTTGCTGTTAGGAACTCGACATGCAGCATACCCCCGTCTGGGTATTTTTGAACCCTGCCCCTTGCTTGACCCTTATCAGGCATGTACCAGCTACTAAAAATGTCTGCATTGAAGATGTATCAGATCCGCCAAAGCATTCCGTAGTCAAATTGAAAGGCGGGGGGAATCGTGCCATTAAGCCTGCTCCGCCGGCGAGCATGCGTATGCAGTATGCTATTTGAGTCACAGTTAGATGCGTAAGTATGCGCTACCACATTCGATAGATATCAAACAGGGGTGTCAAGCTCATGTTCATATACATAGGGAATCTCTATACTTGGGTGTAATACTCTCACGCATACTGGTCGTGTTACTCGTTATCTTCTGTGATCCACTGCCGTTAGGTTAGTTGCCTGTTCATCATGCAGTGTACCTACCCAGGGTGATGGTAGATGAGAAAGACCTATATTTTGCACTGTGGTGTTATTGGATACGAAGAAGTGGCCGAACTATGGTTATCAACAGCTCTTGTCACTATACGAAGAACCTGTTCGTGTCCCTGGCCATTCTGAAGCACCTCCATTATACTATATTTATTTGTGCCCAAATTCGACACAAGCATTAAACTGGTGGCTTCTGACCGCATGCTACATGAATGTTGAACTTGAAGTAGCCACCTGATTTGATTTCTTGGTGCACCGCTTTCTCTAGGTCACCCAGATGATCGCCAAATAATGGCCCTGATGTACCTCTGTCCGTCATCATACGCGCCCAAGTGAAAACTAGGCTCAATATACTAGCCGTCATGTCTGATCGTGTCTCCGGGAGTCTATCAGAGCTTACTACATCTGTAACGACTGATGTAAAGCCTGCTTCTCGCATCTGTTTCGGAAGCGTATTCCAGCCGTGTTGAAACTGCTGGTGCAGAGCATCGCTAAAGGCATCGGTCATCGATTTGGCAGTCTCAAACCGAGCATCCGGCGTGGTCTTGCGCCATTCGGCGTTCAGGAACTCGCATTCCTCCCACTGTATATATCCACCAGGGCGCAGTAGGAGAAAGATATTGCGTACTGCTGGTGCCCAGTCTTCCGGGCGCATCGCCGAAACTAGGAGGCGAAGATGGACCAGATCATACTGCCCGTGCATATCCTCGAGAAATGGTTGCTTCAAATCTAGTACGGAAAGTGTTACGCTAGACGGTAGCGCATCACGGGGCGGGAAAAGCGCAGGAGATATATCGAAGCCTTCAAATACCGCCTCTGGAAATTGTGGATGTAGACAGATTATAAAGCGCGCAGTGCCAGTCCCTATATCAGCAATGTGCGGAACCGGGGGAAGCTTTAAAGACGGATGGAGGATGTAGCCCATATTTCTGCTTTATTGTTAAAGAATACTCAAGCTGTAAATGAAGGGAACTATACTTCGTCATCAAGTCAAACTGCTGGTTGAGCCTATCAAGCTAGGTCAGATCATAGACCATATCACTCGTCTGGAGATTGCCTCAAACCTGAAAGTCTCGCTTGGGAGACGAGTCATGTTCTCCATGTATACATCTGCCATTGTGATCGTGTAGTGACTACTTTAGATGAGGTTGAATACTTCGTCATGAACTGCCGTGCCTTCAAAGGAGCCTCCCCAACCACCTGAGACAAAGGCGAAAAGAGTCTTTCAAGGGAATGATAAGATTCCACATGGAATGGGTCAGACTCTTCACGCGTGGTCATCTTCGTGATTTAACCATGCAGCAAAGCGCGAGCAATATTCTCTTGACTATGTGGTACCTTAGTGGATACGATATGAAGGAATTAATGCAAGGACCCAGTTGTATATGCAGACTGAACCAACATTGAGGTGAAAGACGGTTGTCTAGGAAGGTTCCTAGGATACTTTGACTCGCATGTACTTACTACCTACCTAGCCTCCGTCTCCAATGGTACATCACTCTACATCATATCTAATACAGACCCATCCATAGCTTTGACCACCTGCCGTATCTTGACAAGCCGGGGATCCCATTAAGACATGATTGAGGCTCTCATAATCTGATGTGTGCCCGCCAAGCCTTCAAGTCCAACATGCAGCATAGGGTGCAACCTATTAACGTGATGTCGCATGTTGTCAAAAACGGCTCCATTAGGCGTGCGACGTCTACAGTAAGTTACTGCTAGGTATGTATTTTCCGCTGGGTATGTCAGGTGATATATGCCGTTGGAAGTATGATTCACTATCCAGCCCCTCCATACATAACGGAATGTGAAGCCACCGTTAGCTGCAGTTGTCGTTTCGCCGAGATATGTGCATCGATGTTTGTACATAACAGCATGGGAATCTCGTGCAGTTGGCACTTAACCTCCCGTAGGAATCAGGTTGTTTGAATGCTACAGCGCGGAATTCCCAACACAAGTGGATGGGAGGTGGCATCCGCCGATTCCTTCAACTTTCGGTAATACCTGATGAGACCTTAATCAGATTTCACGCTTGTATCTAACGTCTTCTCCTACCCCTCGTAAGACCCCGAGGATGGCATGTTTGAAGCTGTTTTTCTGCAATAATAACGCAGATCTATCCAGAACACACTGCCTAACATTTTTCGCTGGTTTTGAAAACCGTCCATCAGAGCATAATTCATCATAAGCACTCTACTTCCACTTCTTAATAGTCTTGTGCCGATTCTATTACACCGTGCCAAGAGATATGGGAAAAGACCCGAGCGAGACGGGAGCACTGCCGCCTCCGGATGGTGTAATTCCAAACTTTGTCAATCCACCCTCTATTCATTATATCCACGTTGCAGTGGCGATTGCGGGACTGGCCACATCAGCAATCGCAGTAACGGCGCGTACTTATACAAGAGCGAAGGTCATAAAAAGGTTTGGTCTGGATGACTGTAAGTACTTGTACAGAAACCCTCTAAAACGAGAGCAAAGATGTTGAAATACAGCAGGTTCCCTATTAATATCACTGGTAATTATGAGTTGCTTCACCGCGACAGCAATGCACAGCTGATATCTGCAGGCGATATTTGCGGCATATGTCGCTTTGACCATTACCACGGGAGAGTACGGACAGGGGGCGCATCAATGGGATGTGACCGTGACTCGTTTCTTCATGCTTCTCAAGGTTCGTCAAACAATTTAGACGAAACGTGGTCGTCATACTTCGAGCCCCTAATAGTTGATTCTTAAATTTCCTACAGTACATCAACTATATAGAAATCCTGTATAGTCCCTTGATGTTCTTCGCCAAGTTCGTCGTTATGCGCCAAATCGAATCAATATTCCTTAAACACAAACGCGATAGCATAAGTCACACGTGCCTTAAAATTCTCATCTGGACAAACTTGTTTTTTTATAGCGGCTTGATGTTGTCATTCATTCTCGCCTGCATCCCTCGCGAGAAGATCTGGAATCCGGAGATACCGGGTCGTTGCATTGATAACGACGCAGCTTTGATCGCCTCCAGTGCGATCAACATTCTATCCGACTTCGCTATTCTTTTTTTACCGTTAGCTGCTATTCATCACCTTCAAGTGGCTAAGAAATCTAAACTCAAGGTTACTGCCATCTTCGCAGTTGGAGGCTTGTGTGTTTTCAACTACCCCCTATACCCCAGCAGCACCTACATCAGAGGTATAAATGCTAACACGCTATACCAGTGCCTGCATAGCAAGTATAGTTCGCTTCGTTTACACCATCCAGTTATCCAAGCAGACAGATGTTACATATGCGATAGAGCCATTCGGATATTGGACGTGAGTATCATGATTAATTCAGAATCATGTACACATCATTGACAATGTCTTTAGAGAGATTGAGTACGCTACAGTTGTCCTGGTCGCTTGCTTCCCGACTTTCCCACTTCTGTTTAGACACATCGCGCAACGCTCTCAAGTACTATTCTCTTTCAGTGGCACGGCGAGCCAACAGAGGGGCGTTGAGGCACAAACAGGCGCCCAGTCTGATCACAGCAGTGTGAGGAAACTGCGAGCACCGCCAGCACAAGATTTAGGTTATACTCATAGCCTAGAATCATTGTAATGCATGTACCAAATTCTCGGGGTTCAAGGCAGCGGCTATGCCATAAGCAGTCAAATGTTGCGGGGGAGCACCCTAATTATCGCAGGTCGATATCTAAGACATATTGACATGAGCTCCGTATTCGAAAAGCGATATACGGCCTTTTGACTTGCCCTTCGCACTCAGTAATGGCGGAAATGGTACAGGCGATTGGATTGATACTGGTTTTCATCCCCCGATTAAGATCAGAGGTCTATTTAACGTTCATATGTAGTTTTAGGTCAATATATTTACTTTGATACCCTAATAATCCAGGATTCCGAACTATACACAGTACATAGGAGGTATATCCTTCTGGTGTTCGTTATTTAATGAGGCAATTAAATCTGCAGTATCTAGGTGTAGTTCTCATATAAAATTGAAGTAGTTTTGCTTTTATGCAAGTAAAACTTTATGAGCATACTTCTTATATTCAAGTCTTCAATCTTTATGTAAAGTATAATTGGTTTAAGCAGAGCTACTTCTATTTTGGTGGTTATCATATATAAGATTAAGTATCTGAGTTTTATCAAGTTGACTAGGCATGATCAAGCTAACGCTCACTTTGGAGTAGCGTTGGCGACGGAAGTGGAGTTCCAACGAGTACCTCGGTAGTGAAGGAGATCAAGTGCTGATTCACTATGTACATACTAGTAGTAGGGTCATTAGACTCGCTGTCAATTAACACGAGTCTCTGCGAAGGCACCTACCTCATAGGGGGTTGCTAGCTCAATTATTAGGGGTTCTTTGAAAATTCCTTTTGTTGAAGTATGATGTTTGTCTGGCCATACGCGGTTTCGCGGTGAGCGAAGAGGAGCATACGGTGGAAGAGGAAATAAGCTACTACTCAAGTATTTTCAATCTATCACAGCAACGCAAAAGTTTCATAGTCTAGATCCTCAAACATAGAAACATTAGCAACCCAGGCTTCCAGGACATGAACCAGCCGTTTTCTTCAACTTGTTTCGATAGCCCGAAAATGAGACGACTTATGACTTCTGGTGAGAGTATTCCTCGCAAATTCGCCCCCTTTTCAACATGCCCCTCACGGATGGACTTACTACAGACGACTTACAACTTAGAACCTTTGTCATCCGTGGGTCGTTTTCTAGACGGCAAACTTCCCAACGCAGTAGCATGCTCAGGACTCAATGTCGTCTTTTCCGATAATGTCAGACGCGTCCATTCCGCATACTCCCGTTCGGTCTTGTGGTAATATTCCATTTCCCGTTGGATCCATTTGGCTGCGTGCTCAGCACAGAGGCCCGGACTTTCCAAGGGAAACAAGTGACCACGACCTTCGACATGAATCTCGGCGACCCTACCGGCCGCCATCCCGCCGCTGCCGCTGCAACCAGTCCCACACGCCCGTGCGATGTCCGAACGGGACGATGGTGGCAGGGTGATATCGCTAGACCCGCCGAAGACCCAGAGAACAGAAGGCCGTACATTCAGCAGCCGCTCGACAACTAGATGGCCCTCGCTTCGGTAGAAGGGAAACTGGCGACGCACCTCTAGCGGATCATTGAAGGCTGGGTCGAAGTCCGGTGCACCTTCTCGGTCGACAGTACCATCAGCGCGCTCGTGCGGATACAGGGGCCGGAAGTAGGTGAAGATTTCCTGATGGCGCGGTGTAGCGAGCGTTACCCCGTTGCCTTCGCGGTTCCCAGCGGCGTCTCCCGGCGCATCGCGCAACGCATGATCAATCCAAGCCTCCAGAACCCGTGGATCCCAGGTGGAAAACATACCGCGAGGGCGACGGAAGGACTCAATGGCGGCCTCCCGGGTGGGCCATGAATCGCGGCGCGCGACAGCAAGGCGGACCCCAAATATAGCACCGGTCTGCTTCTGTGAAAAGACGCTGATGACGGGATCGTAGAGAATGAGCGCGCTGAGCAGACGGGGGTGGAGCAGCGCTAATTGAACGAGGATGTTCCCGCCGAATGAGTGTGCTATGCCAACGATGGGCCGAGGCATCTCGCTGCGGAAGACGTTGGTCATGTACAGGAGGTCCCGGGCGTGGTCAGCCCAGCCCGGATCGTTGCCAAGCAGCTGCTCGTTGAGCCTGTGGCTATAGCCCTGATGGGCCACGTCGGCGATCCAGATGTTGCGGATACGGAAACCGTGGGCCCGTGACTGAGCGTGTAGATCACACCATAACGGTTCGTAGACTTCTTTCGGAAATGCGTTCCCGTGCGCTCCAATTATCGTGACATCGCCCGGTTGGGGATTGAGGTTGTCCTTCGGGCGGTATTGTTTGATGTGAATGCGCAAGATGGCTTCTTGCGAGGTTCCTGTAGCTCGCGGCCATTCCCTCAGATGTTGCGCGGGGATGATATGCTCTTTGACTTCAAAGGGGAACTCCATTGAGCACGATTACTTTCACAGTTCCTATTCACAAGTAGTCCTCGGAGGCAAACCCAGCGCTAGGTGACTATTTGCATTCAACAAGTCGCACAAGTGATAGATTCTCGAAGGCACGATAAATGGATTAATAAAATACCTAGGGAGATAGGCATGCTCGGTTCTTGAGCATGATAGTTCATACGCTTCCCCTCTCTCCTCACTTTCTAGTTACTGTAGATACTTGTTGGGTATGATACAGTATCGGTTCTGAGCCGGAACCTTTCATATGGAACCTCACTCAAGTACCTCATTTTTCATGTATACTTACCTTATGACCTACAGTTTTGGCGGATGTAGTATGTAGAACTTGTAGATGTCTGATTCCCCAGCATTGTGTACAAGGGACACTAACTATGCACGCTACTTGGGCTCAATGCAGTTGGCACAATGCGATTTCAGAACCTCAAGGGTCGCGGCAAGCTCTTGTTGCCTGATTTACGAAGTGGCCAGTTGTTGTATCGTTGGTTCTCCATCTCATATGCAACTCACCAACAGCATCTGTTAGTGCATGAACACACCTTACAGAGTGGCGCAGCATGCATGCTGTTGCTCCTAGAACTGCGTGGTGTAAGCACTGCAGGGGGCAGACTACACTTCTCGGATAACGTGTCGGACCTTCATGAGCAAATGATGGTAAAGACCGTCCGCCCGACGTATCATCGTTCCTTCAGGGCGGTCTTCCTCAATGTAGCCTATTCAAACTTGCCAAGTTGTTCGTGCTCCTAGCTGGGGGATTGATGTAGGTCTGGAGACTTTTCGTCTCTGCTGAACATAGGTCCTGAAGTTCGTTTCGAGTCCTATGGACAAACCTTGCTGAGCTTCCTTCCGTCAGCTCCCGTTAGGTTGTTTGGTGACATCCAGATACGCCTTTGACAAGCCCCTTTTCACAGTCATGTTAGATTTTCTACCTGATAGCAAATATACGGTTGCTCGTTCCGTTCTGGCACCACTTGCAAGGCCTTTGAAATGAAATAAGCCCATATTTTTCAGCATATTGCAATCGATGCCCTCTGTGCTTCTTTTTCTCTGTAGCTTGGTTGCAGTTGTGCATTGCCAAAGCCGATACTAGGGATCCCCTATAATGTTGAAGCAACGAAGAGCTTGTTTGGTTATGGTCTAGCCTTGATGAAGGAAGGGTCTCCGGTAGGGGACGTTTTGGCTCGGTTCTTGAAGCAGAATCAGAAAAGCAGGATCTGCTATCAGTCGGGTTTTTCTCCGGTCACAGGGCAAACCATTGCTCGTAGTTCGAGACTGGCTGGCGGCCCGAGCTTATCAAATTGAAGTCTTTTAATTTCCGCATATACAGGATACATAGGCGAGTCTTAGGGGTGAAACGCCAACTCACGTGTCCATATTGACCTCAGCAGCCATAACACATGATGATAATATGACTCGAAAGGATATCAAGTCTTCCGTGACCTGAATTAAGCGATCATGAGCGTATACTAATTTGTACAGCCTTCTTACTTATGAAACGATCAAAACGTGAATTAAGAAAGTATTAGCGAGATCAACAACAGTTACATAAATATCTGAAGAAGCAGTGAAACTTCACAAAAAGCGAAAGACCTATTCATAATCAACCCCTCCATCACTTGGAATAAACAAGCTCTTCATCTCTTATCGCAATTCTGCCGTGGTTCTTAAACCCCCATGCCACCACCCGGAAGCTCCGCAAGCCCTTCCGCATTTGTCAGCATGCCGTGATATTTACTCTCAAAGATGGCACTTACATCCTTCAGTAGTCTCATCGACCATGTTCTTGACGGCACATGCGCCACTGATAGCGTCCGCCTGTGTCGTGAGCGACTTGCACGTCGGGCCGAAACAAGCGTTGTCCATAGCACTTTGCAGGGTGTTGTCTTTCCAGCCGAAGACGTAATCAGCGTGCTGTCCGTAGCCGGTGCTGCTTCTTGTTAGTGTTTGTTTAGAATGAGTTGGGGGAGTTAGGGAAGAGAATACCTGTCGCCGGTGCTGAGGACGAAGGGCTGGCTGCCGTCCGCGGGCCATTCTGCCTTGTTGTTGAAGGCTGTTGTATCCCACATGATCTGTTAACCAATATAGTTAGACATTATGTATACGCAATCGTTCGGCATTGGTCTCACTCACCTCTAGATGGACCTGTGGAATCTTCACGGGGTGCGTCGACGGGCATTTGCCGCTCACAACCGCGAACGATGTAGGGCCGCCCGTAGAGTGGGCAACGTGGTCCATGTGGTTGGGGCTGTCTAGGTTTTTCCCGTCCCAGCATCTAATGAACCCTTAGCTCGGCCTGCGTTTCCACACGGCAACCGAAGGTTGAAAAGAAAACTTACAGGGGAAAGATGATGTTCGTACGGATACCGCCGAGGCAGGGCGTTGTGGGGAAGTGCTCGGTATCTAGCTTAGGATCAAAGCAAGGTGAGTAGACGTTTCCCTGGAAGTTGGGTCCCGTGTAGCATCGGAAGCAACTTTGCATGTTCTTTCCAAGGCCTGTCGAGTTGCGTCTCGTAGACTCCCCAGCAAGCATTCGAAATCCCTAGCGAGAACGATAATTAGTAATTACGGGATATCTTGATGTCATATCATTGTATAGATCTCACCGGCTTGAAGGCAGTCGTCTGCTTCGCGCCAGGCGAAGTGTAGTAGACTGTGATGCCGCCATTGTGGCCGCTGACTGCCTGGTTTGGGATTTGAGGCACACGCTTGTAGGTTCCATTGCGGGCCTTGAAGTACAGGTTCGCCGTCCAATAGTTTGAGAAGTCTTGGTTGAAGCTGCAGGTGGTGCAGGTTGAATGTTTTGATATGTCATCTGTTGGCATAGATGCACCAAAGGCATTCTGGTAAAGCATAAGCAGACGAAAGCAAGGACGCATTTATTCCACTCCTAATACTCACGCCTCCGACTACCTGGTGGACATGTGGAGATGGGTTTACACCTGGATTCACTAGGCTGTAGAGAATTAGACCGCAGACCGCGTATATCTTCTTTTGAAGAACTTACGGGTCGAGTCGCTCGATGACTACCCTAACCAGTACACATAATTAGTAAGAGCTGCTTCCAAGATATCATAGCAGTAGATTTGTCATCAAAGCTCAACATGATGCGAGAGTGAATGACCAGTCTCGATCTCCAATAGAACATCCATAGAATTATTTCTCAGATACGTACTGACTGCAGCCAAAGCGCAGCATAGCAAGGCCTCCGCTTCCATAGCCTTGTGGAACTGCTGCCACAAGGGCCGGGAACGCCGTTAACAAACTAGACCAGAACATCATGAGGATCGCCTAAAATAGTCAAAGACTCAAACACAGCAATAGAAGATTATGTGTACGACAAAAGATATTGTATTGTATTCAGTGTAGCTAGGGCTAGGAAGATATACAGGAAAACAATTGAGGAAGTAACCCTCCCATCATTAGTCATAACCTAGTCGCGATGCACATGACTCCTCTACAACTTCCGAGTACCGTGGTGTTGACTCAATAAGTGCGATAAGCGGCATATGAATATCAATTTTTAAAATCATATAGGAAGAAGAGAAGAAAGCAGTGGGCCGTCTCTTTTCCGTGCTTTGCCCCAGGCTCCGCTACTGCCGGTTTCCGTGCAATCAAAAGACTTTATAGATTATGCCGTCAAATAGGATCTCAGCCTATGAGGACACTGGCTTTGTGTTGTGCTACCGTTTGATTCTACCGGATCTGCATTTAGACGATCGGCAGTTCACCAACTTAGATTAAACAACCTTCACACTAAGGTCATTGGCTATTGGTCTCTGCCCAGTGCTTCCTTCATTATCGGATCTCAACGGGGGTTTATTATCTCCTCTATCAAGGTATACGTAAAACGATAGTGAAAGCTCTACATTATCTCAGACAAATGCTATACGCTACACTGGCGATGTACATTTTTATCGAGGAAAATACCTACCCCCTGATCTCTTGTGTACGTGGACTGATCACCAATTCTTATCAAATAAATACCGAGAAATATGTATGAAGTAATTAACTGCTACGAATCTTATTCTGCCAGTGTTAAAAGTCTATAGAATAGTAGCTACCTGCAAAACTCAGACGCGACAACCGACCGTCTAGTCTATTGATTGAAAGTACATTTATTTTCATCTTCCCCTTTAAATAGTACACAAAGCGTACATGAAGTCACTTCCACATTATCAACTCGTCACATCTCATGACTGTAAAACGACCACCGGGTAGCCCAAGGCCATTCAGCTAATATACCGAAAGAGGCCCCTATTTCGGGCAGTTCGTTTAGCACCCAGTCCCAAGCGACGAAGTTGAGAGAGAACAAGTTTGGGCTTGTCGAATCTCAATTTAGTGTCAGAATGATGATTTAGAGCATAGCAGCAACAGCGAGCAGGCCGCCGAGAGCGGCGCCGCCAACAATGGCACCTGTAGGCCGGGCAGCGGCGGCTGTGGGAATTGGGGAGCCCGTAGCTGTGGGCTGTGCGGTGTAAGAGCCCGTGCCAGTTGGGTACGTGCCGTTGGACGCACCAGCGGTGGGGGTAGGGGTTGCGGTGACGAGGAGCATATCGTGGAGTTCGTCGATGAGAGTGGATGCTGCCTCACCCGTGGTAATGCAGTCCGTGATGTATGCCTCATACGCAGACAAATGGTCCCTTCCATAGCTAATGAGGCCCGCGGCGTATGTCTGGAAGTCCGCAGTGAGAGAGGCGGGAAGCTCGGTGGCGAGCTTGCGGAAGTAAGCCTCGTATCCAGCGGGATCTTCCAGGGTGAAATCTGGAAGAGCCGTGGTCGCACCAGGAGCGGTTACCGGCCCGGAGCCGAAGACATTATCGAGGTAGGAAAGGAGCGCCGGGGCCGGCGAAGGAGCATCCGAAAAGGAAAGTATGCTTTGGACACAAGTTGGGTCTTGGCCAGGAGTGCTGGTTGCGTAAAGAGCCGATGAGGCGCCTGCAAGGGTAGCCACGGACAGGATCTGCTTGGAGTTGAACATGGTGCTTGTTGACGTGGGTGCTTGATATTAGGTAGTGGCAATTCAAGATCTTGTTACAGGATGAGGATGAGAGCACTAGTGTGAGGAGCGAGATCACTGGTGGGCCAATTGATCGTGAATAAACCGGCCATAACGGACGCTTTATATTCACGACTTTCGTCGCCGCCGCCGCCGCCGCAGCAGCATGTTGGTGGACGGTGTACGGCTCAGCTAACAAGCGCGCCAGATGAACAAGGATCGGAGAGTACCAGGTATGCTCTAGAGCTGACTCACAGTCGGAGGCGCGGTTGCAATGCATTCATAGTATAGGGAGAACCCTGCTTTGCTTCATTTCCAAAAGCTGTGATAGAGTGGCTTCTAACAATGCTTGTGCTAGTCTCAATATCGATGATAAGCGTGAAATGCATTGTCGGCTGCCAAGCATAACGCCACCTCTGCCGGTATTTTTTATCAAATTATCAACTCCGCAAAATGCCAGGCACCCCAGCTCAACCCCATCGAAACATTAGTGTACGTGTAAGCCTGTTGGTGGATTCTTTTTGTCAGCAGAAGGCGTATCCTTGTGAAAAGAAGATTGGGGTTTCGGGCCGCTCGGGGACTTAACTGAGCGCGGACGGGACGGACTTAAACCAGGCGGAGTCCCGCGTTGTAGTGTGAGATCACATACTCTCTCTATCGTGAAGTGTAAAGATCTCGGCACCCTAGGGAGCCGGCCAGCATGGGTAGGCTTATCCATCGTGTTAATGAAAGGCCTCATACAAGACTAGGGGGCTATATGAGAAGTAGTGTACGCGGCTCGTAGTCGTAGTCGTATACAATGGGCCAATCGAGCAGCCAGACAGTCATTGACGCCTGCAGTTTAGATGAGAGCTGAGTTTCGGTGACTTTCGAGTGTAGTGTATGCAAGTGCTGTCTAGGCATTCTTCGAAACGAGATACGTGAACATATCAGCGAGCTATTTTCTTATCGTTGGTATGCAATAACACAACATGACATGTGTGCTGACACATTGAAACTCACACTAATGCCTCATCTACCTAGTCTCCTCTGGCGGTCGAGTCACCTAATTTACTCGCCGAGCGACTGTATGCGATCATGGACATCTTTCGGTCAAAGCGCTTGATGTACGTCCCGACCAGGGATGCCAGGTACGGGGACTTTCTCCTCAGACTAATGAACGAGCCGTGAGCTTACCCCAGCTGCGCCCCCTTTTCCACGCATGCAACCTAACTTGCTGGCTAGTGGAATGCGAAATAGTGACGACTCGCTCCTAGTCGGCTTCACGGCGCAAAATGTCGACCGATTGTTAGAGGTTCTGGCGTCCCGCAAGCTCATGTCCATGTACATTTGCCTGCCGTCGAATGGGTCTGATGATCCCGTCCCTGTCGGCGCTGTCTCGTTGAGCAAACCTAACGACGGACAAGCGCAACATGCCAACTCATTTCTAAGTGTCATCATCGCAGAAGAACATCAGCGCAAAGGCTACGGCAGAGAAGCTGTTGCATGGGCCCTTGATTGGGCATTCGACTTCGCAAGGTTACACCGGATCGAAATATCGGCTTACAGTTGGAACATGGGTGCGAAGCGACTATATAATAGTATTGGGTTTGTTGACGAAGGTGTCAAGCGTGAATGCACCTGGTTTATGGGTGGCTGGCACGATAGGTACGAGATGGCAATGCTAGAACACGAATGGCGATCGAAATGGCGGGCCATTGCAGATGCAGGAACATGGGCATCTAAGGATGGTCAGAATTACTCTACCGAAGAGATCGCGAAAATGATGGGATCAGCCTAGATTTGAAAGTAAGATATACTACTTGAGAGCTGGGTCACCAAAGTGCGTCGCGGCGTTGGGACATTGGTCAAGGTGTGATGACTCTTGATTGAGCTGTAGGCCACTTTGGCGTACTCTGTTGAGACTTCTATCCGCCATTGGAAAGTAAGCATTCCCTCAACAATTGAAAGACATGTTCCTGTTAGCGAAAGTGCGATTCCTCCCAATAATCTAGTCTATCTGGCCTGAGTCAGGTTATACGCAAACAAAAGTGTAGTCTTCTGACACGTATGCTGCTGGTATCTGTGAAGATTTACCTTCACTGAATCTTTCCCTCAGTAACCATACCACGGATGGTGTCCAGGCTGCTCTCGACCGCCACTTTCGCCATCTTAGGCACGGCATTAGCTCAAAGTCATCTAAGAAGAGCGGGGAAATTGTAACTTGACTAACCTCCCAGTGATTCTTCTCAAGCTGCGAGGCTTTCTCGCTTCCCTCCGACACATCGGGGTGGCGCCACTCAAAGACATAGCTAAGGAGCAACCCACCGTCAGGGCGCGTGCTAATGAGATTCATGACAGAGCTGCCATCTTCCTGCTGGAACACGACACGACACGGTTCATAGTGCACTGCAGTGAGCACCAAGTTAGCAATCATTGCCTCAACAGAATGCACGAGGCAATATAGAGAAAGGGAGCCGCAGCCTCTCGGTGAGAGGCGAGGAAAGTATTGACGCCACGTCGTCACTTACCGCACACCTCTTTGACTGTTCTTCCCGGATTACCATTGACAGGGGCAAACTCGGCCTCTCGTGTGACCTTCAGCTCTCCCGTGGGTAACGTCTCCTCGGATAGGACCTTGCATCCAGTGATGACGGGGACAAAGTCCTGCGCCCGCCTGACCTTGAGCTTGAGACCCTCCCAGACTTGGGCCTGGGTTAAGGTAAGCGTAGTGCCAGCCTTGTTGACGGGTGCAGTGTATGCAACGTTGAAGGTAACCATTTTGGCGATGCTGAAGGGTGTTTGGCTAGAGCTAAAGACGAGGATATCGATGTGTTTGGAAACTGCCAGATGGAATGCTTGATGTGATGTTGCGATGAAGCTTGCAATAACTCTATCCTCAAGACCAGACCAATCGCTCCTTTATATCTGAAGAGCTCCAAGGCAAGTCGGACGGAGATCGGGGGAAGCCTAATAATCCCAGCGCACCTGCAACAGCCATGAGATGCACCTGCATGAATTTAGATTCTACGAACAAGATTCATCTGAATCATCCCCCGGTCGGGTTAGACATCGACTTTTTCAGCAGATTCCCACAGCCATTGTAGGTTCTAAGACCTAGCTGAACAACCTGTCGGGACCAAACGTCATTGTTCCTCCGCGATGAAACGGTGATTCATGCGACTGGCTGGCATTGTCGCGCGCCGGGACGTGACAGCCCAATAGGCGCGGGCTTGGTAAGCCGGACGAACAGCTTGTGGCACCATGGCCAAAAATAATCACGTCCGGCACACGCTTGGAAATTCTGACCCATCCGAAGGGGACGTCCGTCATTTCGGGACCGCGAACTCATCCCAAGTCGAAGCGTAGCGGCCTTTGGGAGACAGGCTTATGCGAATATGGCATGGTAGTTCGCGCCGCGACAAACTTGATGATGGGGCAGCAGATACATCCCCATACCTACATACAAAAACACTGACTAGCTTGTAGTCTAAGCTTTAACACAATTCCTTTTTAGCTATCAGGCATATCGAGATGTTAAAAGTGCCAACTACCAGCTGAAAGACAGCATAAGGTTACATAAATGCATTGATTGCTTACGACCTCGCAGCGATCAGTCCCTTTTCTACCCATGACATAGATGATGACCTTCTACTCTCCAGGCTCATCTCACAACGGCCATCGACGCGCATTGATAGTCCGTCATGCTAAGGTTGTCAAGAATCACACAAAAGCTGTCCTTCTGTCATTAAAACGGCCTAATCTTTTATTCCTTGTATTTCCTGACAGCAACGGCATTGACGCGGATGGTGATCTCATGCGCAAGCCATGCTATGCCGGCTCCCTTGCGCCCGGACTGACTTGCACTTGGCCTGTCTCGTTCCGCAATCTAGTGTGAACGGGCCGAGATGAGTTTTGGCACTATACAATAGTGTTGCTTGTTCATCTAAAGCCCTAGATTTACTCATCTTCTTCCTCAGATGAATCCTCGTCCTCATCTTCATCATCCAAGTCTTCCATTTCTTCGTCTTCCTCGTCACTCTCTATTTCGGCAACATTTTCTTCTAGAGCAGCTTGCTCCTCCTCCTTCCTCTTACGCTCGTCTTCCTTTCTTGCCTCCTCCATCATCTTTGCTTTCTCCGCACCCGCTTTCCTTTGAGCTACCACATAGGCACCTACGGGTGTCTTCTCCCATGGGAAGTCTTTCAAGAAAGCATCGACCTGCGTCCGGTCACGTGGTGCGAAGTCTACCTTGGCCCGCTTGCCCTCAATAAACTTGGCGTTGGCTTCTAATTTTTGAACAAGTAAAACAAGGCCAGAGCGCAGTTTGCCATTATTATTTCCCGATGCCTTTTTTCTCGATTGTTTGAGCCAGCGCTTCAACATGATAACAACGGGCAGCGCAAACTCGGGGAACGCGATGTTTGTCGACCACAGCACAAAGTACTCGGCAAAGAGGTCAACGATTTGCTCGCCTACGCCGTCTTGATACACGCGTGTGCGTAAGTATGCTTTCGGTGTTTTATAGGCGACATGGAAGTCAAGAGCCTTTAGTGTAGCCTGCTTTGGGGATCTTCTCATCTCTGCCGAGTTGAGTACTTCCAAAAGGACTGAGGCAAGGGGTATATAGGTACCGGTCGATCTGGATATCCTCAAAAGAGACCGTATCATATGGAAGCGCAAAGGGAAATAAGTAGCTGTGGGGATGAGCCGTGTAGCGCCAAGGGTAACTTGGACAAGAGGGTATATTAGAAGTCGAAGCTGGGACTCTTTGCCGACTTCAGCTTCCCTGAGAGAATTACAGTGTTCCGAAAGGACGCAGGACCAGAAGTCCAGGGAGTGAACGTACTGCCAGTTGTATACATGCCTGTACGAATCGTTTTGGTTGTGAACAATACTGTTTCTGAGATGAATGGCTAGTTGCCTGATAAAATTATAGGCTGTCGTGTAGCCGATGCTTTGATCGAGACCCCATAGCTCAGCAGCCGAGTTCTTCATCAGATTGATTCCTTGAATTGTGTTGGCATTTGTTACACGCGACCCAGCAATTAAGCCTTGGTACGTCGCTTTGAGGACTGCTTCCCGAATGCCTTTATCCCCGATCACTACAAGACGGCGGAGAACAAGGAATGCCGTAATCCTAGTAGTGTCACTACTAATGTTTTGAGACCAAAAGCCAACAACAGTCTTGATAAGATTTTTCAACAGCTTCCGGAAAGACAACAGGTAGGGGACGATAGGGGTTAAAGCCGAAAGGGTAAGTTTAAGGGTGGCGTCGTCGGATAACGTGGGGAGCATGTGAAGAATGGAAGATGTAAAGCTTCGTAGCAACATTGATAATGGCTTGAACTTCTTTGATTCTGTTGGCACATAAACTTTGCCCGAAGATGATTCCTTAACAGGAATATGATGCTGTAGAACTTCAGGTATTTGTTTCAAGGCGACAATAAGAACATCATGGAAAACTTCGGGACTTGAAATCGTGTAGGGCAGTGCCTTCTCCTGATCCTCATCATCTTCATTGAGGTGAGCTGCCGATCGGAAAGCCAAGACCACTTGTCTCGCGGCTTTGAGGGAGTGGTTTTCTGTCAGAGATGTTTTCCAGCGCGCAACCATCTCTTGCGTAAGCTCATTGTCGGCCGAAAGAAGCTCTGCATCATTGGGCTGTGTAGACTTCTTCCGCTTCTTCCTGGGCGAGTCCTCTTCTTCACTTGCGCTCAATTCATCAACTTCGGCGAGGTCTGCATCATCGAAGTCCAGGGCATCGGGGTCGTTCTCTTTCAAGAATTTGTAGAAGTCGGGATCATCCTTAGCAAGAGCTTCCATCGCATCTTTGCTCATTCCAAGTTCTCCATCTTCGAGCTGGGTATCGTCTTCTTCACCGTCATCATCGCTGGCAACGGGCTGTTCGGCATCAGAGATTTCGAGATCGTCGCTCGCGTCATCGTCGTCATCGTCGTCGTCGTCAAGCGTAGGTTGTGGCTCGTCCCTCTTGCGTTTTCCCAGCTTCTTGGATGATTTGCTGGCTTTCGGCGCTTTGTCGACAATCTCAAACCCTCCACCAAAAAAGTCATCAACGCTCATCTCGTTCACATTGGCGGTTTTGGACGCCTTTGCCCGGGCGGCCTTTTCGGCATCCTCAGGGCCTTTATGAAACTCAGCATCTGCTGCCTTTCGGGTTTGCTTCTGTGTCTTGGCGAGATGCCTTTGTTTTATCTTGGCGCCGGCTTTCCGCTTTTCCAGAACATTTTTCAGGTGTTTCTGCTCGAATTTCTTAGTAGCTTTGAAGTTCTTCTTCGCGCCAGCCATTGTGTCAGTTGGCCAGCAGCAGGTTGCTGTGAACTTCGGCTAGAATGTGGTGGTTGAACGAAAGCGCCCTTGGCCCAGTCCCGTTGCTTGATTGCACCTTGTTCTCTCGTCCAAAATTTTTGGCGGGTCTGGGCTTATCGCGGGGGCCTATTCTTATCGGATCTGAGGCTAGTCCCAACATGGAAATACTCCTGCACTTACTCATCCACTACTTAAGACCTCCAAGGTCCCGAGGGGTCCCTAGAAACGCTCGTGATGGGTGCTGCCTATGCCTATGCCTTAGCTACAGCGAGCGCTAGAGTGGATGCCTATATCTTGCGTGCATCTCATGAGCTTCATTCACATGCTCTTCGAATCTATGTCTTGACACGCCTCGACCATACACGAACCAGTCGGCTGTCTATCATCCTAATTCCCAGGCTCACCCTCTCACGCAGATATACACTCACACACTTTCTAGCCTTTCTAGACATATTCGCCTTCAGCATGGCCTCTCGGCAAGCATATGCTCCAACTCCTCATAGCTACGTGCCCAATACCACTATCTCCGCAACAATCAATCTCGACGAGGTCCGGCTTACACCCGAATCTTCATTGCCAGTAGAAACTAATAGGAAGTAGGAGGTGAAACTAACTGAGACGCGAGCCGAACGCGACTTACAGGATTCCCTTGCCGAGATCTTCTCCATCATTGTCACGCTGGACGAGCTTGAGAGGGCCTTCCTCAAGGACGCCATCCCCGAGTCTGACTACACCGATATATGCGAACGGTCTTTGAAGCAGTATAAATCCATCTTAGCCGATGATACCGTAGCTAAAGCGTTTGTGGGTCTTGAGGAATTCAAAGCCGAATGGGACGTGAGTAACAACACCTCAGCGCCCTCATCACTTGCTCGCGTACTCACAATGATATAGCTTGAAGTACCGAGAGCAACAGAACGGTTGAAAGTCGGCATGCCTTCGACAGCTGTCACTGCTTCAACGGGTACCGCCCCTCAGCCAACAGTAGCTACTGACAGCAAATCCGGGCAGCTCATCTTGAAGGCGACGGAAGATTTCATCACCTTTTTGGACGCACTTCGCCTGGGACTTCTTGCGAAGGACCAATTACATCCTCTCTTGACAGACATAATACAGAGTGCTAACAAAGTCACCGACCGGGACTTTGAAAACAGGGGCAAGATAATACAATGGTTAATCACTTTAAACCAAATGAAGGCGACGGAGGAGTTGTCGGAACACCAAGCTCGGGAGCTCGAGTTAGATATCAACTCTGCGTATGTGGGGTTCAAGAACGCCCTCTAAGGAGCGTGCACACGGATTAGTGCGCCGATGACGTTTATACGTGGCATCACTATTCAGACTCTTTCATCGGCGATGAACAAGGTCTAGTCATAACAGTGAAACAATGTACGATGGAGATTGCTCTCTGCTACCACGCGACCGCCTCAGAGAAGCAGAATCATGCATTGTACTACTCTGAATCAACGCTCACCTCGGTATGTGCCGTCTTCGGATCTTACATCTTCTTCTGCAGTTATGAGTGGCCAACGAGCTATCAACAGCCCCACTCCAAGGGCGCAATTTCTTCGTACTTGTATGACTTCGTCCACCCAGGATTGGGGAGGGATAGTATTGTGAAGCACTCGCCCGTTTGTGCCAGTACCGTATCATAGGCCTGGTTTAAGCCTTTCAATAGAAATCATGCAGCGCACATTTCTTGCCTTTCAACACAATGCCAAGCTACACAGTCTCCAAGCAGTGGTGCAAGCAGTGAGATCGGTTGCGTCGCTCGAAGAGGCAAACAGAGGCCTTTTCAAAGGCGCGAGCGAGGAGGATCACGTCGTAGTCACCGACAAAACCATATTTCATCCGCAAGGTGGCGGCCAGCCATCCGATGTTGGAGTGATCAAGGCTGACTCGGGAGCCAATTTCGACGTGTCGGCCGTTCGCATAAACGCAATAACTGAAGGAGAGGTTCTCCATCTTGGCAGATTTTCCGACGCATCCGCACATTTCACACCCGGCGAGACGGTCACACAAACCATCGACAGTGAGAAACGTATCCTCTATTCACGCTACCATACAGCAGGCCATGTTCTGGGTGGAGCTGTTCGGCATCTTCTTGAGAAAGAAGTCCCCGGCTTTGACGAATTGAAGGCATCGCATTTTCCCGACTCAGCATCGTGCGAATTTCAAGGTCTGATTGAGGGGAAATGGAAAGACGCTATCCAGGCGCGCGTCGATGAGTATATCAACAAAGACATGCCAGTTGAGATAGACTTTTGGGACGAAGACGACTTCAAAGCGAACGGGCTGGAAAGACTCATACCTGATCGAAAGGTAATGGGCATGGCAGATGATGAGAAGTTTCGTGTAGTCAAGATCATCGGATGTGAAGCCTACCCATGCGGTGGAACTCACGTTGATAGCACTCAGCTCTGCGGTAAAACAAACGTCAAAAAGATCAGTCGATCGAAGGGTATAAGCCGCGTCAGCTATATACTCCCTTGACAGTCCATATCAACTGCGTTAGGCATACCAAAAGGCCAGCTAGCCAGTCGGCTCCGGTAGAACGGAATCAATAGAGCAACCACATCTAGACCGTTGCGTCGCACCAAAATAGACACAGACTTACACCCCATATCCATTCCACATACACAAGTGAATGTACCACTTACGTCATCCAGAAGATACGTAGTATGCGTCTTCTTTATCCGATCATTTACATAAGTTGCATTAGCGCCAAATTTGTGTTCAGTGACAATTCTCAAATCAACAACGCTCGTGGGACCATGCGCCGTTGTTCAACAGATCGGAACTCCATTCCCGCCTCGATCCTGGGACACGTGTTTCCTGTATGGCTTGTTGGGGCTGAGGTCCCCTAAATGCGGTCCACAATTACCACAACCTTGTTAACCTAGGCGCTTTGGTATGGCTAAGAATCCAAGCGAACCTACGAAGTACGGTAGTCACTAGGTAAGGCAAGGTTAACCCAGAGCAGCTCTCTTTCGCAACGCGGGTTGTAGAGATCGGCAATCCGAGTCAGTGAGTCGGTAATCGATAGTTTATGGGATTGGTTCCCCAATCACCGTCTGCATCCTACCTACGTCTAGGGTTCTACGGCAAGGATTGCATCCACCTCAACTATCGGTATTGCCTGACCCGAGGTGGAGGTGGAGGTAAGGTACTGAGAGGACTATGGCTCACCTCTGGCGACTCTCGCTGCCTCTCTCGCCTCATGTCCACGCAGAGGGCCTACGAAGTATACGGATGTAGTAGCGTCATTCCATGGGTAGGTGCATGCACGGTACTGACTAGAGCTTCGTTTCTCGTGCTCAACTGGGTCTGGCCATCTGCATACCACCCCTCTTTGTGGGAGGCTGCATGTGGCCTGAATGATTGGTTCCTACTACATTCATAGGAGGTACCTTAAGCCAAACTTTAACCGCGGTAGACCTGGCAGCGAGATCGATGCCGCAATGTGCTATCAGGTTAGGGGTCCTCGTCCTGCACTCCCAGACCTTGGGTCCCTTCGCGAGATGTTACCAGGTACACATGACGGAGCGTTCATGACTTAACCACAATGCATTGGCTGAATGGCCCGTTTGTGTTTCGGTGGGCGTTTGGTGCTACATAGAGTTTACCGAGTTATCTATATATCCCGGCTCTTCTCCCCTTGACATTCAGTCCATTTTCTGTTCTTCACATATTAATCACATCAATTCTAGGGGTTCACGGTTTCAACACTGAAGCAAATTTCAACATTTCGCTCTCGATTGGTAGAAATGAGAGAGTATCATGGATTCTCTTGGTGGTAACATTATGCCCACCGACTCGGCACCCAAATTATTTCTAGCTGGAATTGGAGTATTCCTTCTTATCGGAACCTGTTTTTCCATTTTTTCCAAGGCCAAAGACAATGAGAATCCTACTCTTATTCAGTCTCTGTGGCTATTCTTCTACTCTTGCTTCCTCAAGCCGCACAAAGGTGACAGCAAGGGTAACCAGCAAGATGCTCTCGAGAGCTTCTACAAGTCGCAGGCTAGCGCCTACGATGCGACGAGAAAGCGCCTTCTAAAAGGCCGAGAGGATATGCTAGCCTTAGCAGCTGCGCAGCTTGTTCTAAAGACGAAAGCTGTCAATCCAAACAGCTCCAGAAGAGTCTGGGTCGATGTGCGTGGTTATGAACAACCCTTTAGCATCATACCACTAACCTGAATTGTAGATTGGTGGCGGCACTGGCTGGAACATTGAGGCAATGTCTCAGTTCGTAAACGTTTCTACCTTCTTCGATAGCGTGTACCTAGTTGACTTCTCGCCGTCTCTGTGTGAAGTAGCTCGGAAGCGATTCGCTAGACTGGGTTGGACCAACGTTAAAGTTATCTGCCAAGATGCGAGGAAATTCCACTTGGAAGATCACGAACCAATCCTTGATGGTGGACGGGAGACGTCTCCCGAAGCTAGTTACTTCTCCCAAGAGAAGTCGAGGCATCTAGGAGCTGATCTAGTTACCATGTCCTATAGCCTCTCGATGATTGTAAGTACCTCCATAAGGGCTTAGGTGAGGCAATCTAACAAATATTCCAGCCTGATTACTACTCAGTTGTCGACTCCTTAACGTCACTCTTAGCGCCACATGGAATAATTGGCGTGGTTGACTTCTACGTTCAATCTCAAGTTGATGTCAGCTTTAGGAACTACACAGGAGGTCTTATCGATCGTCACGTGAACTTTCTTGGGAGAACGTTTTGGCGTGCTTGGTTCGATATTGACAGAGTCGCTCTTGAACCTGGCCGTCGAGACTACCTTGAATATCGCTTTGGTACAGTCCTCAACGCCAATACGCGCAACTACGTACTTGGCGGGATCCCATACTACATCTGGCTGGGTGCGCCCAAGCAACCACTTTCATCTTCTCTCGCGCACGAAATTGTCGAAAAGGTCGATGCTCTGGTTACTGAGTCGCCCTACCTTTCACCTGTAAACCACGCCAGCAAACTATCTCTAGAAGTAGAGAAGGATGTTGCGGAGATCCGCTCCAAGGCTTTTGATGCCGCCATTATAAACCTCTCATCAAATCTACCTCTTCCTTCATTCTTTTACCAGAACCATCACTATCGGATCTACTACGATGACCAGCTAAAGAAGCACACTCAGTTCAATGACGAGTATATCTACGCATTCACCTGGGAAGACACCCGCGTCGACGAGCGGATCTTGAGGATTAAGCCCGACGATGTGATTCTTGCTATTACTAGTGCAGGCGACAACCTCCTTTCCTACGCACTGCAAAGCCCTGCCAGAATCCACGCTGTCGACCTGAACCCGTCCCAGAACCACCTGCTTGAGTTGAAGGTCGCCGCGTACCAGTCGCTCGAGTACGAGGATTTCTGGAAGATTTTCGGTGACGGCAAACATCCTGAATTCCGCTCTCTGCTCATTTCGAAAATGTCACCTCACCTGTCTAGCCGCGCGTTTCAATATTGGTTGAGCAATCACCGCATCTTCACAAAAAGCCAGGGCGGTCTCTACGACACCGGCGGTTCCCGGCACGGTATTCGCATCTTCCGTTGGATCTCACAAGTCTTCGGCTGCCGAGCTGCCGTCAAGGATCTCCTCACCGCCAAGACGCTGAATGAGCAGCGCGAGATCTGGCGCAGTCGCATTCGTCCCGCTCTCATGTCCCGTCTCGTTTCCAGATTCGTCGTGAGCCAAGAGTCATTTCTCTGGAGCGCTTTGGGTGTACCCAAAAACCAACTCGCCATTCTCGAGAAAGACCACGCAGTCTCCAAGGCAGTATGCGGTCCCAACCCGACCGCCAAGAACACTCGCTCGCACGCTATCTGGGAATACATGGTGAACACGCTTGACCCCGTCGTGGAAACTACGCACATCGCCACTGATAATCCGTACTACTACGTATGCCTCGACGGCAAGTTCTCCAAGCAGTGCCACCCAGACTACCTCTCGCGCAAGGCCCACGCCCGCCTCTCACGACCCGATGCGCTCGACAACTTGCGCATTCACACGGATGAGATCGACGAGGTCCTCGCGCGCATCACGCCCGGCACACTCACGGTGGCCGTCGTCATGGACAGCATGGACTGGTTCGACCCCGGGTCCGCCGCCGCCAAGTCGCAGATCACGAAGCTCAACCGCGCGCTGAAGATGGGCGGCCGCGTGATGCTGCGCTCCGCGGGCCTGAAGCCGTGGTACCTCAAGGAGTTCGAGCAGCTCGGCTTCACGGCCAAGTGTCACGGCTCCCGCGAGGACGGCGCGTGCATCGACCGTGTCAACATGTATGCCTCATGCTGGATCTGCACGAAGAAGGAGAACCTGGCGCCGCCTACCCCGCCTACTCCGAACATGGATTCTCTTGGGAGTGCAGAGATCTCGTCTCTTAAAATTTAAAGGTGGTGTTGTCTTAGGATGTTGGGAACTATGTATTGGGAACTTGAGTTTTCAAGCGGAGGAATTTCCTTTAGTCACGGAAAGCATTGATCAGCTTAATCCATCAGGGACTGTGAGAAGAATATGGCAGCTTGATATACTATAACGAATGAATGAATGATACTGGCTAAGTGCCCTCTAACCATGCTATTCATTTTCTCTTCTCCATTTGTGTCGTTAGTTGTAAGCTGCACTTTGGGTGCATACACGTTTCTCTCAGCTACGTTTACAATATTTGTTAAGCATAAGTAAAGGGCGATTCTTAAAATCCTACATGTGCATATGGCATGTAGAAGAAGGTACATAAGTATCCATAAATCAGTGATGAAATGATACTACTTGTCGATGTCAACAATAGTCCTAGTTCATAGGCTGAGTCATAGGCTCAACTTACTACCTAGCAATGAAATGTTTGTACATGCTACCCAGACAATAGAGGTTAATAGAACATACTAGGCCGTTACCTATGATACCACACAAGGCAGGCCGTTGGCTATAGAGAAGAGCTAGGGTGCCTTGTACTAACATTGTCTTGCTCTCTACAGGTATTCACCCATTGTTTTTATTTGCTGAAATGCTCAATACAACTCGCAATAGCAACAACGCTCGCTTGATTCCTCTGGCAGCAGTTTGCCTAAGTCCTAACTTCAGGCACTACTTTTCCCGGCATTTAAAGACTCCGGTATGTGACATATTCGTTCCTACTACACAATCTCTGTGATCTAATGCTGCTTTAACAACATAGTAGCAAGGAAAAGCTAACGGCATATAAGAAAGAGACCAGCGGGATGGCAACCTTCACCAGCAATGTTCTCCAAATGGCAAGCCGCCGCTCTTCGGGGGGTGGTCGATGCTCACATCCCAAGCTTTCACCAACGGTAGAAATACTCGACCCGGAAGGCGACATGTTGCTTATCGTTGGAAAGCAAATCTGCACAGATAGAGCTTGCAACAGCGCAGGAAATGAAGCATCGAATGCGATCTGCTTCCACGTCAACTCCATCATCGTAGCAGGCGCCTCGCCCGCCTTGGGATTTGCTCTGTACAGCCCTAGCGCAGTGGCTACGCCAGGCAACAGTATCGAATGGGTAGCGAGGCTGCCGGACGACGATCCGCAGGCCATGCACATTATCATGAATATCCTCTTCGGCGACCTCCCCATCACCCCCGACGAGCACGTGAACATCGAGCAGCTCCTCAACCTCGCTATTCTCGCCGACAAGTACGATCTGACGCATCATCTCACCTATTGGTCTGCTCAATGGGTGCAAGACATGGAGCCCTACTGGGTTGGGCGAAAGTTTGTCGATACATCGACCGAAGACTTAGAGTCACTACTCTGGATCTTCTGGGTTCTCGGCCACGAGCCGCTATACACCTACATGATACTGCAGATAGCCTTTCACAGCGCACTCGACGCCGCTGGGAAACTCACCGATCCAACCGGACAGCTCTGTTTCACGAGCGAATCCCGAGAGGTCCCAGTACCCCCATACGCGCCCAGTAAGCGGATCACTATCATATCTCCTCTCGACTTCGATAGATGAAAAGACTACTAACCTTCGTTCCCATCTTTAGTCGAAATCGGCCACGCGCGCATCGAAGTGTTGAAGATGATCCGCAAGGACATCAAAGACACGCTCGAGGAACATCTGCACGGCAGGGGGGGGAGCGTCTGGCTCCGCTGCAGACGAATGGACGGCGCAGACGACGGGGCCTGGCGCCAGAGCATTCTCGTGGCGTTTGTGCAGATGCTCGAGGCTGAGGGGGTCTGGCCGCTGCCATGCGCGTACCAGCTCACCGCGAGCCCACGAAGCCTGGTAGAGATATTCCGCGCCAACCCCAGCATCTCTGCCTTCAAGCACCACCACGACGGCCAGTTCTGCGAGCCCGACGGCACCTTCTGGGAGCGCATCGAGAGGCTCCTTCGCGAGGCCCGCTTCACTCTTCCGGCGCAGTCGGCGATCCATCTCAGCGAGCAGGCTGTCAAGTCCGGCCTTGCGAGCCACTTCAGGTCAAGGGTGCTTGCTATAGGTCCAGATAAAGGACATTGGAATGTGCGGGAGATTCTGGAGTTTCAGGAAGCCGTCGCCGCTGGCGGACCTGTTCCCCCTGCCTGGCCGCCGGCACGGTCATGATGGAGTCAAATCATTGGGTTTTGTGGACTGGTAAGAGGCGGGTTCTGCCAACAGCTGTTGAAAGAAGGGAGTTGAGATGTTGGGATAATTAACCGATAGGTCGGGAGGCGGCCATGACTGAGCCTCGGGCACGTGGTCCCTGATTGGGAAAACCCCAGGCCTGTGGAAGTAGGTACAGTAAGAAGAATGATGGCAATTGTATGATTAGCACAGTTAATGAATGTACCCCCATACTATCTTGAGATGCGAAGCAAGGATGAAGGGAAGTTTTGACGTCGAGAAGCTTATGTAACAGTGTGCAGGGTTCATTCTCCTGCCAAGAACCTGCGGTGATCCGTCATTTTGGACTCTGCTCCATCTCATCGCTTCTGCTGCACACACACACACACACATCTACCTATAACTCGATACCACTATGCTCCACGATGTCAAGCGCTTAATCTTGCATCGATGAAGGTCAAGTCTGTGTGTATCTATAACCACTTGCCTGCCAAAATCAAGGCGTGCAGCTTCTCCATCCGAGCGGCTCATTTCGGAGGGGGTTTTAAAAAAAACTATGAGAAATGCGATAGGACACTCAACACTAGCCTTACGCAACTTGCCCGTCATTAGTACACTTGTCCTAAGATGCGCAATTAACAAGTATGCTATTTCACACTATATCCCATTTGGAATCGGGAGGGTTTTGAAACAAAATTTGCATTTCACCACGACCATGATCAGGAACCCAGAACAGACAGAGCAACTTACATAGTATTGGAGTTATCATGCACAACCCGCATCATGAACACAGCGCCTCTGTCTCGTGGTAAGAATCCTCAAACACGAACCTTACTATACTTACTGTATAACCTACGATATACACACATATATATATATATAATAAAAAGAAGTACGAGTAAAAGGAGAGCGAAGCGCCGAGGCGTTCACGTGGTTATATCTGAAGCCTGCGAATTTGTCCGACAGACCTGACAGCGGGGCCCGGCGTCGATGGTCAAGATAAGGGGGCCGAACCTCAAACACCCCCTGTCAGGGCTCTGTCTCAACCCTTGTCGGATGCCAGCTTTTTCGCTTCTCCAACCTTTTTTTTCTGCGCGCGCCGGCTACGCGTACATACATACCTAGTACAGTAAATGCGTCGCGAGCCTCAACCGTCCCCAAGGTTTAAGCGAACCAACCCGCCCAGCTTCTTTGGCATATGCACCATTAGTCACTGATATCATGCGACCCCAACGCCCGACGAGCGAGTGGCCCAATCTACGGTACCTGCGTCGGTGCCGTAGCGAGTTGGGGTTCTTAATGCGAATGGTATTCTCGTGGTAATGTACTTGATAGGTAGGCCGGTAGGTAGGCAAAGTAAGTAGGTAATATGTGACTGAAGGCCGAACGACAGACGGCCGGCCCCCCAGTTGAAACGGATCTCCAGACTACATGCGTCTGGCTTCGCGGACCCAATCCTCAGGGTTTCATTCTCATTCTCTTTCTCTTTCATACTTAAGTACAGTACCTAGTGATTTGTACTGTATGGTATCATGTTCCTTTCTTGCTGCGGGCTCCTCTCTGCGGAATAGATGAACTGATAATTATTCTCCGAAACATCATCGTGTGTGGATTCACTTCAGCCTCTTCCTCTTTCGCGCTTCTTTCGCGCCTTCGTTTACACGTTCTTTTGCGTTTCCACTCCCATCCTGGCAGGTAAAGCCTTGGTCATGTTTGGAGGTGGTGCTATTCACTCCTTCTAGCTTCTTTCCACACATTACCCCTGCCTGTCTGTCTACTTACTTGTCGGGCCCATCGTACCAGTCCCTCTTTCCCATTGGCAAGAAAGAGAGAAAAAAAAAAAAAAAAGAGGAAACAAGCCGGAATGCTTTTGTTTTCGTGAGAGCGTGTAATATCTCAAACTATCCTTAATTATTTTGTGTGATTGGGTTGAACCCATTTTTTCTTCATTCGTAACGGCTGGTCTGTTTCTATCGACATTCATTGGATCTTATCTATATCTACAAAAAGGAAGGTAATATTCTTTTTGGGTTCACGAGGGTTCATTTCCCCGAAGAGCCAGAATGAGGGCGTTCTACTCTGGAGCTCTCCTGTTAGCCCTTGGTACCTTGTCGCCGGTCCAGGTGCGTATCTCCGAATTCGATGAGCGACGGAAGAAGACTAATAGGTGGCTAGGCCGACACGTACAAATACGATCAACCCGGCAAGCGCTCGTTGAAGGATCTATTGGATAAACTTAGGGGTATTGGAAGCGGAGATGACAATGTTCGAACCGTGACCGAGACCGTCCGGCAGACTATCACCGTGGGCGGCGGTGGACTAGGCGGCGGGTTTCTCAATGCGACGTCAACGGTTACAGTCACGGAGACTGGCGCTGCTAATGGCGCCGTAGAGTAGGTCGAGGCCACAGCTGAGATTGTGAGCATTGGGGGCTGACGTGATCGATAGGCAAGCGACTGTCACGCAGGTGGTGACTACAACCATGACGCAGCTGATTGCCTGCGGGACGGCTTTTGGAATCCCCATCCCCGGCGACCAAGCCTCGTCTATCGCGTCTTCCGTGGCCGCCATCGTGTCCTCCGGTCTAGCGGAACTGACCTCGATAGGGGCCACTTCGTCGGTCGCAATCACGGAGACATCTGCGGCCGCGACGACTTCCACAGCGGCTTTGACAACTTCGTCAACTTCGGAACTATTGACATCTTCGTCGAGCGCCGTCGCCTCAAGCTCGTCAAGCGCGGTAGAGCAAATTTCATCTTCAAGTTCAGCCGCTGTGGAATCCAGCACCGCAGTGGTCGAGACATCGAGTTCATCGTCAGCCGTGGTAGAGTCCAGCACGGAGGTACCATCCGCGGTTCCCGAGACCACCTCATCTGCCGCAGTCGAATCATCCACAGAGGTCGCGACGACATCATCAGCTGCGGTAGAGACGTCATCCGCCGAAGCGACGACCTCCACAGCAGCAGCCGTCGAAACGACTTCATCGTCCACGGCCGGCGCATCCTCGATCGCACTGCCCCTCGACTCGACCCCAGTATCAACGGCGAGCGCAATAGGACAATCCTCAGTCGCGCTCCCCGCCGAATCCACGCCCGCGCCAGCGGCTTCCGACGTCAACCTCGGGGCCGCTCTGCCCGACGCGCTGACGGCCACGACCTTCCTAGGCGCGAACGAGGGTCCGCCGATCGACTTCAGCGGCGTCGATCTCAGCTCCGTGATAAATCTCGGTCCCGTGGCGTAAGGGGGGTGGTCAACGAGTCAGACGGTTTTAATTAAGTGGGATGCGAGAGCGAGCCGAGTTTGAAGTCGTAGAGAAGGAAGCTTCTTGTTTTCATCCGCCGTCGAAATGCTTGTTTTTTTTTTACACATGTTTTTTCTAGATACAAAAAATTAGCCCCCCCTGGTGGAGACGCCCTTCGTTTCTTTAGTTATATAATGCAAATACAAAGAATCTGACTTCATATGTCGTTTTTGCGATCGTGAGTCGTGATGGTCTTGTTGGGCATCATCGATACAGCTGGTGGAGAGAGGTTTAACTCCTGTGGCTGCTTCTACGCTGAATGATTATGAGGTATCTCATCAAGATTATAGCCTCTGTCATTAGGCAAAATGGTGGGAAACAATTAATATTCATCTTGAAGCAACAAGTATATTGAAAGGGTATCATTTAGTCTAAGTTCCCCTTCTTGCCCGAAACGCCGAATCCTGCAACTCAAAATAGGATTTTACACATCAGCTATTCCAGTCTCTGCTTGTTTTTTCCGCATGGCAGCTTTTAACCTTTTCTCCTGGCGTTTACTTATCGGTTGACCTTCGCCATCACCTCCAGCACCAGGCGTTTCAGCGTCATCACCATTCTTTCTTTTCTTATTGCTTTCTTGATTCTGATTCTTCTTTCCCTTTTTGCCCTGAGGATTCCCAGCAGCAGTTTCAGTCTTATCATTGTCAGCCTCAGCCATCTCGAAATCGGCCTGTACAGGATCCGCGGAATTAATAATGTCAATGACTCCTCGGAAGCCGCTGCGCTTGAGGCCTTCGTTAACGACAACGCTTCGCGGCAGCACACTTAGACCCTCTTTGGCGCGGTCCGTCGGTAATCCCCACACGTGAAGCAGGTTCATAACGTCGGCGGGCCCACGCAAGCCCAGCACGGACTGTGCCTCGCTACTTATGACGATCCCACGACCCCGAGTTGCGCGGATTAGCGATGTTACGTTGCCAATGAAAGCTGCACGAGCACGGGCGTCAGCAGCCCCGGTGTAGCCGCTGTTCCAGTCCTTGTTTCCCTTAGGTCCGAGAACATGTGCGGGAACGGGCCCTTGGAGGACCTGTGAATAGCACACTTCAAAGCGGATCCCGCGACTCACGGCGAACATGCACGGTTTCGGACGGAACGTAAAGGGCTGTCGGACCGTCATGTCCAGCGATATTATAGATATATCATTCAGGCTCTGGCAGGCGGCCGAGAAGGCATCATCGGTCTGTGGGCGGACAGCGAGGATGTCGTATGCGGAGGCGAGCTGTGGTAGACGGTGGTGTTGCGCCGGCTCCGTCAAGACGACGGTTGCACGGCGGAGAACGGTGGGGAGTTTAGGTTTGGAAGTAGATGAGGAGGCGGGCAACTCAAAGCTCGGGAGCGTGTTCTTCGTTATGTTGGCGGGTATTTGTCCCCCGATCGTGTGATTGACTGCTACAACATCGTAGCCCAGCGACGCGCTGAAACACAGCGTGCGCTCAAGGTCGGCGGGCTTCGTGTGGGGTGTCCACGCGATATTGAGATCGTAGAGCATTTTTTTTAATATGAGAAGGGCAGGCACAAGGCCCGTAGGCGCCTAAGATGTGAGCGTCGATTCAAATGGTCTTTCTGTCGGCGATGCGCTGGAGGGGTGGATGATGGTAGAGCTCAAAAGTCTGGATTATCGTGATAAGAGTTATTTCCATGTCTCAACAGCATAAATTTCTTATCGGACCTGGAAGCTCTAGTGGGGTCGGTAGAGTGCTTGCAGCTTCAGCGGCCTCTACTACGTACAGTACTTACAATATCGAAACTCTAATTAACCTTGTCGGGCAATATCTGTCTGTATGCTTAAGTAATCCTAAACTTCAAGTCGGAATGCATCAACATGGCAGAAACGACAGACGGAGAATCATTCTGTAACGCCAACTCGCTGCGTACATGGTCCCATCCATCGCTTGTCGTGGACGCAGCCAAAAGAGCAGAGAAAGAGCAGAGAAATTAGACAAGATGGCCCAGCTACTCTCATACCTACTGTACATTGGACATAATGCCTGCCTAGAGTGGTACCAAGTCCACTAAGGACATTGAGCAGAGGTGCCGGCGGCCGACTCCGCAATCTCCAGCTCCAGGCATTGGACAGTCCTGTCATTCCGCTGTTCTTGGCTGCGACGCCCAGAGCAGAGCCAGAGCTAGCTCATGGCGTGGCGCAGTCTCCGTGACGCATGTTTGGTGTGCTGTCAGTCAAGAGTAAAGAGTCCATTTGCGCCGTCGTCACCCGAACCAACCGCCTCACCTCACAAGTCTCGAAATCATCATCTACCACATTACAATCCATCTCTACCTACCTGGACTTCTAATACCAATACCCACGACTCCTACGGGCGCGATAACACATCAACGCAACGGAGCGCTGATTCTCAGCTTCGACCCTATCGCGTCCAGCGCCTTCTTCATCAATCATTCATTCCACACCTAGCGTCGCTTCAGCCGCACTCACTAAACCATGTGTTTAATCTTCACCTGTGGTGAGCACACCTTCCGCAAGGAAGTCGAGGGATACGAGGGCCTCACCTGTCAGTGCCACAACTGTGGTAACTACTCCGCCCATGTCATCAAGAGCAACCCGTGGTTTACCTTCTGCTTTGTCGTAAGTGCTCTCTCTTTCGTAGTAACTAGTAGCTTGACTTTACACCCAGCGCCATCATATGTATACAAATATAACGTTTTCGTGTGCATATGCTAATGTTCTGATCCCATAGCCTGTCATACCACTTTCCTTCAAAGGCTACCACGATGTCACCTGCCACGTCTGCAACTTTGCCCAGCCGCTCGAGAACAGACCCGATGTGATGAACATGAAAGGCGGAGGAAACAATATACCGATGCAACATCAAGGACCTCACCAAGGCTGGGGCGGCCCACCACCTCACGGTCAGCCACCTATGCAATACAAGTAAAACGGTTACGAAGATCAGAAAGAATGATATTGAGGAAAGACGCAGCATCTGGAGAGGGCAACTTGAAATGCGGATGCGGGTGATACATGACGGCGATTCTCGAGAGACACTAAGTCCATTAGTTCGTTTATAACCACGCGGGAAATGGTACATCGGCACGAAGAGCTCAGGTGTTAGCTCTTGCCACGGCGTTAAGGGAGGCGATCGGCATTTTCTGATTTGATAACGAATACTGCTAGGACAGCAGGACGACACTGCCTTCTGACTTGGCCTTTACCTACATTATCAGATACCTGAAACATAATTCACTTTGTTAGTATCAATAACATACTTATACTTATCTATATTGACTCTTAAATCAAAGCATATCTGTGACACCACGATATAACTTCCTGGTGGATGGGATTAGTTGAGTTATCCATCTGCAAAGGCGAAAGGTAAATCCTAGAATCGCCAAATGCTAAATTTGACATACAAGAGATGCGTGCATACCTTGAAACTTTCGTCTCAAATCTCTCCCAAAAACCTTTCCGCATTATATGATAAAGTAGGCCTCATTTCGATACTATGAAAATAAACGTCGTTACTATTTACACGGAAGGCGCGATATGGCCTGAAGTTGAAGACATTGCTTCATCACAGCGAACTAAAACATAAGGGTGAGATGGCCGAGTGGTTATGGCGCTGCGTTCAGGACTAAACTTGAATTTCAATTCAAGATCTCGAGCAATCGAGATTTAGAAATTTCGCAGTGGAGCAATCCGCGTGGGTTCGAGTCCCACTCTCATCATCAATTTACTTTTGGTATCTAATACTACGGGAATCTCTCTTTATTTTTGGCCATACCTTCCGTCTAGTTGCTTGTAGATGTTGATGTTGTTTGTCGTGAAAGAAACATGCATTGTTTGAATCTGCGATCTCTTGTTGGTTTGTGAAGTGGGCAAGAAGTTTGCCAAAGTTGGATTCTTCTATGACAATATCCATATCTGAATTCAAGCAAGCCGTGCCTTGTTCTATAAGTATTGAGGGCATGAAGTGACGCTTGTCGCTCCAAGTGCCTCATGTGTGCATCTTGTAACACAGGTGGAACAAGCCTTTCTCAAGCTCTCTATTTCTCTAGACATTCACCATGGCGCCTAAAAGACCACACAGTCAAGAATTTGTACCCAACCCCTTCATCAAGAAGAAGAACCTAGAATGGAGTATTGATATCACCGGCTTGCCGCACGATGCAGCTAGCTCAAGCGGCTCCGACGAGGACAGAGATGTCTCGCCACATCAAGATGAGGAGGAGCAGCCGACCACTTCCGCCATTGAAGCTGGACAAGCCAGCATAGAGGATCACCTCAACTACTTCAGTACGCTTTTAGCTAAAACTACGCTGTCGCCGTTCCCTTCAGGCAGTCCCCATCTTTCTGTCGAGGGCTATCGGAAGTTGTACGAAGCCAATGCCGGAAGTTCTCGCGGAGCACACTTTATCATCCATCAACATGATCATCCGGTCGCAGGTACGCATTACGATCTAAGGCTACAAATCAATGAAACGAGCAGTGCATCATGGGCAATCATGTACGGACTTCCGGGAGACCCAAACAGTTTCCGGTTGAACCGAAACGCAACGGAGACGCGGATACACTGTTTATGGGCAAGTGTTTCCTTTGCATCGCATTATCGATTAACAGACTAACAAGCACCAGAATCATCTCATCGAAACTGCCTCTCATGCCACTGGCTCTCTTCTCATCTGGGACACAGGGACCTACACCATCTTGCCAACGGAGCGCAAGAGTGAGCGGGATGACTCGCAGTCCTCATCAGATGAAGACAGCAGCTCGCCACAAATGACAGAGCAGCAGAAGTTACATGAGGCGTTCGCAGCGCGGAAGATCCGATTACAGCTCCATGGCTCGCGTCTACCAGAGCCATACGCGCTATACCTACGTCTGACGCATGAAGAAGACATCGCAGGCCGGAAACGCAGCACACGCGTTCCCAAAACTCGAAGACGCCGCGGTACACCTTCCACCCTAACAGGTAGAACCACGAGGTCCAGCGCCAAGGGCAAGGACGCACGCGACACGAGTTCCGACTCAGAGCCAGAAGATCCCGCTACATCCTCGCGCAGAACCAACGGGAAGCAACCCCAGACCGCTAGCGACGAAGACGAAGACGACGCGGAACTCGTGCGTGCGCCTGCCGAGGAGGGTGGGAAGGATATCTCCCCCACGGAACGCGAACTGCGCGAACTCGAGGACGAAGAAGTCCGCAGGACCAACGCGTACACTGGGGCAACGAACTCGATACGCAGCGTGCATCAACGGCAGTGGTATCTATCCCTGGATCGCGAGAGCAGCGGGTTTGTGAAGAGAAGGCGGGAAGGGGGGATAGTTTGGGAAAGAGGGGACGACGGAGTGAAGATGGATGAATGTGAGACTGTTGCTTCGAGACTGACTTATCCCTTTTACGTCCGTGGTGTTGAGCATGAGAGGAGTGTGGTTACGGGACGGCTGGGCAGCGAGGTGCTGAGGGACGAGGGGGTGACGGGGTATATTGGCCGGAAGGGGTGGCAGGCCATTCTGAAGTGAAATCCCGTTCGGACCGCGCCCTATTGCGGATTACTTCTCAGCCCCTTTATCGTGGAGCGTCACAATAGGTTTAGTACTTGTGATGTTAAGCTCACTTCTGCCTAAGCACTATAGTCCAGCGCCCATTCAGCAAATTAACATGCGTTTAGAGTGATAGTAACAAGTGTATTAACAATTGTAATAGTGTTTGCAATAATGGCCGTGATAACAACAATAATAACGAGTACAGCAATGGTAATAGCAACTGTAGTAATGACTGCACTAACAGTTGAGATTGTGATATACAGCTTATTCCATAGCTGGTGATGACGACCGCGTATTCGATTCCGATCCATGCACAGAACCACCACTGGCCAGTACGGAGGTTGTGATCCAGGCAGAATCTATAGGTGTCATAGCAGTTCTCTTGACATGAGCTCGGAGTCGCTCCACGTCAATAATGACTTTATCCTCTTGGTTCCAAATGAGTAGTCTAGGACTAGGATTCTTTATATACGGTAGCATGTTCTTGCCCTCCGATCGATCCTTCTGCCGTGTCTCTTCAGCAATCCTTAACTGATTCGCTAGGGACGGCCCGTCGATGTAGGTGCCACCGCTTCTGTCCATGAAAACTTCATCCAACGCAGGGTTCCATTGACCCAGACATCTCATGGCCGCGTAACTCAGCCCGCAAAACGTCGGTCCGTGGCCTGTGGTTCCCTGGCTCAAAGCGTTATGGTCGTTTCGGAGACATTTTGGGCAGCAACAGGTAAAGGCCATCAGGAACGTATGGGTCATCTCATGGAGCAAAGTGTCCACAAGCTCTGCAAGGGTGGCTAATCGTGAGCCTCTCTTTCTGTGTATGGATATGTCGAACTTAGGTATGATTTTTGTTGCCAGTTCTTCACATAAACCAAGCTTAAGATCCCAAGGCGGGAACACTGTCAGAACTAGCCAATGGACCAAGTGTGTGACAGATCCAAAGAAGAAGAATGTATCGAGTAGCTCCATCAATTTGTTCATTACATTGTATAGATCTGTTGCATGGAGGTTCTTTGTTTGTCTCTTTGCGTGGCGCTCGAAAACGGCAATGAACTCGCGCTTTGCACGTAGCTGCTGGGGTGTAAGTTGACCATCGCTGATTTCGTAGAAGCTTGCGACGGTACAGTTCATGAGATCTCGGGCTCTGTATGCATAGTAACACAGCACTGGGCGAACATCGGTGCTCTTCTTGTATGCGAAAGGTCTGGAGTGGAGGACCTTCAAACTTTCTCCAGGCTTGCTAAGCATGGTGTGATTAGCAGTGAATATGATATCAGTCTGTGAATCGATATAGGATGTGATAATGGATACTAATGTGTAGTTATACTTGCTACATTCGTAACAACCACCAGGCTGGAGGTGAAGACAGAACTAATATAGGACCATTGTATGTGATAGCTTTGGGGCTTGTTGGAAAGGGGGTGGAATCACCAAGATGGATCGAGACCAGTCTGGTATGGGAAAATGACAGTTCTGGGATTATGGTCTGCCCTGGGGTGATTTGCCTTGTTCTGCCCAGGTGGTTGAATACCTATGCTACAACCAGCAACTGCGACCGGCAACTACAAACAATGCAGAGCACATTCCTTGAATTTCTTTAGGGCTTCATGGCGGGTGACTTGGGGGCACGGGCCTCTTTAGGTCGATATATGTGATGCATTTCTCTGGTTGATATTCTCCTAAGTACAATATGTTGAAAACCAAGTACTGATAAGCCTCCCTAGAAAGATGATATATGGCTAGCTGGTTATCATGATTAGAAAGGAGCAACATCTTTTGAGCCCTGCAGGTTATTGACCTTGAACTATTACGAGGAGCATCTGAGAAGTGGAATGTAGATCATCAGGGCTCTGGCATATTGCCTCCAACTTTCAGGGGAAGGTCAGACAGAAGTCCATTGAATCCTCAAGCCAATGATATCCATAATAGAGCATACAGATCAATGTACTTGATAAATAGGTTGTACAAACATGTGAATGGAGTGTACAGCTCTATGGAATAGCGTGTTTAGTACTCAATGGCCATTGTCCATTTAGTTCAGAGAGCCTCCAGGGGACCTAGAAGCATTCACCTTCAATAACAAAATAGAACTCCATTGGTGATGATGCAAAGAAGCTATAAAAAGTATTACTCACAAGCTGCGCTGTAGCCTAGCACGGTATATTTTGTTCAACTTGGATCCCTATTTGAGCATATCTCTCACGTCCCTTTACCGATTCTTTTGTTTATCTGGATTTTCCAATCTTGCCAAGCACAGCACAAGTCGTTCCTGCCAGGTCCACGCATCAACTTCTATATCCTTCAGCCTTGCATATACCTTGGCCCCCTGCAAGAAGCAGGCTTGTAAAAGGTTCTATTCACAACCTTTTCCCAAACTCGCCATATAATATTATGGTTGCCCAATATTCAACCAGTGTTGCACTATACTTCTAGGCCAGTATGCCTTGTCAATGCACTGCCACTACGCTGGAACCAAAGTTGTTGATCACGGACGCCAGACAGGAAGCAAGGGAAGAAGAAAACCAGAACGCAAGCACAGACACATCTACGAACAGGAGCGATGCCGCAGGCACAAAGTCAGCTCAGGCAATAAAGAAGCAGATCAGATCATGGCCTGTTATTCTGTCATTGGAGCAAGGTGCGCTGAGATTGTCTACAGGTGTGATTTTGTGGCTCAGAAAGAAACCAAAGCGCGCTCGCATAGGAACGCATCCAGCCTGGCCAGGATACACAGGAGTCGGCACTAAGCTCAAAGTCGAACTCGAATTCAAAGCATACACATCCCAATGTCTAGTCAATAACACGGTTCTGAGCAGCTATCCAATGCGAGGCCACCGAAACCTAACCCCCAAACAACTTGCGGCACGCGACAAGATAATATCAATGTGGAACATTGTCAAGGATAGAGAAGAGCAACTCAATACCCTCGAGCTGAACAAGTTCACGCGCCTGTTCGACGAATTCTTCTTCTTCGGCATCATGACCAAGAATAGCATGCTTCCTCGTCTCAAGTCAAAAATGTGGGAGATGACGCCGAGGAATCTAGCCAAGCATGGCGAAAAATACAAGAAGGGCGAAGATACTAGGATAGTATGGGGCGTAACATGTGAAGAATACCTCCGTGGGCTAGGTCCCTTCGCGAAGATAAAGATCACCGGCGCAAGTTTCTACGAGAAAGATAGGACAGTAGTGAATGCGCATTTCTTCCTCGAGACGCTCATCCACGAGATGGTGCACGCTTACGTCGAAATGTACCTATGCAACTGCATAATGTGCTTCAAGGACTTGCCCAACAATGCCGGCGTGACGGGCCATGGGAGAACATTCGTGCTCCTGCTCGCATGCATCGACAGCACACTAAGATCCTGGGGCGTGGGACTCTCAGGTCTCACCCTGCCTGTGCATGATCCTAGGCGTCCTGGTACAACACCACCGCATTGTCTGAACGAAATCAGGAGTCTGTATGAAAGAGAACAGGCGCATTGCAAGATGATCAGAGATCTAGCAGCTGAGAAAGGGAAAGATGAAGCAAAAAAACAGGCGAATGACAAGGCGGACGATACTAGTATTACCCCTGCGCCTCCGTCTTCGCCTCCTCCTGCCCCTGAATCAACTAAGGATGGAGCACCGCCAGAACGATCAGAGTCCATGCTCATGGAGAACCTAAGTCATTTGGTGATAAAAAACTTCCAATTCAACGACCTACGAGAGTTCACCGAGAGAGTCCCCGGCGAGAATGTGTGCATCACGAGCATTAAGGATGTGTCAAAAGGGGTTACTCGAGTCAACCCAAAGAAGTTGGAGGAGACGGGGGATCTCGTGCAGGCGTTGATTGCACAACAGACCACGCTGGATAACGTGAAAGCCTGGACGAAGCGTAATCTCGACTGGGAGAAACTAAAAGACAAGGCGAGCGATTTCCACTTGCTAAGAAAGAGGGAAGAGGAGAGCGAGGCGAAGTCGGCGGATGCTGATAACGCAGGTGAAGCCAACAAGACAGCTGAAGCCAACAACCCAGACAAAGTCAAAAAGCGACGGAAGACGAGACCGCGACCGCGAACACTACCGAAACACGAAGAATCGTTCGCAATTCGCACACCCCGTCCACCCCGTCCACCCCCTATCACCCCCTTACCGACCTTGGAGGAAGAAGAGCCCATTTAACATCCCTTTGCACAGCGGGAAGGGATATATTGATTTCTAGATACCCACATACCCACATACCTCGGCTAGGATCTTTTCAGGGAATATGGGTTGCGCAGGATTTCAAAGGACGAACAAAGGATTGATGTTTCGTCCGAGAGCTTCAGGATGCCAGGATATCACGAATGAAGAGGGCGAAATAATGGATAACCTCACTTCCGGTGGTATTTATAGCTTATGCCCCATCGGAAATCAACGCGTAGATTAGAGCAAATAAATCAATCTCCCTTATGAAGCACGTCTTATTGCCATTGCCGTAGACTGTGCGGAACTCTTGCGTCGACGGCAAGTAGTTCTCTATACTACGTAGCAAGTCCCCTTTCATCAATGATAATCCCCGTTTCTATCATATCATAGAAGCGCTGCCTGTATACCCATTATACTTCCTGATTCGTCGTCCCATCAGCTACGACATTACAACGATGCCTGGCTCTCTAAGTATCAGGCTTGAACACGCCATCCTTGCATAACAGCACGACTTTCTTGAAGAACCGTCTCCACTCTAGGGGGTCTCCCTTAAGTTTGACGAAGCGAACCTCAAGGAGCTCCTGTGATTCGGGAAGATAGTATTTATCAAGTAGAATCTCTCCATGTAATCCTTGCTTGCGGTCGTCGATAGTCCTGACCCTGAACGTGGCCACATGGTCTCCCTGGCCGATGGGAGGAAGTGCTGATGGTAACGGGACGTTTAGGTTATGCAGAGCGTCGCTCAACATCTGCACGAGTAGCTGCGGAGGCATGTGTGAGAAGAAGCGTGTGAAAGAATGCGCTGGTACGATATCTCTGAATTTCCTTGCACGTTGTGTCAATGTCATGGGAACCGAGGGAGTTTGCGAAAACTGGCTCATTGACGGCTCTTCGGCAAGAGCGTCGAAGAAAGTAGATGACTGTGTGGCATGGGGTGGAAGGGATGCGTCAGCCCTCGATATAGGTTGTGTTGAGGAGATGGCGTTCATTCCGACAGGGCGCGCTGGCCTTTCCCAGTCAAAGAGGACGTCGTTAATAGGGGTTTCCGGTTGGCTCAAGGCCATCCGAGCGTGATTAGACTGGCCTTCATCGATATCCATCGCATCTTGAGATGGTTGCGATGGTCGTTGGGAAGCGGGAGGTTTTTGGCTGAAGTCGATATGGAGATTTTCAAGCATCTTGGTTGCTACATGTATTGGATCGGATATCTGGCCATTGGCCGAAAGGAGCTTGTTATTTCGGGTATACCAAGGATGCTGCCGAATCTGGGCAAAAGAGAATCGTTTTCTAGGGTCAATACTCATCATACCCCTAAGTAATGAGAGTGCATCGGGAGGAATCCTTTGCCAGAGGCTGTCGGAACTGCGGCCGTTCGTCTTCCTGTATTCTTGAAACTCCCAACTTTGTGCCGTTGGTTCTTCCCATGGTGTGTTGCCAACGAGTAACACAAACAGTATAACACCGCACGACCATATGTCTACCAGCTCAGGGGCATATTTGACTACTTCACTCGATCTCCTGGCACAGGCGAGAACTTCGGGGGCAATATAAGGAGGACTGCCGCACATGGTACCACTCAACTTCTTCTGGCCCTTGTACTCAAACATGGTCGCTAGACCAAAATCTGCCAACTTCAGATTGCCGCTTTCCGACATGAGAACATTTTCTGGCTTTAGGTCGCGATGTGCTACGCCCTTGGAGTGCATGAAGCTCACGCCACTGACGAGTTGAATGAAGTAGAGATGTGCAATATCTTCGGTGACGCCTACATCGGCTTCAATCTTGTCGAACAGATCGCCTCCTTCGGCATATTCCATGGCTATCCACCGCCAGACATGGTCCTCGCCCGTGGCGAACCATTCGATGACGTTGGGATGTTGACCTATATGAGAATGCAGCGATACCTCCATGGCAATCTGCTTGGCGGAGATGCGGCCATTTTTGAGTGCATAGCCCTTATGTATCAACTTGACAGCAAACACGGGGGTATCTGAATCTAGAGGGATGGCTTTCTTGACACTGAGAAGCGGTCAGCAAGCAGCTCACCGAGGGTTGAGTAAAGGATGGCTAAGCGTTCTTACGATGCATATGCGCCTCTTCCTATTGTTCTTGATATAATTCTGAATGGTAGATCGCTCGGCAGAGGATCTAGCTGAGACTGTTCCATGATTTGTTCAGCACAAGGTTGTTAATTCGATAAGACTAGTATCTATTTCACTTTGTTTCACATTCAAGGTTCCTTCTTGACTTTTTCCTTTCCCAAAAATCCAACCGAAATTCATTTAAAAACAACACCTTGATATACCTAGAGAGTAATGGACCCTGCCCGGAAAAAGAAACGAACTGCAGCTGTACATATCTGATATCTGGAGATGGGCTGTACTTACCATAGTGCTTAGATAGGTAGGTACCGGTATGTATGTTAGACGCGTTTGGACGCGCCTGGACGCCACTTAAAAGCTGGGACCTGGGTAAGTAGGGTATGATTGAGGCCAGGAACAAGGCCAGGACCAAGACCGGGTGTTGTTTTGTTTGAGGATGCGGTTATCTGATCAGATTTCGTTGGTCCTGAAGCCCCTGCGCTGATCAAGTAAAGCAAGTACCTGCTTGTGTTCTTGGTTGGTCACTGAGGGCGCTTCATGGGCAACTGCCTTTGGTCGACCTCTAAATAGTACCTGCCGTACCTACAGTAGGATCACAGATGTTGCTGCACAGGCTCGACGGGATAGCTGTGATTGATTGGTCGGATGTACCTCAAAAGACCGCCGCCACTGCAATGCTTGTACCTCTGTAGTACTCGATCCGGAATTTTGGCTGTGGTGCAGAGGTGCTGTATCATAGAGCTACAGAAAATGTACCTGAATAGCAGGCCCGGATGGGCTAGAGAGGTACACTGACAGAGGACTGGCAGTGGACTGGCAGTGGTAGCGTGCCTGTAGATTTGGCGCCGATCGTATCGCTAAGACGCACCTCGGCGCACCTACCTAGTGTGCTTCGTAGTGGGCGGTTGCTAAGGGCCTGCGGGGGCGGGCAACCAAAAAAAGTCCACGGCAAGGCAAGGGGTCTGCTACCAAAATAATAATAGAAGTTGTTGCTGAGCTAGCTACCGTATCTCTCGTTGTTTACACTTGTTGAAGCTGCGTTTGCCTACCTCAGACCATTTATCGTGCTCCCTTACCTTCCTAGCGACTCCCTCATATTATCATCAGTTCCTTATTCCTAAGATTTTCATGCTATTTCATCTCCCCCGGGCAATAGTTCGTGCTCTATAGTCTCAGGTTCGTATACCCTAACTAATGCTACAACCATCCGTCCATTTCCTTTAAAGTACAAATAGACGTCTCTATGCTGGATTTCGATTAATGTTCTAGCTGCTGGTCAGTAGAGGAGCTGTATCTGTCAATGGTGATACATGTTATATCGATCGGCTGTGCCATTGTTCCAAGAGCACACGAATCGTCCGTACTAACCGCTGTCGCATTCCAGGCCGGCTTTCTTCCTCTTTCAGCTTCTATCTACATTCCCATCCCGGCGACTCAGCCAAAGCCTTTGTTCCCGCTTCTATAGCCATACTTTGGGAATAACTATCTACGCTCGAAATCCCAGTTCAGTGATTGACGACTACGGAAAAAAACAAAAACAATAACAAAATGGACTACACCATGGAGGATTCCCAGAACTCAGCCCCTGGGAGCGTCCCGGCTGCCAAACTCGGCGGTACTCGAAAGGGTCCCGATGCACAGAGTGTTACCAAGAGGTACGAGTAATCCCGCCCATCGTTATCCCGTCGCATGCCTTTTGACACGTGCCCCTCTGCAGACTACAAACAGAGCTCATGCAGCTGATGACCTCGCCTGCTCCCGGTGTCTCGGCTTTTCCTTCGGCGGATGGGAACTTGATGTCATGGTCTGCCACCATCGAGGGGCCTGACGACACTCCCTACTCCGGCCTCACCTTCAAGCTGTCTTTCGCATTCCCCTCAAACTACCCTTATGCGCCACCGACTGTGCTGTTTAAGACACCCATTTACCACCCGAATGTTGACTTTTCGGGTCGTATCTGCCTCGATATCCTGAAGGATAAGTGGACGGCTGCCTACAATGTTCAGACCGTGCTATTGAGTCTGCAGAGTCTTCTTGGGGAGCCCAACAAGTAAGTTTCTTGATTGGGCGATTGCGCTTTCCTTTCTTTCCATACCGGTTCCAGGCTGTCCGAGACTAATCATTGGCTCCTAGTTCGTCACCCTTGAATGGTGAGGCTGCTGAGTTATGGGATAAGGATTTCGAGGAGTTCAAGCGCAAGGTTACGGCCCGTCATCGCGACATTGACGACGACTAAATCTTTACAACCTAAAAAATTGTATTATAGACCGGCCATTGGGTCTCGAGCGCCGTCTGTTTCTATTGGAATTATGAGGGCTATCCACTAGCATCGGAGAACAGGAGTCGATTTGATAACCCCGTGCCCTTGTGGTGGGCAATCGTCCTGCCTCGGGGTTCTTGATTTGGTATTGATTATTGAGTTTTGCATTTGCGGCTGGGCTTGGTACGGTTGACATGGATAGTCGTTAGCATTCGTTAGCATACTGGCACGAGATGAGAGACAGCAAGTCTACTTGTCAATCACATCACCATGACCTTTAAAGTTCTCGATTATCTTGTCGTGCGTCAAATGTCGTGCGTCAAATGTGATTTGCAGGTGATAACTACAAGAAACTCTCAGGCCTATTTTGGTCGAGCGATGTGAGATGTAAGGTTCCACTAGACACGGACACCTCAGCAACCCATATGTGTTAACATTACTGCACGGGACCAGCATGACCTAGGCAAAGTAGCTGCTGGCCACCTCCCACTCATCACAGGGCGATTGTCTTTGTCGAGCTCGTAGGTGCTCACATGTCTTGATTCGTCGACTAGCGAGACTAAATTCCATGAAGCCAGGAGAAACTCCGAAACCATGCCCTACATAAAGCGTGCCCATCCAGGTATCTTCTTCATCCGTCTTCCTGTATTGAGAAGAAAAGACCCTTGTTTTTTGCTCTGCTTTGCGCCGTTTCGTTTTGATTCGCTTATTCCTCAACAACAACCGTCACGAGACCCTTGGGGTTCTTAACGTTGACGGCCTGGACGTAGCTGTAGAGCTTCTCCTTGGCATCCTCCTCGTCGTTTCGCCGACGGCTGATGCGGATGCGTAGTCTGTATGGGACACCCTTAATACCCTGCTCCCAGACCTTCTTATTCAACTGGGGGTCGAGGCGGACGTCGGAGGTACCCTAAAAGTTGATGTTAGTTCTAGTTTCGTCATTCAGTAGAGAATGCCGTCGAGCTGGTCGATCGAAATTGTATTCAAAGATTGGAACGCGCGGGGTAAGAAGATTGTCGTACCATAGCCTTCTCGGCGAAAGCCTTGATCTCCTTGATGGCACGAGGGGCCCGCTTCTTGAAAGTCACACCATGCAGCTTTTCCAACCGTCAGCATTTCTCCCTCATCTCATAGTAAATATGGCGGCTATTGTCGTGCGATTGCCAGGCGTATGGACATACTCTCTTGTGCATGTGGATGGTGTACTCGCGAGCAACGACCTGCTCGATGGCGGACTTGGCGGGCTTCTTTCCCTTGGACGACATTTTCTGTAATTTCGAAAATCAGTAGGGCGGTTCAATTGGCGAGGTCTCGTTCGATGTGAGTTGGGCGGCGTGCTTACTGCTGTTGGTGTCTGGGGTTAGTTGTCGAGAAAGGTCGGGCGTTAGGTTGGTTGTTGATTGTCTTGCGAAATCGAGAAAAAACCCAAGACCAAGTGTGGGAAGCTGAGGGCATGGAGAAATCTCGGTAAACGAGCCAATCAGTGGTAGGGTAGAGGAGAGATGGTCTGTGCTTTTTGCAGAGAAATTGATCGTGCAGAATCGTGTGTGGCTTAGGTGGGGCTGCCACCTCTATCACATCGTTATCTATGTGTGGCTTGCTTCCCCTCTGCCCAGCCATAAAAGGCGCAAGACCCGCCAAGCAGAGATCAGATGCACGGATGTACCCAAGTACATCGTGAAATGACGCCAGCCTTTTATTTAGCTACACAGTCCCTAGGTAGGGCTGCTAGGCATCATCTGTAGTTATGTACCTACCTAACCTTAGGTACATGCTGTACATGCTGTACATGCACTGCGTAAAGCACCTAATGCAATGCTAGGATGACTCGCTACGAGGACTGACAAACGCCATCAGTTCTTTGAATATATGTAAGCTTATCGGGATTGTAGACTTCAATGATGAAATGGTTTCTAGACATATATATAGTACCTAGAGTATTGCTTCAATCGATGGATAATTTAATCCGTGTCACTTGCCCTTACAATGGCGTCGAGCTGTAGCCGTGGCTTGCGTGTTGCAGTGCGACGAATACGGGTCTGTGATTGGACAGCATGTCGTATTGCTCAATGGTCGTAATTTCAGGGGGACCCGAGCGCAGACACCAGCATCGAAACAGTAGGTCCCGTCCACCATGGAGCCTCGATGATTTCGTGACTTCATGCCTCGACAATCAATCACGATCCCCAACCCAGCCCACTCGGTGTGGTATGCTGTTTCCCTCGTTTAATCGTTCTCTCCATTGCGCCTTGAATAGACGCTTTTCTTTCCAATCTAGCAAACAACGTCAATTGCTCCAGACTGGGTGCAAGCAACTTTAACCTATAAAACACGCCTCGATCGATCTGTCCGACAACTACCAACCTCTCGATTCCCTCATTTGACGCCCCATCCATCCCGCCGCGAGAGCGGCAACCACGGTCGCCTAGGCGTTGATACTATTGCATTTATATAACAACTCAATCTTCTAATTTCTAATATCGCGTTCGATTCGACAAGATGGCGTTTCAAGGTCGTAGTCCGTTGGATGAAAATAACTCGGCACCTTCGCCAATGCCAGATCTACACCGGAATCGGTTACCTACTCTTTTCGAGGTCTTGAGCCGAAGGACCCATCCTCCTGTTGACCTCTTCTCCTTCTACATATATATGCGCGACCAGCAGCGATCGGTCGACTACTTGGACTTCTGGTAGGCCGAGAAGGAAATTTCTCATAAAAATCTTTTTGGGGTGCTAACACAGTATTAGGCTGGATGTTGCGCAACATATGTCATTATGCCGCCACTATGTTCGAGAGTTACGAAGATCAGTATTGGTCAGGACCCCAGATTTAGAAAAGGAGGAATCAAAAAGATCCTCGAGGGCCTTGGAGGCGATTGGCGATATCAGCGCCGGTCCTTCTATGGGAACAGAGAAAGAACGGGAGCAAAATGCGCAGATGTCGGCGTACCTACGAGATCAGCCTGCACCCAGCGCAAGCGTAATGGTCGATTCACCACAGGGCAGCCAAGAACGACGGGCAAGAGCTAGCACACAGCTGAGCTCTCCAGGCATCACCTCGGATTCCAACTCTCCAGCACACGCTGTCTCTCGGGAGGATATCAGGGCATCGGCCGAATCCATACTATACACCTTCCTGCTTCCAGGTGCCGAACGCGAAATAACGCTTCCTGGCTCCATCACGTCGGATATCACTACTGCCATCGAGCAAGATGGTCGCGATGATCCAGAAGTATTTGACGTGGCCAAAGATTACGTTTTCCAGGCCATGGAGCGAGACGCATTCCCCGGTTTCTTGAGAGCTCGTGCTTTCGGCAATTTGATTCCGCCTACCATCCTCGCAAGGTTGATTATTGGACTCATTGCTATGTTCGGCGGGTTCTGGACTGCTTTCATCCTCATCTTCCTCAACGCCTCACGTGCCACTCGATGCTGGGTACACTCCCCCCTCCTACGTTCTGCGCATTCGTTCACGGCTTTGCTGACGATTTAAAATAGGAAATTCTCCCCTTCACGATAGGTGTATACTTCCTGTGCTCCTATCAGTACTCGTTAGATCCGATCATGGCTCTCATCGGCTTGACCGAATACACGCCGTTCTCCTTCGTCCGAATCCGAGAGCCGTACGTGCGCAAATTGCTGATAAAGCGCTCCATCACCGTACTGGCTGTCACTATCCTGGTCGACGCGGCTGTTTCGGTGCTGTTCATCCTGGTCCCAGGAAAACGACTTTGAGGTGATCGGTTCAACGACCGCGTCCCTTCTCTAACGACCCTCACGACTGGCTCGTTCTACTTTTGCGTTGTCTTTTTTTTTTTTTTTTATTCTTTCGCATGTTCGGCCTAAATACCTCAACCATGTATTCTAAATATCGGAGTTGTTGCTGTTCGTTCAGTCCTTTCTGAAAAAAAGGGGGTTAATACCATCACGTATGTTGCGCGGACTATAGATTCTCATCCTGATGGAAAATTAGACCTGTGAAAGGGGCGGAAGCTGGGTGCTCGAGGTGTAAATTATCTGGATGGGGAAAATCCTTTTCACCTAGATATACAGATGTCCTTAGGTCGTCGTGAAAGAGACTCTCTTCCTGAAATCATGGTCTTATACTTGCTTGGTACTTCGCTCTATAATAATTCCCGCCGCAGCTCTGAAATAGTCTAAGTTTCATTGATGTTTTTGCATGGACTGTACGCAACCCTTATGAAGCGCGGGAAAAGAATAGGCGGATATGGCCGGTGTTTATAGTATTCACTTTATAGTGCATGATTTGGTCTGGACGTAATAGTGATTGATCATTGTGCTGTTTGTCTCTGACGCTAGATATCTGACTGTAACTCTACTTGACGGCCAGGTGTCCTGCCAATGTCATATCTTCATCGCTCATAGCTACTGTCTAAGAGTGTTTGTCCGGTATGCCATGGCACTATCCTCACCTCTCAAGGATATTCGAGCTTACCCGGGTCCGTCAACTGCCAGTGTGTTAGTCGGATACGTAGCTGTCTTCTTCGGCATCCATCCTGTATAACCGGAGATTACGGCCAATGTCTTTCTTCGCCCCCATCGCTTTGCACTATTCCACCACTGCATTATGGTTTTCTATAGCTTCCGGCGATTAGCTCGTTTCTTTCCTGGTCCGCCTAACGCGGCGCCAGCACTGCCTCCGCCCTCGCCGTCATCGGGCTCTTCCTCGTCGACCTCCATGGCCTCGTCGTCAATGGCGTTTGCTTCGAGACTTCCGCTACCTCGCTTGTTGAATCTCTGCCCTTGCATCCTCGTCAACGCCCGGTTGAGTATGGCTCCTTGGCGCTGCGTGTGAAGTCCCTGCTCGGCATTCTTCTCTTCCTCGATTAGTTTTGCTGTCTGCTCGATTAACGCCTTCTTGTCGGCGTGGCGCTTGGCTGCGGCTGCTTTCATGCTCGCGATCTGCACCTCCAGATCCTCTAGTGTTGAGGTGCAGCGTCCTGACCACTCACGGAGAGTGTTTAGCATTGATGGGATCGAGCCTGGTGCTAGATCCCGCAGGGGTGAGACCGAGGAGGTCCGTACGAGACCGTTGCGGGGATCGAGTTGGGCGTCTACTAATCCTGCGTATATGGCGCTGATAATAAGGTTCTCAACGGCCCGGGAGTCTGGGAGGGAGAGACTCTGTTGTAGTGCGGCATAGCTCAGATTGTGCGGGTCCTTCGCGAGCGTGAGGAGGGAGAGTTGCCGTAGCTTCAGGATCTGGGCATCATTGAGCAGCGGGAGGTTCGTTGTTGATGTGTAATCGGCATATGTGCCGTACGAGAAGATCTCAAGGAGCTTCAGGTGCGAGGCATAGTCTGGTGATTGTGCGAGAGCTTGTATTTGTGGCGTTTGCAGGAGCTCAGCGAAGACATATGTGTTGGAGTTGGATGTCGCTTGGGTTATGAGGTCAGCGGCTGCCCGTGGGCCAGTTGCCGACTTGCTCAAAGCGAGGAAAGGCTTCAGTAGATAGACATGTGGTCAGACTCGTAGTATATGACGGGCCAGAAAGCTGTTCTGCACTCACCTCTAGGGCGTTGAGAGCCTTGGTTTGCTCCATACTGATCAATAGATATTAGGTATGTGTTTTGCCTATTGTCCGTATTAGGCCGATCCCGGCTCGTATCAGCCTCCCCGAAAGCCGACTTTACGAGGCTAGCACCGCTGCTAAGCTTTAGATCGGCAGCCTCGTAGAATGCAACGGTAAGGAAACGAAACGGCGTTGATGATGTATGTGACCGGGGCTATTTCCTGGTTGGCTGTCGATATCCAGGGAGGGAAGCTGTTGCGAAGGCGGAATCCCAAACACTCGTGAGGGCTGGTTCGACTGGCAACAGACGCACCAAAAATCAGACAGTCAGTGCAGTTGAAACTGGGTAGGTCGGCTAAGTGGTCAAGCAAGAGGAGCTGGCGTTTGTAGATTCACGTTTTCTGGTCTCACAGTTGTTTGAGCTTCAGGTCAGACCCAGGTCTACCCAGCTATCTAGTCCGTAACGCGGGGTTGTAGTTTAGCGGGTCAGTGTGGGATGTACCCATCGGCCCTGTAGCTTCTGTAGCTTGCTGTATCCTTAGTGCACTACTGTGCGCTAGGTAATATTTTTTAGAGGTAATGAATCGCTGATCCTCTCGCGATATCTCGTGACAGACTCGTGAGGGTACGTAGCAGAAAAAACGCTGATATAAATAATGCATAATTCACAAGTGCGTGCATTTGAAGGCCCGTCCGTCATGGCTCACTAATAGGAACAATATGAAGTTCATAACAAGATAGTAGGTAGCTTGACTGTGAAGACATCTCTACAATAACGATTTCTCTTAATAGTATTGACTCACTATGTATACCTACCTAGGTACGGTAGGTAGAGGTAGGTACTGTATCATGTATACCTACCTACCTAGGTATGAACCAGCTTTGCAAAATCCATCAACACAATGTGCTACCGAGGACAATTTACAACATAGTTCAAAATGGGATGAGTTGAGCTCATGTCTATTCAAAGTATATCACGCTTTCGAAACCTTCAGCTTGAGTTACCTAGATACTTAGAACTTGTTTGTAGACAACTTAGTAAGCAAGCAGAAGAAGCTGTAAAGAAGGCGAAGGCGAATGCCGAAATGACACTCTAGCAAATAGATTGATTCACTTACCTACCAGGAGATACAAGCCTACCAGTGTTCCCATTTATCCACCCTTGTTTCACCCGACCATTTATCCAGAAAGCCTCAGGCGCCTCAGACACTTTCGCACATTGAGGCCAATCTGGTATTATCTATCCACCTAGCTCAAAGTAGCTAACGTTGCCGTCAGCGCTGACGACGAGTACGCCCTCGTGTCCACGAGACTGACGATACCAACATCCCAGCAAGAACAATCTATTGATACATGTTACCGCTTTCGGCAATATCGAATGTAGTGGTGCGTAAACGCTACTCGAGCTAGAACTTCTCTGGCGCCACGACCGGTGGAGAGGAGGGGTCCTGTACTGTAGATAATGCACAGAAGCATTCATGGCCCGTCTGTACAGAGTACCTAAGTAGGCAAATCACTTTGCCAAGGGGCGGAGGCGTTGCATAGTAGGAGTGTACGTGTACATCTTACACGATCGGACAATAGTATTCCACGACCAGGCCGATTAGGTGAGAATGGAGGTATCTTTGCAAGGCACATGCGAGTGATTACCAACCCACGGCGAGAAAAAGGAAGACAGGGGAGAACGCGGATATTGGTGACTCGTGAGCACCGAGCTACGAGCTACCCGCTCGGTCATATTGCAATACCTAAGTATGGTAGTAAGGGTACCGGTACATGCAAGGACTACAGGAATATCACAGGAGCCACCCCAACCACCCAACATGACTTGCGACTCGTATCCTGCGAGCGAGCCTGTAACGTCAAGTCCCTCATCTTGGCCCGGCCAGATCCCGCCGACTAATCCAAACCCGTCGACCGACAAACCCGAGCGCCTTAATCTGGCCGTACTATGTACATAAGTAGAAGACGGGACGCAAGACTCAAGACCCCTGTCGGTAGTAGAGGGTAGGTAGTCCCTGTGGATGCGCCGTAGTAAAGTACGTACTTGACAGCATCTGATCATTCGACTTGAGTCTTGTTTTGCGCGCGCCCGCTCTCGCTTTCCGTTTCGCCAATCTCTTAATCTACCTACCACCCTCGCCCTTCGCCTCCGCACAAGAGCTGGCTTCCTTCTTTGGCACTCCTCCCGTTTCACGATAGATTCTTTCTTCACCCATCCATCTACCTCTACTTTGACCTTGTCGGCTGTATGCTCCAGCACCGTTCTTTGTCATTTTCGTAGACGCTGTCCAGCCTGCCCAGCACTAGCAGGCCACAATGCCGCTTATTCCATAAGTGTACCCGCCGATCCCGTATATATTGTAAATCCTAGCATACATATACATATATAACTTCTTTGGCCGCCCTCACCCCGACTCCCCTCTGCCCTCCGGCGCATTTCGCCATGGCCCCGACATATATCCAAGTCCCTCAAAGGGAAGAATTACGGACTTCCCTCGACGTGCCTGTTAGATGGGCCACCACAACTCTACGAGTTGGGGGTATGACGTATGAAACCCGGAAGCCCTGAGCATTCCCTCTTTTTCTTGTCGTGCGAAAGTCCGGGAGCTAACAATATGCAGCTGCGGCGCATGTACTTCGTCCGTTGAAGCTGGCTTCAAGGGAGTTCAAGGCGTCGGCAATGTGTCTGTCAGCTTGGTTATGGAGCGCGCCGTAGTCATGCACGACCCCCAACGAATATCCGCCGATCAGGTTAAAGACATCATCGAGGACCGCGGGTTCGAAGCCGAAGTACTTTCCACAGATATACCTTCGCCCATGGCGACACCGAAACACCCCCCTGCACACCATGAAGAAGATGACGGTTCTTTAACCACCGTCACTACCGTTGCGGTCGAAGGTATGACATGTGGAGCTTGCACGTCTGCTGTAGAAGGGGGCTTCGCCGATGTTAGCGGAGTCAAGCATTTCAGCATCTCGTTATTGTCTGAGCGAGCGGTTATAGAGCATGATGCCGCGCTGTTACCCGTTGATAAGATTATCGAGATTATTGAAGATCGAGGGTTTGGTGCTACGTTGGTTGATAGCGAGGAGACGAAACCTAGGAAAGAGGTTGTATCAGACTTCGGCGAAGCTAAATCTCCTTTCGCCACAACCACGGTTGCCATTGAGGGAATGACTTGTGGCGCCTGTACTTCCGCCGTGGAGGGTGGATTTACTGGCCTCGATGGCATTCTACGATTCAATATCAGCTTATTAGCCGAGAGAGCTGTTATAACACACGACCCAGCAAAGGTACCATCAGATAAAATCGCTGAGATTATTGAAGATAGGGGATTTGATGCCAGGATACTCTCAACTGTGCTAGACAGTTCCGACCCAACCACGTCATCTTCCGCCCAATTCAAGATTTACGGGAATCCAGACGCTGCTGCTGCTAAGGGCATTGAAAACGCCCTTCTAGCTCTCCCTGGCGTAGGCTCAGCCAAACTTAGCCTTGCCACGTCAAGGCTTACCGTATCTCATCAACCTGGTATCACTGGTCTGCGTACGATTGTCGAAACGGTTGAAAGTCTAGGCTTCAACGCCTTGGTTGCGGACAACGATGATAATGATGCTCAGCTGGAGTCCTTGGCGAAGACGAGAGAGATTCAAGAGTGGAAGAGAGCCTTCCAAGTCTCACTCACGTTCGCATTACCCGTCTTCTTTATCGGCATGATCTTTCCAATGCTTTTACCTATCCTGGATTTTGGTGGTTTAGAACTTCTTCCCGGCCTTTTCCTCGGCGATGTTATCTGCTTGGTTTTGACGATACCTGTTCAGTTTGGCATTGGAAAGCGCTTTTACAAATCAGCATACAAGTCCGTGAAGCACGGGTCTCCAACTATGGACGTTTTGGTTGTACTGGGCACATCCGCTGCCTTCTTTTTCAGTTTATTTGCTATGCTTGTCTCATTCCTGTTCCCGCCGCACTCTCGACCAAACACTATCTTTGACACCAGCACAATGTTGATCACGTTCATCACATTGGGGCGATTCTTGGAGAATCGAGCAAAAGGACAAACGTCGACAGCTCTTTCGAGACTCATGTCCCTGGCACCATCTATGGCCACTATCTACACAGATCCAATTGCGGCCGCAAAGGCTGCCGAAGCCTGGGACTTACAACCTGCTTCGGGAGAGTCAAAGGGAAATGCGCATGAGGGCAGTGCGACTGAGGAGAAAATAATTCCTACTGAACTCATCTCAGTGGGCGATATTGTTATTATACGGCCTGGGGACAAAATCCCCGCTGATGGGACCATTGTGCAAGGCGAGACCTATGTTGATGAAAGCATGGTCACTGGCGAGGCTATTCCTGTACAGAAGAAGAAGGGCAGCAATGTTATTGGGGGCACAGTAAACGGTCATGGACGCGTAGACTTTCGAGTTACGAGAGCTGGCCGAGACACACAGCTAAGCCAAATCGTCAAGCTGGTTCAGGATGCGCAGACGACTCGAGCACCAATTCAACGACTTGCTGATACTTTGGCCGGCATTTTCGTACCCACTATTCTTATTCTGGGTGGCTTAACTTTTATTACTTGGATGATTCTTAGTCACGTTCTGAAGGACCCGCCCAAGATATTCCTCGAGGAGACGAGCGGTGGTAAGTTCTTTGTGTGTGTCAAACTGTGCATCTCCGTGATAGTTTTTGCTTGTCCTTGTGCCTTAGGCCTGGCCACCCCCACGGCGGTCATGGTTGGTACTGGAGTTGGCGCGGAAAACGGAATACTTGTTAAAGGCGGCGCGGCCCTGGAGATGAGTACCAAGATTACACAAGTTGTCCTCGATAAAACGGGCACCATCACATACGGCAAAATGAGTGTAGCGGTTGCCAAACTACCTTCAGTTTGGCAAGGCGATGGATGGCGTCGACGACTCTGGTGGACTGTTGTGGGTCTGGCCGAGTCCAGCAGTGAGCATCCTATTGGCAAGGCCATCCTTGGGGCAGCTCGCTCGGAGCTTGGACTTGATCACGAAGGCACCATCGAAGGCAGTATCGGCGATTTCAGCGCTGTTGTTGGACGCGGTATCAGTGCGACGGTAGAGCCGGCAACAAGCGCCGAGCGTACACGCTATCGCATTTTGATTGGAAGCGTCCGCTTCCTTAGTGAGAACAGCGTTGATGTACCGGAGGCTGCCGTCGAGGACTCTGAAGAGATTAACACAAAGGCGAACGCTTCTAACAAATCTACCTCGTCTGCTGGAACCACCAACATTTTCATCGCTATCGACGGTACTTACGCCGGTCACCTCTGCTTGGCGGATACCATCAAAGAAGGGGCAACTGTAGCAATTGCTGCTCTGCATCGTATGGGAATAAAGACAGCTATTGTCACGGGCGACCAGCGATCGACTGCTCTCGCAGTGGCGTCTCAAGTTGGCATCGCGGCTGATGACGTCTTTGCTGGTGTATCTCCTGATCAGAAGCAGGAAATCATTCTTCAGCTTAAGGACAAGGGAGAATGCGTTGCTATGGTCGGCGATGGCATCAACGACTCGCCTGCCTTGGCTACAGCTGACGTCGGCATTGCGATGGCAAGCGGAACTGATGTCGCAATGGAAGCGGCCGACGTTGTGTTAATGCGCCCCAACCAATTAATGGATGTCCCCGCGGCACTGTGCCTGGCACGAACCATCTTCACTCGTATCAAGCTCAATCTTGCTTGGGCGTGCGTCTATAACCTAATTGGGTTACCTTTCGCTATGGGCATATTCCTACCTCTTGGATTCCATCTCCACCCCATGGCCGCCGGCGCCGCCATGGCCACGAGCAGTGTTAGTGTTGTTGTCAGCTCCCTACTGCTGAAGTTCTGGAAACGACCTGGCTGGATGGATGAAGCCCTTCTGGCGGAGAAGGGCGGACTCAAGAAGCGTGGACGTGGCTGGGGTTTCGACAGAATTGTTACTAGAGTCCAAGACTTCTTCGGCTCATTGTTTGGAAAGAAGACCAATAGGGACGAAGGCTATGTGCCTTTAGCTACATTAGATCATGCTGACGCATGAGGGCTAACCTGAATATCATGAGGTACGGCGTAATGCGGTTTTGGTATTTTCCCACATTAGGTTTACGTGGGCAGCACATATCCTCTCTTTTTGTACATATGTCATCATACCTTAGATAAGTACTTATTAAAGAATCATATGTAACCCATTTTACGTGTTGTATGCAAGTTTATATACGTAGTATTACAAACATTTACTTGCCGTATAGTCGCTCCATTAGTATTAGATCTTTCGATACGAAATAGGACGGGGCGGGCTTAACTTGGTGAGGCTAATCGGTCTTCCAATAGATCCTTGTTGCGCATTGCGGATGAGTCATGATCGATCATAAGATACCTAGAGCAGGGCTCTGAGTCTGGAAGATATATTCTAAGATTCTGGGACCATGACACTCATACATCGCGCCTTTTCTCTTGTAAATTTATTGAACAAATTATAAATTCTAGGAACTTCGTTAAAGTTTACTCCTCGGGGATGGCTTACACGTAGGTAGTCTGTCTCAACATCGCCAAGCCACTTGCAATCCCTCTACTAGCTGGAGCAATATACGAAATACGTAGCTGCCCAGATTCTCTATACTTTTTACCCGCCGGGGGTTCCCATTCTTTGAGTTTTAAGCACCGACTTACTCTCATTATTTATTATCGTCAGGCACTGTCGCCGCAGTTTCGATATTCCAATAGTTTATATAGTTGCTTCAGATAAAGAAGCCATCGGTCGTCGCCATGGGACTGCATAACACACTCGCGATACCCCGCATGTCGCCCATACCTTCGATATTAGCCAGATTAGGTCCAGACGCACGGAGAAACAGCCTCGTCCTACTCGCTGTCGTCGCACTGCTCCCCGCGACGTACGCGGCGTATGTCCTGCGGCAGGGCGCGACGCGGACGGTTGCCACGGCTCGTATCTCGCCGCCTGAACCGCTGAGAGCCACGGAGGATGATGATGATGATGCGCCGTCTGCTGTACCCTCTGATGTCCATGTTGCGCCGGAGCGGTACGTCGTCGGACGGGAACGCGTTGTTTCCGAAGATGTCCCGCTGAAGAGATTGCTCCCGGGTTTGCGCGAGGGAAAGGGGGAGGGCAAGAGAGGACTTCTGGAAACCTATCTTGGGACTACCATGCGCACGTTCACGTGGACGCCGCAGGCCTTCGTCATGAAAGCGCTCGTCTCGCGACTCCCCGGCGGCGCGGCGCTCGCGGAGACGTTCTCCGCGACGTATCTCGATGCGTGCTGTTTTCAGCCTGGGGATCGGGTCTGCGGGGTGTATGTTGTGCGGGAACGCGTGGCGAGCGAGGGTGGGGAGAGGGTGTTTCTTGATCTCAGCGCGCCTGAGGGGTGGAAAGGCCCTGTTGTCACGGGGGTTTTGGACTGTGGGTATGTCCTTGGGGAAGAGAACGGGGAGAAGGTCGTGAGATTTGTTAATGAGACTGTGCTTTGGAGGACGACGGATGGAAAGCCGACGTTGCTGGAGGGAAAAGTCTCGAGGTGGTTGCATACTGCTATGATCGGGTGGATGATGGTTAGGGGTGTTGAGGCTGTTACTGGGAGGACGAAGGGGGAGATGGAGTAGGGGGCGGATTATTCCGGGGAAGCTGTTTTCTTTTTGTTGTTGATACCCATGAGAGATGGTGAGTGTGGTTTTGAGAGTCAACGTTGAGTTTTGTGATACACCCTTCTCAATACATTCTCCTACAATTTAGAGACCTACTATATCAGCGCAAAGAGCCTTGATACTGTGATGAGCAATTATTTGGAATATGTCATTAGCATTTTGATAAAAGACTATATTCACGCGATAAACAAGCTTTATCTACAACCAAGGCGGTGGTAGGACCAGCTGCTCATCATCTCCTCTCACCTCAACAGTAGCTTCTCTATCTACCTTGGAACGAATATCGCACATGCAACACCTTTTCTTCCTCCGGCTCGGGGTCCCAAAATCCAAGAATATAGCTCTTCCGCACACCGGCAGGTATGAATAACTGTCCCCGGTCAACAAGCGCCGCCAAAGGGATAGTGACATCAGCAACCTCTGCAGCGCCCCAAGCAGTCGCTTCGCCTGCATCACGGGCCTTGACGCCATACTTAGCACTCAATATCACCAGACCATTTCTCGCAGACTCTATTTTCTGCCTGTTCTGCACAGTGGGCGCCATGAGCGTCATCAGCGTGTCGGCTTCGTCCCGACGTTTCTGGATGTACCGGTGATCTAGCAGGGTGGCGAGTCGCTGTTGAAGTCGCTTTTGGCGATGGTAGCGATCCCAAAGCTCCCATAGCGTGAGTCCCGCAAAAGGGAGGATGGCGGTCAGTAGGAGGGTTTTAAAGCGGAGGTTGGATCCTGAGCACAGGTAGAATGGAATGTTGATTCGTCGACCTAAGCGTGACCAGTACAGGGATAAGTATAGGGAGTATTTGTTAAACCCCATCTCGAAGCCGACCTTAGAGAACCGTCCCGCACGCTTGAGACAGCGGAGAGCTAGATAGCCCGGAGTGAACCAGTCTGTGCCTATTTCAGCCTCCATGCGAAGCCGCCGGCTAATGGGATTGGTGGCGTCTGTGGCTAGCAAATCATGAGGTTTTGAGGATATCGAAAGGGGCTGGTAAAGCTCAAGAGCAGAGGGGTCGACATCTCGTGCATATTTGGCCGAGAGCGAGTAGTATCGAGGTTCCGCCACAGCAGCGACAGTCCAAGAACCGTTCTTATCCCTGCCCGATGTGACATCGAAGGCCCGAATGCCCTGGTTGAGACGCTCAGTGGCTATGTAAGATTCGCGATACTCGAAATTGCCACCATGCTTGTAGGCAATCTCTACTCGAGGGGGCCTCAGCGTTGATAGTCTATCGAGAAGGTCGTGGAGCGGCCCAACGCTGAGGTATTTTCGCTTGGCGCTTGCGAAATCGGCAACATAACGACACGTCTCTGCTGCCTGGCTTCGCCAGTCCCCGCTAGCTATATGGACTATCATTTGACCTCTGGCAGTTGGTCGCTCTATAGTAGCTGCCAGCCTGGGATACATTCTCTCTCGTATACTCTGTTCTGATTCTAGTCTCAAAAGGCTTTTGCAGTGATCGAAAGGAAGGGCTACGAATTGGGAGACTCTAATAGAGCCAACTGGATCTGGAAGTATAGTCGACCCGATCTCAACTACCAGTCCATCCTCAGTCGAGCAGTTCTTCGAAGTCAACGTATGCAGCGTGGCTGTTGTATCGCCATGAGATAGGGGTACTGGAATGGTGTGCCGCAGGGTCACGGCGACTAAAGGTCGTATTCGGCCATGCTGTAGCAATGCAAACCGGTCTCGATTTGAAGTGCGAGGGAAGCTGGGTTGGTAAAGATCAAGCCGGGATAGCGCAGACTTATCTTCTTGTAGGAAGCCGTAAACGGATGCCCGAAGAGTCGCAATAGTACCACACATGTGTTTTGTCGTCGAAAATGGCATACCTCCCTTGTCCGTCGCTTTATCGCCGCTTGTAGCGATGTGCTTCAACCGCTGCATTGATCGACGTATTTTCTGGTCGAGCTCACTCAAATGAACAGAAGTCGCATGGCCTACTTCAAAATCAACGAGTTCGAGAAGGGTTTTCCTCCGCTTCGAAATATGTCTCTCATTTCTCAAAGCTTTTTGTACATCAAAGCTAGTACCAAACTCGTTTATACTTGACTCTCCATGGAGAGTGGCGAGACTTGGTGGATTAAGCACTGGGCCATCGTAGTCAAGGCCATCTGTAGCATCCCGATGAATGGGATCTTTATGCGCCTTCTGGCGATGATCAATGAGAATTTCGATAGCTTGTTGTATGATCTTAGAATATGCTTCAGCAGTCTGACGTTGATGTGGAGGCTGCTGCTCCGGATCCAGTAGAGGGTAAAGCCTAAGATAGGCTTGCAGGATGCTTTCAACTGAAGGGTTGCGAGACACACATAAAATATCACAGAAGTCATCAGCGTTAAGGAGAGGCAGTGTGAGATCGGAGTCCGTTATCTCTTCGGCGTTGGGAACAAGAATACTAGCGGTGTCGAGCTCGTCTTTAAGGCGACGTGATCTGACAGTCTCTCGCTCCCATATAGACGACGCATCGTCATATCCGAACTCATACTCACGCCTAGTGGCAGCGAACTGCTCGTTCAGGGAGAAGCGGGAAGCAGTGGATCTCAAAGATGCATAGCTGTTTATCCCTTGGCGCGATTGATATAGTGTAGGTGCCTAAGGGAGATCAGTAACAGATTTTCGCAGAACTGGGAATGTGTTGCTTACTCGATACGCTTCTTGACCTCGAGTTTGTCGACCCGAATGGGTGCTATTCCGTACGCCCCGCGCGGAGGTCGAATCCGCCATGTGCGAGCTGACCTAGCTTAATGAGTATTGTCTGATCTATTCTGGGATAACACGATGGAACAAGGCCCTTGTTCTGGGGTTGTAGACGAGTATCTTGGTAACATGAGGGGATAGGAAGTAGAATAACGACGATAATGATGCGACACAGGGTACATTTGAAACGTACTTAATATATGAAGCCTAGGTATAGCAGGGATGGCCACGAATAAGAACAGCGAGCTTCATGCTGCATAAAGGTGGTGCTGTGTTGTCACATTGGCTAACGCATCTCAGCGAGCTCTGCCAAGAATTCGGCACCTGCACTTCGTTGTCAGCTACGCTACTAGGTTCGCATGTTTAGAAATATCCGACTAGACAAAGGAATCAACTCGAAATATCACATATCTAGAACTTCACTTTAGGCCGTGGTCGTTGATATTGGATTCCGTTCTAGGTATACAGCAAGTAGTACAAGTCATAAAAGCTGAACAAGCCCTGGACGATCATATCGACTTCATTCCTTCCATAAAAACATCTTCAGCGTATTCTCAAAATCATACACAGGTATCGTAGGAGCCTCCGCCATTCACGCTTTTATCAATTGCCTTATTTGCCGCCTCTTCCCCCGGGCTTTTGAAATACTGAGTCGGGTATGGAGTGTCCAGTCGCAGAAACAGCCTCATTGTCTCCGCTTGTACCGATCGGGTTGTCAGCGGCAGTGGCTAATGATGTGTTGCCTAGGTCGTTCTTTGCATCTTGAGGATTGGCCTTCGACGGGATGGTGTTCATCTTTCCGGCATCACCGGGGACTGCGTGCGGTTAGGATCGTTATCCGATTGCAAATAACAAATATACAGAGTACGAGAGCACTGAATACTAATGATTAGAACGAGAAAGATGAGAGCTCACTCTTGGTGCCATCCTTGGCCATGTCGTTAAGGTCACCACCTTGGTGGGCGTCTTGGGACATTTTCAGGGTTGGATATATGTGCGTTGCAAACGAGGTGAATGTTTCCAACAGATAAAACTACTGTTTTCAAGGTATCAATTTGGCTCCTGGCTCACTTAATTGAGAAGAATTGAATGTTGAAATACTATAAGCTGTGAACGTTGTTTTGGGTGCGTGGTCTTATACACCGGCTGTAGAACGACGTCATTGACGTGATGTCACGACTATGTCATGGGCGAGGCAGCGAATCACCACTGATATACTCAAGCATAAAATTAGGTAGTATTGCGGACAAGTACCTCGAGAATTGAGATAATTAGATCTTCTTGACATCTTTCATGGCCGAGACAACTTGCAGGTCAACGGCAGTGGATCACGTCATATGCGCTGGTAACATTTATAACGACGAGCTCTTGTCTACATTCAAACTGAGGCAATCAAGCCGAGTTAACTTTGGCTCACAATTACACAATTATAATAGGCCTATCTTTAGCGTGGATGCGGGATGAATGTCTTTATTTCCCGAACTGTGAGACTATGCGCTTTAGGAAGCCATGATCCTTTAATGCCAATCTCCGTCTACACTACGCATAGAGGGACTCACATTGTACTAAATGATGTCTTAGGTAGTGAGAGGAGTCTAAGTTGAGATGTATGAAATATAAAACCCATGATTTCGATTTTGCAGAATAATGTTCAAGAGTGAATATCCGAGTTTAGGGCGGCCAACTATGATAAGACTTGTCACTTCACATCGGATCACTTATCATCAGTACCAAAGAACTCTTCGTCACCGGAAATAACTGATATAGAAGATGAGGAGAAAATGAGAAAGCATACGAAAAAGAGAATAAAAACGTACAACACCAGGGATTCGCTGGTCGTCACCGACCCAACTACTAATCTGGCGCTCATACCGGCTTATCTATGGGAGAGCGGACGGGATCCCGAGTTTTCCGATGGCTATGGTCGTACGTGACAGAATGTGAGCTTCTAATGTCTTACAAACTACGAGGATGGGAGATAATTGAAAGCAAGGTAGTTGGGGGTTAGCTTGCGGCGTTGGTATTATGAGCCTCGCCTGACTTCGGCCATTCGCCATGCCAAGAGACTGAACATATGACACCTGCTTACTGACCCTCCATATAGTCTCACGAATGGCAAACGGAAGCTCTAGAGAAATGCAGGAATTTGGCACATGGTGCTTTGTGATTTATTCTTGACTTTAAACATAGGGGGTGCCTGTCAACATAGGCAAGAGTGAATTGAAGTGGCGACGGCGGTTATGCTGCAAAGAGATGTCACGATATCCCAACCTCAGGCTATCTGAGTCGTATGCGTAGCATATAACTGGAACAGGAACGAAGTCCGTCACACTCTTAGAACTTGGTCGGGTCGTGGATGGTGCTGTTCCAAGCCCGTTTGTTCCATGACTAGCGGTAACCCCCTTCTCCACGAGCACGGCCATTTCCCTGACATATCTCTTTAGGTAGGGTCCCGTGTTTACGTAGGCTCCGTAGAGCGAGGTAGAGATTCCACAAGGGTCTGGGATCAAAACTCTCTGCATGAGCCCGAAGGGGTCATTAACGAAGTGTCCACGTCGAATCAACTATACTAATAATAATTGCTTGCCCACTTAGCACGTATTGATCATTCTGGCATATTCCGTGTTGTTTCCGCCTTGAGGTGACAATCACGGTGACGTGTGAAAGGGTAACAGCATTTCGGCATGATCAGGGAGCTAGGTGCGAGCTTTCCCTGGTAGCTATATTGTGCACTCACAGTTCCTGATTATACTCATCTACAAAATGTAGGATTGAACGTTCTAGTGACGACCCTTGTGAACCTCCTGGATTTCAGAATAGACTAAGGGTACGCGATCACATACCTTCCTATCTTGTAGTCACGAAATAGTAGAGCCCAAGTCTAGTTGGTTGTAGTATCGCTCCTGATGTTCCTGTTCTACTCCATTGGCTGGCCATCTCGAATCCGTTTGTAGTTTGCTGCGGCTAGCAGCAGCGTATCAGTTTGAGACCCAAGAGAAGACCAAGGACCAGGCAGCAAGAAATTCGCATGTATACAGGCTTTGATTTTCTACTTTTGTGGGAGACAATCTGTGGCGGATTGCAGTGGTGTCTTTGTTGCACGTGAAGACAGATGGTCATACCATGGAGAATGGGCAAGAAGAAGCAGGAAACAACCATTGCCCATGTCGACCCAGGAATCATATCTTTCCATTAGGAATAAGTCGTGTTGCAGACAGCTTAAAATAGTGGTATTCAGCATACTAGATTGCATTTTTCAATACACAAGTTTTCACAATGAACCCTCTCTCTATTGTCGGTCTACTTTGCGTCTACTTCCTGGTGTCACGCCGACTTCGATTCTATAAGTGGCTTCGTTTTCCGAGCTTTACGTCTGTCTCTTTCCCACACGATTTACTAGGAGACCGGGCAATTGCCAACTTTTCCTTTGCTGGCACAACAAATCTGCATAACCGGCTTCAGCTTCGAGCAATCCCGAATACCCGCCTCATCAGAGCATTTCATCTGGAGAACTCATTCACAACCAGTGATGTGTATGTACACCGCAACTTCCTCAAAAAGGCGAGCCAGGCGATACGTCTTATTCAAACGGAAGACTGGGTCAAGCTTGGCACAATAACACAAACGAGCTTGGACTTATGTCTGAAGCATTTCAAGGACGGGCTGCCATACGTGCCTCTAGCATCGTGTAAGTATTATTGAAGCCTTTTTCATTCACTAGACATCTGCGCGCCTGCGCAACCCTAGATACCAACCAAAAACAACTCTGACCAGATGGAAGTGATACGAGTCGTCAGCTTCAGCGTCATGCTGCATGTCTTGTTCGGCGTTGACCCTTTGGAGATCAACCTCGACGAAGCAAGAAAGGCAACAGATGCCATCAATCGCCTTTGGGTCCAGTCCAAGGATAAGGACTTCATTCCATCACTATACGACCGAACGGTGCTCAATAATGCGCTCGAAATACTCTTGCCGGCGGAGTACCCCTGTGAAGCCAGCACTAACCCCTTGAATCTGATTATGCCGGCCTACGAAACGCTGTGGCGTGTCGTACTCCTAACATTCGTGTCGATAGCATACCAGACCGACGATCCAAAAACCACTGAAGAGCTTCAGGAAGCAGTTAGAAATGTGCCGCAGTGCTTTTGCCAGGGAGGCGAGCTTGAGATGAAAGCATTGGCCATAGCAAAGGTTAGTTTCAGTTTCCCCCAATCCAGTATCGGTTCTCTAGGAAGTGTCAGCTTGGTGGTGCTGAAGCTGTGAAGATTTTAAGATGCGACTAACGACGGGTAACAGGAAGGTCTGCGACTATACCCTCCGACAAAGCGCATTTATCGAGCACGCTTATGCGTGTCACCTCGCGGCGAAAAGGACCCTGTGACCGCCGATGTAGAGCGCTGGCACCGGGATTCTAGAGTCTGGGGTGCTACCGCCGGCGTGTTTGATCCACAGCGCTTCCACCCTCGAGGCCATGAAAGAGACCGTGAAGATAATGTGGTTGCGCCAACTGCCAATCTCCAGCCGACTCGTCAAACTCTAGATTACCAGAGGATTGGCTATTTCCCGTTTGGTGTTGGCCGACACATGTGTCCGGCGGCGGCAGGGTTTGGCGAGAGAATCATCACACTTCTCGTTGTTGAGCTCACCCGACGCCTTGGGGACCGACAGACCGGATTGAAGATTTATTTCAACAACACGACGCTCCAGAAAGCTACTCGTACCCTTTTACCTTCCGGTCGAAGCGATATGGAGAATTGGGTGTTGGAGTTGCCTGATACAAGGGCATCCTGATGATTGATCACCCACTGTATACTACTACAGTGTTCGAGGCACGCGTCTGATCACGTAAATTGACGTCTTTTTTTAACTTGTTGGTCGCTTACTAAAGAGAGTAAAAGATAGCGCTATGAACAAGTTGCAGTACACTACAGAGATCATTCAGCTCTTTAGATTAGTTATCAGAAACTTTACTTTGTTTTACTTCTTCATCACTATGGTGTACAACTAAGTCCCGCAACAATTCCAAAGAGGTAGGAGATTAGCAGCACGTAGTATCTTTTAGTAGTGTTTATCCTCCACTGATCACCCCATCACCCCAGTTCCCCGGCCGCTCACCCCGTCCGTCAGCACCATCTGACCATTGCCGTTGTCGTGGGCCAGGATGTATGCAGTGTAGCCGCATCGTGCATGCGCCCTAGCCCAGATCTGGCTCGACAAATGAGAGTAAGGTGCCTATTCAGCCCGGTCTTAAGTACACACCGTCCACTAGAATGGCAGTTGAGCATGGGAATGGTACGAGTATGCTAGGTATTGTGCAGGCCGTACTACCTACGTCGTACTTTAGGTACTTGTCTCAGAATTGTAATTCTCTCCATGCTACTTGTGGACAGGACAGATTGTGGACTACGTGACAACTTACCGGTTGGCTTGGCTGGGACCACAATGTAATCCTGCACTTACTGCAGTAGGGTAGATCAGAGCACGTCATTTGGCAGCCAAAAATCGTCGAGAGGTAGCAAATTAGGCTCGTTAGTAAGTATCGAGGTGCGATCAAGCTTTCTGTACTTACTATACTAGTATAAGGTTTTGCTGTTGACAACAATTGCATATAAACTCAATGCGACCTCGGGCTGTGTCCAGGAGACTCCATCAGTTCGTGATAGTCTCATAGATACCTAGTCGCTGCGACCGCTCGGTGTCTTGCCTACAGAGAGATAGGCAGACCGCTTTTTGTGGATTCAGATATCTTCCGGTCCTCATTCCCACCACCGAGAACATGGAGAACCTAGTCGCGGATGAGAAACCGGGTCTGCGGGAGGGGTCTCTGCGCGGCCCGACTGTCGAGGAAATCATTGCGGACTTGGAGAAAGACGCCGTTATCCCGCCAGATTCGGTCGATATCACCTATGCCCGCAAGGCAGCCGTGCTGAATCGAGCGATTAAGGACATTGGTATGGGCTGGTATCAATGGCAACTGTTTGTCGTCATCGGATTCGGCTGGGCCAGTGATAACCTCTGGCCCGTAGTCACATCCCTAATCCTGGTATGATCACTTGGCGTGATATAGTATTCATACTAACACGATTCATAGACTCCTATCAAGTCCGAGTTCAACCCTCCGAAGCCACCGCTACTGAGCTTGTCCCAAAACATCGGCTTGCTTGCCGGCGCTATATTCTGGGGATTCGGCTGTGACATCTTCGGACGTCGCTGGGCCTTTAACCTGACGCTCGGTCTCACGGCGGTATGGGGCTTGATCGCGGCAAGTGCTCCCAACTTTGCAGCGATAGGGAGCTTCGCGGCTCTTTGGAGTTTCGGGGTCGGTGGCAATCTTCCAGTCGACTCTGCCATCTTCCTAGAGTTTCTCCCTGCCTCGCACCAATATCTACTGACGGTCCTCTCCGTTGACTGGGCCTTGGCTCAGGTGATTGCTAATCTGATCTCTTGGGGTCTGCTGAGCAACTTCACCTGCGACATCACAGACACCAATTGCACACGGTCCAAGAATATCGGATGGCGTTATTTCATGGTCACCGTCGGCGGACTCACTCTTCTCATGTTTATCATCCGGTTCTTTGCCTTCAAGATTTTTGAGTCGCCTAAGTTTCTTATGGGCAAGGGTAAAGACGACGAGGCTGTCCGTATTGTTCACGAAGTCGCCCGACGCAACGGCACCGAGTCTTGGTTAACTATCGAGCATCTTAAGGCGTGTGAACCCGAAGGATACGAACGACGCACCGGTGCAGCCGATGCCATCAAGCGTAAACTCGAAAGTGTCAACCTATCTCATATCCGCGCTCTCTTCGCAACGAAGAAGCTTGGATATAGCACTGGTGCTTTAATGCTTGTGTGGGCGCTGTAAGTCGATCTTATTCAACTTGTCGCAAATTCCTGAAGCGCCCAGTGATACAACACTTCCTCCTTTCCTTGCTTTAAGATCCTAATCGCGCAATTTGAGATATTTCCTTACTGACGATAGTTGTATACAGTATTGGTCTGGCTTTCCCGTTATACCACGCCTACCTTCCATACCTGCAAGCTCTTCGTGGCGCTGACTTTGGTGATGGGTCAACATATCTCACTTATAGAAACAACTTAATTATCGCTGTGAGTGCTCCGAAGTGATACCCTCTAGGCCCCCCCCGGACCACGCTCGACGATTCCGAGAAAAAGAAGCTCGTTATTCCTGGCACTATAATCCGGTAGCACCGTTGCTAACATGACTGTCAAATATAGGTACTAGGCGTTCCCGGCGCGCTAATTGGAGCCGGACTGGCGGAGCTGCCAAACTTTGGAAGAAAGGGAGCACTAAGCGTCAGCACCGTTCTCACGGGCGTTTTCCTATTTGCTAGTACCACGGCGACGAACTCTGTAGCTTTACTAGGCTGGAACTCGGCCTATTCATTCGCGTCAAATATTAGTCAGTAACCTCTCACAGCCCTTGTAGATCTTCAAAAGACCTACCCCGTCAAAACGGAGATTACTAACCCTGAGAACTGCAGTGTACGCCGTGCTCTATGCCTTCACACCGGAAGTATTTCCCACCCAGGACCGAGGAACCGGAAATGCCCTGACGGCCACCTCAAATCGCATATTTGGTATCTTTGCCCCCGTGATTGCTATCTACGGAGATCTTTCCACTTCGGTGCCCGTCTACGTTAGTGGCGCTCTGTTCCTTGTAGCAGGCGCCATTGTCTTGACTCTACCCTTCGAATCGAGAGGGAAAGCAAGTTTATAATCGAATATTATATTCTCAATTATACCTAGAACTCAGCTGGGCTAGAACCTCCAGCCGTTCGAGACATTTATTTACTATTTGCTGAGCGAGTGACTGTGAGTACGCCTCGCCAGTTATGGGAGGCGCGTATACGTACGTCAAAGTTATGGGTTCACATTATTCAATTTCAGGCGAAATAGGATCCTGTTTAAATATAAAGTAGTTGAAGAAGACTCGGGGCCCTAAATGAATATGAGGAATAATATTATATATTGGCGATCGTCATTGTTTGCCAGATTGCTCTCATAATCCTATGTACAGCGAGATATAAAAACATAATGATCTCTGCATTCCAAACCATAGACGCTTAGACAGAAATTACGCCTTATAATGTTGCGTGAAGTCATAGCACACAGAGAACGAAGCCAAAGCCATTTCCTTCTGAGCCTCGGGGTTGCCTTCGGCCGCCTTACAAGCCTGCAGCACGGGGTCCCTCTCCAGTAGGGTGTCAGGATCGCTATCCGAGACGCGGCGGAAGTTGTCACTCGACACCGGGTTGATGACGTTCTTCCACTTATCGATGCGCTTCTCACTGTAGAGATCTAGGATGGACTCGTCTGCCTTCCCGTCCCAGATCCCAGCTAGACAGTCGTATAACCCACCGACGTCGACGAAGCCGCCCGTGATGCCCATACCGCCCCATGGATTGCATAGATGCGCTGCGTCGGCGGCCAACATAATCCGACCGACGCGGAAGGACGGCGCGCAGCGCTGGTGCATCCTGTATGGCGACATCATCACCATCTTGTAGTCACCCGGCTTAGGATGACCCGGCAACATCATCTCGTATTTCCACGCCTGCCGCTCCTTCATCTCCTCCCACGACAGCCCAGGGCTTTCACCGTAAGTTACTCGGTAGAGACCATCAGGGGTAATTCTAGCGGCCATCTACGCCAGAAATCAAGCATCAGACCCGAGCACATGAGTGTCGCCTCTCAGGAGTTGCAAAACTTACAAAGAAGTGCTCCGGATGTAGCGTGAAGCTTGAGTCTTGCCAGCCGAACTTGGAGAAATCATAATATACCTAAAAGCGGATTAGTATAGATCCCAAGCCGCTCCCTGTGCAGCCGCCCCTTCTGTTATCCTTTTCTATCTCTGATTGTCCGGATAGTTAGATGCAGTGCTGCATTCCAACTTACATTCGTAGCAACAATTTGCCTCTCCCACGTAAAGCCGGGGAACTCGTCTCCAAACAGTGATTTCCGCACCTGGCTACCCGCGCCGTCACACCCAACAATGTAATCGCCGTAGAACTTCTTCGGGCCCTCCGGGGTGTCGACATCGATCCACGCCTGCGTATCGTCCTGGCCTGTACCAGTAACCTTGTGCTTCCAGTGTATCGTGCCATTATACTTGGTGAGGAACTCCTCGAGCATGAGCTCATCCAGCTGGTCCAGAACAAGACACGCCATGCGCATGTCCTCGCCGTTCACGTCGGCCATCGACGATCCATCCATACCGGTGATAACGGAGTGATCACCCCACCGGCGCCAGCTGACCGATGTCGGGCTCATGCCCCGCCGACGGATCTCGTCAATAATACCAGCGCGCCGCAACTCCGGAACCGCGGAGGATCCGTAGATTGCGGCGCGAGGCTGCTTGTCAAGCTCGTGCGAGGCCTCGAAGATCTCCACGGCAATCCCATGTTTAGACAAGAGGAGAGCAAGGAGGAGTCCTGACGGGCCAGCGCCGACAATGAGAACCTGGGGAGTGTCAGCAGCTATCCGGACGACTAACAAGTCTTTACTCATATAAGTAGACCCTACTTGTAGTCTATGTAGAAGCTCAGCTTACCTTATTGAATGGACGCGCCATGATAATACGAGTTTCTTCTTTAAACCAGCCTTAGAAACGAGGAGACTGGAAATGAGAAGAAGAAAACAGATTCATGATATTCCCGTTCGGCGATAAAATAGATTATCCCACGGTTAATTAAGGCATTATTGGAAACTGCCTGGTCCCCGTGTATCTGGATCTCTCCCACCTCCTCCTACCCTACCCCTACTTCCTACTACCGTGACTCCACTGCCGAGCGCAAAGCGTGCTTAGCTAGACCACAGCCGAGAAATTTCCCCGCAGTGGTGAGAGAACTACGCATACCTACGTATCTGAGTAAGCAGGAAAGGAGTTCATTTTCCAGTCGTGGAAGCTCGGTTTTTACTTTGACGTTTTATCTGCCAGCTGCATTTGGTTTAGGCATCGGAGGTTCGCGGTGATGGGTCTCCTATCTATGTTAACCATCTTTGATGCCGCTGTCTATCGAAACATCCTTCTGGGCCATTGTCTGATATAAATTACAAACCACGACTAAAAATAAAGATGTTTCAAAGGATCAAATATTGAAATATGTGCTAATATACCTAAGTCCCGCACATAATTGGATACTTACGTGAATAAAGAAACAGGCGTTGAGATGTAATAGCGACCAGGTTCCTAATCACTGTACTTTAACAACAACCTTTCCAAAGTGTCCACCACTGGACAAATACTTCAGCGCCTCGTCCGCCTTCTCAAACTCGAAAGTGCGATCGACAACAGGCCTGATCTTCTCGCGCTCATACACGCGCAACATCTCCTCGAAGCGGTCCTTAGGGCCATTTATAATACCCTTGAACGTGACATTGCGAATCAGCGCAAGCACATTAGCATTGATTCTGTTGCCGGCCTCGTCTTCTTTGCCGGAGAGATATCCGATCGCACTAATGAGTCCGCCAAAGGCGACGCACCGAAACGATTTGCTAAGCGTCTGCGCGCCGCCGCACTCGAGCACGACGTCTGCGCCGCGACCCTTCGTGATCTCGAGGACCGTGTCGTCCCAATTCGGCGTCGTCTTGTAGTTGATGGTGTGGTCGGCTCCCAGGCTCTTTGCGAGTTCTAACTTCTTGTCTGAGGACGATGTGATGATTGCTGTTTTGCTTTGGTTTTAGTGCCTCATATCGCAGACAGAGCTCTATATTAGAGGGGAATATGGGATAGGGGAAATTAGAATACATGGAAATTAACATAATAGAGAAAAGGGTAGGTAACATACTCGTCAATCCCAACACTTTCGCGGTCTGCAGTCCCGAAATTGCTACACCGCCCGTTCCCTGAAGCAAGACGACTTTATCTTTGCCTCGAAGTGGCTGGCCCATGGGCTGAAACGAGTTGATGCCCATCCATGCCGTGACGGCCGCAATGGGCAAGCAAGCGGCTTCATCGTCAGTGAGGTAGTCAGGGACTTTGACGAGGCCGTAGGCAGGGAAGACGCGGTATTGCGTCAGACAGCCATTAAGCGGTAATCCCAAGCCAGATGCCTATATATATAACGATTCCAGATCAGTCAGTCAGTGAGTTTTGCTCAGTCTATAGACGTAATTTTGGCACCAAGTTGGGACGCAAAAGGAGACAGCCTCTCCGTGTGAATGTCCCCTTGGTCCAAATCTTATGAACAGCAGAGTTACTCACCATGTCCTTTTCAACGACCTGGCCAGTCTGATGCGTCTGGTTGAAGATAGAAGCGACGCGGTCGCCCTCGCGGAGTCCAGACTGAGTTGCGCCCGGGCCGACCTTCACGATCAATCCGCAGCAGTCGGACGTCGGCACAATCTCTTCGTCATTGCCGATGCTCCTGTGGTGACTATAAAGACCCATACACACTACATCAAGGATATTCTCAGTCTCCCTGTGTCTTCCTATGTTAACACGCTCATGGTGAGGACATACCTTCGGTATCCCGATAATTCAACGACACCCTTTGGATCTTGACGAGTACCTCGCCCTCTTTCAACCCAGATGGCTCAGGGACATCTACGACTGTGAAGCATGGAGTTAGTGCTCACGTTCTGATCAGGCTTAACCCACATACATTTGGAACAATATGCATGGTTCTGAAATGTACATCTAGAGCCGCGAATGGATTTAAGAATATAAGCATATAAGGGGGGTTTGGGGTTTGTTCAAAATCAAGCAAAGCGGTGAGACAGGCCAGAGTACTTTACTTACACCGGAGCTTGTCGAGGCCATCCTGGTTGGTAACCCACTGCTTCATGGCCCCTTACAATCTCGTTCCAAATCCTTAAAAAATTAGACGGTCGAGGCGCAATTCGAAGCGCTTTAAAAAAAAAAAAAAAAAAGAATGCAGCTAGAATTCCACAGATAGCTTAACGTGACATATCAGATGTGTACGTAGATCTGCCAATTCGGAATGAGGAGAAATCGGATGAAATACTGTGAAGTATAGTGGAGCTCGAAATCGTCATGAGGACGTGCCGTCATGAGGCGGTCCGACCCCGGACGGACAAGCCAACTTAGGGTCAATCTCCGGTATGACTTCACTATCTACTTAGGTTATAGAAAGAATTGGAGAAGTTATAGTCATCTAATGAGTCTAAAATGCTAACCCCCTAGTCTTAGATTTAGGCCCATTCTAGGGGTACGCCAAACGAGCGAGAATGCCTTCACTCAAAAAAAGTACATAAAAGGTCAGTCACTGTACAAGTTTCTTATCATAAATCATATCCTAGCCTTTCAAATGCTGTGCGAGTATGTACATGTATGCAAAAATTGCACGTAATAATGCTCATTTCCAAATGGGGGTTGTGCATCATCTATCTCAAAACGCGCCTAGATGGGGTATAAATCTTCCAGTTCAGGCCTTCCCATGAGCCAAAAATACCAACCGCGACAATGATAGATGAGCCGTAACTAGAGATCCCACATGTATCTTCATCGTCTCTTAACGTAGCTCGCCCGGCCCCTTTTCCACGACAAAACCGACCGGACGCCTAGCGCGACGATTACGCGCGCCGCGAGGGGGTATAATGCTCATGCTTTTTATGTCTATGCCTGATATCCTAGCGATCCTTTCATCATATCCCCATCGTGTGACGCCGCCCCCTTTGGTCCAACCCTCAAGGTTGCGGCACTGGCTCACATCGATCCAGGTTAATCGACCGCAGCCCTCCAGGACGCTTTCGACGCCGGACGCAGTGACTCGTACACACCCCCTAACACTCAACCGTTCGAGGTCGTTTAAATGTAGAGAAATACAGGCAAGACTGCTATCACTAACGGCACTACCGCAAAAAGCCATTTTGAGCTCTTGCAGGCGCGGTAGCCCGAGAGCGACCACTTCCGTAGCAGTATCTGACAGCGCGCAACAGAAAGACAAATCAAGGTGAGTGAGAGATTTAGCGGCGTTGACAAGTGCGACGATGGCGTTGTCAGATAGATAAGTGCAGTCGGCAAGGCATAAATGCGATAAGTTGACGAAGCGGAAAGCCGCCCATGACTGAAAGCCCGCGTCAGTAATTGATGTACAGCGCGTGAGTGAAAGAGATTGCAGGCGATTCGAGGCGTGGGCAGCCATGTGAGCCATGGAACGATCTGTGATATGTTTGCAGTATGAGAGATTGAGTCTCTTGAGCTGAGGACAACCAATGACGGTTCCTGGGGGAGGTAATGTCACGGCGTGTGCCTGTTGTCGCTGATTTCTTAGACGCGCCGCTGAGCTTGAGATGATCACTTGCTTCTGAGGAGGATGATCAGGCACGACCCAGCCCACTACGCGGGCCAAAAGGTTGTCGCCCACTTTCCGACAGTTACTCCAGTCAACTTCTTCTAAGCTCTTGGCGTGGTCACTCATTTCGAGGATCTGGTTGGCGGAAACCTCCCAGACAGACTTCATCTTCCAAACCTTGACATTCCGACCACAAAGCCTCCAGAACGACGAAAATCCTTCATCTGTAATGTGGAAGCAATTGCTAACATCAACCGAGACAGGTCTATGGCCAAGGAACGGTGCTAGCCGCTTAACCAAGATATCATCAGTAACCCGACGATTGTAAACAGACAAATCCACATTGTGACAGAGTTTGAGTGAAGTGGATAGGACTTTGAGCCAGTGAGTAGACAATCCCCTCAGACGAAATAAGTCCACGGCGTTCAGATGCTGGAAGATAGCTATCAATATATCATCAGGGAGAGACCTTTTCCCTTCACCTTTATCTTTGAGAGTTGTAGGCTTAGTTGAAAGCCGTGCTTTCTTTGTGGGGCCCTCGGAAACAGGAGATGACATGGACGGCAACGCAAATTTAATCGGTGTAGTTGTGTCGATCATGCGCGGACGTCCCCCATTAGTAGAAGGGGTGCCAGGAGAGTCACTAGGGGGCGTAGGCGGGGCAAGAGATGCTCGCCGACGATTCCTCAGATTCTCCATATCGACACTGAGATACGGGTCTGGATCTTTAGGTATTAATTGTTTAGACTCATCCTTCACAGGGGAAGCAGGCTTTGAAGGAGTCGTAAAGATGACCTGGGGGTTTGCCTGTACTGGCGTCACTGGTGCAGAGTCCCCTGCCGTACTCTCAGCGTCGGTCATGTCGATGTCTTCATTGTCGTCTTTTCTGATTCTATTTCTTGCCGTCTCCTCGACCTGCTCCCTCAGGCTACTTGGACATGTCCTCCACAGCTCATCTAGGGCTTCACCAGGAATCATTAAGCACTCGACTACGGTAATTGACCTGACTGTTGCGGTTCGCTTCTGAGACAGGCCAAGACTGGCAACTTCGCCAAAGTACTGGCCCTGTTTTAGTCGTGGCCTGATAAGAGATGACCGTTTCGATCTTTTCGGTACCTGGCCGTCTGGTGGTTCATGTATCACCTCTGCCTCGCCTCGTACTATAAAATAGATTTCGTTTCCTAACGTCCCTTGTCGAATTATGTCCGTAAAAGGGGCATACGTCTTTGGCTGAGCGCTCAGTCCCAATTGGTGGAGAATATCTGGTGGCAGCGCGGAAAATAGAGGAAGCTCCTTGAGGGTCTGTCTCACATTTACCTCACCGCTACCAAGGGCGCTACCTGCTGCTGGATCTTCAAGTGCCCCCGGACTGGGCGACTTCCTCTTCTTGTTATTCACCGCAGCACCGTCTTTAATGACACCTTCTTCGCCAGTCGCAACTTCACCGGGAATGGCTTCTCTTGCGGTATTCTGGCGGTTGTCGAGTTTAAGCCCACGGCCGCTTTCCTGACGCTTCTTAGCTGTAATTGCCAGTCGTTCATGGGCCTCGTGACGGATCGCCTTATCCATATCAGGAAATTTAGGAAGCTCGAGCTGAAGATCTTCCTTTTTAAGGACGAGAAGAAGACACTTGGTCCTGGCAATTATCGTGGCTGTCCTGGGTACATTCATCAGGACGCCGATCTCGCCGAAGAAAGATCCCGGCTTGAGCTCAGCATAAATGGCTTCTCCATCTCGAGAAGTGACAGCGACAACCCCACGAACAAGCCAGTACATAGCTTTTGCTTCGTCTCCCTCGGTTAGAATATGATCGTGAGCCGCGTGAACCTGAGGTCGTAAATATTTTCCAATCGCTACCAAGAAGTCATCAGAAGCTGACATGAAGAGGGGAAACGATCTCATGCGGTCCACTAAATCTAGCGGCATATCTGGGAAAGTTGATGCTGTGAGCGGAGAGGGGCGTATGGGCCGTGTCGGGTTTGTCTCAATATTGAATGACCTGATTAAGGATGCCGAATCCGCCAGCTGGCCATTGGCGGGATGGTGTGCCAAAGCCCTATAGGGCGATGGGGGAGTCCTTGCGCGCCTCATGTTGCCCACCAGCCCCTCATAGGCAATCCTGCTATGGAGTTCTCAATAACAAAACGTTTAAAGCTCAGTCCCGGTTACTTCAGTAACTCCTATCACAAATGGGCAGTGTATTTATCCGCGAATTGGAGACGGCCAATGGATGTAGCTCGGACAGACAATGGATCATGCTATACCCTACGGCGATCTTTAATCCGCCCACTAGCGATGTAAAGGTGAGGCTCAATGCGAACGACTCCGCCAAGTGCTATGGGTTTATATGAGAAGCGACGGTGTAGCGGTCTATTCCCACGCAAATGACGGCTGGTTGATGCACTCGATCTTCGTGTATCAATCGTGTCTCGATCGTTGAGCGGTTCACGTAGACAAACCGGGCGTTGTTAGGGGCTAAGATAGGAGGGTAGTAGGGCACAGACTGTCGTAGAAGGTGATAGGAACGAGTTCGATTTCAGTCAATACTCTTTCGAAAGCAAAACTGACCAAGCTCCGATTAGCGACTGTGCGATTACAATTACCATGCTGAGCACGGTGATATAGAGCCCCCAACAAATCGTTGGAGAAGATGTACTCACAATAGTAGAGCAAGAAATCTAACCGCTCTCTCTCTCTGTGTGTGTGTCTTAACCACGCCCAGTAATGAGGAATGACACACGAGGCAAACTGGGTTCATTTAGGCGTGCGAGTACCAAGGTGGAATTGCCATGAACACCTATTGTCTATAATCCTAAGTATGCACAACACAGCGCGGCACAGCACGGAACGGCACGGCACGATATCGTTGGATTCGCCCAGGGGCTCGGATTGGAACTGTTAGAGAGTAAGAACCCAAGATTGATTTAGACCCCGCCAGGTCTCAAGTTTAATCCGTCACGCCGTAACGAAGGTCGACTGTGCGAATAGTAATGCTACGCAGTATGATCAAAGAAAACCGAGCTGGGTCCATGGAGGTATAGCTGAGGGCCCTCCCCTTTCAAGAGGAACCAAGAGAAATACAAGGGGAAAAAAAATTACAGAGTGTGCTGAATAGTATGTGGTAAGACGTCGGTTTTCTTTCTTTGGCGTTTACTTATGCAGCGCAGCTTGTCGCATGCACATCAGCGGTACGGAGGAGCAGGGCAGGACAGGGCAGGACAAGCAGGGGGTCGATTGAGCGGGAGCGGCGGAGCTGTGCGACAAGGTAACCCAAGAGAACGTATGTATCTTTCTTAGTAGTAAGTATATTGGTACTACGGTAGTATAGGGAGGTGGTAACAAGACGAGCGTATGATGGACAGCAGCTGTAGCTAGCTTGCTGGCGATGATGTGAGATGGGCCGGGAAGCTGAATGGGAGGCGAGAGGAGGAGAGAGGCCGTGATAATAATACAATGACCGACCCTGAGACAGCGATCCTTAGAACAGAACTCTGGGAGCTTGCTGCTCGCACCAACATACTTAAGTTAGGTATGTACTGAGAGAGTACATACATGTAGGTAGGTAACTACTGCCAATGTATATGTATACTCGTTACAGCCACTATCTACACATAGGCCAGGGAGGTACCGGTAGGTATAAGGTTACTTACATATGTAAGTACCGACCCTACCTACTAGGTACATGCTAAGTACGTACTTACTTAAGTGCGTGCTAGAGTGCTAGGTACAAGGCAGGTGCTAGCCCTATTCGCCCTACCTGCCATCGATGCTAGTCTAGCACTTGCTCCGGCTTCGAAGATTAGCAGGACTAAAGTATCCGTAATCAAGGCCCTCAGGCTCACGGCCTGCTCACGGCCTGCTCGCGGCCTGTATTGGTTGGTCGGGCTCTGGTCGGGGGTTGTCGTCAGGATGGATATCGACGTTGAGCTAAAACTGTCTGAGACAAGACGCTGAGCTGATGGATGTGTCTCTCCTCCACTACAGAAAGATCATGGGTGCCGGGGCATGGAAAAGTGGAAAAGAGGAACGCCGCCACTTGGGACTTGGGGACTGGACGGGCAGTCTATCTACAACGCTAGTGGCCTTGCGGTACCCAGCGGATCGCCGTGTTCATCCGCGCTGGGCTTGTACCAAAGATACCGTGTAGGGGGATATGGTACTTTCGTGGGGCCGCGGCAGTTTTTGTTTCTTTCCTGGAACAATGAACATACTGTAGGTATGCGTCACATCTCCCTTTGTTATAATCGATACGACGATACCTACCTTCTCCAACTCTCTAGTCAATCCTTTATCATCACTTGGTCCTAGCTTTCCCTACTACGAAGTACGTACCATGCGCATTTCGACGTGGCTATTGTATATTGTTATACAACCGTCCCAAGCGACCATCCGGCAAGAGGTAGTATAACCTGTAGGAGCCCTTTGTCGGCATTGGATGAGGATGCTCCCACCATGCGGGAACGCCCTGCGGCGCGCGCGGGGAGCTGTGAGCTTTGGAGCGCGGCAGAACGGAGCACGGAGCACAGACTGGCTCGACAGTAAGCTGGCCCGTGCTCGGAGATCAGCCAGGATGCGCCAAGCGGGCTTGGACTTTTTCTAGAATTTGACCCCTGCCTACCGTATATACATAGTAGGCAGACTGTCCTGAAGAAGTTCCGGGCTGAAGGTTATACGAATGCAAGCAACTCGTTCGACAACCAACGACATTGGATGGACTTGACCTAGCCACATGGTTTACAGCAACAATAATAAGACTGCCGAACGCTGGACCCAGGATGTTGTGTATCGTACCTAGTCATACTGTAACTACTGACCCCATAACCCTCCTGTTGTAGAGTTCCTTATACCCGACGTCACTCGATCATGCCACTGACGCACTCTATTGTCTCATCTGAGACGTAATCAGACAGCCCATCTATTCTTTCCTCCTCGCGGATTTTATTGAGAGTTTTCATTAGTGCTACCTAACCTAGGTACTGTAGATAACTGCGCAAAACTGCATGTGGTATAAGCATGGCCGACATTGATCGCTGCTCCTAACGCTCCTCTGGACCCCTAAACTTGGATCCTGAACGCCGCTGAATCAGCGCTACGGGCTGTAGTACCACTGCATATTAGGAACTATCCCGCTCTTTGCCCTAACTACCTGGGTAACGACTCTTCAAAACGAAAGATCTATTTCCGGAAGGAATAATCCCGTAAATCCTTGCGTTGTGGCGGTTGCTGTTCGGTATATCCTATTGATTGTAAACATTCAAGTTGAGCGCCTCAAAAGCCACGTGGAATGCACAATGACGCTGTAGTATGACACATGGCTTGAACCAGAGAGAGAGAGAAGGGCACAAACCCTGAGGAGAACTAAAACACATGTCAAGGTGAGATTGGCAAAGCTTACATTAGCCATCTGTACAGAGGCACGTAGTTGTCAGCTCAGACCATACCCAGTCAATTGGCGGGCCTCTACGAAGTATAAAAGTGATGTAGACTACAGCGCGTTCTTTAATTCCGAGTGTACTGCTGGTATATTAACTATCGTGTATACTTGCCTAGGTATGTATCCATATCCATGGTTTTTTGTAGTTTCGGCAGGTTCAAGATGGTACACTACACAGAGATCTTATGATCCCTACCAGACAGAGTATGATGCGACAATGCGAATCGAGGGGCCGAGCCGCCCGTCAAATCTAGCATCACGTCCACCACTAGGTCTTACATATATACACTTGTCCCGAGTTAACACCACTTCACTCTAGTACTTACGGGCGCACTCTATGAACGCTTTGGCCGTACAGCGACCATCCATGCTCGTGTAATTCCGGGTTTGCTCCCGACGGTTGCGTTGAAGATTCCCATGGCGGCTACGGCGCGCTAGGATCCCTGCTGATCAATCGCCGTTTCAAGATTCGAGAAGGCTTCCACAGTGTCCCGCCTCTCCCCATCAGACCCCATCCAATGCTCTAAATTTAGTGCTGATGATGCACTGCACCCGACTCGGAGCCTCCTTGAGAGCTTTGCGATGGTTCAGTACCTGATTGCTAAGCGACCGGCGTGGCCGATATAGGCATTCCTCATCATCTTGCTTCGACTCTGAACAAAACTCGTCCGCAGCACCGTGTCCCGAGTTGCGCTACTATTTCCCAGACCCCGAGACCAGTTGTTGTTCTGTCATCTAATCTGAGGCCAGTGTGCTCGGCAGTAAGTAGATGGGATCTATCTCTACAACACCTCTCTCCGGATGATTCAACACTTTCCTTCCCATGAGTGTAGCTTTCGTAACAGCCAAAGGACCTCAGTTAGGTTTAACAGTATTCCCAGGAAATAGAGGGTGTCATTACTAGTATTGTTGACCATAAGTAAAGGGACCTATGCGGAGCTTCTAGAAAGCTTCTCCAACTCCCCAACTTCGTCTCCCCTGCATTGCCGTCGTGTTTTAGAACATGGCTATGCAACGGGACGGTGCTGTTTGATAACGGATGATGGAACTGAAACGGGAAGGTAGCGCATAGGTAGCTCAACAAAACGGCACAAGCATGTGATGGTATAGCATTTTCATCCACAAAGTGCATACGAAAAGAAGCATGGCAAAGGTATGCACTGTAACAACTTGAATGTGGGCGGAAGTTAGGTAATTTGTAGTAATGCTCGTGAGATCAGGTCTACTCCAGGCCTGACATCTGAGGCCTTCATTCGGGCTTGCAATAGTCTGCTCGGGTTGTTCTTGTCCACCAAGTTACTCAGCTAACTCCTTTCTACTGCGCGCCCTAGTCCCAGTTTCAATATGTAAATCGTTAAAGCAAAATGTGTAGTTGATAAATAGTGATTAGTAACAATACCGGAAGTGTCAACTACCTAGGTTAGATTTGATTCGACCTCATACCTATGCCCGAATTATCTGACAAGACCTAGGTTAGTTGATCCCGGAAGTGCTTCGTCGAGAGAATGCTACGGCAGACTACGGGTATCCACTGATAACTGGGTAGATAGTTGCAATCAAACACAGCCAGAGATTATACCAAATGCCTATTTCACCTGAGGTATATACGTATTCAGCCAAATATTGAAATTCCATGATCAAGTTACTTAATGGAGGCATGTAAGGTACACTACAGCCTGTAAGTACCTTCAAATGTTAGTCTAGTACCTCGGCGCGCCTTGAACCTTAGGTAGGTACCTAGGTAGTCTGTTAGGGGCGGTTGCCGAACGGTGTTCCTCGGAGTTAAGACTTGACAGAACCCCGTCCATTATTCCAGTGACTTCCTCGGTAGCTGGCGCACGAGCCACCTCATAGATTACATCAGCCACCGCCCGCCACATCTCTCTACCTATCGTCATTGACCAGCGACGGCGATTAGCTTCTCCAACTTCGCATCTTCCAACCCAACCTAGAAATATTCAATTCTCCTCTGCCACAACCATCAATACACGTACTTGTGGATTGAGAACATCGCACGCAGGAATGTCGTTTACATTAGCGGTTCGTCAGGGACCAGCGCGTCTGGTGTCCAGATTACCAGATGTCGCCAAATCCTCTCTTCGCACTTCAGCTCCTCTCCGAGCTTTCCACCGACCCGCCACCAAGCCCTCGACCTTCTTCACATCCCGCGCCACCGTCGCTTCATCGACGCTGCGCATCACACCCAAGAATGCATTCACGCAGTCGAGAGCATACCAGCAGCAGTCTGCCCCTGCTGCCGACCAGGGCACGCTTGTCCGGAGACTCTTGACGGGTGGCGCTATCTTCGGTGGTACCGTCGTCGCCATCAACCTCATCTTCAACCGTGAGACCCGAGAAGATGGCGGCATGCCCCCCTTTGAGAGATCCTACCTCAACCAGACCTTTTTGCACACTGGTCTGGGTATTGGTATCATCGGTCTAACTGCGAGACAAATGGTTCAAACTGGATTCGTTTACCGAATGATGGTCACAAGCCCTTGGGCTATTGCCATTGGTGGCTTAGCTCTCAGCATGGGTACCATGATCGGAACACGATCCATCGACCCTGACAAGTAAGCCTACTTCCATTCTTTAGCGACCTACATTAGATTACTGACGTTTTCTACTATAGCTACATCCCCAAGTATGCTCTTTGGACCGCTTTCAACGCCACCCAAGCCGCCTTCATCGCACCACTACTCGCCTTTGCTCCTCCCGCACTCATCGCACGTGCCGGTCTTTACACTATCGCTATGATGGGTTCCATCTCCTTCGTTGGCGCCACCGCTAAGCAGGAGAAGTACATGTACATTGGAGGTCCCTTGTTAGCTGGTGCCGCTTTGGTTGCTGTCTCTGGATTCGCTCCTCTGGTCCTCCCTGCCACCGCTGTGCGCACTCTCGCTTTCACTGAGAACATCTGGCTGTACGGTGGTCTTGCCGTCTTCGGCGGCTTCACGCTGTACGATGTCCAAAAGATTCTCTACCACAGCCGCCTGGCTGAGCAGGGAATCATTAAGAAGGACCCCATCAACGAGAGTATCTCTCTTGAACTCGACTTCCTGAACATCTTCATCCGTATGGTCCAGATCTTGATGCTCCAGCAGGGCCGCCGAAAGTAATCGCTTCGTGGAGCAGGAAGAATAAGGGAAATAATGGAAGGAAGGATCAATTAGTATGCTGTGAACGACAAATTGGGGCTTAATTAAGGGTTTTAACACTGCTCCTGGATTTCATAGGCAACATAACCCCTCTCTTCGGTAAAAAAAAACCTATGTAAAAATATCTTAACAGCGACACCGAAATCGGTCTTTTGTACTAGTCTGTAAATCCATCAGTTACTGGGAAGAAAACAATAATAAAAAAAAGACAATAAAAAACAATAGTAAATTTCAAACAAATGTCTGAAGTAACGCTATCACAAGTTAACATATGAAATCTAACGATGCATCTTAAAGTGACCAGACAACTAGACTCATAGTTTTGTTAGAATGCTAAGTATACATAGATAGGGCTTCTTCTAAATGGGATACTTCCTCAACATAACTCCTACTCTTATCGACCCGCGCGGTATTGAGGGTTATTTGAAACTCTGATCAGACTGTGCCTATATATACTTATATCCTATATTACTTCTATATCTACTATCTCGTGTAGCATTGTCGTTAATATAGATGGACCTATGACTTAGAAAGCAAGCAGCATATATGGCCGCGCTTCTATTCAGCTACTATTCACATCATGCATAGCCCAACACATGAGTGGAACTCAAATCGACAACACGATTAAGAATAATCGTTAGAGATGGATGTGATTGCGGAACATGATGCAGTTTATATAGATCATTTATATTCATTCGAGATCCAGAGTCGGAATACTCGTATGTTAGTATATTCTACCGTTACCAATTGAACTAGCCATTACGTCCAAGCCATTAGGATAACGGCGCCTAGACAAATCCAAGACAGAAACACACTACATATACCTCGATTACTGCCGTCGCAAAACGTCCAGTGATATCTGTGGAACGATTCTTCTCTTTCAATCCAGATTTACGCGTATCAGACAACCGCTAAGACACCCCTCACTTCTGCTCCAGCGGCTCAAAGGGACGCAGGAAATGGCTAGGGCACTCGTAGCCCCAGGGATTCTTGTTGAGATATAGCTGGTGGTAGTCCTCGGCGTCCCACCAGGGGCCGGCGGGGACGATCTCCGTCACGATCTTGCCCTTGTACCACTGCTCGTTGGCCTGCTTCGTGACCTCCTTGGCGACCTGCTCCTGCTCTTCGTTGTGGAAGTAGATCCCACTGCGGTAGTTGGTTCCCATGTCCGGGCCCTGTCTGTTCGCTGTCGTGGGGTCGTGCATGCGGTAGAAGAATTCGAGGAGCTGGCGGTATGTGACCTTTGCCGGGTCGTAGTAGATCAGAAGGGCCTCGTTGTCTGTGGTGGTTGGTTAGGTTTGATGCGCCAATTAGAGATTTTGTAGTGCCGGTTGGAAATGCTTGATACGTACGCCCTGTCTTCCCTCCGCACACCTGCTTGTAGCTGGGGTTGGTCGTGTCGCCACCGGTGTATCCCACGCGGGTATCGTATATACCCTTGTCGCCGCCAAAGTGCTTGCGATACAGGTGCTCGACACCCCAGAAACAGCCTGCGCCTAGCGTGGCCTTCTCGGCACCTTCAGGGACGGCAGCGCGAGGCGAACCGCCGCCACTGGCTGTAACACCCATTGAGGTCGACATTGGGCGGAACAGGCGCTGGATGAACGAGGGCATAGTAAATGCCATCAGAAGGAATGCAAAGACGAGAGCGACAAAGGCCGAGTTGAAGGAGATGCCGTTGTTACTTTTACTATTGCTCGTGGACTTCGATGCGGAACTCGATGTTGGCATAGAATACAGCCCGAAGACTAGACTTGCGCGATGTTTAAGATAATCAATGAATTAGGGGAAAGTGTGAGAGAATTAGGGAAAAGGAGGCACAAGTGATGTCGTCGACTTTTGCGCCACCACCTATCGGGATGGCTGACAGTTTCAACGAAGCCATGACAAATGACAAATCGTAGAGCACCCGATTTGACGGTGTGTCGGCCCCGCGAAAGCTGTCGTGCCCCGCCAAAACGCTCGATCACGTCAGTGTGAAACGGGCAGTTCCTACTCAAATGGCAGGCGCTGATTCCAAATGCCCAGGCCGGGGATTAGAGCAGACGTTGTATACTACCGCCGGGAGTTGGCTTGTGGGGTACATCGGGCATTCCCAGGGACCTTCTTCAGCAACCTCGGCAGCGTACCTACAGTAAGTGAAGGACCCTAGCAGGTAGGTAGCTACCATAGGACTGACTTACCGCCTAGTGTAGGTAAGTGCACTAGACCGAGCTAGGTACTTACCTAATACAGCAGCGTGTAGGGAGCACAATAGGTGGCTGCCCAGAGGCTCGCCAGAGCTACAAGTTGCCCATTGATCTTATCTTATCGCATCCCACTTGAGGGAACGACGCACATCTTCGCCGACCCCACATTGAACTTTCGCGACACAACTTGAGCTTAGTTGCGCCATACCATACTTCAGCGTCATTCGTCCGTTACTACCACAACTACATAGATACCCGCCATTGAGTGTCAATACCCGTCAAGATGCCGACAGAAGCTGGTCACAGATGTGAGTGCACGAGTACCATCCTCATGTTCAATCAAGATACTAACCATATTCCTCTTCAAAGTATACGTCAAGTTCGTCCACCCTGCCCAAGCGAGTCGCATTTTCCCTACATCCGATATCGTAACTCGAATCAAATATAGTCACGCGATATATGACTGACAGGTGTCTACCATGAAGAGCCCGCCACTTGGGTTATAGGCGCAACAAGCACACTACGCATCCGAACAGAAGCCTTGTCAAGATTGAGGGCGTGGATGACCCTGAGGCTGCCAGGTGTGTGCTGCATAATACCTATTATCTACATTGGTCACCCTAGTGACTGACTATACCTTTAAGGTTCTACCTCGGCAAGAAGGTTGCCTTCATCCACAAGGCTCCTAAAGAGATCAGTATGTTTCATCATTACAATGTGCTTTCATATGAACCAGACTTACAACCGTACTAACTGCTCACTTACAGGAGGCACTCAAACCCGCGTGGTAGGCAATGTTGGGTCAATTCCCACCTCTTTACATCAATACTAACTGGTCTTTGTACACAGATCTGGGGCAAGGTTGTCCGAGCCCACGGTATGACCTCAACAGAATCCAAGTCCAACCATGCAATGTCACTGATTATCTGGCTCTAGGCAACTCCGGCACTGTGCAGGCTCGCTTCTCTACTCCCCTTCCCACAAAGTCCATGGGCGCCAGCCTGCGGGTTCTACTATACCCCTCTTCGATCTAAGCCGTGAAAATGCTGGTATTTTAAAAAAAAAAAAAAGAAGTGGCTTCCTAGTAACAAGCTGGGACGCCGAGGCAAAGGGAAGACCAATTGGAGAATGGGCCCAACCAAGGACGATGAACAGCAATTGCCCTGATGGGCAAGTTGAGCCCCTACGGCTTCAGCACACAAAAGAAACCAGCCTGTTGGATTGCTGGGATATGGCGGTTCATGCACCACATGTGATACGGAAAGTCCGTGTGAATGCTAGGAACAGATCTCTGATAAAAACTATCCGTTCCTATTTATGAGATAAAAGAAATACGCTCGTATCCAGAAGCAAATAGATTACCTACACTGTTCTAGTATAGAGCAAAACGAAGAAATGAATGAATGCCAATGTTGGAATCGGGAGGGGCAAGATTTACTTCCGCTATCATTCTCATCGAGATATCGCAGTGGAATAGTCATATCTCTTCAATATCTGAATTTATCAGTATGATTTTGTTTATACTCTTTTGCTAATATTCAATCGTCGTACTGCCTTGAAGGCGAGCAACCTGTATGCGAACTACGTATACCTCTTGACTAAGTAGATAAGCACCATTCGTAACGCAAGTCAGTAGTCATGTGATGCTACACGTAGGTAAAGCCACAGCAACATCACTGATGGCTCTCGTTAGGAGACCACTACGCCGCAATGGCCACTTCATCTTATTCAGCGCAGTATACCGGATTCATTATTTGGGACAGTGGATATTAGATATGCATTCCGGTAGTTTCATGTTGACTCTTACTCTTCTGTGAATCAATAAATATATTCCGTTATGGTAGTCTTGAATATTGTATCTGTTCCCCTCTGGGAGCAGGAAATAGTCATTTTCAAGGACTACCTAGTGGACATAAATAGGTTCCCCATTGGCCTTCCCTGTGCTCAGGTGTACCGGTACATCTGAGCCTTATTCAGAAACTATACGAGAAGACCATCCGAAGGGTCGGCGTACGATGTGAGATGTATGTGGTATCCCGGATTCCGGATAGCTTTCGGATCCCACGCCGATGTAATTAAACTGTGTTTGCACTCGTGGGTTCGTCTATGTGTCTGGAAAGTGTCTTATTAACATGGCTGTAGTAGTGAATACTGAGGTATGGCGTGGAGAGATGAGGGGAGGGCATAGGTGGTCACTAGAAAGGGGTTGTTTACGATGTGCTGTGGACTCTTGTGAACGTGTTGTACGGCTTAGAAGCGGGCTAGCGATACGATATCTGAAGCTGGTGATGACACTTACCCCAGACTCAGATTGAGTCAAAGAGTTGGTCATGTTACTATGATCAGATAGCTAGTTAACTGAGTATCCTCCATCGATGCATTTGGGGCTTATGAGTGAGACACAAGCAGTAGCTTCATCCCAAGTTTACAACGTCTCTGCCGCTTGTCTTGGCTCGTCAACAACATGTCTAAGACTTAATGCTTTCTACCTCAAAATTTCACATTAACAATCTACTTGCTGTACGCTAATAGCCATGCTGTCTTGGGAGCATATTGCCTCTTCAGGGAACAGTGACTGAATACTATCCCCAGCGAAGGGCTGAGAAAAGACAGTATGACGATGTGCTCTGAAACATCCTAGATAGCATCCGGTTCTGGGGAAGTGAGTACTCGTGGCGTTTCACGATATCTAATGACGTAGTGGGAAAAGCAAACCATGGTTGGTATCCAGTGTAGTTCGCGGGTCTCACTCATTTCCTCTAAGACAAATTACCAACGCCTTCGATGCTAATTGAGTCGCGTGACGCCAAAGGTTGTCTTTGACGAAGACATGGTAGCGAACACATTTCAATATATCCATAGGACAAGAATAGAAACACATATATATGGGTTAGTCTCGTCTCACACCGAATTGCTTTGTTCTCGAACACCCATCGTGACGAATGTGAACATGTGGAAATAGATGCCACCGTTGCACCCAGACGCACGATCGTCTGCAATACTACGTTCTTTTGGTACTGTGATGAGGCTGATACTTGATCCGATATTTTGCTTTGTGGGTTTTTTTTTTGTTTTCGAACTTTGAATCGGGAATGGGCATCTCACCGTCACAAGTGGCGTCGACTGGCTGGACGCCGTACACTTCCGCAATGGGAAATGCGGCTGCCTACTCCGTGATACTTAACTTAGAAACTACAGAAAGGGAATTGTGTCAAGTGCTACACTTCCAAGGCTCAATATATGGTGTTCACGGCTTGTCATTACATACATATGTGGCTCCTACGCAGCGAGACAAGTGGGAAAAGCGGGAACGACGACGTGATTTCTATGAATAGATGCGATTTATTCGATTATCCACGAGCATTATTGCCATGTATAATACAATATGGGCTCGATATAATAGATGGTCCAGAAGGGGACGGAAATAGAATAAACAGGAGATACGAGGGAATTCTCGATATGAACGTCTAGAAGCGGAGGATAAGGATCCAATATATAGTCCTGGATAACCCCGTCTCCAAATGAAATCGCTGGGTCCAGAGCTCTGGTTCTAGGGGTCACACGACGACGCACGGGAGGTGGTAATCAGAATCAGTACGCAGCAGCGATGGGCGATCTAACGTTCTAGAAAAGCACAGATGGGATGCAGGCAAGGGGTTGAAGGGGAAGGGGACCACCAATGCAAAGGGTGTGTGTGTGAAACCCAACCGGCCAGATTCCATTGTAACCAAGAATAGCTACATTGCACTGCTTCCACCACCCCAGTTCCGTGCAGCATGATAGCATGTATTGTAATGTACCACAGCAGATAGGTAGGTAGGTAAGTTGTAGAGAGGGCAATTTAAAACACCGCCCTGCGGAGATGGCCTAGAAGTCGTCTTGCATAGTGCGCGCCTTGGCCCCCCTCGAATCATAAATTCCCCGGGAGAAGAGACGACTGGCCACTGGATATTCTTGGTTGGACTGTAACAATCCATGCATAGCCACTTGCTTGCTTGCATGCGTCACACTCCGTTTTAGAGTAGAGCCCAGGCTAGTCTATTCGCCCGTTTTCTCCTTGCGCGCGGGAAGGTGTCGACTAGCTAGCGAGATCTGGGTAGGGAGGGTGTGGGAAAAACCGGGGTATAGGGTATTTACCCATATTCGAATTCAGATCGAGGTGAGCCGATTTCGACGCGAGATTCTACCTGGGGTGGCTAGATAGCTACGTGGATAGCTGGGGGGAGCTAGGGGTAGCTCAGGGTAGCTACGGCAGAAGCAACTTTGATCCGAAGTCTGGAAGCACGTCATAGGAGAAATGAAAAAAGTAATAATAATAATAATAATGTAAGTGTTTGTATTGGTGGTTGTCTGTCTCTATTGATGGGCGCTGGGTAGTTTTCATCGCCCTCTGTTGTCTTCAGTTAGAGACACGAATGATCAAAATACCGTGGGCCCCTTTTCCCATTCCATGCTAGTGATTGCCGCCAAAAAAAAAAAAAACAAATATGGCCCCCGTCCAAGATGAATCCCAACCCAGAAAAAAAAAAAGAAACCATGAAGAACATTCAGGAATTGCTTCCCCATTATGAAGCGAAAGGGAGGTTAGGTTGGTGGAGGCTATTATTACACGAAAGACAGTGGTATTTTCCAAAAACTCCGCCCATGGCATGAAAACATGATAGAAAACGCTGGTAGTGCTGTGCCCCTGGAAACAACAATCATAAAGTCGTCATGAACCCGACCATTTCGGTAGTTCTTGGGATGTGTAGGTAGGTAGGTAGATATGGGGCGAGGGCGTTGTGCTGTGACCTGCACTGTTGGTCGTAGTTCATCTTTCTGAGCGACAGCTTTTTGCGAATGGCTTATCTACTTCCCTTCATGAGGGGTCAGACAAACCGCGCCCCCCACACTGAGGCGCATCCGACCCTCATCAGTCATCTCTTCGTCACGACGTCGAAATAAGCCCCGGGTAGATAGAGTCGGGGGCTCTTAGGTAGCGAGTGTCTTTTCGTCGACGGGGTGTCCCGTCGACTATGTAGCTGAAACAGTGTAAGGCGTGGTAGGGTATCATCGGATCTACGATGCTCAGATAAGGTGTAAAAAGGATGGTTCGAGACCATCGTCCACCCGATGTCATGTTTGATCGTCGTGACTGGGCTATCGTGCGTCTAGGCCGCGGCCTCATTTCCCATCTGGGGCCGGTTCTGGGGATGGCAATACCAACAACTACCGGTGGTGTATTCCGTACCGCAGTTCCCACATGTGTGCATATGCATCGTGTTGACGAGGCTTCTAGAAGCAGCACAGGCTGAGGTTGATGATGCTGCCATTGTGAAGAGTTGATGTGACTTTGGCGTATATATGTCTATGTGTGTGTGTGTGTGTGTGTGCCACGGTGTATGTGTGAATGTATGCGTGTGTCTAGTCTGTCATTCCCCCGCGTTAGATCTAGAGCTCTCATGCGTCTTCGTGGGCATATAAGGAGCCTAGATCCTCCATCACGAGGACGGGGTTCTGGGCTCCAGAATATTCCATCACCAAGTTGGCAGCACGCACATACCTGAGTATATATGGCTAGACTGCGAGCAGAAAGTCGGTGACGATGTGCCTTGGAGCAAGTTTGGAGTTTGTTATCTCTTTTACGTGGTAAGGGAAATTCCTCCCAAGTGAGCACAGTTCGTTATGGGCTGATGGGTGTGTATGTGTGTTTTTATTTTATGACGATGGTGATGATGGGATGTGGTGGGCAGAACTTTTGCTGTGAGCAGTGAATGAAAAACGGAAATGGCAAGGTTGATATCAAATGTCGATCGTTCCTCCTCGCAGGTTATCAAGTCGTCGAGGGGGGGATTTGCTGGCATTATCATACGGGCAACTTACTATTGTACCCGTGGACCCTTTGGATCTTTGCACCTTTGACGGCGCTCGAGCTACACCCGTTCGGTACATGCTACAACGCACACCAGAGCACACTACGACGAAAGCGACGATGGAAAGAGGGGACGGAGCAATAACAGCCAGTACCTACATGTCGCTACATATCGCTACATGTACAGGATTATCCCTCGTGGAAGCTGCCGATGCAGGCCAGCAAGTCCAGGTGCGCCCTAATGCAGCATTCAATAGTTCGACGATGGGCTGGAACTTGGGATGAGACCCTCCCCACCATGCAATGACCTGCCCGAAGCCGCAATCGACTGCATTTTTAGCACGCGTAGAGCCAGCAAGCGAACGACTGCCGCTTTGGGCCAATTATTCCGAGGGTTGGCCTGGGGCCTTCGATAGGGGGGGAATAGTGGTAGTGGTGGTGGTCTTGGTGGTGGTCTATGAATAGGTGACTGGAACAGAATATACCCGATGCTGCGCATGTCGTGTCCATCTCTGGAACTCTGGAGATTCAGACAGAAAGAGAGACAAGACAGACAGACAGTCAGTCCGTCAGTTCCAGCGCTGCGTTCCCAGCTCCACGACTCTACACTGCCCATCTCCCTACCTCCGCAATACCAAGAATATGGCTCGTTAGTGTGGGAGGCATGTACCGGTATTGTCCAGTATTGCCCATCGTGTTCACAATACTAACTAGTACATAGGAAACGATATCGCAATTATTGCCCATCCCACGTCGACTATGGGCTATACTTACACATACTGACAGACAGAGATCCACGCACTATCAATGTGTACGCAATCCTCCATCCACCCGCGCGCTGATCGGCTGTTAGTGTACACTAACCACACGCTCTCAACTCTGTAGCGGCAAGGGACACACCTCGACACTTAAGTACTCTACAGACAGTACTTAGGTATGCAGTTGGTGTACGATCAGTGTACGATGTAGTAGTCGAGGGTAGTGTGAGTAGTCATGGAATCTCCCCAAGCTGTGTGGATGGGATGGGATGGGTGTGGCTTACTGCCAGACTGGCTGCTGGGAATCCGCTTGACCAGATCAGGGACAGCTTCGTGTGGAAGGGCCCTGGTCGGTCCCCTGGTCTGTCCCTGGCCTGTCGCAAGCCGGGTCCCAAGCCTGTCCCTCGCCAGCGGGATCAAAATGTCACGCCACTCAAGCATTTCAACCAGCAACGCTAGACCGGGTCTACTTTCCCACGTGGACCCCGCCTATTTTCCCTAATTAGGACTTACAGATAGGCAGGTACCTATTCATGTACCTATTCATGTACCTATTCAGGTACCTAGGCGCTGTAGGTAAGTATCTCAAGTACCTAGGCGCCAACAACCGCCAACAACCCACTAGGTACGCTAGCAGGTAGGCGGGCTGGGCACAGATATGGGCACAGATATGGGAGCAACAGTCAGACTTGCTTATGGACAATGCTGAACTGAATCTTGGTCAGCCGCCTGAGAATCTAGTAGGAGATAGATACACTAGATACGGAAGGGATTCCTACTAGTGTACCTGGGCAGGCTATCTAGATACCTACTGCAAAGCTGGGGGTAGCGTACAGATTAATGTCCTGCCTGCCAGGCTACTGTGCCTACTGTAAGTAAGTTCTGCATGAATCCCCCCAGCAAGCGTCCCACAGCTGTTACGACCTCTGAGGTAGGCTGGGCGAAGGAGGTACTTACTTGGACCAACCAGGTACTTACCAAGGTCCCCCACGGGTGTACCCAGCACGGCTATAATCACCATCATCGCTACAACCAACACTGTCGGTGAACAAGCTGCGCGAGGTACCTGTCTTATCACCAACCACCACGGCGCTCTTCATGCCGCCACGCTCATTGCTGGCCTGGTTGTCTATCGCCAAGGCACAGAAGCTTATTACTCTACGATTACAACTCTATGTAAGTACGTGTACGAACCCTCTCCCACCTCGGCTACCGTAGAGTCACCTGTCAGATCAGATCGTGTTGGTAACTAAGTATGCACACGTAAGTATGATGGGTAGCTCAACTTCGCTTGATTGCACTGATAATGTAGGATCGCGGAGCTGTCCGTTCATCCTATTGTACACGACAAGCCCAACCCCAGCACATATCGACAAGACCTTCCTATATATCAGAACGAGGCAAAACCACTCGCCCGCTCGCTCTCCTGATCGCCGGACCACCTCACACTATCCACTCCTATATGTACAGCCTTTAAAGGGGGACAGCTGAGGATCTAGATGGAACGACAATGTCAATATAATGCTTCATCAACCTTTGCTTTGCTGCCAATATTTTGTCTGACTCGCCCTACTGTGTACTTCGCTTACACTTACTCGAAATTAGATGGAATCGCTGGGAATAAGACTGATGCTTATTTTTTCCCCCCTTTGCATCCGCGCCCCCGGCCGGCAGCTAATATTCTCCGAACACACACGCCAAGAGTCATCAACAGAAGAGAAAAGGGGAAAGTCGTTTCTGGTTGCCCTATTTACATACATACCGTAGTAGGGTAGATGGGGGAGACCGTGAGGGCGGCATTTATTCATGCTCACCCCATAGGACGAAAACTCACCGGCTCGCTACCACCACAAGCCCCGGTGCTGCAGCTCCGCTATGGCCCATCGTGTAAGCAAGCCAGAAGAAAGATGCATGAGGACCTATTCTACACCATACTTGCACATGGGCGGATAGAGCCTAGTTCTCGACACTAGGCATCACGGTACCTATACTAGGCATACAATATCTGTCTTAACATTGATACCTAGTGTCGCGTTTATGGGCAAAATTGAGTCCGCTTTCGACGTCGTCCTCATCGTCGGTACCAGCTTTCGTCTCCCACAACGGCTGAGCGCCTCTGTCGCCTAATCTGCCATCGACTCCCACTAAAATCAAAGAGGCGCTTCCAGCTAACATGAGCTGAGCTTAGCCATCTTTAATTGGCCTAGCATTCGGGTTTGGGCGCTTTCTACTGACGCTGCCGGGCCCGAGGATCTGTTAGCGTCAGATGTGTGAAGCGTCGGGCTGACTCTGCGCTAGAGTGAGCAATGGTGCCCTCCCGTTTGGCGATAGTAGGCGCCACGCGCTCAAAAGAAATGCCATGCATCGGTTGTCCAGCGCCTTGGGTACGAGCAGGGCTGTGGGAAACCGTTGTTCTTCCCGGGGTGAGCGAAACAACTCAAGAGACGACTGATTGCTGGTGAGACAGACCTCAGCTTAAGCGCAGAGAGCTGAAGATCATGCCTTTTTCAATACTTGAACGACCACGATGACCTCTTATAGCATCGATAGGTAAGAATTCCCTCGGGATTGTTTAATGTCGATCCTATCATCTTTATACAGCCGGTAGAATGGCACTCCACATTCCGAGTTTCACATATAATGAGTATCTATTGAGTATGACTCTTTTGTCATCCCACTACTTAAGCCCGTCAAACGAGGCCCGTGTCCTGCCCGTGTCCTTACCTGTGCTTTTCGGCGTTCAGCCGGCTTGGCATGCGGCCAGTTGTGCCCATCTGTCCAGGAATGCGTGGGGGTATCTGGAGGATTGCAGGGCAGGTTGTGACTCGTGACTGGGAGAAGTGAAGTTCCTTGCGCTGCTGCCCTTGCCGAAAATCCGGCGGCAAGGAGGGTAAGTCACGGAACGCATAAAGGGTCCTCCCAATCCGACTCTCAACACTGAGTTGGAGGAAGAAATGCCAAGAATTTTATATTCGACTCTCTTTAGGCTCAAGATTACTCCGTTATTATAGATACAGAAATCTCCGAACCCTTGATAATTTCGTCGCAATGACGTACTTCGGCCATGGGCCGAAGCTACAGCTATAAAGGCAATGTTGCCATATTATCATCGGTTGACGCGACAGTTCGCTGTCAATAGACGATTGAAAACCGGGAGAGAAGGTCGCAAGCGCCCGCCAAGAGCAGTCACGATACCAAACCAGCATTGCGACCATGGGCCAACAACCCTCGCTTCCAGGGCCACCTGGGACCAAGTTTCGTGTCATTGGTGCCGGAATGTGAGTTACATTTGTCCGGCTTTTTTTCATTATTTTTTTATAACATGACTACCTAGGCAGAGATAGCACATCCGCCAGTGATGCAGATGCTGGGTTCATGTCACTTCTACTAGCGGGGCATCTTATTGCTGCTGCCCCCTCCAATGCAGTCTCTTAGAGATAAGCTGACACTGGTTAGGTCGCGTACCGGTACCAAGACACTTAACGAAGCCCTAACGGTCCTTTTGAAGGGCCCGGTTCATGACTCCGGTATCCAGTCGCTGGGTGGGCCAGTGGAACAGATCAGCGCTTGGTTGCAGATTATGACATTGGCTCCCAAGGTCCAATCTTTCTCCGACCAAAAAAAGCTCGATTGGCTACTATCCTCTGTGCTTGATGGTTATGTAGCTACCATGGATTGCCCAGCTGCAACGCTTACGCCGGAGATTATGCGCGTCTACCCAGATGCCATCGTGATTGCAACAACGAGGGATGAAAACTCGTGGTGGAAGAGTATGAGCCATCTAAATAGCATGATGTCTACGTGGCACCTGCCCCTTCTGGTACTCTGGCTACATAAGAGTCAAGTCTATGGACTCTGGATGGTTAGATTTAGCGGGATCATGCAATGGCGATACAACTCGGAAGGGATACAGGAGGATACTCTTCGAAAGCATGAGCAGCATCTCCGCGACACTGTTCCGCCCGAAAAGTTATTCTGGTATAATGTGAGCGAAGGATGGGAACCACTCTGTCGGATCCTCAACGTCCCTGTACCCGATGTCCCATTCCCTCATAACAACAATAAGATCGATGCCTCAAAAACAGTCAGGGAGCACGTTATAGCCGGTATCATATCATGGATATTTGTACTATCATCGTTCGCTGCCATGATTTACCTTGTGAGGAGCTGGTACTCGAAGAATTTCCACTGATAGATAGGTATTTTATAAATTATCTTATAATTAGACAATCAGAACAATTTATTTCGTATTGCCCTCGTCGTCATGTGCTTATAATCATATACAGAAACGCCACTCTAGAGATGCAGCCCTCATCTGCATGTAGTCTGCATTCTTAAAACCGAATCATTCTGCTCCCGTGAAATTGCAATCTCAACGTCTTACGGACCAAACGCCAATGGCGAGAGCGCTTAGCGCCCCCATCAGCGACAAGGCGTTTCTTCTTCCCCTTGCACATATTTTCGAAACTTGCGCCTGAAACTGCTTCGTATCGTTCATGCGAGGATAAGGGACTTCAGGAATGTCTACCTCCAGGAAAGGACATATCTGTTCCCAGCCAAGTCCTTCTTCCAGTTTGGCAATGAGCAATCGGTCTGCTGGAACCAGATCCTTGACCCGCGCATTACTGGCACCTTACGTCAGCCTCCACCCACGAGCCATCTGTCTCTCGTTCCCGGCGTAGAAGGCGGAATGTCGCTGCCCTGTCAGACCTAGGGAGAGGTTCACTCACTATTCTTCATACTCTTTCATCGCCGCCTGATAGCCTGCCTCAGTTCGCCCATACCCTCGGGTGATGGTCTGGAAAATCAAATCCACCAACCTGCTGAATTGCAGGTCCGCTAGGTCAAAGTACTTATAGAAATTCGCGGGGAAGCTGTGCGCCCGAGCAGCGAGCAGGCCGATGGTGTTCCATACCGACTTGGCCCAATTCTCGGGCTCTCTCACCGTCAGGATGAATTTGGCATCCGGGTAAGCCTGGACAATCTCCTCGGTGAGGTAGCACGGCACAATCGTGAGGACCTAGAAGGGGAGCATTTCCGCCGTGTTACTGAGCGCCCATCTTATTGGATTGGGATTGGGGAGAAATCAAGTTCTCACGTCGTAATTCCACATCCACTTGTCAAAGTCGGGCCGAGAATAAGGTTTGCCCTGGCCCGTCCGCTTTATCTGCAAGGCCTCGCTGAACATCTTGATGTGGGAATATCCATTCTGTACCACCTGGTGCATATTATAGCTCCAGCCGACGATCTTAGCAACACCGAACTGCTGGGTCTCTTTTTATCCTCCCACCCCACCCGGGCCCCCTTTTCACACTAAAAGATGCGGGAACTCACGGCTTGTAGCCCAAAAATTGCATCGCATTGCAGAGGCCCAGTGTGCCGGAGCTAAAACCTGTCAGTGGATGAGTGCGAATTGGAATAGACGAAAAGAAAAAATATATATATCAAAAAGGTGGTTCGCAATGTTTAGTCGCCTTGGCTCGACTCACCGGCTGTAACTAAGGACGATCACTCTTTTCTCCTTGACTAACTCCGGGTCCGGCGCCGGCACGGTATCGACGTATCGCGACGAGCTCATGTTGATTTGTGAACACTTCCAGTTCTCAACACTACCAATAATAAATAATTGAGATCATCGACTTGACAGAACAAGACAGGATCTACAGCGTCGAGTCAGAGAGTAGCTAGCTCATGAACTATATATATATACTAGTATATATGCCGCAACTTCCCTAACAACCTAGGCTAACCTCTCGACTAACCTACATACTGTTGACCAGCATAGAAAACAAGCTTCGGGGATTCTCTCCCTCTCTCTCTCTCTGTCTCTCAACGGTCGTACGAGCTATGATACACGGATGACAAATTCTGGCTGCTTGCAGCGCGCCTATTGGAGCAAACACGGGCCATCCTGTTTGTGAGAAAGTCGAGAGACACTAAACCTAAGCGTCTCAGATAGCTAAACTTACCTTAGTTGCCGGGAACCACCCATGGCGCATGTGGGAACAATGAATTGTGGACTGGAACGCTTCAGCTGGAGCAAGTCTTCAGTAAGTTGCATTAACTTGGACTATTCAACAGGTGAGTGGGTTGGTTGGCTGACTACTGCAAGTAAGTGAGTGATTGACGCACACGAAGCATTGATTAATGAAATACGAGATACTCCCGGGTCTGTCTAACTAACTATGCGTTTGGTAAGATTCTTGCTGTTGAGGTAAATGGCTGTTTATGCTTAAGCTCATTCTCAAATCCATGGGTCGTCTCACGAGCAAAAGAGTCTTACGACGGTGTGAGACATCTCTGTAATTAGATGCCGTTGCAATGTTGTCATCGGTTAACTTCGTTACGCAATCGGCAACCCACACACACATCTTCAGCGGCGCTAAGTAACGGCTTGGTTAAGAAGGTACAGACTAATTAAGTGAGTGGCTCGCACACTGTCCAATTATGGCGTACAAATGCCGCCATAGCTATTCAATTTGATTGTTCTTCTCTTTCGTCCTGGGCTACAGATCTCTCGGATACCTGGGCTCGGATATGTATGTAGGCCAATTTGGCCGATAATTCCAAGATATATCTCTGATACGGGGTATCCCTGCTATGATAATGTCGTACATTGTGCTCACCGGCACAGGCGACTTGAATACACCGGAAGCTTAAGAGATCTTAGTTCTTTATAAGTGGCCGTTATAGATACTTATACATCTAATCGTGATAATTTGGAAGCTTTGTGGATTGTGCAAATGCCATTCATAGAGAGCTACTTCCAGGAGGCCCATGGCATTACCTAATAGCACCCTCACACTGAATGTCCGTTCGATGAGGCTATCTCTATTTGTCCTTCACACAGTTCTGTAAGTAGGACAATATTTAAACGAATTTATGTGCGCTTCACGAAATTTGAGCCCGCACCCTACTGATACATGCAGTACAGCATGATAAACCCACAGAGAGAGACTTGATCGCCATTTTAGTGTATCTATCTACTTACAGGTAAATCCACAATGTCTGCTGCCCTAGGCGATCCATCTCCACCAACTTAGCTGCCGCAGATACTTTCCAGCATATTCCCAGTATTGTACTTGCAAGTAGAACTGGAGTTCGGAAGGGTAGCCACCTCAGGCCCGCAAAACAAGTCCACATGAGTCGGAACTCGGGAGTGATTTGACGGATCCACACATGTGAGCCGCTCTCATGATCATCGGTGCTAATGCATTTTGCTCGCATACTAAGTATCAACTGCATTCTACCAGTCTACACTATCTCCTCTTATTGTCCCCGATTAGACCGATAGAGCCATAGAACCACAGTATTTCCCTTCTCGTACGACGATCTCTATTTACAAATTCCTCCCAGTTGACAGCACAGCGATCACGCCATCTACACATGGTGGTATCGATTAGACGATTTATTATGCCTTTCAGCGAGTTAGATATCATGGGTATCGTGGGGGTCATAATCCAACCAACGGTGGACGATCCCTTTCTCATTCAAACTGTATCTACACACGCTACCTAACTGAAGCAATCTCGAGTCTTTTCATTCTACTGTACTGCATGGAGAACACGAAAACGAAACAGTGGACCTCTTCAAACACGTTGAGTTGCGTTAGTATCTGTGATCTCCACCGCCGAAGGCCGTTTGTCCCCCTCGCCCAACGACTTGGATTCGGATGGTAACTCGCCAAAGAGCTCACCCATATGTTCTAGCGAGACACCTTCATGGCCAATTAGCTTGATAACCCCTTTTATGCGTCAGATAGCGGTGGAAAAACGTACCCTTGGTTTCTGGAATGAAGAAGTACACGAAGATGACCATAATGACACCAAAGCTGCCGTATATGAAATAGGTCCTAGAAGGCCACTGAATTAGCAGAATTCTCATAATAACCTCAAAATTGTCATCTACGTACCCGTATCCCTTGTAGCCCAATGTCGCCAACATGACGGGAAGCGTCCGGGCAACAACAAAGTTGAATAGCCACTGAGTGGCTGCAGCGAGAGAAACGTTTAGCGGTCGTAGACGGGCAGTCGGGATCTCCGAGACCAAGATCCAACAGGCTGGGCCCCAACCGAACTGGAAGAATGCGGCAAAAACGAAGATAAAGGCCAGGGCGAAGTAGCCAGCAACGGGCACCGGCGCACCGTTCACCGGTGGAGCAACACGGAGGTAGATGCCAATGTACCACATGCAAAAGGACTGGCCGATTCCCGAGACGAGGAGCGACCGACGGCGACCAAGCGAGTCGGCCATGAAGAGCAAGAAGACACTACACGAGACGACCTTGACAATGCCGTAGACACCGGTGCCGAGCAGGGAATTCTGGGTGCCCATGATACCAAGGTTCGTGAAGATAGTTGGCGCATAGACGTTAATGGCATTGGTTCCGGTCAACTGTTGAAAGACCATCAACAAGATACTCAGGATCGCTCGCTTGCGGTTGGATGCGACCGTCCACATCTCCTTCTGTAGCGACCAGAAGTTTGCGTCACCCATGAGTTGCCTTTCCTGCTCCAATTGATATGCGATTTCTTGGAACTCTTCCTGAAGATAAGGGTGGTCATCGGGCAGTTGTCGAAGTCTCCTCAAGATGTTCTTGGCCTCTTCCCATTGGTCCTTGCGAGCGAGGTACCTTGGCGACTCGTCGCAAATCAACATCAACGAGAAGAGAAACAGAGCAGGGAGACCTTGCACTGCCAGGGGCACGATGTACTTGGTCGCGCCATGCAAGTGCAGTTCGGCGCCGAAATTCGTCCAGAAGGCAATCAGACTACCAGTGACAATGAAGAGCTGGTACATGCCAGTAAGCAGTCCACGAATGGCCCGGGGTGCATTCTCGCTAACATAGATGGGATTCACGACACTGGATGCTCCCACACCAAGACCTATTTGGAAATTGTTAGTTAATCCAGAATTTCATAAGGTTACTGAATGATTCTTTGACGGATGGATACTCTTACCAGCTACGAATCGGCCAATGTATAGTGGTTCGAGATGTCCCGATGCCGCCGCTTGCAGTATCACTCCTGCAAGCGTAAATATAGAAGCATATACCAGACACCATTTACGGCCCAATAAATCGGCTAAGGGGTAAGCCGCGAGAGCACCGGCAAAGCACCCAGCTTGGAGCACGGACACGATATTCGCTTGGAGGTTCGCCGAAGAGACACTACTGGTGTCTCCTAGCTTATAGTCTCTGGCAGGAGAAATCCGCGTTAGCACGTCTGATTCTTCAAGATCGACATAGGCGGAACACGTTTTAGCTTACTCTATAAAAGTATCGAGCTTAATGACACCTCCGATGACACCACTGTCCCAGCCGAAGGAGGCAGCACCAAAACACGCCTGACAGATGTCAGCCAAAGAGCATTGAACTGATGAACGGGGAGCGGCGCAATCATACCGAACATGCTAACAAGAAGACTCTCCATCCATAGATCTCCTTGGGATCAGTTTTCATCGCCTCATTCTTCACGATCTTCTGCAGGAACCTTTGCCCCGACATCTTGCTGACGGATGGAGTACCCTCGGGTAATTGACTCTGCTACGATGGCCCACTCGTATTCCGTGTTTGAGAACAAACTGACCCAACGCTAACTGTGACCGTTAATTCCCATCGAGGATTGAGGAAAGGTAAGCCTAAATTAAACGATATCACACCCCCGAGCGCGACACGGCCTGTCTTTAAGTGAGCCTAAGCGTCGTTCGCATTTTCGGGGCGATGAGCCGATCCATAGCCATGGAGACCTGGCCGATGCAGCATGGTATCATTCGCTCAGGCTAGGTGCTCTCCTGAGGGGGGACCCGGATAAGGTCACTCACAGTTGGGGTTAAGACCCCTTACCTTGGGGCAAGTAGATGTCCTGGGGCCCGTTCGCGTTTGCTCTCAGCTGTTTCTAACAAATCAAAAGAAGAACATGGTCTTCGAGAAATTATTCCACCAAGCAGAAGTGGAGGAAGACGTCAAACCCCAGCTTAAGCTAAGCACATCCGGGGCACGGGAACCTACCCCATGGGGCCACCACACCTAGTGAGGAGTCTACCCTTGTTTAGTGCTGGAATCCTGCCACCGCGGGTTAGTTGAAAGTGTCGGTAACTGTTATAAGTGCCGGCCTTGGCTAGCAACTCATTCATGTTTCTCGCTGTGAATTCTTCCGTCTAGTCACCCTGCAAACTTGCCAGTCTCTGTCAGACAGGTCGCACATGCGTCAACGACAAATATCAGATACCTAGAGCTCCAACAGCAAGCCAAGAAAAGTCACAGACAGGGGTTGAAAAGTAACGGCCGGCACATAAATATACTAGCGAACCTACCATCGACAGGTTGGGTGCGGAGATATTACTACGCTAGATATTAGGCTTAATGACGGGGAAACGAACGAGGTGATTCGGTAAGCTATTCACCGTGACTCTCTCATGCATATGTTTTTCCGTCCTTGCAGGAATCTATACACCCATGCGTTGAAAAGTCCTTAACGCATGCAGGATATTTGTGAAGAACTGTAGCTGAACAAACTTTCTCTGTTGAGGCGAAAATAGTTCGTGTGTGCGTGCATGAGAAATTGTGGATATTGATATAAGTGTACGACTACTTATGATGCCCCATAAACCGCGCGGATGGAAGGGATGTATTACTTCGTAGGTAGCTATATATATACATTATCGCCGAGGCGAACGACGAAGTTCGGATGATTCCGCCTTGATAATGACAGTGCATGGCACAGCTATGTAACCTCTGGGAAGGTAGATAGGTAAGATGATAGGAGTGAGTATGAGAAAAGCAACGAGGTATTTGTGAGTTTCGATACTCTTTCTTAAAATAGGTCAGTCAAACGTAACTCAATTTATTTCCTGCCTCACCTTATTAGTGTACTTACATTTCCCAAGGGGGGGGTAGATGAAATTCGGGGTAATGATATGCGGAGTTGTGACAAACTACGTGTGTACCTATCTTGTGGGATCGGATCTGGTCTGGAGACGAACAGCCGCCATAGTCACATCTTGAAAGTTTGATCGCGAGATTATCACGAAAATAAACAAACTGAAAAAATTGACCATACATAAATTTATGCCAGACTACAGACGTTGGCCCGATTCCACGTGAAAAGATCTAGGCCAAAAGGAAGCATCCTATGACTCTACAGCCTCGTCACTTAACACGTCCACACCCAAGATGCTCTCAGATCCTTACCGCACAACCCTAGGCCGAGACCCAGCGCACCGCACCTGCGCCCTAAACGGGTACGCGTTCCAACAAGACGCACTTCACACATTCAAAGGGTGGCAGTACGCGTGTTTCTACAGCAGTCTAGCTGCTGACACCCCAGAGCCTCTCTACGTGCACTTGTCGCGGCGGAAATTACCAGCCGGAGATTGGGAGACGCTCGTCTTCGAGGACTATGCGCAGACCATAGACGATGGACATAACACAGTTCAGGTAATAGGGTTTCCAGCAAGTGATATGGTGATTTGAATTCGGGTGTAGAGTAAAGTGAGTGAAGGCGCAAGAAGATTTTATAAAAGGGGGCAAAGGAGAAAGGGATGATGATAGTAGAGATTGGTAGACCAAAAACTAACGCTTGCGGAGGAACGCCCGTAGCTCGGCATATGTCCCGGGGACGGCACCATCCACCTATCGTACGACCACCACTGTGATGTCCTGCGGTACCGATACTCGCGCCCCAGCGTGGCGACATCACCAGAGACGACGCCGTGGCACTCCTCGCTCTTTACGTTAACGCTCTCTACGCTCCCAGGCCTCGAATACGACGAGCAGAGCAATGAACTGCTGAGCTACATCACGTATCCTCGCTTCGTGACGCGGGGGCAGGATCTCCTATTCACGTTCCGCACGGGTAAGGCGGGGCTGGGAGATGACCATCTCTACGTGTACACGGCCCCGTCCTCCTCTTCTTCTCCAGCAACAGAAAGAAAGGAGACAGGAACGAAAGAAAGGCCGGAACTAGGACGGTACAAATTCCTCGGCACACATCTCAAGGGCGTGGCGAATAACCCGTACATCCACGGCATGGACGTTTCCCCGGACGGCAGGACGCTGCACACGACCTGGGTATACCGCGAGTTCGTGCTCTACGACGGCTGGGACGATCCGAGCGACACCAAGCACAAGCAGCAGGCGGGGCCCAATTCGGCCGCGAACAATCGGGACATATGCTACGCGTGGTCGTCGGATGGCGGGACGCGATGGCACGGGGGCGGGGGTAATACTAACACTAAGATCAATACTTCTAACACGGGAGAAGTCATCGCGGATCTAGAGCGCGGCGAGAGCATTCTCCCGTCGTCCCCGGGCATCGTGGCCTTCGCCGTACCGAAAGGGTCGGGACTGATGAACCAGGAGGCGCAGGCCGTAGACGGCGCAGGAGGCGTGCATGTTCTGAACAGAGATACGCTGGACGCGGGCGTGATGCGGTGGAAGCATTACTATAGATCCCCAGAAGGTGAGCTAGACTATTCTATTTTCCTATTGCCGAGAAAAATTATTTTCTCTGGCTTCCTGCCACCTAGTTTGTTGGCTGACGAGTTGCGGTACTCATATCCAGGCAGATGGGCGCAGAGACCGCTCCCGCATGTGCAGGGCGTGTACGGTGGGAAGCGCGGCCAGATCGCCGTGGGCCGCGACGGAGACTTGTTCTTCGTGCTTCCGCACCACGCGGACCCTGTGCTGACGATCCTGCGGGCGTCGAAGGCAAGTCGGTATGAGGAATACGAGCTCGTCTGGCGAGGGGAAGGGTTCGTGCCTACAGAGCCGCTGGTGGATAAGGCGAGGCTGTGCCATGATAATGTTCTCTCGGTGTATACAAGGGCATTTTCCGGATCTGGGGGTCATATCGACGTGGTAGTGCTTGATTTTCAGCTCTAGATACTCCTGAATTGCAGGATACCTAGATAGTCTTTGAGTTGAGGGCTTTTGATGTTGGAGAAACTGATTACAAGTGGTCTATTAGTAGGCTCCAAGGTGATCGATAATCTAGATATCTCGCTTGCTATCTTATACAATAGTTGTTCGTGGTCTCATTATTAGTCCCCTTTCCAAACGTACGTGTCCCCAATAACGTTACTTTTTTGTTACATGACCGTTGGTCTTCTCATCTACTTTCTTTACTTCCGGTTTTATTTCTGCTTTCGGAGTAGGCGAAGCAAAGAGTTTGGTTTGAAGCCATGCCTCTGCGTCAAATCCTGACACGATTGATATCTCCAATGCGCCATAGGCGACCAGAATGAGGAGCAAGATAATGTCAAAGATATGAACGAACCACCAATAGTACTGTCGGCCAAGTGCACAAACAGTAAACTCGTGTTTCCATTCCCAAGAATCTTGATCAAACCAAACACTGAGGAGTCCGGCGTGTCCACCGAAGTCAGCCATCATGCTTCGAACTGTAATCTCCCGAATTCCTGGAAGCCCTGTCTTCTCAGGCAGCTCATCCTTACGGGCTGCATCCCAGCGAGCGACCTGCCATTTGCGCTCATCGCTTGGCAAAGATTGGTTGATGTAGTGATAAGTATCGCAACCTTCGTGGTCATGGCCGTTCAGAATAACGCCCCTTCTTCCTGTTCCGGCAGCTGGTGCGTTTGCATCGCCACTAAATCCATAGATGCCTTCCAAAAACCCTCGAGAGGCGTCCGCCGATAACTGATTCTGTTCTTTGACCCCACCGCCCTCATGGAAGTCGAAGAATGGTGCGTCGACGCACACGCCTTCAGGCTTATAAAGGGGGATATGGGTGAGCACTATGGTGTAGTGGCCTTTGAATTCTACGGCCGAAGAAGTAGATATTATGGCGTTAATAAACTTATACGTGTAATCCTGCAGCGACTCGTTAAGAGCGGGTGTGTCTAAATTCATATTGTTGATATTCAAAATTCGGAGTTCTGGAAGTAGTCGGTTGGATTCCGGGTTGTTCTCCGGGTCAAATATGGTCGCATTCGTAACAGGATCCTCGATAGGTAGTTCGAAGCGCAGCTCATAAGCAGCTTTCCCAAAGGCGCGCTCGAACCGATCCAGAAGCTCTGGTGTCATATCCCCGGCATAACCTATATCGTGGTTTCCCACAACATTGATAAGTCTTCGCTGCCATATTGCTGCCTCGCTGTCCTCCGTACCCAAAATACCGCTCACGTTATAGTCCTCAGCAGGATACTGGGCGACCTCATCTGGGATGCGTTCGGCGCCCCTGAATGACCGACTCCAAAAACGCTTGCTGCGCCTGTCAAACTCGCGATCTCTAATCCACTGGCTTCCAAGCAGATCACCAAGAACTGTAACGTGTGTTGGCTTTGTCCACCATCTCATCGTACGATAAATATGCGCAAGGTAGAAGTCATTGCCAAAGAGGTCGATATGTTTGCGAACAGACTCAAGCGTGTCGGGGATGTCGTCGAAGAAAACGTCAACAAGATCGTGAGTGACCTGGCGGAAGCGCTTGCGCAATGAAGGCTGCTCTGTTTTGAATGTCAAGTGCCTAATTGCCCATTCGAGATGAAAGAAAGCTGGGCGACCGTAATTTCGAATGGAAGTATCGCCTTCTAGCTGTGGATCGCCGAGCGCAAGCAGTCGGAACGGCGCAAGGCCGGCGGCGGCGGCCGGGCCAGAGCTATGCTCTTGTTGGGAGTCGTTCAAAGCGAGGGAATCGGCAGCTAGGTTGGAAGCATTGGATGGCGTTGGCGGCAAAGGGAAAGCACATCCTCGGAAGAAGGGATAGAAGTACAGATGCAGAGTGCATGCTACCGCGACGACGGAGAGAATGCGCACGGCATTGCGAAGGAGAGAAAGGAGGGCCGCAGGTGTCATTTGGACGACAACACGGACTGGGGCCGTTGATGATGCCAAAATGGCCCTGGGCTATTGAAGCGGAATGAGGCGAGAAAGCCAGAGACAAAAGAAAGCAACAGAAGAAGGAAACGTTTGATTAAGTCGATTGCAGGAGCATGCTTTGAGAGCCGCGTAGCAATGAACCTACTCCCGATACAGAGAAGCATCAGGAATTTTGACCGTTAGAGGGCGAAATAGGGGTTCGCTTAGCGTAAGGAGGCCCCTACCGGTACCTGCAGGCCTCAAAATGCCTTGCATGTGAGAGGCCCAGGCGAGCAGGGCTCCAGCATAGGGCGCTCATTCCCCGCCGATGACCCCTGTAGTCCTTCCAAGGTCCTACCTATCTCTTACATATAGGTAGTATGCTAGCGGCTATCCTATCCACTGAGAGACGAATCACCAGTTTTTCTATAAAGTGAGCCGCCCTTTGACTTATTATCACCAACTCACCAACACATGGCTCTTGATCAGTCAGTAGTAGTGAGTAACAGCTCCTTCAGGAGATTTGGCATCATCATATTATCATTATGTTGAGGGAATCCTCAGGACTCGCTAGCAATCTATCATAACCTTGATCAGTTCAGATTGTCGTCCGAACTTCAAATAGCCATATCCCCCCCCAATAGCCTAATTCATAAGTCCAAAACGGCCATATCTCATAATCCATCCATGTGAGTGTGAGCTAGACTTCAGTATGCATATAGTCTGTCACGAGTCGCTAGCCTCTTCGGCCTCTTCGGCCTCTCCTCCCTCTTCTTCTTCTTCTTCGTCGTAAGATGGAAACTCAACCTCGAAGTCAACATCATCTTCGTCATCAGCCGCAATAGCAAAGGCGACCATCATATTGTTCTCAAACCCTTTGTCTACAGGATGGTCATCTGAATCGAAGTCCAGAGGCTTCCAGCCCTGTTCAGGCTCCGTCTTGTTCTTGAGCAGGGCAAACTTGATCTGAGAAGCCTCATTTGGGAGCTTAGATGTTGGTAAGCCGTCCGGGTATCTCTCTCCCAGAACGTCTAGCAATTCCTCTTGGACTTGGCTGAAGGTTGCCATGGGATCGACAAACAAAAATATTGTGTGTCTGCCATTTTTGAAACGGATCGACAAATCGATTTCGCGTCTGTTGTTTTGTTGCACCTGTGTGGTTGATCAGCTGGCGTGTCTACAGGCTTAGGCATGAAATACTATGGAAAGCTCTGGGGTCACCCAGCTCCTAAAGCAGAGGACTTCTCACCATGCTTGAAAAGGGCTTCTATAGCTAGGAGTCCTCCGGGTTGTTTTTTTGGACGACAAGGTATAACTGTGAGAGGGTGAAGCGCGAGCGTGGAATCTCAAAGCACGCTTCTCACATCGCCAACATGTGGGAATGGTAGATTGTAGAGATTCCTTGCATATCGAACGCGGAAACACGTGCGCGTTAAGTGGCTCTGTGCTGTACATCAGATGTACCCGCTTCAATACATAGGTACGTACAGTAGGTAACTGTACTTAGGCCTCTGTTACGGGCGCCGTATTATTAGTTTATAGGTAGCGTAGCTAGGTGAGACACTTGGTGCAAATGTACATGGTAGGTATCTTAAGTACCTACCTAGGTACTCTTAGCTGTATTTGTACTTATGGAGGGGCCAAATACCGAAGCAAAATACCTTGGTTGAAGAGTTGATCGGATTTTGCCGGGGCCATAGCTTTTTGCAGGTTGATGCCTTTTGCTGCCAAACGACGAGCGAACAAGAAACGTCTTTACCTATCTATACATATCTCTCTCTTTCTCTCTCTCTCGTTGCTCTTTCGCCATAGGTAGTTTTCACTTCTATGCAAGCTTCTGAGAAGAATTCTGGTCAACGTCTTCAATTCGCTACCCCTAAGCTATAATCCCCCCTCGACGACACCATGGACCAGACGGAGGAGACACGGCTGCGCTCCCGATCACCTCTTACGCGCGAAGAATACACCCAACTATGGAAAGATTCACGTCTTTCTATTCCGCCGCTGGTGCGGATACCAGCTGCCGCCACCACTGCCTTTGGCATCGGCATGACCCTGGGCCTCGCACACGGCAGCAAGATGGCCGGCCTCCGTTTTCGAGCCGAGCACGCTCACCGACTGCCTACGACCACGACCGGCTGGTATCTATATCATAAGAGCAAAAACTACCATCTAGCTCTAGGAGGCCTGAAGGAGGGTTTCAAAGTCGGCGCTAGACTCAGTGTGCTGAGCACTGCCATGTTCTTCGCCGAGAACTTGTTCGATGTTTACCGTGGAAGCCAGGACTTCATAAGTACCGTTGTGGCAAGTCTTGCGGTTGCAGGCGGATTCAGTCTATGGAGTAGGCTACGGCACCTGTGCAACATCGCATAATGCATTCGCTAATCATATCTATCAGATCGCTTCTCGGCTGCGGAAACAGCAAGAACAGCAAAGAAGGGGCTCATATTCGGCCTCGCATACGGTGGTATTCAAGATGCGCTCTCTCTTGCCAAAGGCCGCTCTGTCGGATATGTTACCTTTATTCGGAAGCAGATTGGCAAGCCCTCGCAAGACGCCGAATTATCTTCGTAAATCACAAATCATCCTAATGTCATGATGCCTGTACTGGTGTACAAAAATGGCGCGCGCAGGGGACGATGCCGAATGGCGGAGAGCGAAGACCCTTTTTGGTCGGCTGTTGCGCTCGAACTGCATGCTGACTTCTCGCGAATGGTTGGACGCAGCATGGACAGGTACATTCTGTTTGAACAGAGAGGCGTATACGTTCCATTGACCCCGCGCTCGCCTCCCTGGTCTTGCTTCCGAAGAAAGAGACGGGGTAATTGCATGGGAAAAAGCAATGATTAAAAATGCCGTGACCCAAGCTAGTCACGATCTCGCGCGACAAAGACGGGCTATAGTAAGCTAACAGAGCGTTTCGCCATAAGCAAACAACCGATTTCGGACAGGCAAGCCAAAGATACATAGCCTCAATAGTCCTCAACAATTCGTCAACCGGTCTCAACCGCATCGATCTTCACGCTGAGGCGGTAGGGCATTTGCTTGTTTGCAGGCAGAGCCGGCGCCGAAACGGGCGCATGGGAAACATCGGACGGATGTGGAGGCGCACCAACAGGAAATTTGCGCGGGCGGCGCGACTAGAAGGCACTAGTTCGAAGCTTACAATTCGCGCTTCCTGGGCCTCGAATCCCAGCTCCAGGTGTTTGCTGCCCCGGATTCCATGGCGTCCCCGGTGATTGGCCAATGCTCGTGTCGCTGGCCGCATGGTGTCCATTCAGTCAATTGGCGTCACGGTTACCTACGGCTCTTTACTCATGTCCACGTGATTGCCCTGTCCACCAGATAAGGGATGCGCCGCATATCCTCTTGTCATCGACTCGTAATTGGCAAGGCCATACCCTCGCAGCGGGTGTTGTCTATCCACGGATGCCAAATGATGACATCCTCTGCCACTCCCGCAATCTCCAATGCCCAGGGTTCCTGCAGACCTCTTTGCGAACTCGGAGATAGACTACTGCTCAGGAACGCCCGTCAAAGCCACCTAGAACCTTAACAAGAGAACTTAAAAGCGAGCCGTTGCTCCTTGTTCCTATCAAGATGTGGTCATCAATCTCTACCTAGGTACATAGCAACACGCCGTCCTTCACAGCAAACAACATACACATACCCCTTTCCTTTGCATTACTATACTTCCAGTTACCATTATCCCTAAGCCTAGTGTCTACATACTCTCCTCTACCCACACTAGAAATATTGAGATATAACACTAAGCAACTAATCATGTTAAAGACCCCTTCGTTGGGCAGGGCTTCCCTCGTCCCTTGCTATCGCATCTCTATATACAGCCCAGCATGCGCTCTTTACGCTAGCAGCCGTCATGGCCAGCCACGATACTTCAGTGCCGACCTACGGGCGAGGAGGATACACAGTTCATCTACCCGTTCATCAGCACCCGCTGCTGACCAGCTCTCTGGACCTGCTTCATCTCCTGTTGACGGACTTCCCATAAATATTCGAGCCGCTTCAGTTTCCACATCCGCACCCTCTAAACCAGCGCCACTGTCTATAATGCCACTGGCAACAATTCTGCGAACATGGACTTCAACCGCGATATCTTCATCTCGAATCCTCCTTCCACCCTCATTAATGTTCATGTCCACACTCGCACATTCGGAGACGGCCCTGCTCAACCCGGATAAGAACCCTTTCCTACGCTGGTTCTTGAAGAAGACCTTTTATGCCCAATTTTGCGCAGGTGAAAACCCCGCGGAGGTTCGCCGCACCATTGATGGACTGAAAGGCCTCGGATTTAACGGCGTGGTACTGGGCTACGCGAGAGAAGTGGTGCTCACTGATGCACAGACGCGGGATTTAGCTGCTTGCAATGATGGTGCGGCGGCTGAAGAGTGTGTTCGCGATGAAATTAAGCCATGGGCAGCTGGAACGATGGAGACGCTTCGCTTGACCCAACCGGGCGATTTCGTATCGCTCAAGTTCAGTGGTGCTGGGCGCCAGGCTTTATATGCATTGACGAACCGACTTCCTCCATCGCCACCCCTCAAGAAAGCCATCGATGAGATTTGCGACTTGGCCGCAGAGAGAAATGTGCCTCTACTCTTTGACGCTGAGCAGACGGCTATCCAGGCTGGGATTGACGACTGGACGTTAGCTTATCAACGCAAATATAACACCAAGCCGGGCCACGCCATCATCTATGGTACTTACCAGGCCTACTTGAAAGCTACACCTGCTGTCCTTGGCTCTCACCTTGCCATTGCGTCCAAAGAGGGCTTCACGTTAGGTGTAAAACTCGTCCGTGGTGCCTATCTTGGTAGCGACCCGCGCCACATCATCCATGACACCAAGGAAGACACCGACAACGCATACGATAGCATAACATCCAGCTTGATCAGGCGAAAGTGGGGTCCTACCCTAAACCAGGACGTCGCGTTCCCGCAGGTCAGCATCGTCCTAGGCTCTCACAACCTTGAGTCCATGGTCAAGGCACGCCAGATCCGCGCCAGCCCCGAATCCGCCGGTACAGAGCTCGCCATCGCGCAGCTGCAAGGCATGGCAGACGAGGTTAGCTGCGAGCTTCTCATGACGCGACAGAATTCAGGCTCGGAATTACCTAAAGAAGGCGCGAAGCAACAGCCCTCCGAGGCCCCGCGCGTCTACAAGTACATTGTCTGGGGCACCACGGGTGAATGCATGAAGTATCTGCTTCGCAGAGCTCACGAGAACAAGGACGCCGTCGCCCGAACGCGGCAAGGGCGTGATGCAGCGTGGGCGGAACTCAGGAGACGAGCCAAGGCCATTGTTGGGCTGGCTTAGGTGTATTCCTCCTCAGTTTCTAGTACATCGTCTTCCACTCTGTGGAGGTGAAACCTGACTAGATCTCTTGCGCATGAGAGGCTAGTTTATGATCAACGCCTCATAAATTTCGGGATGCATCGGACGGCGGCGCTTTAACAGTTGTTTTTTACATACTTTGTGGTATTAGCGAACGAGATGGGTTATGCTTTTGTGTGTGTTTTTTTTTCCTGTTTTTCCACTAATAAAGATTTCCCACTTGAGGAACTCAAGATGAGCAAAAGCGGAGTTTGTACAGAGGTTCAGTGCATACATGCGTGCTTAGATATATACATACATAGATATCAAAATGCCTATGAGTAGTACCAAATATACCTCTTTTGGTTCTGCCTGTTTTACGCCCAGTATAGATCAACTTCTTTGACCATTTCATTGTTTGTTTATTTTTTATATTTTTTTAGTACTGTCATTACCTAGGTAATTATACCCCCCGTAACGCCATACCACCCATAACCAACGTCCCCATCTCCCTGTTCTTTGCGCCCGCGTCTTTTATCCCGTCCAGCCAGCCCATGCCATTCAGCTTGTAGTACTTGCGCACGCGGCCCCAGTCCGTGAGCGCTGAGAGCGTTTCGTCCGTGAACGGAGCCGGTTGTCCTTTTACGTGCGCTAGTAAGTGCTTCTCTACGTCTTGGGCTGCTGCTGATGATGATGATGGGGGTGAAACTAGTACTTTGACGACGACTAGGTCCTTGGTTGTCGGCGTTATGCCGTATCGGCGGTAGGCTTCGGCGATCTGAATTGTGTGTGTTAGTGTATTTGTTTGTAAGTGTGGTGGTTTGAGCTGTTGTTTGAGATATATGTGTATCTTTTTGATATAGGTGTGTACGTATAGCGAGAAAGAGAAATGATGGTGGCGCGACATGAGTATCACTTCAGTGTGTGACTCTGAAATATTTCAGAGTGATGAGATGTTAGAGGATAAGCGGCGAGGAGACAAAAGTCTTTCGCAGGTAGATAGGATAATGCCATTCTTTCCTCCTACTCACATTACTGGTGGGACTGAGAGCATACACCATTTCAGAGTGTACATTCGGCGTCTTCAGGGCCCCCGCTACCTGCAACGTGATGGCCTTGAAAGCGGCGCTGAGAACTTGCATACGTGAAGGAATCTGCTCATATGTTCATAAGATTTTTTTTTCACGTCAGCGTCAGACTCGGTGTGTCAGATGTGCGGTGTGAAAGAAAAAGAAAAAAAAAAGCTAAGGTCTAATTTGATTTTTTTTCTCTTTCAATAAATAAGGAGGAATAGACGGGGAAGTAATTTGCGAGCGGCGAGGAAGACATCAATCATACCACGGCGGCGTCGATCAAGGCGTACTCGAAGTCTGCGTTGCGGGCCAGCAGCTGCTGGTGCAGGAACGCGGCGTTCTCGACACCGCGGAACACGGCGACGTGCACCGAGTGCGTCGAAGGCACGTGCTCGAGCTGCAGCGTTTCTAGAACGGACGTGGACGACATTGTGGACTGTTGAGAGGCGCCGTTCGCCTCCGGCACGGCGGAGTGAGGATGACCTTGAGGTTGAATCTGGTGGTGATCTATCTTTTGCCTTTTTGCGCTCGGTGTTAGACGGAGCCCTGCCTCTTTATTTTGCGAATCTGGGGTTTTGGTAGACTTTGATGGCTCTTGGAAATTCGAGCCCATTACTGGAATTATGACGAGATGAATATATAGAGATTGGAGTGTGTATCTTGGTCAGTCTTCATGATATCTTCAGTCGCATTGTCGCGACCCCGGCACCGCGGGGCACAGCGGGGCATGGCATCCAGGTGTTGCCAGCTGATACTTAGCAATGCGTCACGGCTTGTTCGATATAACTAGACAAATCAGGTTTCTTTTTCTAAAGAGATATGAGAAAATCTCACTCAATGAAGATAAAGAGAAATATTATTTACTTTCTATGCTAATGTTATCTAGGCGCTACATAAAAGTGAGTGTCGTGTAATTTGCTACCCGAATGTAGCGCTTAGTGCTGGGTGGAACGGGTAATGGTGGGCATGTCATTGCGATTAAGGGTTTGAGCTTCTCGCTGACTTTGCCTCGCTTTAGCATGTTAGAGAGAGGCACGCACGGGAAACCCGATGTATTCGCCGTGATATTGCTCGAAATGATACGAAGGGAATTACTGTATGTATGTAGTATGCATGCTTGCTACTGTAGATCGTGGCGATGATGTAGTATTGGTGTGGAAACAGTGGGCTATCATCACCCTGTCGTGATAGGTAGATAGGTATCATCGTTTGGTTTGGCTTCACTGGATTATCCCCGTCGTATCCCTGCTATAACTCTATTCAGCCGCAGTCCTAGACTAGTGATCTTCGCAGGGCTGTATCCCGCCTTCACTAGTCGGATCGTAGGACTTGACGTCAAAGTCCTATGCATAGAGAGCTGAGCCAGCGCCGCCACCGTGTAGTGGCCAAGCCACATATAGTAGGATATTCTGAAAGAGCCAGTAAAATCATATTGAATTGAGTATTTTTCAGTCTTTGATCTCCTTCAACCCTACGTGATCCCGACGCTAGTAGACCAGAGGTTGTCTGGCATGTTGTTGAAGCAGTTTGCTCTTGTTTGATTTGCTCAGTTACATATTGAAACACAGGAGATGGCATCATCTTGAGTATCCAGTTATTTCGCGTCACGGACCAGTCCGATTCTTAGCCTTGTATTCCTACAGATTGTTGACTATCCAGTAGCTTGATTACCTGACAAGCCATCGCTGAAGTTCAGCAAGTTCTCCGCCTCACGCTTCTATAGTCTTCCACTCTCGTCATTCCCCTATCATTAGGTGGCTTCAATGATCTAAGCCTCGTTAGCTGACAGGTTTTATCACTCCACCATGACACTTGATCAATAATTAGCTGTGTTGTATTTACTGGAATCAAAGAGGTCCCCCTGATGTCCATCTTCCCCAATCTCAGTGAACAGGTTTTGGAGACTTCTGCGAAGTTCTACTTCCAGCTGACGTAGTAACGTATAAGGTACAAAGCCTTTATTCTCTTCTGTCCTATCCACGACTTCCATTCTATTAGCAGCTGAGACGTAGTTCGTAGCATGGGTATCTGAAATCGCGCTCTCCTCCATCGGTTTGCCGGCTCTTAGTCTCCTAAGTTGTAGCGAGAGCGAGCTGACAAGTTGCTGCACAAGGTGAAGGTCCTCAACGCGTATCTTCGAAGAGTAGCTATGTCCCTCGATATCGGGAGTGTTGTCCATGTATTGGCCGAGGTTGTGGTCGTTTGCTAGTGAGGTTTTCTCAAGCTCGCGGGATGTAATCTTGAAAACCCCCATTATCTTGAAGGCGAGCAGGCTCTTGAAAGATAGCAAATCCGGGTCTTCAGAGCACGTGCATTTTACCATGCTGGTGATTTCTTCCAAGCATTGTTTCCCCTCCGTGCTCCACTGGCTCGTCCGGGTACAGTCGCTTGTATATTGTTCCTTGAACACTGAGATCTTTGACGGGCTCAGGGAGAGTTGCTGAAATAACCCAAATGCACGGATAGGGCACGAGCATGGAGGTTGTAAAGGAGGTTCTGTGGGCATGGTTGGGAGGTTAAGATGAGTGTCCGTAGCCGGACTCATTACTGGCTGATTAGGGTTGGAAATAATTGACGAATCTAAGATCGTATTTCGTAGAAGGTTTGGCATCGGCATCGGCATTGGCACTACGGGGTGATGGGGGTTAAACTGAGTGAATTGATACGCCATCGCAGTTTCCGGTTGCGGATCGTTCACGTTATCAATCGAGTCGAACATGGGTTGGTACAGAGAGACCCCCGTCGCATCACAAAACCAAGGGTCGTATGTCAGTGGCGAAGACATGACGGGTTCTCCAGTGAGGAAGCCAGAATTTAGAACCATGTCTTGGTAAATAGGAGAGCCAAGGGTTGTTGGAACTTGTGTTGCGCCCGGTACCAAAGTGGTCCATGGCATCGACACCTCAGGTGAATGCGCTGTCTGTTGAGTAGGAGCCGCATGTTCGACGTTTTCCCTTCTTTCTTTCTCCGATGCGGAGGCGCGTGTTCGACCTGGACGCCTGCAAGGAACATAGTCACAACTTTTTCCTAGCCTCATACAACGGGCACAAGCTGGTTTCTCTCTGCCGCATCGCAACTTAGACTTAGCACAGTTGAGACAACTATCTCGAAGCTTGACTAGGGGTGGCGCCCATGTTGGTGACGACAGTACCGGGGGCCAAACTGATGACATGAGCCTCGCTGATCAAACGTATTAGTGAACTACAACGTCTTCAGTAAGAGAAAGCACTGACCTAAGCTAAAGTATCTTACAATAATTCATATGGATGCTAAAGTAAATTCTCTATAATATGACAGTCTGTATCAGAATTCAATGGTGAGCTTGGTTCTGGTTGAATATAAGGAAGGACGATGGAGAAGACGAACGAAGAGAGAAAAATATGTTACATGATTACTTCAGGCTTGACCAAGGAATCTAATTTGTCATTCCCGTGTGGCACGATCGTATTTATCGAGAACGGAGCCCGCAGCGGAAGGTTACATCAAAGTTAGAAGAGATTCTTTGGATACTTGAGGCGATGCCAGACTTATACGATAAGCACATCCTTCCTTTCGTCAGATGGTGCTATGATCCCTCATGGTTATGAATTCAGAAGTCGAGCTGACGTTAGATGAAGAGGCCTGGTAAGTTACACAAGCCCGCCTAGGATATGTAGATATACATACCATGATACCTAAAACCACCACGATCATTGGTGTACGTCGCATACCAATAAGGCTATCAACAGGCTTCTGATGAGTGATCACCCCGGGGTCCGTTTGGTTGTACACAGCCAATGCAACTTACTAGTGCCGGAGGCATCTACAGTCGCTGTGGCTTAGGCTATTGCAATAACAACCGGCATAAGTAGGGAAGATTATTAGAACTGACTCTGATCGCACCATGTAGCTCTATTAGGGGTATGGAGAGGGTCCCAATAGCGGGTCAGGTCGGCTGAGGAGATCTCAAGGGCCCAGTGTCTGCGTTCGCAAGTCGAGCCCCGAGGATGCTCTTTTCACTTGGAAGAACCAAACATTGGCCATGAAAGAAAGCATCTAAATAGCGATGTATGCAAGGCCAACGGAGGTTATCAACAGAACTGTTATCATAAGAAAGATGAATGGAGGACGGCTGAGTTGTATGATCACCGGGTCTCCAGTCTGCCCTCAAGGTGAATCCCATGGCCTGACACGCAGGATTATGCGTGTGCAATGACCACATCGCTCTGTCGCTCCGCAAGCGGCAAATAGAGCTCCCGGTGACCGGTGACGTTAGGATCCCGTAGCATGACAATACATGCTTAACAATACCTACTGCCTTGTCGTCCGACGACGGCCTAATTATCACACCGCGTCTAGCTGTTAAGCGCTATGTGGCTGGAAGGCTCGATTCAGCATGTTTTTCGCAGTTGTGGCGCACTAGATTCGCACATCCGATCAAAGCAGAGCGGCGTGACCGTTCGTACTGAAGAATTTAGCCACATCGCCACCAGCTGAGAGAACGTGACCGGGATGCCGAAAATATCCGGGCCAGGAGCGTAACATGGCACATGGAGAACGTGATGAATTGGCTAATCAGAGATTAGTATCCCTCTGGGGAAAAGGTCAGGCTTGAAGACGTACCTAGAGCAATCAGATACCAACAACCAAAAGTTCGGCTAGCGAAACAAGGCATTGCGTCACGCATATCTAGGCAACAAACAACCTAGGCCAAAAGTGAACCACTTATGTTATTAATCTCTCTTCTAGAGTCTTGCACGTTAGGTTGGGTAGCATGACTAAGGCCATAGATAGGAGCAGATCTGAAATTCAACTCTGAACTGTCAACGCATTCTGAACCAGTGCATTTTCTCTTGAGAATTAGTTTCTAGCGCTTGATTCGAATAGCATATTGATGCTGATGAATCTCGCGAGACCAGGATAAATAAGTTTACTAAGATATATAGCTTTCAAAATGTTGGTGTTGATTCTCGAGGGATTCGAACCACTTAGAACTAAGTAAGGAGACATTAAGCTACCACTAAGGGCTCAGCTTGCGTCACTGGGGTTGGATGTGATTGATGTTGGCTTAGCATGCCCGGTGTTAGGCCTGTCGGAGATTTTCGAGGTTATCATGGATTTGTGCTAAACAGGGGGTCGAGCCGAGTTTCGGCATTCACTCGAATTGGAGTCGACGGGGAACCCCGTAAGCGATGAATTCCAACTAAGATCTCCATGTAAGGCTGGCGGTTGGCGCTTACTAGTGGGGATAAGACTTCCATATTTTCCCGGTTTGGAAATGTCCAGACTACCCAGCAGTATTGAAGTAAGGATGGTGTATATTCATAGCCGTTTTCGTGTCAACTCAAGAGCGCACGACTCATACCTGCTCAGGAGAATATGAATTCCTTAGTTTGAGATATATTAACGGCATAACTATTATAACAGATTAGCATCGATTTCGCTTTCGTTCAACTACATCTACTAGAGTAGATATGCAGTTGCACGAATCAGAAAAGGGTAGCCTGGCGCAATCGACTCGCGGCAAAGAAGCTTTCAAGGGCATGAACCGCCGAAACTATTGTTCGACACTACACACGTCAAGATGGCTAGTGTTGGTGTATATATAGCTGTAATACTAGGTAGCTGAACACCTGGTGCATCGGGTTGTGCTCATAAGCATGAAATACGGAAATCCGTTCTGGAAGACTACAAAACGTAAGAGCAAGCGACTCTCATACACACAAGACTAGCCGAGCTGTACACGTGTACAACCCCTTAAACCTAGACAGACGCAAGCCACACTCTTCCAAAACCTCAATGTGCGATTTTAACCCATTCGGTAATCAGATTAATTAACCCCAAGCCTCAGACGCAGGGTTCAAATCCCTAGAAATCCTTATCTTAACGTCTACCGTTTGGTCAGGTAGGGATGCTCACCAGCTAAACACAAGGCAACGCTAACATTACATCTCACAGTTGTATCCACGTAGGTTCCTTATAGGCGGGAGCACGATATGTGTTGTTCTTCCTCTTTCGCGCTGGGTTTCTAAGTAACCAAGGATTTGATTTTACGCGTGTACGGAAGTCCAGTCCATATCGTCACGTTCATTTAGTTCATGCTTATAAAACTACTGATAAACAAACAGCTTCCATATCACAATCGAAGTTCCAGTAAGCAAATGTCCCGATCCCATTCTATCATACTGTACAGTATGCGCTGTGCTGGTTCATAGGCCTAGGACCGGACGAAAAAGATCATTTGATATCTGACCTGATAGCGTTGCACGGTTTGTAGTCAGTCATTTCTAATTACCCTACATATATACCAAAAAGATAATAACACGCCCCCTGACAATGCAATGCGATGCCGTCTTTCATATACATGCATGCATAGATCTCGTCGTGACGGGTGTATCGTGGATTATAACAGGTAAAACATGGGACACCAAAGAACAGCTAAAAATGGCGGGCAACAATGACAACCTCAAAATCAGAGGATGAATGGCACCCCCAAGTTTTTGAATTCAGCCAACTACTGTGACAAATGCCTCCTTCTTTCGGAGCCCCCCAAAACGCCGTGCTATTCAAAATCATCAGACAGAATTGTCTTGTGCAAAATACAAAGAGAAAACAGGCACACGTAATCGGAATCGCTATTTACACGCCCCCAACTCCGTCCGTGAATAGTAGGAGAGGCCATTGCATCTGTGCCGAGGAGGACGTCAAGGTCGGATTGCTCATGCTCATGGTCCCCACACTCATGCTATTAGCCGCATCGTTGCTGCCGTCGAGGATGCTTCCCGAAGGCCGATGGTTGTTCGCGCCTCCTAGCGACATAAGAGCGTTCGCGCTGTAGCGATCCTGGCTGTCGACGACGGCAGCGGTCCAGTCGTGCCACGTGTTGCCTCCTGATGATTGTGGACGCCACATAACGTCAGGCGGCGTTACTTGTGTTGCTTGTGACGCGAAGCTGGCCAGTGGATTGTGGCTGGGAACGTGAACTTGGGAATGTTGAGCCTGAGCATGCACCTGGGCTTGAGTATGTGCCTGAACTTGAGCTTGGGCCTGTGCACGAACTTGGGCCTCCGCTTGCACTTGCACTTGAGCCTGGGCATTTGTCACTGGTCCCGCCGCCTGGGAGTACATGTAAGAGGTGCTTGGGTCGTAAGAAATACCGTTAGGAGCATGTGTAGTTGTGTTGGCATAGTTGTTGAGGGGTTGGTAGGTGTTAGAATTAGAAGTATTCGTCTCGGGGTAATAATTATTGCTACTTATAGGAATACTGTGTTCCTTTGAGTCATTCATTCGCTCAGGGGTGTTGTTCATATTTGAACTTGAATTCGAGTTGATTGACATATTGGTATAAGAAGGCGAATGAGATTCTCGCTTAATCACGTCAGGAGAAGCGTGTGAGGGCGCTAGATTTCCATTTGTAGTGTTCAGAAGACGGTCTCGTTCAATCCACGCTATGGTGCGGTCAATGATAGAGCAGACCGCATCACGAAGACGAGTGCCAGAGCCTAGCAAGGTGGTGAGTAGTGTATTCTTCCAGCAGAGATGAGTCAACTCACCCATCAGAGTACCAGTCTCAGCAAGGATTGTAAGCCATGTTTTCATATCCTCGCGAAGACTCTGCACCTCAGAAGCCGTTATATCGTGCCTTCGATCCCAATGTGCCACCAAATCAGAAAATATAGCTGCGACATACACCGCATTGCAGTACCATGTCGTATCGAGGCACTTCAACTTATATAACTTGCGTGCATGCTGAAGCATAGCCTTCGCAACCTCCCCACATATCCTGGTGTTAGTAGCTAAGATCTCGGGATCATCCGTAGCGGCAACTGAAGGGTGCCTCAAACACAAACGAAACTCTAGTGCCGAAACGCTCGCATATATGGCGGACATCCGCGTCTCCTTCTCAGGCGCTTGCGCATCTCCTATCCTAAGGCCTTCCGGAAGATGCTCGCGCCAGGATTGCAACTGCTTCTCGAGACCTTCGACAATGGCAAGGTACCTCTTTGGGTCCTTCTGCGCACAGTAAATGTCTGCAAACATCTCGAGATACAGTGTGGCCATCCTCGAAGACGCAACACCTATGTCGTAATCGCATCGGCCGGGTATCGATGTGTCGACACCATGCTCCGTCAGCTGCTCATCGGGAATTAATTGTGGAAATTCGACATCCATGTCCTCCAGTCTTATTGGCATTGGCCTACCCATCCGTCCGTTGAGTACCACGGCTGTCGACAGGATAACCCACCATACGCGTTTTCGAAGTTCGTTTTCAAGGTTGGTGCCCTCGCCGGGCTTCTTCCAGACTCGATGGTACCCCATCTCTATCGCTAAGTTTACCGCATAAGATGCTAGGATGCTGCTGGAATCGGGTTTTGGAAAACGCATCGTGTGAGTAACTAACATAGACAGTGCTTGTAGGCCCTTCAATGTCCGAGACGTTATCAAGTAGAAGAACTTGCTTAGGCCATAATGATAATGCTTGTTAGACAGGTCATTCAGATGAGCTCTTTGCTCTGCTGATTGTTCTCGATTTCTTATACCGTATTGGAGGTAGATGGCAGCAAATACCATGTGTATCATAACCTCCTCTGCAGCACTTAAAGTGAAGTTAGGGTTATCGTAATGTTGTCCTAGCTAAACGGAGTCAACCAAAGCTGATTGGTCTAATTGTATAGAAATAAAATCACTTACCAGTGCCATGAAGCTAGGTTTATGAAGCACCGGATGAAAAGGATGAATCATTACAAAGTACCACTCGGCATAGTTGAAGGCATCCTGCCTAGGTGGTAACTTGATAGCAAGAGGTTGGTTTATATTCATGATGGACTGCTGTAACGCTTGAACAGACTTGTTATATAGTGAGGACCCTTGTGCAGACGCAGGCGGTTCGTCCATATCTGGAACATCTAAGGATCCAATATCGATGGTACTTCCAAGGATCGATAATGAGGTGCCCTTGATAGAGCTCAGGGGCGCCTGATCAATGCCAACACCAAGGTGAGCATCGGCAGGCCTCGAACCGGCAGAATTTTGAGAATTGGCGGCCATGGACATTACGGCCGGCCGGTCCTTGCTCCAGGTCGGCGCGCTGGGTTGGGACCATGGCTCTTTCTTAGTAGTTGTGTCTTCCTGAGGCGAAGGCTGGGGTTGCGGCGTGGGCGTAGGCGTTGAATTGGACGTATCATTGCCATCACTCTTCGTTGAACCATTTGGAATTGCGTCAGCGGGAAAGGAGGATGAATGCCACGGCTTCACGTCTATGCCATTTTCCCGGAGTTTCCTTTCCATGTCTCGTATGTGGGTCATCATATCCGTCTTCTCACGTTCGAGTTCTTGCATGTAGCCTCTTCGTTCTGTTCGGCCGGAAACTCGGTCGGTCACATAGCACTCGAGGTTCTGGTTGATGCAGTGGGAACAGCCTTCGGGAAGGGCATCGCATCGTATCTTGCGAACCTAAGAGAACTGATGTTAGAGAGGCCCGGCAAGTAACTGAGTGGGCAATATATCCATGCTGATAAAGTATCTCGGCTCTCATAACCTAATAGAGGAGGTATGACGACGCAAGAAGAATGAGGGGGGGGGATGTGCAGGAAACCGACGCATGGTGCACTCGCACGCACATAACCGTTGAGCCGATGCGAAAGAAGCGAACCCCAAACGCAGCTGTGAAACACCAGCGTCGCGTCGACCAAGAGAAACCCCTAATCGCGACCGGTCTCCAAGAAGAGCCATGAAATCGGTAACTATGGCTAACTACTATGGGGGCTTTCTCTAGGACGTGTAGACATGACAGCAGCATGGCAACTTGATAGCCATAGATCTGCACAATACCCTATATTTCACGGAACTGTGGGTAACTGAAGTCAAAACACAAACGCATACGTGTATATACATATATACAACGCAAGCACGCACACACCTTACAGCGGTCGCAGGCCTGGCCGGTCCGAGTGTAGGACTGCAGCTTGCTCTTTACGACGCTCGAGAAGTCGGCGCGACCGGATCGCTGGTCGAGGCGAGGGAGCTTGCATTTTGTCGCGGGCGATGATGGGTTGCCCAAAACATCGAGCACGGCAATATCCGCGTCACCAGGCCGTTTTGGTGGACGGCCTGGAGGCATGGCGGCGCCGCAGCGGTGGTTAGTGAAGCCGTAGTGGCAGCGCAGCACGGGCGGCGGCGTGTCTGGCGAGCGTCGTTGTCTTTCTGGTTTTGCTTTTCCGGAACGATTGCGCGATGATTTACTTGGAGATCCAAGACAAAGCGAAACTGGGGATGCGCACTCTATGGCACGGTCGGCCGAAGAAGAATCGGACAAACATTGGATGACAGAACCGCAAGAATCTGACCCATGATCGAATTGGGAGACTTGGAGGTGGAACTTGCCGAAGCAACCCTCGAGAGAAGGGGGCCAGGGAGCGTAGTAACATCATGGATGCCCACTAACACCCGCAGTCTGCTCGTCCTATTAGGCCCTCGGCCAGCATCACAAGGGGAAAAGTCGATGGTCCCCCCCCTACACTACGTGATTTGCCCTGCAGAAGAACAGCATAACGGCGGGTCGGCGAGGTACAACGTGCAGTCGTGCCAAGCGACAAAGTGCCAGAGTGCCTAATCATATTCGAGTATTTCAGCGGATCTGGTAGGCTGTGCTAGCGTGAGTAATAATACAACCTTGGATCATCGCTCAGCTTACTCACCTGGAAGACAAGCACCCGAGACACCATGCCAGACCATACCCTACCTGTCGGTCTGATACGACACTACACATGGCCACTGATGACCGACATTCCTCACTACCACACACTATTATGACGTACACCAACTAGTTTAGCATAGTGTGGCTTCGGCATTGACCATATTTAGCCTTGACAGGAGGTCTCCGTGTGAGAGCAGGCACCTACATGGGTCGGTATACCTATGTAGGCAAATATGCTGCCAGAGCTCTCCAAGTCTACAATCAGTCGGGAGTCGTAGAGCTCAAGAAGGCATCGGCACATGTCTTCTCCTGCCGTCCACATCATCGCCGGCAGGATAGTTGGACGCTAATGTATCACCTAGTGTTAGCCTGTTAATGTGTTGAGGTAGATGGAGATCTAAGGTTAAGTTAAGTAAGGTTAAATCGGTATGGGCGCTAGGCGTGGCTTCATGATTGAGCTCAAGTTACTTACATACCGGTAGTAGTATATGTAAGTAAGTACTCACTCATGTTTAGTGTTACACTATATATACTACCTTTAGGCGCAAAGACCAGCAGATCTAGTTCTAGTTTGCTGCAACTTTCGTAAAAGACGATCCTGCGTAGCGCTATACACGATGTACTAACCTAGGTAGTATAATTACGCGCGGCTCTACCGTTCGCCAGACTGGGTCAGCAAAAATGCGTATCGCGGGAACCTGGTAGCTTGTAATTTCGTACTGGCCCTTACCCTGTAATTAATAGGTCTAGGATATAAGGAATTGCCTATATAAGTCAATCAAGCACCTTTTTTCATATTCAGGGTTTAGCTAGGGGCACAGGGTTAGGTGAATTAAGAAAGAATTGATAAGGTCACACTCGAAGAAACCAAAAAGAAACGGGTGCATCCCCTCAGCCCTGCTCCTTACATTAGTCTACCTGAGTACAGTAAGGGCTGGACCTTGGCAAAACGTGGCTCGCATCTACCAAAATGTAACCAGCCTTTTTATACCGGATTTTTAACACGATTGAGGCCTCGGTACTCGTTGTAAGGATGACACTAGACCGAGGCAATTAAGACGGATCATGAGAAACGCTCTTCACACCTCATCAAAGCACATTCGTGCCTGTATATCCCACTATATACTAGCTACTTGTTATTAACTCAAATGCTGAAAGACTTACGAAATCGGCGAAAGTAAAGCAGTCTATCGAAGTAGTAGCAAGGGAGCTGCGGGATTTCGAGATTATCTTGTGCAATAAAAAGATCCATCGCAATGGCTTCACATTTTCGGGATGCGTAGCCGTAAGCACACATGGTTTAAAAATGGGTTGTGTTTCTTTCCCCATGATGAATAAATCCCCAGTGATTGAATCTATAGATAAATGCCGATTGAAGTGTAGACTCTATCTACCTCTTTAGGCGTGAATGCCTTAGCCCGATACTTACTCTCATCCACTTCACAATATAGCGTAATCCCAGTTCAGGATTTCAGAAGCATCATAAAGTGGAAGGGATCCTTGTGCGATTTCGTTCCTGGACCCTATACATATCATAACTCAACAGCAATTTGCAGTCACTAATATTGGGGTGATGAGACATATTACTCAAACTTCGAAAGACGTCAGAATATGATCTTCAATGCAAGCGCTACATAGCTAACGATTGACGCTCGAGATGGGTCTTATGGCATACATGTTATGTTGCTTGCATATGCCTTCTGTGCAATCATCAAGGGAGGGTCTTCTGCCTAGTCATAAGGATAATACAGGCTTGTACTGGGCTTAGAATTGAGGATATTAACAATGGTCACAGGGCTCAGTCATTCTGATCCAACCTTGGAGCAGTTTTATAAGATGACGATCAAAAGAGAGGGTAGTACTTACAATATCAGCACACTAGATGATGTATTGGCAGATAACTAATGCTGAAGACATAACAGACCGGTATACGAGCAGTATAGTTTCAAAAGATGCAGCAATGGGCTCTCATTCTGTAGCAAGTAATATTTTTATTGTGACGCTATTCCCCAAGCGGGAATGGGAATCGAACAAAGAAACAGAGAGATGAATATTCAATGTTTATCTTGAGGTAGTTAAAGATGTCAATCAGCCTTTGGTCTCGGCGGGATATGCTTTCCTAGATAGCGAGCAAGGAGTATAGGAGATATACCTCAGTTGTCTGAGGCCCTCAACTCTTAATTCATATATGAATTTCAACGACTTAGAGTAACGTGCCTGTAATGGAGAGACGTAGTTAGATTGCTTAAGATCTCTGTTATGGAGGGAAAACCTACACTGTTGATTCTCCGCCAGAAACAATGGCATACACGACGTGTCACAATATTGTAAGTAGGTACATTTAATAACGAAGTTGTTCCATTAGGAATCAAGCAACTGTAAATCGTGCGAGGCTCTTAAATACAATGGTCATGTTATTCTGCTGTAGGTTTTATATCTTGATGAATAGTCTCTTCTCTGAAGACTCGATATCCCCTTTCTAGGTGACTAGAGGGTTCGACAACTACTAGAACTATAGTCCAATTTTGTGACAAAACAAACCGATAAACCCATGTCTAACTTTTGAGATCCATCTTACTTTTCCCATGATTGTTAGGTTACGCTAGGTGATCTAAATTTTCTGTGCATAAGACAAGTCCTTACGCCAATGTTCCAGCTGCGCAAAGTAGAATAGCTGTCCCAGCATATGTATCTTCTTTCTATCGACCTTTTTTGATGCTGTTCGGGGCAGCCATGACATGAGGACGAATTTCGTAGGCATCATGTAGTGCGGAAGTGACTGTGCGATGGAATCCTGGATCTCCTTTACCTTTTCGCACGCGAAACTATCTGTAGTAGCATCCTTCAATAGCGGCATCGCATTGGCTTTAGGGGCTGTGCTATCAGGATGGCTGTCGAGATAGATTAATGCGGCCAAGCTGGGCTCGTCTTGGCCGTTAATGACCCCTAGGAGATCGACAACGATGTTGTCATTGTCGGAGAGACATTTTCTAGCTTGATGCTCGACTTCCAGTGCGTCAATTCTGCACCCGTCTAATTTCAGAATTGTATCCTTGCGACCGAGGTATGTGATGCTACCATCGTGATTGAGCCTGCCAAGATCTCCCGACCTGTATATCCGCGTCTGTGTTCTGTTCGGGTGCATCTTGACCAGCCAGGATGGTATTTTCTTTATAAAGCCTGCCTCAGTTCGTCGCGTTGCTGTATCATCAAGGTACCCACGAGATAAATGTGGTCCTTCCACTATTATCTCGCCCACTGCTCCTATCGGCATCAACTTGTCAGGCGAAGTCGGGTCAACGAGCCATATGGTTCCAGTGGATGGCCGTCCAACTTTGGCACCGCCAACAGGCTCGATCTTCGTGTTTAGAGCGCAACATATAGCTACCTCTCCCATACCATATTGGTTGACCAATTTTGTTGAGCTGTTGGCCCATTTCCTCACAAGATCTTTGGGAAGAGGCTCACCTCCGACACATAATGTCTTGAGTTGAGGAATGTCTTGCGGTTCTAGCTTAATAGCCACTGTAGGTGTTAAAAAGATAGTATCAGCAGCCATCGTGTTTATTTCCCGCGTAAGGTCTTGAACCGTCTTCATTGGCCCAGGAACACAGCAGCAACCGCCGAGAACCAGCGGAACCAAAAATTCCAAATTGCTGATGTCAAATGCATAGTCATCAAACTGGAAGAACCTCGTCCGCGAATCGAGCCCGAGATCGCGGGCGTAGTTTGTGATAGCAGAGGCATAGGCCTTATGATTTTGAATGATACCTTTGGGTGTGCCCGTGCTGCCACTTGTGAACAGAACCAGGCAAGCACTATCAGGTCTAACTGTCTGACATGTTGAAGATCCCACAGATAGGCTCCGCAGCCACTCAGGAGATAGTTCGATGAGAGTTGGAACTATGCCTTGAAACCGATTAACATGAGACGAATCTGTAAGCAAGATGCGGGTCCTCGTCCGAGCTATGACGGACTCGAGATAAACAGGAGGATCGCTCGCGAAAACTGATATATAAGCGCCCCCGGCCCGTAATATCGCGAGGCGTGCGACGATAGCCCAGGTCGACTTTTCGAAACAGCTCAACACGAAGGTCTCAGGGCCAACACCCTTCTCCATGAGCAAAGTCGCAAGACGTAGTGAGAGATCGTCCAGTTCCTTGTAAGTTAGATTCCCATCCCAAGAACAGATGGCCATCTCGTCGGGTCTCAGAGTACATTGTTCCAAAATCAAGTCATGTAAACATCTATCGACAGGCGTGGGATCCATAGCTGTCCAGCTCTGGATGTTCTCCAAATCGTGCTGTGCGCATGCATTTATATCTCTAAGAAGTGTATTAATCGAGGAATTGCCACACTGTGAGTAAATTTGTTGAAAGGTACGCAGAATGCTTGTTGCCATACTGGCACTGGTGTGAGACGGTTTATATATAAGCTGGATCGAGGTATATGAAGGCCCAACCAGTAGCTGAACATCCACCTAAGTGACCGTTAGTGACCACGATTGATCATCAACGCATATTATATACTTACCTCCATACTGGTGATATTCGGGTCATCCTTGAATCCTTGGAGATAGATACCAGTATTACAGTTGTGACGAGACGAGCGTTGATCAGCGACACCGATGTCGTGGCCTTCGACCATGGCATTGGAAATAAGCTGACTCTGATCAAAACGCCGTAAAAATGACCAGACTGGCTCAGAAGGGTCGATACGGGTATAGTATTGAACCGAACTGTTGGTATTCCCTACATTTCGTATCATCGACTCGAATCCCTCGTCCTTACTAAGGTCGTGAGGACCCGAGTACTTGAAGCAGATAACGTCAGCCACAATAAAGCATTGTAGAGTCAAGCTCCAACAAGCTTTCAAGATTCCAGGAATTGAAACATCAGAAAGGACAACTGCAAGATTTTCCGTGCTATCAAGGTCGACATCTATGCTGATAGTCTCCCTTTCAATGAAAGAACTATCGCTGGAAGGTGGCAAGACGCAGTTTGAACGATCTAACCGCGTGGCCTGATCTCGCTCATGGACGTCAGCCATTGCAATAATAGCTCACTGACAATATGACTTAGTCTTGTATGGGAATTGACATGAATGAGTCAGGTAAGGTTGAGGAAGAATAAGTGTTTAAGGGATGGTTAGGAGTCAATGACGCACTCATCTTTTTCATGTTCGAAAGCATACTTGACAGAAGCTCTATATACAGCTTTGTTTAGTAAAAACAAGGTTATGCGAAAAGCCGGGGAATAATTCTTGACCCGAACTAGTGTAAACGAAACTTCCTTATTTCTTGTTGGCTGCTTCTTGGTTGATCGAATCTAATACAGCTACGCCGAAACAGGCTCAGTAGCTGGTCATGGGTATTAGGATATGTAGGCACTCTCATTAAACTGATCATCATTCTTCAGCCTCCTTTCTAGCTAGGCATCTGATTTGAACACCAGCACTGTATGGAGAGTAAGACTCACCGTCTCTTCTACAGCTTATAGTCTGTATCCCCTTGCAGTAGCAGGTTAGTCAACCACCCACACGTTTTATATCTTAGCCCCCTATACAACTTCAACTACTCACAGTACCTGTTACATATATCTGAATTATCAGAGCAGAAAGTGATATCATTTACTCCAAGTCCAATTCCATACAGATACCGTTCTTCACAAGACTCTCTAATTGCACTATTCAACCTAATATCCTTTGAAGCAATAGGTTCGTGGAATCGGAATTTACCCCTCGCTGATCTAGAGCCACCCTAGCGCAGCATACAGATTCAACCAAGGCCAAGACAGTACTAAAGCGCAATTGCATCAAGACATTGGTTCTCAACATTCGCATTCAGTTTAGGAGATCTGCTCACTAGTATTGCGGTGGCCAGCTACCCACAGAATCTAGGCACATATTCAGCTGGCGTCTTACCCTTGCAAGCTGGCCCTACCAGGTCCACGTCAACTCCTAATCAGGAAAAGGCCATGCAGGTGCTTGCTGATAACGCAATAGCGTAGTTGGAGAATGACCGTATTGGTTATTCTTGCAGCTGTTTGTAACTCATTGTAACTCATTGTGTAATTGAGTATATGTACTTGTTGTGACTTCCACGCTACAACAGAGTGGCATTCCACCTGGAACCAACCACAAAATAGATCGATATGGGCCTATGACCTCTCAAATGATGATCATCTTTCGTCCTCGCATACACACAGCTCTCTGCGGTCCACCTGACAGCACCCTTGAGCCAAGATACTGGCCAGGTATGAGCCTATTGCTAACACCTGCATGTAGGACGCGACATGCATAGGTTAATATTGGTGTCAAGTGGCCTGAGCCATTGCATCGGCTGTTCCGGAAACCCCCATGTTAAAGGATGCTGCATGGCGTATCGGGTTGTTGCTGGGGGGCATGTTGAAGTTGGAATTGCCTAAAGTGAAGCTATACAGGGTGCTCGCTACAGCTGACCTTCTGCAAATGCATCAAGGTCGAGATGGAGGTAGCGCGTATTGATACTATAGGCTGGGGCTTCACAATTTATACATTACGGTCGTTCGAATCTCTTGCTGTCCCTCGTGTTCCTTCTGATACATCCCTTGGGATTTCTTCACACATAATCTGACTCTGGTATTCACAACTTATAGACTATAATGAGTTATAAGTATTACCCTATCACTGGAATTAAGGATGGGTTGGGCCCTCACGGGAAAGTCCCAGTGAGACGAGACTTCGATGAATGGAGTACCAGCACCGATGAAACAGACAAGATACAGTTTATCCTATATCTTTTGGCTCTTAAGAGACTCCAGGCTGTCGACCCGGCTGATCGGGATTCGTACTTCCAAATTGCAGGTGGGCAGCACGCGACTCAAAGCAATGTCACACCATCGACCTAATTCTTCATAGGCATACATGGCTATCCATACCAACCATGGGATGAACCCTCAACTACCCAAGCTGAAATAGGCCGTAAAGGTTACTGTAATCATGCGAACGTCTTGTTTCCGTCCTGGCATCGGCCTTACATGCTTCTCTACGAGCAACGTCTCTATGAGATCATGGTAAACGAGATTATCCCCAAGTACCCAGCTTATAAAGAGAAGTACCTCGCAGCTGCTCATAAATGGCGTCTCCCGTTCTGGGATTGGGCCAAGAATCCTCGAGTTCCTCGGCTAGCAAGGTATAAGACCGTCAGCATTGCATTTGGGGGAGAGCCCAAGTTCGAGATAGCAAACCCCCTTTATCAATTCCGGATGCCAAACGACAAGAAAATGAGAGTTTATGGCGTGGGATCAATTGTAGATTTCGATGGTGGCGAACCTTTTGATGTAGGCTCTATCATCAACAGACTTTGCAAGAATGATGCCACTGATACTCTGTCATCCCTAGTACGGAGAGTGCATTGCCACCAGTCGATGCCCAACGAAGGATGATCGCAAATCCGATTCCAATGCCTGGATAAATGGAGCAGTCCACGATGACGAAGTAGATCGATTTCTTACGGAACACTCATCTGTAACGGACGAGTCGTACGGGACAGCTGCGGAGTTGGTTTATCGACTTCTAACCTATCCCATGGACTATTCTCATTTCGCCACGCTTGCAAGAGATGAGACTGCAAAGAGTGCAGGGGCCAGCACCTCGAAAGTGACTAATGATATCAACCTAGAATTCGTACACAACAACATCCACTATTGGGTTGGTGGTAATGGTGGACATATGTCACAAATCCCAGTTGCGACATTTGATCCAACATTCTGGCTTCATCACTGGTAAGAAGTGCTTTTGCCGTCCTTATCAACCATTGGTGTTGCCTAATTCCTATTAACCAAACTGATGTAGTAATATCGATCGCTTGTTCGCGCTATGGCAAACAATCAACCCGGGCAAGTGGTTCACATCAGATACCCAAAGGTTTTTTGATCAAAAAATAGTTGGCTCTGGTAGCTTGATCACGAACAAGACGCCCTTACGTCCTTTCCATAAGGATACATCGGGTACCTATTGGACTCCCGATGATACCCTGGACTGGTTCAAACTCGGCTACACATACCCAGAACTTCCTACTGGAAAAGAGACTCCTGCTCAAATTCTCAAGATTGTGAATGAAGATTACGGTATCACTCGTAAAGAAGCGCTGATGCTGGCTCAGAGTGCGAGTGATCCACTACCGGGCTTCGAGGTCTTGAGTGACGGGGCGCGAATGTACGACTACGCCCTCAGCATTAAATATTCAAAGTATGCTATTCTGTCAATTTTTCAGTTCACACTATGAGTTGTTATACTGATAATTTACCAGATTTGCGTTAGGTGGCCGTCCCTTCAATATCGAGGTCTTTCTACGGCCTGAAGGCGAGACCAAAAACACCTTTAAAACTGAGGATTTCGTTACCAATGTATTCAATTTCAGTCAGAGGCCTGAAGATGAAGATGGTAATGAAGTTTGCGACAATTGCAAAAAGGGACACGACAAGAACGTCCAATCGACAGCCTATGTTCCTCTCACATCGTACCTTTTGAAGATGTTCAAGCAGCAACAGCTGAATAGCCTTGAACCGCCCACGGTTGAGAAAGTTCTGAAGAGAATGTATTGGCGAATCGTAGATATTGTTAGTGGCCGTTTATAAAAGGACACAGAAACAAAAGTAGCTGACACTTTTAAACAGGGCGGGCAAACTATTCCTGAGGAGAAATGGAAAGACACAATGAACCTCGATCTCTCGGTCTCCAAGACGCAGATGTCGTACAGTTCAGATCCTCAGAAACCAACGAAGTTCCCTAACCCTGAAGTCATACCTCAGTTGGGAACGGACTTAGCCGAGCCTCAAGCACAGACGTAAGTGATGAGTGTGTAGTCCAATAGTGACCCTACATCTAGCTAACTGCATTATGAAGTGGGACTGGCAATATCATCACGGTCTCAAAGATCAATAAGCTCTCAGAACCAGTACTAGAAGGTGGCTCTATAGTCTTCAAATCGCCATCGATGAAATTAGCCAAACCAGCCCGTGAGACTGGAACAGGCATTGCGCTCCTCAACTGGGACCCTGCCAGCAAAGCCGACTCGCTGGACACAGAGAACTATGACATCCTTCTCTCCATGGTAATCAAGAACGGGAAGAGAGTGGTGCAATGCAACCACAAGCTAGCCGGGAAAGGATATAACGTCATCAAGGAGTTTTCGCCAAGCCCCTGGTTTAGCGAGAGCCCAGAGCTCAAGGTCGATATCAAAGGTGACCAGTTCGATATTTATGTCGATGGACGGAAGGTCGAGTCGTACAAAAGAGAGATAAAGAAGAGCGTGACCCATGTGCATTACTATAGCACGCCTTCGCGCGCAGAACCTGTCATGGCAAGGGAGATCACAGCAAATACGTACTAGCCTACCCTATAGATAGGGATCGTAACTGAGCTAGCCATTGTCCCTGTGTTAGATTAGCCTTTTAGTCTAGGTATTATGAAGAGAATGACGAGTTTTATGTCAATATGATTTTCAGGTTTATATGTCTATCACGGTATACGAGGTGTTGCGACCAGACATAGTCGATACTCTGTACGCTCATTCAAACAACTTAAATTGATCGCAAACTATCGTGAACTATACTATATGTCTATATCTAAGCATCTATTTTCTTTTATCTATACGCACGCGTGTCTATGGAATGCCGCTACACAGACCTCATTATTGCAGTAACTTAGATAGCAGGTTCGGCACCAGTCTTCAGATGTTGCTTCGATCCCGCAGATGAAGCACCAGAGGGGTATCGCACCACATCGCTCCGCTTCTTGTGCCAGAGCTTGCCTTTGCGATTTACTTTCTTTCCCGAAGACCTGTTTCATGAGCTCATCGCGATCGGCAGAGATGCTGCCCAGCTTGGGTAGCAGTCGGGCCCATGGACTACGCCGACGAATCGCACACATGACACGATACCGCAGAGCTATGTCTCGGTCTATGGCGATCACAGCGCCTAGCCCTTGGATGGCGCCGGGCTCCTTGGTACTAGGTTCGAGCTCGTGCAACACATCACGAATTGCTTCTCCAATTCGTTCGCTCTGCTCCGGCCAATTTTCCGCCACTGAGGCACGCAGGATACTCAACGCCTCAAGCAGATTGGGAGTTCTTATCGGCCGGCTCACGAGGGCACGCCAGTATCGTATTGTTTGGAGAATGTCTTCTGATTTCGTATATGTGAGGCCTTTGGTCATGACGCCTCCGAATGAGATCGCGATGCCGCTCACGCCGATGCCTTTGCCGAATATGACAAAGTCGGGCTGAAACTCCGCACCCTGTCGTGCATACTCAGGTCGCTGAAATGCAAAGGGCGCACCACAACGCATCGCGGTCATCGTCTCGTCTACAATGAGCAATAGCCGGTTCCGAGCGCAGCAAGCCTTCACTAAACCGAACTTCTCTGGTGTGAAGACGAGTCCATCTTCTGTGCTAACCATGTCAAAGAGCACCGCGATAGCGCCTTTCGTTTTTGCTTCTGCAAACTGAGCATTCAGCGTCTCTTCATCCGCTTCTCTCATATTAACCACAATAGGCTTTGGCCCAGCGGCGATCGCACTTGTCTCCCACTCCTTTGAGGCGTGCGCCTACGTTTTGAACACCTGTTAGCCTTTGCACGAAATCTGGAGTAGTGTATAACCTACCAGTGGTCCATACCCAGCTCCATAGATATTATCAGCTACGACAAACGTGGGAGCAAGGACATGCGTCTCATTCCAGCCCAGAAAATTGAGTGCAAAATCCCGAACTCTCATGCCTGTTTCCTCTGGCTCCTCATCCGGCTTAGGTCTCAGACTTTCAGAGTCCAGCACTAAGGGGCTTGTAGCGGCGGTATTGAGAATGAGACTGGCAATGGTGGTAGGGTTGATTGAGTCCGTGGCATGGGCGTGCATAGAGATAGGATAGTAGCCATTGAAGACCTTGTAGAAAAGGTTGGTGTACTCATGTAGAAGAAGTTGATATTTCCTGTCGACTGCGGCCTTATCGACTGCGTATTCTTGCCACAGCGAAAGAGTCTCTTTGTCGCCAACGGTGCTGCGATTTGTGTAGGCACTACCCCAACCACTGTGCATATCGTGATCCAGAGATTCTCCGGCTGGCATACCGTTTTTTGCCTTGGAAGCACTCATCTTGAGATTCAAGTCGCGGTGGAAGCTATAGAAACAGTTAAAAACACAATGGTAATCAACACAACACACTGCCTAGGTACCGAGATAGAGAGAGGCTTCTTGTATCTCATAAGATGAGCTCGAAGACTTCTTAGGCTTAATCACCTCTAGCTATGAGAAATCTCGGACATGGGTTCCTGTCTTTTCCATCAAAACAGTGCCAACTATTTCCTCCATAGTGGCAAGCCTAGCGGATCGCATTCCCAACAAATCGAGGTTGGGTAGGTATACCATAAGTTCGGCATATGTTGCCGTAAGTCTCGGTACGTCGTGGGAACAGCCTCTGTACCTGGGAGTGGACGGCACTAACCTAGGGTTTGGCAGATGGTGCCAAGCAATTTTGAGAATTCCAATTGCGGCCCACGCTAGAATGCAGATCCCGCTGTGGACGTGCATACTCAGCTCTGAGAGCTTTTCTTTTGCTCCCCCTAATTAGGAAAACTGCTATGCGTAAATGGGCTTATATGTAAGCAAGCCTCAGCTACACTACCCATGATCACCTGAACAGAGCAAGGTTCTTTGGAACTAGTATCCTCTCAAGATGATTTTCGGAATTTCAGCGTTCATAAACTTACCGCTACTCTGATGGCTCGTGCTGTATCCAGGCTCTGCTATTTGAAGAAACAAAGGAGAAGTTAGTCTCTCTTTGTTAGTGTAGCGGGAAAGCGGAGACCAAGCTGTATTAGTCTCAAAGAGGTAGTTGTAGTGTAAATTCACCGTCTCCATAGCTCTAGCTTCCGAAGCTAGGGGGGTGGTGACGTCTTCTAGACACAAGTAGAGATTCATATCTAATGTAGGGGGAAATGTCTTGCCTAAATGAAGGTTGAAAATGCTACATATGAACATAGAGAGACATTAATGAGAGAGATGTAGAAACCGTGCTGGAAGGGAGGTAGCAGGCGTCAAATACGGATAGCGTTGGTAAATATCAAGTGGCAAGTTGAATTCCAACAATCTCGCACCTGTTGTCTAGATACGTATTTAGACTTGTATATATACGCTAGATATTATCTTAATATATGAATCTAATTGAGCGTCACCACAGCCTTCTGTCCTGCCGGTGCCTTCTTTTCGCGATCTCCTTCGTTGTCCATAGCAGCCTGAATTACGCCAAGTCCATCTCCAAAGATACGCGCCCGAGGATATGGTGTAAAATACTGGCCAGTCGCGAGGGCGTCCGGCAGGAAGTCTTCCCAGACTCTCTTACTAGCGGGTTTGTCGCGAATGTCGATTGCAAAAATGAACTCTACCCTGACTACGCTAGGAATAGCTTTCGAGGGGTAGTCGTCTGAGACTGAGGAGACTACTTTCTTGCCTTCGCTCCTGGCGACTGCGTTGGCTAATGCTATGATTGATGAACTGATACCGCTTGCGTCGAAAGCTCCAGCGACTCTTTTACCGGACAGCTTTTCTACTAGCGTGTCGGCTAGGTTCTTGTCCTTGTAGTCTACTAGCTCGGTCGCGCCGAGCTTCCTCGCGAGATCGAACGCCGAGGTCGAGGCCGTGGCTATCACCTTATACCCAGCGGCGGATGCGAGTCGTACACCATGACTACCAACATTTCCTGTCGCGCCCGCGATGATGACCCATTCATCTCGAGAAGGAGGGTATGAGACAGGAGGCTCGAGGCCAAGCGATATATCTTGGAAAAGCGCCGAAGCGGCAGTAGAGATACCCAGTGGCATAGTAGAGGCATCCTCATAAGACAAGTTTGGTGGGATGGGACATGCCATGTTCGACCACAGGACAGTGTAATTCTGAAAGCCGGCGTGACGGTCGTCGTCGGTTGCCAGGCGAAGGGCGTGGCCCATGACACGATCACCGACGTTGAATCGGTTGATCTGGGAGCCGACTTCGACAACTTCGCCAGCTACGTCCACCCCTAAGATTCCTGGGGTGGTCATGTTGGTCACGTACCCATCCTGCATGGCGGCGTCGATAGGGTTTATTGACACGGCGGCGTTCTTGATGACGATCTCATCTTCATCAGGGAACCGCGGTTCGACCTCGTCTACATCGAGAGGCCGTCTCATTTGCCTGATGAGAATAGCTGCGTAATTATCCGCCATCCTATGCGTATAAATGAAAGGTAGTATAATCAAGACGTCCAGTTGAATTGAAACAGTAGCCTTTCTTGTCCGCGAAACTCTGAGTACTACCAACGCAAGGGAACTATCGTGAGTAATATACAGACAATACGGAACCTAGCTATAAACAGTATTTACTCGCGTTCTCCGATGTAAGGGCTCAGAGGCAGTAGAAGGAACGAAAAGACGACACCCATCCTGCAACTGGATTTCCGTGTTCGCGGCATTGCCGTATGGTTAATCTGGCAGTTCCGATATCTCTATGTGTAGCGTCTACCTCCTCCCAAACTGAACCCTTGAGTCCTATATTGTACCACGAGGCGCAGGGTACAAGTGAACCCTGCGGGGGACATGCAAGTCAAGGTTACTTTGGGGTATTCAGCTTGCCATTTCTCACCCATTTCATCCTAGCGTACGCTGCAACGAACCCGCGAGCCGTAGGGATGGGCGGGAAGGATGATGGCTTAGGTCAACTACAACCTCCATCTCCCTTCCTTGATGCTCGTTATGGATCGCCAGACCAATTAGGGGACGCCAGCTCACTATGATAGGAATTTCTAACCACGGGTTGAGTTAATTCCAAGAAGGGTGCAGTTTGTAATGTACCAAACTTGGCATTTCAGCACTCCACCGACATTTCAGCTTCATCATTGCGCGCATCAGATACTACAAGGGGGGCTTGCAGACAAACATGGGGGTCCGCAAATAGAGCCAGTAACTAATATCTATGATCTTCCTCCAGCTTGACAAGGGCAAAGTCAATATTCGTCAGCGTCGTAGCCGCAACGGCCGAGACATATCACGACGGCTAAGCTATTTCTTCGTCCTATACTATGTATGTTATAGCCGAAGGAGGGCAGCTTCATGAGCTGCACGCGCAGTGTTAGGATGTCAGCCAGAATCTATATCGCAAAGACGTGGGGGGTTGGTTCGAACTGTGTAGGCTAAGGGAGGGCGCCTAGAGCAGGCAGATTAAGATGATGGCCAACAATCGCAGGTTTGCGAGATAATCTGTCACCTAAATAGAAACACAATGTCCCCCTCTAAATTCGTTTCCACCTGAACAACTTTCTCCCTCACACAACTCTGGCAGTAAATTCTTCTTCATCGAAGCTTTTGTGCCACCCAAACCCGCATCATGAGTAATATATGGGACGACGCTGGGGCTATCCCGCCAGTCCTCGATGGACGTAAACTTGAAATCTATAGCCGGGAAACCCCAGATATCATCAATGCACAAGATCCTAGGTCTGGGTTGACACCACTGGCTAAGGCCATACTTGCTGGTAATGTGAAGACAGTCAGGCTCCTACTCGACAGCGGCGCCAGCCCTGACACGAAGATGCGGGATGGACGAACTCCAATGTATATGGCGGCAGATGCCACACAGAATAGAGCGCGTTTTATCCAGCTCCTTCTCGCAAAGAACCCTGCCACATTCGACGATGCGGGACCAGACTTTGTTCAAAACAACACACCTTTGATGGCCGCTGTCAAGAGGGGCGACCCTGAGGCCGTCAAGTTGCTTGTCGAGCGAGGGGCTTCGAAAGAGAAGAGGAACGCTGCCGGAAAGACACCAAACGACCTCGTGAACGAGTCTAAGCCGAACAGCGATGAGGTCAAAAAGTCTCTGGCGATTGTCCCTAGCAAAGGTGTAGGTGGCCTTATGACCTACATCAAAGCATGGGTTTTGCCAGTGCTTGCTTATTTTGGACTTTTCCGACCCCTGGCCGACATTTTCGATGCCGCGGCCCGGGCTTTCTTTGGTATCCGGGAAGATGGGCCGCTACCAGGGGAGGTAAGTCCACTATTATTAACAGTGTCCTGCATTCTTACGAGATCGCGTTGCTAACTCGAAATCCAGGATGTTTCCGAGCCATCAACGCCGGAGGAGTTCAAGAAAAATTTGGAAAATATGGTGGCACGGTAAGTCATGTCGCTAGATGACATCAAAGAAGTTCTATTGACTAGATCATCCAGAGGAGGTCTCGAACGGTTCTTCCCTCCTGGGGATCCTTACGTCCAACAGGTCGCTGATAAGGCTGCTGAGCTTAAGAACGACCCCAACAATCTCCTGAATTCGCCCGCTCAGATTGACGCTCTTGCTAAATTGGCCTTGTATCAACCCATACTATATTGCGGTAAGAGTCCAGGCTCTACATATATAAATTCAACAAGCACTAAATTCAGAAACTCGTACAGATGACAGTGGTTCAATGTGGAACGAGGATAACGGCCCTGGTACCAATAAGGGGGATCGATGGCAGTCCCAAATAGAACTCGTCAGGAAGATGACTGATATCACCACGCGTGCTGTTCCAAACAAGAGAGGCTGCGATCTTCGCTTCATTAATAGAGATATCCCTGATAGCAACAACCTCGATGGCGCGGCCATCCGACAAATTTTCAACGACTATGGCCGCGGCACCGGTTGGACACCGATAGGAACATCGTTGAGGAAACACGTCCTCGATCAACTCGTCTACAAAGACTTGGACTCAGGCACCCTCATCAAGCGTCCGTTCCTCGTGATGTGTATCACCGATGGTTTCCCGACACAGGAACGCGCGATGGAGGGCACTACACCAGGGCCTGAGGACGCAAATCAGAACCAAGACGCAGATCGATTCCGCAAGGAAATTCGTAAATGTGGCCAATTACTCGAAAGCAAAGATTACAAGCGTGAGGGTAAGCTTTACTCTTTTCATCATTGACACCAAAAACAGGTTTTAATTCGCTCTTAGTCGTCCGATTTTCCATTAGTCGAATCGGGAACATCACAGATTGGGAAGATAAGGCAGAAGCGGACAAGTTCTGGGATGGTCTTAGGTCAGATGACATGATTCAGGACGTGCTGTATATGACAGAAGGTATGTACTACACACCAACAGAGATAGTACAGGTCGCTAACACATGCGGAAAACAGATATCTTGGATGAGAAGTTCCACGCCAAGAAAGACCAGAAGGAGTTGGAAATCTGGGTAAGTGAATAATCATACAAATGGACCTTCTGGATATTGATTCTGATTCGGTCATAGCTGCTCACTACACTGTTGGCCCCTATGCAATCACTTCTCAACTATTAAATCGTGCCTCGGGGGTTATTCATGGGTTTTATACTGGGTTATTGCTGGTATCAATAACAGGGCATCTAACCCATATGATTATACCACTATTGCGAATTATTTGATTTATGTTATTCGTCTTAGTATGTTTATTCAAAGTTGAGAAATTAATTATTATACCATGTTCTGCGCATTACTAGCGTATTGCCCCTATACGCTTACTTCTCTTTTAAGACCTAGGTAGGCAGTCAATTTGTAACGTGAGATATCCTATGGGACTTGATGCCAGTAAATTGTTAAGACAGAGCCCCTATTGAAGTAGTCTGATACTAGACCATCAACACGTTTTCAAAGACCTCTTACATGCTGTGAGCTGTAATGATTCATCATGCAATTTTGATGGATTAGCTAAATCCTCTGCCACGTCCCCCCTGACAGTGTCTGTATCCTTGGTGAGAGAATACAGAGTTGATCATAATACTTACATGCTAGCCAACTAGACTCGACGTCATCATAGCACGGCACGAGTTGCTTGGCTCCTTTCTTGGCAGATGTGAGATTACCCGAGGCGGTGGTATAGAGCGTGAATGTTGGTCACATGTAGTGTTCATAGTGTTGTGGAACGACTCACGATATGGTAGTAGGCCAAGTTAGGCGAGCTTGGCGTGTTTGTGGAAATGGTTATGCAGTCGCTTACATGGATGATTAACGGCAGATGAGTTATTAAGTGAGTGCAAGGGAAGTATAATAGAATTCTGTGCTGTCGTAGTAAATAGGTACCTATACATACCTATACATACCTATTATATAAGAATCTACCATATACCTATCCACCGGCAAAAACAGATCGCCACAGCTAACTTACAACCATTGTACGAGTTGTATATATATGTGGTAGGACGGAGATGCGTGCAGATCCGCTGCTCGGCCGTTTTCGCATGTCTTAGGGGATGTTTGCTGTCTGCTTGTCCTGTTGTACACATATGCTCACTCTTGTTCTCTGCTCTTCTAGTTTCATGGAGACAATCGACATGATCTGATATTATATAAGATGACCCGATATGATTGTGCAAGTCCAGGCCCAATTCTTATCTGGTTTTTGTTTGCTTTGTTTCTTACGAGATCGACTCATTGTTGATACGTGGCACGGCACCAACAACCTAGAGACTCGGTTTTTGATCGGATCAGCTGCACACGCGTCGATTCCTTGTGCTTGTGTATGTGTAAAGTGATACCATGCTGTGGGTTTTGTTTGGCGCTGTTTGAATACTTGTCAAGGATATACAATAGGCGGTAGGCGTGCATTGGCGAACACTGCATATTCCTTGATGAACTTTATAATTCTTGTGGCCATTGAGTTGAGCCCGCTGGACCTGGTGCTTATTCCATGTCCCCCTTCTTGACTGTCTTTGGTCCATTTACGTTTGGATTGTTTGCCTTCTCCCAGTATCCTAACTCGGCTGCTCCCTCTTCTACATCATTGTCGATGAGGTGTGTATGGCATCGCTATCATGGGTCGTTGTGCAGCTGTGTTCCATCAGAACATTCGTTTCTCGTTCTGTCACACAATCGGCTCGCTGGCGATTACCCGTCAGTTGCCGGAGGGAGCCGTTGTCTCGAATCATCAGACATGAGGGTTTTTCTTGCTATCTTTATCTTTCTTGCGGTATGTGAGTTGGTGATACAGGAAGATAGTTTACGCACATGATGACGCGGGACATGTTTGACTGGCTCTTTAGCTTATTTGTAGGCCTTATCCTGTAGTCCTTTCTTGTACCTTAGCGAAGGACTGCCTCTGACGTAGGAGAAATTTCTTAGATAACCACGACAAATACAACGGACCTTTTGCTCCTCATTTCGGCCATCGTGGATGAATTGCCGTGTCATCTCGGTATTTTCCATTCGGCCCTTAGCATGGATACCAGCAACGTCATCATAAAATGATAAGGACTGTCATGCTTCAACAGGCCATTTATGATATATGTGGGATGTGTCATATGGTTTATCAGTTGTCTAGTCCCCTAAGATATGCTATGGGTAATATGCGTATTGAGGTAAAGCGGGATAAAGGGGCATTCGCTGTGTTCTCTTCAAGAAAGCCGTATAATTAGAGAAATTCCTTAATTTCCTCACAATCCTTAGCTCGGCAACTTGAATCGACCTACCATGCTCCTCCTCCTTTAGAAGTATCTGACAAGCCTCGCCCGGTCTTCGGAGAGATGCGACTGCTCAACAGAAGACGGTGTCGGACTGATAGCGGTTAACGAACCTGCCAACGCGGTACACACAGAATACACGTGGGATATGATGGCGAGTTAGACTTCAGATTGCTGATCACAGAACCTGACTGGCGACGTTGAACGAGGCTATGTGGAACACTATGGATGCTGGGAAGCCTCTTGCGCTCCATGAGAGAGACTGCCGACAGCCGTGGGAATGCTCAGATGCGTCATGTGGTAATAGGCAAGAAGATTACACGACGTACTGACGATGACATGGAATTGGGACCTGAAGATGGTAGGAGTCTAGTTCAACAGTACTCGAGGAAGATGGATATAAAAAGACCGCCAGAAATCCCATCTCCCTCACCTCCCAACGCTCCAAACCATCACTATCTTCCCCATCACACACTTGATTAGATACCAACATCGATTCCCGTCTAGTGACCAACATCTTATAGAACCACTCCAAGATCTAAGCAAACATCACCATGCACTTCAGCACCATCCTCAGCATCTTCCTCGCCGCTCTAGTAGCCGCAGCACCAACCACACCCCCTAACGACTCGACCGCCACCAACACCGACACGTACGAGCCAGACCTCGTAACGTTCGTCATGACCGTGCCAAACTGTCCCGCCATCAAGGACTACTGCACACACTGCAATGGGTTCGTACCTCACCCTATTCCCCAAATCCCAGACTACAAGCACCACCTCTCTCCCCTTAGCCAACATCAATACACTTCTATCACAGCTCGTATATACCATGCACCGGAATATGAGGGGGCCTTTCTGTTCGAGTACAACGACTGACTTTTCATCAGTGATTTCAACTGCGATACAGATCCGCGCTGCGAGTGGTGCTACCACAACAAGCAGTTCGGCACCGATGGCGGGAACAGCGATTAATTTCTGGCCCGAGAAACCAGACCAAAGCTGTATTTGCTAGACTAGCTAGCTCCGTAGACAGGCGAGGGGGAAACATCTGCCTGCCCAGCACGGCTCATATTGTCACGGGATCTCAGTCGACTGCTCGCAAAAGCGTGTAGTTTAGCTCTCTTTATATTTTATATATGTAGCTCAAGATTTGATCCTCTTCTATGGTACATTGTGTCGTTCCCTGGCTGGGGAAGTTGACTCGACATGGAACAGTGTGCTCACTTTCCACTCCTTCATATCGCTGTCTCTCTCTCTTTAGAAAGTAAAATACAGACATTAATACACAACTGAGAGGTGCTAACTCCTCCTTTTGATATACATTGGCCCAGCCTCGTGAAAACCATGTGATGCAGAGAACCAATCTTTGTCCCCCCCCCGAGTACTCCCCTAACCAATGTATGTAGACAAAACATATGCACGAAGCGCCCTGTTGAGTAGAGTTAGGAGGGGTATAAAACCTCATCAGGTCAGACACATAACTGACCCTGACTATCTGTGTAGTCTCTGGCGTTAGAAAACATTAATCTCCCCGGTATTTATACACACATCACCAAAACTTCGAATTCTCTCTTTTACGAGGTCTTCGCTTGTGGTGGTGTGTCTGATGGTTGAGATGGTTTGAACCAGCCAGTAAAGGACGATTTCATGCTGTTCATAGCTTCGGCCTGTTGCGCTTCCTGCATTTGTTGCGCTTCCTTGAGCCATTGCTCACCATGTTCTCGGATCTGCTTCTCCATCGCTTCGTAGTTCTTCTGACCTCTCTCCCGAATGATGTCTTGCAACATCTTACCCTGTGCAAACGCCTCTCCCGGGGAGATTTCACCATCTACTGGCTGCATCATGCTCATATTTCCTTTGAGTCCAAGCATGTTGCCCAGTGCGCCGACCCCTGAGGGTCGTTTTTTCTTCTCTTTTGCGAGCTGTTTCTGGAACTCGGCGCGTGCGATAGCTTCTCGACGGGCGAACTCGGTAGGGATATGTTTGCCCTTGAAAGACTTGAGAATTTCGCGAACATCCTTATATTCCATAGCAAAGATATATTCCAAGAAAGGGATAAGTGACACAAGTTCTTTGTCATCCTTCTCTCCTTTCCAAGGTGGTAAAATAATAGCATTTTCTGGTTGATTTTGAACGTGGGACTCCTTCGTATCGATTATGATGACTTTCGACAAATCACGATTCAGGTAAGAGAGGTCCTACAGAGACGTTAGCATTTATAGGGCGAATTCATCTCAGTATCGCCGAGACTCACCTTGACGATTTCGCCGTCCTTGTATTTGGTTGCCTCCCGGTACAGTGGCCAGACTATGATCTGGAAGGGGTCTAATTTTCGCATGAGAGGTTCTCCCATAGCAACGGGCACACTTGTGAACAGAACAAGTTCGTAGTATTGACTGAGATAGCGTAGGAAATAGTCCATCCCAGGACGCTTCGCTACTCGCCAGCCGTGTTCGCGCGACCATTCACTATGTACTAACATATCTTCGAGACTGATGCAGAGTGTGTAAGGCCGTTCAAACATAGGATGAGTATCTGGCAATAGCTTGTCGAAAGCGGGCTCGCGATAGTACTCTGTCACATCAGTAAGACGGGCTGCAGCACGTTTCCACCAAAGTGCAGGTGACCACCCGTTGGGAATATCCTTGTGAACAGCAACTTCATCTTCATCCCAGTCACGACCTAGATAACCCAATCCCACAACACCACCAACCAGCACGGCGAGATACATTCGGTTGGCGAATTGTGCGCGGCGTTTGTCAGTCGAGCTCATGTAGGCTGACGCAGGTAATTCTCCCCGACCACGGCCACCTCCCTCCGTTTGCGCACTTTCTTCGGCCTCTTGAAGAGCAGATAGATCTGACTTTTTAGAAGCCCCTGAGGTCTCATATTCGAGTGTAGAAGGGATACCCTGGGTAAGATCGGGAAGCGAACTAAAATCTGGTGGCGGAGTTGGTTCGGCGGCATCAGACGATGGCTTCTCGTGGGATGAAGGGGAGGGCTTTGATGATGGTGGTGACTGGGCTTCTGACCGGGGACTAGGGGTCGGTTTTGACTGAGCGGGCTGGTTCTTTGGACGGTTCTGCTGGGCCAATCCTCGTATCCATAGTGTCGAGGAGGTTGTAGTAAGTCTAGAAACTGTCGACACAGGAGCGACTGTCCGTTGGACGGTGGGTAGTCGCGCAGAGCGCGCGATGCCCTGCGCAATTGCTCTGGAGAGCATTGCGATGACGACAGCAGGGCACAGACGTCAGACCTGGAAGAGTGAGCAGCACAAGCTTTCTCTGTGCCAATGCCCTTAATTCCAGAAGCCGTCCTGTTTCTATCGGAAAAAGAGGGACGACTGATTGCTGTCAAGCGAAGAGGAGGTGCTGTGTCTGCTGAGGCTGTGTGGAGTAACGATGTGATGGAAGCCCGTCGACTACAGTCAAGCTCTAGAAACTTTTTTCATCTTTCTGCACGAGGTACTTCGTGAGCATAGCGTGCTGGTGGGCTAGGTAGGTACCTACCCTGGTATATTACAGTGGAGGGGTGTCGCTACAATCATCTCCCACGTCTTCTACCAAGGTACATTCAGGTACTAGAATGCCCAAGTCGACCAATTCCGACAATGAACCGATCTGTTCCAATTGTAGTGAGACACAAACCACATTGTAGTGCTCAATTACATCATCGTGGCGCTCCTAAGTTATTACCTCCTAGGTAGAACTTGAAGCCAATTGAAGATAAAAGAGGAAAAGTATGGTCAATCCGTCCTAGAATCGTTTTTTTTTATCACTTTTCAAAGATGCATAGAATAGAAAGAGGAAGAGTTCTTTGCTAGCAGCTTCTCCCAAAGACTCAGAGTCAACTGCCAAAACCTCAATTCTTCGAGGCAACAGGCTAGAGTGCAAAGAACTGCTTCAAGAGTTTGATCGTTCTTAGAAGGAGGGCTCAATAACTCTTGCATAGCTGTAGATTTTTCGCTTATAATAGCAGGAAGCAGCCCGAATTTTTATATTCACGACTACTTGTATTTACAACATCGAAGTCGTTGAGCCAGAAAGGCACGTTTGATAACCCAAAATGATCTTTGCTGCTCAAATTAAAAAAGGAATTGAGCTGAAATTAAAGAAACAGACACTCTTCTCAAGGCCATGGCCTATGGAACTGCAGTCCATTGCTCTACTACTGAACTACCAGTCCTACAGCTGTTATGGCTCGCCGCAGATAAATCTGATATGCGCTAGATGGAAGGTAGCGAGGTAGTAAGTAATTCGCCCGCGATTCTGTATTGATTCATGAGAAAAAAAAAACTGCACTGCGGATCTTCACCGCCACGCTTATTGGAGCCTTGTACTGCCCTGGAACGTTCCATTATTCAAGTAGTAAATTTTCGATTTAGAGAGCTATGCTAAGAAACGGAACGGATGGATCCAAAACGGAGTGCCCGTGTCGTTGTTCCCTGTAGATAGAGCAGAGAATAGGGGCACTTGTAGACTATATCGCAGGTGGCCATTTGCTCCTCTCTAACATCCTCCGTACAGTGACAACAGACGTCCAACTGTCCTTTCTCGTCATTACCTACATACCTGCCTGTCGCCGCTTCATGTGCCAACGCGTCCAACCTGGCTCGCCTGATAATACCTACTGTAGACTGCCTTTTCTTGCTCTCTATGTTCCATGTCATTTTATGACTCGAAAAGGCTTTCTACTAAAGCAACTCATTTACAAGGCTAGGTACCTTTCCGGGGTGGTCTTTCACCATTGTGATTCAATATAGAAGGTGCATCTCGTCTCACGAGTTATGATGATTTTATGTGATTAAATACAGTAGGTTCTTCCATACTGGACTGGTAGCTCAGTGGTAGAGCAATGGACTGCAGTTCCATAGGTCATGGGTTCAATTCCCATTCGGTCCTTAAAAGCATTTATTTTTGCAAATTATCCCAAATGCAAGCGAATAACCTCGCCATGCATGCCCTCTTACCCTTATAACCATCTGCCTTCAGTAACCAATTTATCCATGGCGATACTCTTAATTGACCACTCAGAAGCTTTTGCAGTTTGCGCAAATACTACCTACTCCAATTCCATCTCAACTACTCCGCGCGATTGCCGACCGTCGCGTGACTCCAAGCCTCTTCCTTCGTCTTCCCGCGCTCCATCCGAGTCGTACGACCTGTCTGATCATACAACGATCTGCGGATCTACGAAACTTCAATCCACTGCTACGGAGATATCGAAACATTCGAAACGATGCGTGGTCGAAAGGCTGGTGGTGCTGGCAGGGCCTCCCGCGCTGCCGGTGCCATCTCTACACCCACGCCAGTCGCAGCCGTGATCCCATCTACAGTCTCGTCTGCTCTGCCTACTCCTCTCAGCAGCGCATACCCCTCTACTTATGCGTCAGAAGCTGAGTTTGACATTGATCTCGACGAAGAGATCAGAAATCTCCCTCTCGATGCTCTTAGTCTCGAAGCAGGCGACCCAGCAACACCATACAGACCCAAATCCAGACGAACCAAGCCGCGGCCGTTCCGATTTCTCGATCTCCCGTCCGAATTACGCCTCAAAGTGTATGGGTACCATTTCGCCAACACTGGCCATGTGCTTGACTTGGACTCGGATAATTACAAACGAATCCACCAGAAACTGTCAATCTTAAGGACCTGTCGCACTATCTATGTGGAAGCATCGTACTTTTTCTATAGCACCCATCTAGTTCGCCTCTTCCCCGCCGTCCCTGGTCGCTTCTTCAAAACCAAGAAGCCCCTGCTCGCTCGCTTGAAGCCTGGGCAGAGGGCATGCATCAACACACTCGAGCTCCGTCTGGGCCCAGGCTGGAGCAAGCCACCTCGCGGCTGGGAGGTTAATGCTGCACTGGGTCTCAGCCAGTGCGTCAACGTCACCAAGATCGCTATCTTCGTGGAATGCGACCCTGGCAACGATATCTTCAAGGGCTTCCGCCAACCTGGTGGATTCTTCGAGACGTTTTCGAAGAAGCTTCTTGTGGGTGTTCTCGACGAGATGCCTTGGGTAGAACGAGTGGAATTCGACGCTTGGCCGAGTGTCAAGAAGTCGGGCGCTCTTATGACCGGCCTGATCGACCTCGTTACTTCACGCGGCATGAAGATATCCTGGGGTCTTGAACGGGGCTGGACCGACGCAGATGAGGTGGAACCGCCGCCCGTCGTCCACAACTATGCTCCTCTTGACAGCCTCCTGAATGCTACTAATAATATTCTAGTCCTCGCATGAAATTCTGAAGTGCCTTTTATGGAGCGTTTAGCCTTATGACCTACCCTAAGAAGAATTCATATTGCACGGACAATGGGAAAATCTCCTATATCATTACGGGAAGTTGGGAGTTGAGCAAATTGATAGGTTTGATGACTCGAAGCTTGCCTGGAAACGGTTCGCTTTTAATGATCTCTGCTTCATTTCAGTCTTTGGAGCACACTGCTCAGTCAGACTCAGGATGAGGAAATTGACAACGTTTCGAAAGAAAGAAAGCTAGCATCTTAGTTCTGTTAGGACATGCCTTGAGATTTGGTGAAATCATGTGAGATGAGCATGCTCTTTCCTACCTTAGTAGACGTGACTGCTGGGATAATTACCTGCTGCGTAGCTTTGGCTATCTAACCATTTTACATGATGGACCTCCAGACATTATGTGTATATATATTCACATGCTCGCAAGAATAGATTTACATAACCTAGGCAGTATGTTGAGGTCGTTATCGATTTGACCCCACTACAAATTTCCACTAGCTATCCCCAGCTACATACATATCCAAATAAACCAGCATCATTTCAATTGTTTTGCTTATCTCTCGCCCAAGGTACAACTTTCCGTTGACATATCGAATTAATTCAACACCAAGCCCGGGTAGGCATTCACCGCTATATATATCGCCCTTCCGTTTCAACAACAATAACAATAACAACGACTTAAATTCCACCCAACCTAGACCGCAAAAGCAGCAATGCCCCTCGACACCTCGACCTACGACCTCGCGCTCCTGCGCGTCGACGGCCGCCGCTGGAACGAGCTGCGGCGTCTGCACGGGCAGATCCGCACGCAGGCCGCCGCGGACGGGTCGTCGTACCTCGAGATGGGCAACACGAAGGTCATGTGCGTGATCACGGGCCCCAGCGAGGACGCCGGCAAGCGGCGGGGGGGATCAGCGTCGTCGGCGTCGGCGTCGACGGCGCCCGGGGGCACGAATGGCGCCGACGTCGTCGTGAGTATCGTGGTGGGGGGATTTAGTTCCGTTGATCGGAAGAGGAGGGGGAGGGGGGATAAGTAAGTTTTTCGCTTTCTCTCTTTCTTGTGTTTTATGTCATGTTATCATATCATTAGAGCAAATATTTGTAGTCTTTGTCTCGGTAAGCTAGCCAGCTAACTTGTCCCAAGACGCACCCAAGAGCTCCAAGCAACGATCGCCAAAGCCCTCGCCGCAACCCTACACGTGAACCTCTATCCGCGCTCGACGATAGGCGTCTCTCTGCACGTCCTCAGCCAAGACGGCTCGCTGCTCGCAGCCCTCATCAACGCCGCCACGCTCGCGCTCGTCGACGCCGGCGTGCCCATGACCGATTACCTCGTGGCGTGCACGGCGGGCAGTACGTCGACGCACTCGGCTGGCGACGAGGGCGCCGACCCGCTCGTCGACCTAAACACGCAAGAGGAGCAGGAGCTGCCGTTCCTGACGCTCGGGACACTGGGGGCCACGGATAAGATCGCTGTCTTGGTATGCGAGACGCGCGTGCAGGTCAGTAGGCTCGAGGGTATGATGGCGTCGGCTGCGGACGCGTGTAAAGGTGTGCGCAACTTTCTAGACCAGGTCGTGCGTGAAAAGGGACATAAGATGGTAACAGAGGGCACGATTAAGAAAGGTGCTAGTATGGCGATGGATATCGATGTCTAGGGTTTATGTTATAGTCAAGTGGCCGGATCTATCGTGTTTAATCGGCTGGGCTCGGTTTGAAGGCAATCCACGCAACAAGGTAAGCGATTCACTGTTTGATCGGATCAATTTCCTTCAATTTTTACACTATGTAATTATCGCTAACATTGGGTCTTGATTACAGCTCCTCGTGCTTTGGGGGAGCATCAGTAGCTTCTGGCGTGGGCTCCGCGCCTTGCCATGATGTCTCTGACTCCGTCTCTACCTCGACTTTGACGTCTTCCTCTAGCTTCACCTCGACTGACTCAACAGGCTTTCCTGTTGTGGGTTCAGACTCCTGGCTAACTTCGCCAATGATTCCCTCGGGTAATTTGTTCCTGGGGCCCTCGTTCATGCGAATGGCGTCGATCCAGCTCTCTACACTTGCGGAGCTGAAGTCGCCCTCATAGTGTCGCCACCATCCCCTCTTTGCGTTAATAGCGACCACTTCGACCTCACCTGTCAGCTCAAGACCTTTGAACACAGGTGCGACGGCATCATTGTCCGTGTGAACCTCGAAGAAAGGAAATAGGCGGCGCTCAGCCTGGGCATGCTTGAAGGCAATCTCGGACAAGCTGGTCAACGCCTTCTCAGCTGTTTCACCATGAGCCGCGGGCGCAAAAGCCAAGACGCAAATATGGGCTTTGGGATGTAAGCATTCATTAATGAGTGCTTGGGACGATGTGATCGCAGGGATCGGAGGGGCTAATTCAGCTAGCCTGGGCTTTGACTCGGCGGTGGGGGATTCGCTGGCTTCAGATGATTCGGTTGTGGTAGTAGAGGTAGTTTCAGAAGAAGCCCCAGACGCCTTGTCCTTCTTGTCCTTTTTGCTCTTCTCACTCTTGTCATTCTTCGACTTCAAAGGCGCTGGATCCGGATTGGGCCCGCCAGCCTGTGACAAGAACTTGAGCATATCGGGCTTCTTCATCTCTCCCTCGTACAATAAACCGTCCTTATCACCGCCAGGCAATAAGACTAGAGCGGGATAGGATTTGATGCCAAACATTTCGGTCGTCTTGGACTCCTTATTTCGAACCTGAGCAAATGAGATAACATCCAAGAAGTCGATTGCCAAGCTGCGCAGCAAGGCGCTTGTGGTACCCTTCTCCGTGAATAGTAGAGCTTTGGCGGTTTCATTTTTGGTGGAGAGGAAGGTGTCGATGTCTTTGTCGGATACCCTTTTGACATGGTTGCTGATCTTGTCTACCACGGCATTGACTATGGCCTTGGCAGAGCGTTCTCCCTGGTAGTCCTCTACAACAGGCTTCCCCGTCTTCTTCCCTGGGCGAACGATTTTGAGCGTAGGAAAGCCTTGGACACCCATCATGCCGCAGAATTGCTTATTCTCATCTTCGTCACAATTGACGGCAGCAACCTTGGCTAAGCCGTCGAGGTTCTTGGCAGCCTTTTCGTAGGCGGGCTTCAGGTTCTGGCAGTGTCCGCACCATGGCGCATAGAATTCGACCACCTGGTGTATTAGAAGACAGGTATCAGTGATCGGATAGATGTTTGGCGAATGGCGTTAAGACGTGTCAGGCAAGGAGTTACTTACAGAGGTGTGGTTCGATTTGGCAATTAGTCTATCGTAACTCTTTGCATTCACTTGAAGAACAGGGGAGCTCTTTGTGTATAAGCTAGCTTGCGCGGCGGGGAGCGCAGAAAGGAGAGCTACTGCCGCGACGGCAGCAGTAGGGTTGAGATTGAGATAATGCATAATGAACTTCTTCCCCGTATTCAAGTCACGATCTTATAGATGGACGGATCGAACGCACTCCCAGATGTGGAGGAACGTGGATCACAGAACTCAGACAATGGAACAGGGATTGTGGCAGATCAGAGCAAGGAGATGACGATATCAAACCACAGAACTTGCGAGTGTATGGGCAGAGAGAGGTTAACGCGCTTTGCCTCCTCAGTGGCTAGCCGCACGCTTTATATATAGTTCCAGAGGAATAAGCAGCCAACTGTATTGTGCGGCGTTGGATGAGAAGAGGCCACGGTGGAAAGTTGATGCTCTCACGGGTCAAAAGAACAGATGGCAGTAAATTGGCGGCAAGCTGCTGCTGCCCCTCCAAGGTGAATATGTACAAGGAAATCCCAGTCAAAATGCAGGCGGCGCCAGGCATCCTTGTCACAGCTCCAACAGAATCTGGGGGTTTGAGTGGCTGTCTAGGTAGGTAGGAACTGAAGGTTGTGGCGCGAGCTGTCTCTCAGGCGCTAACCGAGCGCTAATAGCTCCCTTCTGCTCTCTGCCTACAGGTACCTACCTCCTAATGGGCGTTGGGGTTGGTGGTGACTTCAGCGGGGATGCACGTCAGTCAAGCTAGTAATCTAGGTAGACTGCGAAGGTAACCTCCTGCTGTCTATGACCTGATCATTCTCGTGGACAGAATCATACAGAAGACACAGACAAGGACGTAGGTTCGTGTTCCTGTTGTCTCCCTGTTGCCTGCGTGCCTTTGGGTTTGCTTCCGATCGCATTCTTGGCATTCGACAGGCTTCCATATTGTGATACTTTGATCTAAGTTAGGTGCTTGGTCTGCTTCTGCACAAACAGAGTCGCAACAACCTCGGTAACGCGCCTACGATTGGGCATATTTCACTACGACGACTACCAACCTGCGCAACCTCTCCCGATCACATCGTCGTCCTTCGCCAACTCAACTTGGGATTCTTGGGCTTGCACGCCTTGCAATTCCTAGGGTTAATTATCGCTCGTCATGGCGGCCAACGTCCCAGGCAAGATTAAGCCTGCGGGCGTCACTCCATTCATCGTACGCGCCGTCCAGCTCGAAACCGCAAAGCCTGTCATTGCCTACTGGTGTATGTTGCCTTTTGCGAGAACCCGCATATATGCGCCCGACGGTTTGCTAAAAAGTAGATGATACAGGCTATTATTGGGTGGTGCAGCAGATCTTGAAGAGATCACTTCATAATGAGGACGAGGAGTGCCTTCAATTTACCACAACTGTCATGGATAAGCTAGAACAGGTACGGCCCTCCATAAATGCGATTGCGCTCGATAGTTTCTCATGTAATATATCTGCGCAGATGAAGACAGATCAGGCAAACAATGATGCTATACTGGATGATGTCGCCGGCCAAGCATACGTCGAACAATTCGCTCAAGAAACTTTCGACCGGGCACTTCGACCTCTGAAAGCCAACAAAGTTACACAGTCAGTCATAAACATCCCCCAACATCCTTTATAATCGTAATTGGACCCGGAGCGGCTAATATTGGCGGCGCAGACAAACCGCTAGTACTTTTGAAGCAGCGGCCACATTCTTCCAGCTCGTCAACATCTGGGGTCAACCCGACCCGGAGACACAAGACAAGATCAAATATGCCAAATGGAATGCCGCGCGAATACTAAAAGCGATCAAGGAAGGCAAAGATCCAAATGAATCGAACCCGAAACAAGAAGAGCCCAAGCCAGAAGAGAGCGCCGTACCTCTTGACCCTAACGACCCGGAGGTACAACTGATCGGCTCTGGCCAACCACGGCCGGCAACTGTCGAGGATGCCCCAGACGACGGGGGAATATCTCGTGGACCAACATCAAGTTATTCGCTCAACGCAGCCGCAGCTGTCTCCGCCCCTAATTCACCTCTCCCACCTACAGCATCAGTACCCGATCCAGTTTCTCCTATAGCACCTCCTGATGTACCTGTCCAGGAGCCAGGGAGTTATTTCCCCAGCGCTCCGTCAACGACTGATCAATCCCCTCTTGAGCTGCCATCTACCACAAGCATGCCGCCTCCGGGATCAACAACCCATAGTGTCCATAGTGCCCACAGTGCACTTGGGTCAGCACCAGATATTCCAAGTCCTGGCTCACATCGTCTATCACAACCGCCGTCGGTATCACATGCGTCGCCAGGTGTTCCATCTTCTCCACAAGATTTCTATCATCCGCCCCCTCAGCATCAGCATCACTCAGCACCCGCGCCGCCCTTCCTACCTCCACAGCAGCATTACACCCCGGCTCAAGCTCCATCTGCGCCTCACAATTATCATCACGGTTATTCCCAGCCGGTAATACCAAAGGCTGCACCCGCTCCCCCACCACCTCCTGTACAGCAATATGGGGGCAACAGTCAGCCAACTGGGCCCTATAATTGTGATGATATGGCTATGGCACAAGCGCAGAAACACGCCAAGTGGGCAATATCTGCACTCAACTTTGAAGATGTTCCGACAGCGGTACGAGAGTTACAAGCGGCGCTTGCGAGCTTGGGGGCACGGTAATACAATTAGTACATCTTGAAGGTGACTGTTCCGCCTTCGAATTGCAATTCATAGTTTGTGAACAACGTAATGGCAAGTGAGGAGAGCTCCACTGATGGCACGCAGCGCATAGAGAAGTGTATATACGAGAAATGCAATCGCAATGAGGCCATAGATGATGTCGAAATTCTAATTTGCTATGAAATAATTCCCAAACTTGTACATTCCCCGAATTTACTATATACAACTGTCACCATCAAATTGCTTCCAACACTAAAAACAGCCATCGCTTCACAAATCTATACAAACGCAGCCCCATTCGCACCAATAATCTGCCCGGACACCCAACTGCTCTCAGGGCCAGCAATAAACGCCACAACCTCGGCGATCTCAGCGGGGCTTCCGAGCCGGCTGAACGGGGACTGGCTCTCGATGGCCTTGATCATGGCCTCCGGCTTGCCCTCGCGGAAGAGCTCCGTGTCCGTCGGGCCCGGGGCCACGGCGTTCACCGTGATCCCCTTCCGCCCGAGGTCCTTGGCCAGCACGCGCGTGAGCTGCTCCACGGCGCCCTTGGTCGACGCGTACAGGGCGTACGGAGGCGGCACGGCGGTGCTGCGCGCGATCCCCGTGCTCACGAAGACGATGCGGCCGCCTGCGGGCATGTGCGGCGCCGCGGCCTGGGCGAGGAACATGGGGCCCTTGACGTTTAGCGCGTACGTCTTGTCGAAGACCTCCTCGGTTAGTTGCTCGAGGGGCAGCAGGGGCATCGTCCCTGCGTTGGCGAGGACTATGTCGATCCGCCCGTGTTTGGATACGATTTGGGAGACGAGGTCGCGCATTTGCGACGGGCTGGATGCGTCGGCTTGGACCGCGATGGTCCGGTCCGAGGGCAGCTTGGACAGGGCTGCTTCGGCGGCCGAGGCCGAGGTGCTGTAGTTTAGGACCACGGTTGCCCCAGCTGCGGAGAGACGCTGGGCGGCGGCTAGGCCGATGCCTTTTGTGCCGCCTGTGACTAGGGCGATTTTGCCGCTGAGGTTGGGGTTGGCCATTTTGTTTATGGTGGAAAGGAGATTGCAAAATCTAGGTGTTTGTGGACGTTGAATATAGGGGCTTAAATTGGGTATATGATAATACTGGTTGGCTTTATGACTTGATGATGGGTGTCTTAATCACATTGGAATCATCCAGAGGACTTGGTCTTATTTTATATCTACTTCATCTCACTACAATTAGGCATTTACTCGTTAATCGCTAAAGCCGATGTCATAATGTACGTTGCTCGCATCAAACTCCGCGAAACACCGTCTTAAAACCCGTGGCTTGGTCCGCCGGCGTTCGTCGTGCGGACCGGATGTATTCACTACGGCGTCCCATGAGTCGGCTTTGCAATCACGCGCCAAGATCTTTCCGCCGTAGCTTTCGGATTTGGATTATCTCACAGTCAGATCCGACTGTCATGGTATTAGCTAATCATCCGATGCGGATCATTTTCTGATTGGATACAGATTCTAAGTAGTGATCCGCTCCGTTGACCCATGGCTGTGCGGGGGGTGACGTCGAAACTGGATCGTCCGATATTGACGATCTCCTCATTCACGCAAGTTCCGAGGCTCCTCCTGCCCATCACTAATCATGGAATGAGCAGAGGGAAGCTGATTTTCACACAATCACATTCCGGTCTAGCTATTTGAAGCAAGGACTCCTCCACTTTCATGCGTGGTGTGAGAGTGAATGATTCCGAGGCACCATGTTGCATCCCTTGGTTATCAAGTGTGATAACAAGAGATGCGATCCTTCACACGTCTAGACTGCTTCCCCGCGCCCGTCTGACGACCGTGCAGTTAGGCTACTTTGGAGCCAGCCTACATCATGCACAGCAGATGGACGGTTATTTCCATCTATGATTGGTCATGTCCTTTATAAGTTGGAGAATCTGCAGGCTTGTTATTCAGCGTTGCAGTTGTCCACGCGTGATGTACATCCATGAAGGACTTCGTGGTGTAGCAATGGCGGAATGGATCCAAGGATGAATACTCGCCTAGGTATATAACGCTTGGTATCACTCCACTTCCCAAGGGTATATGTATCCGTACTGCAGCCATTGTCATTGCCATATTATATCGCTGGTCCTTTCGCTGAATATATCAAGAAGTCCATCGTACGGTACACATTGACTCTATCACAATGACTTCGCTACCGAAGACCTACAAGGCTGCTGCTACCGTCAAGACCGGCGAGCCACTAGTCATCCAAGAGTACGAACTGAAGGAGCCCGGCCCCGGCCAAGTCCTCGTCAAGGTCCTCGCGTGCGGCGTGTGTCACACAGATATCTTGACATCGAGTGGTGCCCTCGGCGAGCCATGGCCTCGTGTTCCGGGTCACGAAATCGTTGGTGACGTCGTTAGTGTTGGCGATGGGGTGACCAAATTCGCCAAAGGTGACAGGGTAGGAGGGCCGTGGCACGGAGGTTAGTTCGTTCCTAGCTCGCTTGTGCCAATATCACACTACGTTCTCCGCAGCAAACACAAGGGCGTGTTCACAAACATACTCACCTGAGGCAATTTATGCGCCGACTAACCATTCACCATTACGATAGGTCATGACAGCACGTGCCGTGCTTGCGCCCGCGGCCTGTTCAACATCTGCGACAACGCGAAGGTTAACGGCGTCAGCTTTGACGGTGGGTACGCCGAGTACGTGCTTCTGCGCGCGGAGGCCGTAGTGCGCGTGCCCAAGGAGCTCGACCCAGCGGAGACGGCGCCGCTGCTGTGTGCCGGCGTGACCGTCTTCAACAGCATGCGCAAGCAGCACGTCGAGCAAGGAAGCCTAGTAGCGGTCCAGGGGCTCGGTGGGCTGGGCCATTTAGCAGTGCAATACGCCAACAAGATGGGGTACCGCGTCGTGGCCATCAGCTCCGGGAGCGCCAAGGAGTCATTCGCGCGCGAGCTCGGGGCGCACGAATACATTGACACGAGCAAGGATGACCCGGTCAAGAAGCTACAGGAAATGGGAGGCGCCGCGATGATCGTTTCGACGGCACCGAACCCCAAATCTATCAGCCCCTTAGTCGGCGGCGTCGAGGCCGGCGGGAAGCTACTCGTGCTGGCACCGATAGGCCCCGTCGAGTTCGACACCGCGAATATGGTTATCAAGGGCATCTCAGTGGTGGGATGGCCTGCGGGCCACGCGCTCGATTCCGAGGACGCGATTCTCTTTTCGCAGACCCACGGCGTCAAGTGCATGATTGAGAAGTTCAAGCTCGAGGACGCTGCGAAGGCGATGGAGCACTGCGCTTCTGGAAAGGCGAGGTTCAGGGGAGTTCTGGTCATGTAAGGGGAGAGGCTGAGAATCAATGTCTTATGCTTTGCAATTAGCACACTGATGTAGCGTTAAGCTTGCGTTTTGAATCCTTGAGATCTAGCAGGCGGTGAAAGCAAATTGAGTTTCATTCTCTACAATGCTATCGGATGAATCTACCTGGACTCTTTCAAGTGTGGTGTTCTATATGTGCTCATATCCTTCATCCTGTGTATACTAGTAGCAAGATACTTCTCTGATGTCTGTCGCAATACTCTTAACTTAACTTAACCGATAAACAATAAACTACAGGAATTGAACCCAACCCACTACCTAGCCCACTCAGTACGATAGTTGGCCGGCCCATCCCATGATCAGCAGCTCTTCGGGCGTAACAAACAAATCCAATGTCAGAAGCAAGAATATCTTGACGCAAAGCATCAGGGAGATAAGAATGTCACATCACGGTCGTTACACAACATCGCTCACTCACTCAGCGCCCACCTCCCTCCTTCACCTGCGGGGTGGAATTTCTCCAAACTCCCCCGCAGCGCTTACCTTTGAAGCTCATTTGTACAAGGTAGATCTGGGTAGGGGTACTAGGCCAGGGGCTCAAGCGACCCTACTTAGATCTCCAATACCGTGTCATCGGCTTTTTGTCTTACTCATTCATTCACATCACGAGTGCCGTGCTCGTGAAACATGGCGCCAAAAGTGAACCGAGGGATGAAGGTGCGTCCAGGGAAGGACACTCTAGGTAACCATCGCGTTTTATAAGTCGTGTTGGATTTTGATCTTCTCGCTTTGGAATGCATAAAAGCAATTCTGCACTCATTACCTAGGTTACCTAAAACATGCACGAGCAAAAGACTGTGCGTCCCGCCAACATGGTAAAGTTTGTCTTTAGCTATGCAAGACTATTACGACTGAGGCGCACCGTCAATGTATAATATTCATATTCTCGAAGAAATCTCTCTCGAATGTTAAGACACGTTTTTTTATTCTCCTTCTTCTCTTAGCACAAGCGGAATACGCACCGCCAGCCCGCTTCCTACTTAGTTATTCATGATTTTCAAGACATCGCCAGCATCCGGGGGCAAGGGAGGTCCTAGGCATCTCGCAGCCCTCGTCCTCCTCCTGCTCCTCGCGCAACCAGTCTCATCCATGACGATAACGCGAGCGACAACAACGCCACGTGCCGAACCCCAGTTCACAGATACCCCAACCTTCACCTCGGCGATCCTGAACAGCACCAACGTCTACCGCAAAGCGCACAACGCATCGGCGCTGACGTGGAACGCCACCCTCGCCTCGTACGCAAGATCGTACTTGTCCAAGGCCCCCTGCAAGATGGAGCACTCGGGGGGTCCGTTCGGCGAGAATCTGGCCGTGGGATGCAGGAACGCGACAGCGGCGGTCGAGGCCTGGGGCGATGAGCGGAAATGGTACAACTACGAACGGCCGGGGTACAGCGCGAAAACTGGACACTTCACGCAGCTCGTGTGGAAGGCTACTAGGTCCGTGGGGTGCGACCGGAGCCTATGCGGGGAGAAAGGGTGGCATCTGGTGTGCGAGTATTGGCCGCCGGGGAACGTCTTGGGCGCCTTCAAGAACGAGGTCGATAGGCCGAAGAACGACTCTAGGCGTGATCATCTGGGTTGGTTTGGCTTTTTACCCGTAGGTATCTTTCTTTGTTTGTTATTCCCGTGAGTGTGATTATGATGATACTAAATGGTTGGGCTTGTAGCGTATTTAGTATGGGAGTTCCTTGCGCTGGATCGCGAGATGGAAGTTTTACAAAGGATACGCGGGAATACCCATTGGAAAGAAATGCTCGATAGCTTGTTTGATGTTCGAGTTTGGGGTTTATCAATTGCGGCAACGATTCATCATGGTTATACACGACCTATCGTGTAAATCTCCTATCACTCATTACCTAGCATAGAATCTCTATGATACAAACTTGCGCGTTGCCGCAATTCAGTCACTAGTTAGATTAGGAATTGGATTTGGATACCCAATTGACATTATGCTTAGAGGTTATAGAAAAGTCTATCATACCATGTTTAACTAATCTCCCTACCTATTGCGTCAACTCCTTCTGTCCAGCCGGTACATTGAACGGTCCGTTCTCAGCCAGAGGGAATCTAGGCGTGCCATCATCATTCCATGTGAACTTCTGTATCCGCGCAGTTCGGAAAATATCCCCGGGCGGATTTGCCGTCGTCTGCGCGTGATAGACGAGGTAGTCCTCCTTTCCATCAGGCGATGTTGTGAAGGAGGCATGGCCGGGCCCGTAAACTCCTGCAACCGTATTCTGTTCGAGAATTTCAAATTAGCAAGAGCAATTTGCAGCAGATTATTCTCGACGTGTAGGATAATATATAGAGTGATAGGGAGAAGGAATCCCTAGTGAGGCTACTTGTGCTTCTGAGGTATATCGAATGAAGGTAAAAAGCTCTAGCAAACTAACCTGGTGGAATACACACTGCATAGTCCGAGGTTAGCCATTACGCTCGAAAGTTTAGGTCCAGAGTAAATATACACATGATGGGAAAGCAGCAGGCTAAAAACGGCATCGCGATTTATAAAATAACAGAGATAAAAAAAGAAGAAAAAAGTTGAGTATCACTTACGCCCTCTGTGCGCTTCTTCCACGATTGATATTGCATGGGGTCATTTCCGACGAGCTCCAGCATTCCGAGGCAGTAAAACGGCGTATTGACTCGCGCGGCTGAGTATATCACAAAGTTCTGTCCTGTATTAGGATTTATCAGCTGCTGGGGTCCTTCGTTGGTCGCGAGCCTGATCGGTCTTCCATACTAAAGAATCACCATGTTAAATTCCACGTTCGGGCATGACTTCGCGGGTTGGTCACTACTTACGGGTACTTGTTCCCAGGGCTGGTCCGGCACGCTGATGATGCGGCGCTCAAGGAAAGTCGAGTTCACAGTCCATGGATCGGACATCTTAGTGATACACAGGTTGGCTGGCCAGGCTGAGTACTTGTCTTGCCAGCATGAGTAGATGTGGTACAATTTGTCTTCGTGTTGGAAGTATGTCCCGTCGATGGCGAATTGGTCGTATGTGTCTAGCATGGGTTTCAACGAATAACTCGCGGTCCATGGATCCGGACCGTCGGCTGCTAGGACAAACATGCGGTGGTTGACAGCCTAGTGAAGATATCAGCGCATGGGGTTTACACAATGACCACAGCTATATGAAGCTAACTCTGGCTACTTTAGAATTTTATGCATGCAACTTACGGGGCAATTGAACGGGCACATGGCATCTAGCAACGGTGGTGGATTTTCTCCGTCTGAAGTAGCCGTGAATATCGCATACCAAGACCCTGAGATATTATGTATCTCTGGTGCCCAAAGACTTGTCGACCAAGGGTCTCCAGAAAGGGGATCTGGGTTGAAGATGACGCGCGACTCTGCATGGTCCCAATTGTCGGTGAGATATCTCGACCGTTTGAGGGTTATGTTGGAATTGGTCGTGTACGTGAACAGATACCAGTTCTTGCCACTAGGGTCGCTGTATTTCGTCATGAATGGATCACCGACATTGAGGGTCATGACAGGATTCGAGTACGTAACATTGGTCGTCTTGTTCGTGCCGACCGTGGCAGGGTCCCATCCCGACGATGTTCCTAGATTGGGGTCGAAGACCTGGGCAGTCACTGCAGCAATTCCTATGCAGTATGCCAGGGGAACAATCTCTTTAAGTTTGAGGCCTTGCATCATGTTTTTGCGGAAAGTCTATTCGTATAGGCTTTATGCGCTCACTTCCGCTCTCTGCATTTCCTGATGGAGGCGGGGGAGGGGAAAGAGTGTTACGAGAGTCGTACAAGGGTTCACTATCATGGGCCATTGTGGCTTTTAAGTACAGACAAAGATTTCTACGGCGAGCAAGTCACTAGGATGCACCTTGATCCTAGACTTCCGATCCAACTCTCTCCTCACACTACAATAAATTCCTAGTTAGTGGTAACCTTGACCTCGGTGTATGCTCGACCGGCTCCAAGCCTACTTGATAAAAGCTACTACCTATTAAGCTTATTCCCCGCAGTTTGCATCTACCCCACAATGCCATGAGGCGGGGAGACAATGGCATGGAATGTGGAATGGCCTTTGTTTGTCATAATTACATTGATGACGCTTCAGGATGGGGGCTTGGATTGTAGAAAAGAGCCCGGACGACCACTTCTGAGTTGTATATCTATTAAAAAAAAAATGGATATATTTAAGTATCAACATCTGTAAACCCCAGCCGACCACTTTTCTACCCATTTTCCTCTTTCATGACTTGACGTTTGCGGTTCCTGGACCATCGAATAGCCCGATCTCTACAAGGGGTGTGTGCCAGATAGGAACAATCATAGTCTACATATAGTGTCGTTACGTCACATCAGTACCATGAAGAGGATGGTAGCATTTAACTAGCGTTAGATCGGTACCAAACAAAAAGATACTCTTCTTCCCCAAACCACAGAAGTTTAGTGCCATTGTCACAGTGTACGTAATGGGAGAATGCCCCTAATCCGCAAATAGAAAATTATCTCCGCTGGCGAGTAATTTCGTGTCACTCTACTACCCCGGATGGGTTCAGTATGTACGGGCAATGGTGGAAAGTGAACCGGTGTGAGCGCGCGTTGACACACATTCCGCATCAGAAGGCTTTCCAATTCACCCTTCTGATAAAATTCGATCCAGTGCACGAGATATGTCATGATGTGGGTCACCGGCGACCGGATAGCGCTCTAGTGCTATTGCTCGATACCGTGATCGATAGCCGGAATGGTCGCAATTGAGGTCCATATGTCTTGAATTGTTATAATGAAACCACAACTTCAGAAGTCAGGCGCAGTCTCAGCTATATACAAGTCATGTGCCTAAGTCGTCTGAGGAAGAGGAGTGATGAATCAACATGATAAGACTATGGAGATAAAGAATTCCCGAAATATAAACAAGTGCTGAACGAACGGGTATCATTATAGGCGACTAATGCTACTTTTCTATGTACGCAAATAGGTGCAATGCTTTTAGCTAGCATAATATGTACTACGAAGGAGAGCTGCTGGAGAATCTTGAAAATCTCATATGCGACATCACACAAATAATGGCAGCTCAAACTCGTAACCCAAACTTTGGAATCATCAACTCTATTCGTCATGCTCGCTCGCTTAAAACATGTCTGTCTCGAAAAATCTTTTCAAATGCTGTCCGAAGCGTTGCCCTTCTCGGCGGACTTCACTCCGGTCATCTTGCGCTCAACCTTGTCCGTCAACAGATCTCTAGCATCTTTCGCGAACAGGCAGCCCAGGATGGCGATAGCGCCGAAGCCGAAACTAGCCAGGTAGACAGTCTGGTAGGCCTGAGAGTAGGCATTGGGAATGACGGCGGAGATGGCGCTGGAAATCTCGGGGGTCAGGCCGGGGAACTTGGCCAGTGTTCCGCCTAGAACGGCGGCAGCGAGGGATGGAACCTGGTCCTCGGGAAGACCAGCAGAGATGGCGGCGGGGCCAACAGCATGTGGGACGGTGAATTTGAGACGGTTCGAGAGAATCGTGCTGTAGACTGTGACAGCGATGGAGCCACCAGCGGAACGGATCGAAGCCAAAAGACCAGATGCGAGACCAATGTCTTCGGGTTTGCAGAATAGAGGGGCAATGGCGAGCGCGGTCAACTCGATGATGCCGACGAAGAATGGGCCTACGAGTGTCAAGGCGATTCCGGTGTTCAGACTCGTAGGAGTAAGCGCTGCCAAAGAACCAACGAAACCGACCATGGCGAAAGTCGAGAAAATAATCCAGTATCGAACGTTGATTTGTTTGCCCCTTACAATAAAACCTCCAGCGACTTGTCCGATAGCTGTAGCACTGGGAACGGTGGCCTAATCGAAGTAGTTAGATGACAAGCAATGCATTGAAAGGGGCGCAGGGAAAGTCCTTACCGAGAGCCAACCACCGTATGTGATGTCAGAAGTGAACAAGGCCTTGACCTGCTGTGGCCAAAGGAGCACAGCCGAGTAGTAGAACATCTATGGCACTGTCAATCATTTGTGTCATGAAACATGTCCGGTTCGGACTTACGGTTGCAACAGTAGCACAGGCGACCAAGCTGATGAAGCCGCGGTTGCGGAAGAACTTAACAGGGATTGCAGGGTACTCAAGATCGGCATAGGTCTCGTAGATGAAGAGAACGATGAGAAGAACACCACCGATGACGATGGTCGAGAGAGTAGTAGCCGATTTCCATGGGTAGACTGTTCCACCAACGCTGATTCCAATCAGGAAGAGGGTAAGACCAGCAATCCACAAGAAAGTGCCAACATCTGACCATTGCCCGATTAGCATCTTCACACGGGGCTGATTGATACCGTTGAGACTTACAGTCTAGTTGCTTCAGAATCTGTCGCTTTGTCTTGCGCTCGTGAAGTAAATCAAACGTGGGAGGGTGGTAGAAAAAGAAAAGGAGAACAATGGCAACAGCCACGACGATCGTGTTAAGGTGATAGGTCCATCGCCATCCCAAGTTCGGGTTTTCGTAGATCGCACGAGCTTTTGAATTCAAGTCAGCGGAAGAGGTTCGAAAAGGATGTGAAGATTATAGGGGCCACGTACAAATAACGGAACCAATACCAGCTATGGGCGCGCTGGTGCCGAAGATGAATGATAGGACCAGAGGCCGGTACTTGTTAGGAACCAGCTCGCCGATAGCCACATTGAAGCTGAGCTGCACCGTCTCGCCGATACCGTAAACGGTGCTGCCGACAATTAAGGCGTTGACATTCTGCGCAGTGGAGCAGACAATGATGCCGATGAGGGCAACGAAATTGCCAATGATGAAGAACCATCGTCGTCCGAAGAGATCAGACAGACGTCCAAGAATGGTGTAGGTGAACGACAAAGCCAATGTTCGGCCAATGTTGACCCAAGAAATGTAGGGACTCGGTCCTAGAGTAGCGATTTAGTTACTATGCTGGGCCTCGCCGTCGCCCCCAAAAGCCTGAAAAACACATACCAATGTCCGCATTGATGTAAGTCAAGATATTAGTCGGGAAAAGTAGAAATATGTAAGCGGAAATGGAGGAGAGACAGAAGCCCTAGAGAATCTCATCAATATCGAAATCATAAGCACCATCGAGTGGGAAAAGGACGAGGCTACTCACAGCCAGGGCTCCCAGGAAGCGCGGAGAATAGAAATAACCCTTGGGCAAGTCATCGCCCAGGGCTTCCTTGCGAACAGACACGGCGTCATCATCGCGCACACGCTGCGAGTCTCTCGACGAGCTGTCGAAGTCAAATGGCGCGTGTGACTCGGTCATGATTGTGTCCTTTTCCCCAGCCATTGTTGGTGACGGTTGACTCGACATCTCGACAGCAGTACTGGGCTCTAGGCAACTTAAGACTGAGAGCGGCGACGCTTACTGGATCCTCATCGAACGAAATAGGAACAAAAGAGTGTGGTAGCAGAAGGGTCAGCGAGCGGCCGAGTGAGCGGTACTTTTACGGACACCTTGTGATTGCCACGCGTGGGGATTTACGACGTTACTATATGTATACGGGCAGTGATCGACTCTTCAAAAGGAGAGTTCTTCTTCGTTAGTCCTGCACGGAAGCTTTCGTGCATGTGTAGCGTAGCGGTTCGAGACGGACTGCATTGGCTTCTAGTGGTGGACTCTATATTAACATGGAACCTTGTCATAGCGTCCAGTACCAAGGTCTGTCCAGGAGATGAGGTCCACCGAGTCTGATAGACCACGTCCACTACAGTAGTGTGTCGGCGTGCGTGGAGACAGCACTTTTTTTCGGATGATCTTCGTCGTTATCCGTATTGGACCACAGACACAGACGCCATGCCGAGAAAGTCGACTCGCCGCGCTGTCCCCCAGCATCTTAAATGCTAGCGCAGCGCAAGTGGAGAGGCGCGATGGCGAAAGTGCTGGGTAGAACCTGGCTCCAGGCCGGGACCATCGTAACGCCCATAATTTTTACATTCTTGGTATTGTTTGAGAGATATAACCAGAAACTAGTAAGGCAGGGTACACTACTATCGTACAATTTGATAAAAAACCACAACATCTAAGTAAAGCTAGTTGGAATCTGGGAAGACGCTTCTTCGACATTTTGTTCACTATGGCTAAGCGGGCTCCGCTACGCTACCGAGATGGTGTAGTGATAGATGGTAATTTTGCTACAATTTTCATCTTGTATTGCATAACGGGACAATGAGCCGGGGACGGCGACGGTGGATTAACACAAACGGCACCGGGTTCCATCTCGATGTGCCGATGCGCGCAAAGAGGGCGAATTGCCGGAAGGATTATAGAAAATGCTGCGTGACCCGGAGAACTGTTTGGATGTAGAATCACCCGCATGCTCGGGTTCTCCTCAGGTAACCGGGATCTTACGCCACACACTATGGGGAAGATATCGTAGATACGAGGGCCCGGAGGGCAGTGTAGTTATGCATAAAGCCCAAAAGCAAGCTTGTTTCTTGTTTGAAACGCTCTGCTGTTGGGTCGGTTTGGGGCATCCCTACAACTGCCTACAGAAGTTGAGACGTTGTATCAAGAGCGGAGTGGAAGATTGGCGAGGGACACTGTGCACGTGTTATGCCAGGCATTCATGGCACATACATAATCCCTAGTAGGTAACGCAGATAGATGATAGATTGAGCACAGCACTGCTGTCCATGGTCTGCCTTGGCCTCCGCTTGGTATTTCCTTGTCCTCCTCTGCTGCTCCTCCTCCTCGTGCTTGGCTCTCCTCAGACTCTCCTGAACTGCATTTAAGCACTGAAGCATTTAATATTCCCGGCACTAACCTACTATAGCTCCCTTCTCCCCTAATCCGGGGATGATCGGCATTCCCGTCCGTCAACTCCATTAAGTCGACGCTACCAAGTTCAGACGAAGCCTTCTAGTGCAACTACTAGCCAACCGTAGTGTTAGCCTAGGCTCTAGTGCTGGTGAGAAATCTCTAATGTGAGTAGAGCGTCGAGAGCGTGCAGTTCTTACTGTAGTCCACGCTACTCAAGCAGCATTGTCAACTAGATTAACATGCGTAAGCGTGCCTGAGTATACCTGTAAATATGCGTGTGTGCCACTTACTATAAGCATGTCCCACACTAGCGTACTCCTGACAATGCAATGCCTGTTGCGATTATATCGCGGCCTTGTTGTCCTGTCATTCGTGCGCGGACGCCAACTGCATGCCTGCATTCTTTAGCAACTGTGCCTTGCTGTAGGCCTGACCTACTTTAGTAGGTTTATGCGGTACTAAGCTGGTATCAGCTGGCTCAAGTGTCTCGTGTAAGTGGAAAATATAAAAGCCCAGAGTATAAGCATAGTTTATATATGTAGTACATACTATAAAGCCGTCTATCTTGGATATACACGTGTAAAAGTAATCTACAGAGTGGTATTAGAAATATGCTATATTAGAACTAGATGCCTTCAGATCGTGGTCAGGAGCGGAACAGTACACTATTAGAGCTTGCTTGCTTTCCATTGTGGCTCCCTCTTTTCCGAAAATGCTTTGAGCCCCTCAAGGATATTTTCACCCCGTTGTAGCTCAGCGAATTCCTTCTCCAGTGTCCATTCTACTGCCCGTTCTACACTGGCCGTCTCCCACCCCTGGCGTAGCCCCGCGCGCGTGCAGATGATGGCGTCTGGGCTGTTCTGGGCTATGGCTTCGGCGTATTTCACAGCCTCGGCTACAACCTGGTCTTTTGGTACCACCTTGTTGACAACTCCCCATTGATACATCTCTTGTGCCGTGACCTTCCGGCCTGTCATCGCGAATTCGGACGCCCGTTGAAGTCCGATGGTGCGTATCAGCCGGGGGAGAGCGCCTCCTATAGCCGCAAGACCCCTTTTCACCTCTGGAAGGCCAAAGTAGGCATCATCGGCTACTACGACAAGATCGCAGTTAACGACGAACTCACAGCCCCCTCCCATTGCCAGACCATTTACGGCGGCGATCACGGGTTTCTTGCCGAGCCGGCGGCTTAGGGGCTTGAAGGCCGGCGCATTTCCCATACGGTTTTTGGGGTCTGCATCATCAGACATAGAGTTATTCCATTCCTTGAGGTCGGCACCTGCTGAAAAGGCTCGACCGGTGCCTGTGATAATGGCTACGCTGAGGCGTGGCTCCTGGTCAAACCACTTCCATACCGAGTCCATTTCCCACTGCCCCGTGGTTGACATGGCGTTGAGGTCCTTTGGCCGATCCATACGCACCAAGAGGACTCTTGGGGCTGGGTAGGACAGCTTTAAGAAAGTTGGGGTTGGTGGCGGAGGGGTCTCAGTTGGTGATGCCATGTTGTTGATGTTGTGTATCAAGTCACCTGGGATGCAATGAGATGTCTAATTGTATAATCCCATACTCGTGTAAGCAGGTGTGTGACTGAGCTGCCTAATAAGGGCACGTATGATGACAGCAATCGGCACTATGATGATATGCTTCCACGTTGCGGCACAACAAAACGTGGTACTGTATGATTAAGATCAAGGTAACTATTACCACCTACATGCAAGACATCATATTTCCACGTTTTTACCACGATACGGTCGAGGTGGCGTGTTGCAGATCCACCAGGTATCTGGACTAGCGAGGAGATGACTTACATGGTAGCGTGCCCACATGAATGGAATCCTTCAGCCGATGCAGTTGGCGCTATGCTAGCGACGGCAATGATCCGCGACAACTCCCGCGCTATAATAGTGCCAGCAGCGGAGCAGCGTAGGTAGGTGTGTAATCACAAGACGAACCCTTAGGGGTTCTATCTGGTGTTTACGGAAATGATGGCTGACTGTAGGCAGGTCGGCCTTGCACTATCTTCTTCGCTTCGAATGGGGATGTGGGTAGACGAACGATTCTTGATGACAACGGCTTCAACTACCTATGCGCTACCTATCTACTCGCTAACATACGTTATCTACTTTGTAACATGGGGTGGATGGAGGTTCAAGGATCATTTATTCAGATAACCGTATGGTTCTAACTGTCTCGACTGTCAAGGAGCTCTCAAAGGGCATAGTTGAGCGTACTCAGGTGTGGGCATCTTTTTGGATAGTTTCCCACAGTTACATGTACTTAAGTAATACAGCGCCCTGGCAGGTTCTAGATTCTCACGAGGGCTAACTTTTGCCTCGCGACCGGAATGTTAGCAGGATGGAACGAGAGCGTATTTATCCGCACCCGAGTTCTCTACGCGCGAAAATATAAAATTTTGTAAATATCTTTTTAGCCCTGTTATAGTGTACATGTATGTAGTGTAGGCAGTAATTGTTGTTGCCACACTATGCCCTGCGTCTCTCCTGCAGCGGTCGTTTTAACCTTAACGCACAAGTTATGGAGAAGTTATGCGCGGGAGCTATCAGACGGGCGCTACGTGTGTACCGGAAGCCCTGTCGTGGCCATGCGGCGGTCCGAATCATAGTGGAAACGGGGTCCGCCAGAAAACAAGAAAATTCTTACAGTTTCATGTTCCGGTGCATGATGTTGGTATCCTACTTATGCAGCATCCCTTGCATTAGATGGATAGACATATATTATTCAGTAAAAGGTCCTAACCCTGCCGTACTCGGAATATGCAGTACAAGCGGCATATAGCTTTAAACTGACAAGTAAGTGTATGTGCGTTGAAAGCGCAGACACATATTGTTATCCCTGGAACAAACCCCGAGATTCTGTTACCTTGACAATGTCCAATCCCCGCAACTCTGCACAACCTCATCCTACCATTTTCGGCTCTATGCATGGTACTAAACCTACGCTACCAATAGTATTAGACCAAAGGCACGCCCCTAGTTTTGCACCAAGATACGCATACCCAGTTGTACTAAATCTGTAGGTCAGTGAGGAATGGCCCATACAGTGTACGTAATCGGTTTTCGACATGACAAGTCTGTGGGTTTATATGGTGCAATCGAAGCTATTATTCGCTTACGGATAATGTCCGATCGAGCTGTGTGTCACTAACAATAACACGAAAGTACCAAAACGGCGTTCCGAACCGAAATCTATGCCTTTTCTTCTTTCCTTGATCTGTGTAATGTCCGTGCTGCCCCCGCAGTTCGGCCGCTTTTGTATCTTTTCCTTGTCAATATTATGCTGCCCTGGACTTATTTCTTAGCTTCCGGACCCAGACAGTCTATTGATTGGAAGCGAGCCTGGGCAAAGCCAGCCTAGCCAGGGGTTGGCTCTGCGAACTCCTCGATCGATAGCAGTTTCTATGGAGAATAATGTAACGTACCGTCATTATACTCAGGCAGGCAGTGATCTACACTTGTTGACTACACTACTCGACTACGTGCAGTAAGTCGAAATGTCTAGTCGACGCGCTACCTATTCTGCATCTTGCGTAACTCGGTTATCTCCCCCGCTAGTGTAGTGTACACTACACACTACTCAGTATAAACCAGGGGCTGCCCGGTAAGACCGTTTTCCAGGTTACCACGGTTCGATATTGTTGTGTTGGTTGGTAAAGATAGATACGTGTACAGTAGGCGATATTGGACAGCTTTATTCTCGGTACCGGACTTAAGCCACTTAGAATAACGCTGCGTTAGAAAATTCACTCATAATCTAAGGGATTTGCCTCGTGGTGAGTTAGTTCCTGGAGGGGTGTCAAAAGTTGTATGTTTCTGAGAGCTTTCGAGCAGAGAGTATAAATCATAATGCGTATCTATAAGTCTGGAGAGATCTTAATTCCGACAGATCAAAATCTGACGGAGCTACTTCACTCTTCGGCACGCCCGGACCTTCCGGAGTCTCATCTCATTGCCAAAGACAATCTCACAAACCGATGCCTCACAATAGGCCAGTTACGGGACCGCGCGGGCAAGATTGCAAAGGGATTCAAGCTTAAGCTCGAGCCTACTGATCAGGCCAGATGGGCCATCATTCTCCCAAATAGTGTCGAGTTCCTAGAGCTCGTGCACTCGATTCTCTGGACGGGCGGCGTTATATGTCCAATCAATCATGCGTTGAAGGCGTCCGAGATAGGACACGGCCTGTCCGTGGCGCGGCCGCACTTCGTCGTTGCGTATGGCCCTACCGTCCCCGTGGTCCAGGAAGCCCTGAACATTGCCAGTAAACAGCTTGCCAGCCAGGGTGTGGCTTGGGAAAAGCCCGAGATCATTACCATCATTTCACGAGTATCGGGCCATCTGCACGTGCCGGACGATTTCTTCGCGCCCGAGCGCCTCCCAGTCCCGCATTTCTCAGATACACGGACGAGATTAGCCAGCATCCACCTGTCGTCCGGGACCACGGGGTTCCCCAAAGGCGTCGAACTGACGCATTATAATTTCGTCGCAAACTGCTATCAACTCTTCAACCGGGACCCCAAAGCGTTCAACTCGGACGCGCGATGCGTGGCCTTCACGCCATGGACGCATATCGGTAACACGACGATGCCCCTATTCTTGGGTCCTTGGACGGGGATGCTGCACCACGCCATGCCGACATACAACTTCGAGGAGTACATCAAATTAGTAGGTTCCAACCTGTCCACCACGTTCCAGGGTGTTCCAAGCGTAGTGCTCCAGCTCGCCAACTCGGATGCTACCTCGCGGTACAACTTCTCGCACGCCAAAGTTATCAACGCCGGCGGCCCATTGAAGGAAGAGCTTCAGCAGCGTTTACACAGCTTGGCTCCGTGGAAGCTGAACCAGGTATACGGCATGACGGAGGCCGCCGGCTACGTAGCCTACCAGAGCATGGATGAAATATTACCTCAGGCCGCTACAGGCAAGCTGCTCCCGAACATCGAGGCCTGTCTCAAGAGAGAAGGGGCCACGGAGGATGCGCCCGAGGGAGGGCCCGGCGAGCTATGGCTCCGCGGCCCGAACATCACCCGGGGCTACGCTTTCAACGAGGAGGCCAACAAGAAAGGGTTCCCGTTGCCAGGGTGGTATAACACGGGCGACATCTGCACAGTCGACAATGACGGCATGGTCAGCGTCGTGGGGCGCACAAAGGACCTGATCAAGTACAAGGGCTTCCAAGTCTCGCCGACCGAGCTGGAGGGGTACCTCAACACACACCCGTACGTCATCGAGGGAGGCATCGGCCCCACGTGGGACGAGAGCCAGCTCACCGAGCTGCCCACGGCATGGGTCATCCTGAAAGACCACTTCAAGACGGCGGAGCAGCAGAAGGAGGCGCTCAAGCAGATTCACCAGGACGTCGACCGCGCCGTGAGCGGCTACAAGAAGCTTAGAGGCGGCGTGTGGCAGATCGGCCAGTTGCCTAAGAACCCGACTGGCAAGATCCTGAGAAAACAGCTCGCTGAAATGAGGAATGGTTTATGTTCGTTAGATGAAACGCTGAGGGCTAAGCTCTAGCTGACTTTATAGATGCTTGCGATCATTTGGGGGACATCTTTAGACTTGTATAGAATTCTTGATACCATGCTCTCTGACTGAGTTGCTTGTATGAAAATATTTAAATAAATTTGGTTTGATTCATCACGGCGCCATCATATGCACCTGCGTGGCTGGACTTCGGGTTGGCCTTGACCCTTTGAACCAAAAAAACGGCCCTTGAACAATGGTGGAGCTGTCGTATCATGAGAAATGGATTCGTTCTTGTTGATACATCTATGTATTGATTTGTCTATCTCTTAATCTTGTTACAGTTTAACTTTTTAATGCACTGCATCGCTAAGAAGTTTTAATACGAATTGAAAAAAAGGCAATTAGCCACAAAACTACTCTTCCGTTTTCACATCACCCTTTTCCGACTTTTTCTTGTCCCCGGCTGTTTGCTTTTGCCACATGGCATGGTAACTGCCACCGAGCTCGAGTAGCTCGCTATGCGTGCCCCTCTCGATCACTTTGCCTTTATGAAGTACGATGATCTGGTCCGAGTCCACAATTGTAGATAGACGATGCGCGATTGTAACTGTGGTGCGACCAGCAGTCACCCGCTCAAGAGCCTCCTGGATCTGTCTTTCCGTGTGCGAGTCTAGAGACGCAGTAGCCTCGTCAAGGAGTAGGATTCGGGCGTTCTTCAGAATTGCACGCGCAATAGCAATCCTTTGTCTTTCACCGCCTGACAGTTTGAGTCCTCTTTCGCCAACCTTGGTTTCATACTGGTCGGGAAATGACATTATTCTCTCATGGATGTTCGCCGCCTTGCACGCCTCATGAACGTCTGCTTCGGAGGCCGTACGATCGGCATAAAGCAGGTTATACATAATCGTAGCATTGAAGAGGACAGTATCTTGGGGTACTACGCCTATGTGCTTTCGAAGTCCATCAATCTTCAAGTCACGAACATCATGGCCATCAACGGTGATCGATCCATCGCCCACGTCGTAAACTGTATTTCGATTAGGGCTATGATACGTGATCGAGGGCAGGGGTGCTTACATCTGAACAGAAGCTTCAAGCATGTTGACTTGCCGCTTCCGGACTCTCCTACAAGTGCTGTCTTAGTACCTGGTGCAACAGTGAAGTCGACACCGTGTAAAACAGGTTCCTTGTTCTGGTAGGAAAAGGTGACATCGTTGAATCTGATCTCTCCCTGGGCGGAAGGCAAGTCTTTGGCGTCAGGCTTTTCCACAACTCCGGAAGTCTCTTGGAACTGTGGTTCTGTTAGGCTTATAAAACATGTTTTGGGGTAAAAACGCAGCTTACCAGCTCAAGCATACGCTCGGCTTCAATAAGGTTGTTCTGAAGCATCGTATAGAAAGTGCCAAAGAAATTTAAAGGAGCTTGCAGCTGGGCGAAGTACGTTATCAGACTAACAAAGTCCGACACGTTTTGCTGACCATGAGCAATCTTGTAGGCGGAAACGATGACAATGAGAGCCACGCCAACCGTGAACACTGAGCTCTGCGTTAAATTTAGTGCATTCAGGGAGAGAAGGACGAGACGCTCGGCTTTCTGATAAGTGATAACATGACCCTTGTACTTTTCTGTCTCTGCGGGCACAGCACAATTATGTTGTACAGTTTCATAAGCCATGATAGCGTCGGTTCTGGTTTGAAATCAGCATTTCACTCCAATTGGGCCAGCGAGGGATTTCAACTCACTTCGTCGCTTCCATATCTCTAGCTTTGGTTGCCATATCTCTTCTTTGTTTTCCTCGGTACTTGGCCATGTAGATGGTCATAAAGATGTATGACCACATAATAACAAGAACGATGAGCGTATAGAAAGCATCGTATTTGAAAAAGAAAACAACGGATGCCACCAAGATATCGAAGAGCATTGGGAAAACCTGGAATAAAAAGTTCTCAAGGAAGGTGTTTATGGCACTGCCGCGGCTGAGAGCGCTTGTGACTTCACCAATACGTTTGCTGAGGTGAAAATCCATAGATAATCCGAGGACATGCTCAAATGCTGCGCATGACAATCTTCGGAACAGAGACTGGGAGACAGGAATCCACAGGATAGAGCGGGCTGCCCCGATCACGCCTTGCTGTCCTTGAAGACCTCGATATACCACGTAGAGAATCACCTCTTTCCACGGAATCCTCCCGTATCCGAGAGCATCGACTAGTACGCCAAGTTGCAAGGGTACCAGAATATTCACTTTCACCATCAGTTAGCAATTCGTCTCTCTCATGTCGATAACAAGGTCTTCAAGAGCTGCTAGGCTTGTACAAGAAGATTGCCTAAGAGACTATAGGTGCCAAATCTTATACTTCGGCAATGGGGACAAAGTGGGCGATGTCTGGTAGAGATTCACTCACCGATGCGCTGGGCGATTAGAAGAAGTATGCAGAGAACAACGGTTGCTTGGTGAAGTGGTGAATTAGAGGGCCTGACATACGTTAGGTGCATACAGAGACATATGAATATGATAAGGCAGCGCTTACCAAAGATACGGGAAGAGCACCCGAGTGCCAGCAAAGTAATCAAACCAATTCGACTTCGACGGATCGCGCGGCTTCTTAACATCGGGTTTTCCTGTATGCGCAGTACCTCCGTATCCGTTAGTAGGGCCATGTCCATTTTCCAGAAGAGGTCGTCTCTCAGATATGGTTCCCGGTTCAGCCTTCCTTAACTCATATTCTCTGCGAAGCACAAGAGAGACCATGACTAAGAGCAAGGCAATGCGTGCCATAGCAAGACCAAATAGCCTATCAAGCAGTCCTGATGGTGCCCCAATAAGATGGTACTGTGATTTGAATACAGCCGCAATGACAGCCTCTACCAAGATACCAACTCCCCAAGCGATGCTGTGAGGTATTGATGGAGTCCATGGTCCATCGGGGTCGGGCAAAAGACCAGTTAGAAAGTACAGTAACACAGCAACATAAGATGCCTAGAGATGATATCAACTACTGCGCTTCACGATTCATGTGAAGCCACATTATACAGAACATACCAGGTAGGCGCTGTAGGGGAAGTTGGTCGGAGCATCTTGAATGGTAGAAGCATAGTACGCGGCCAAGATGATACTAGCGAGCTATTATGCACAATAGGTGAGCAGAAACGCATCAGAATATCCTGTCGGGTCGGGTGGAACGCGTACAAGCAGCGGTGTCAAGACAAGCTGCACAGCCCAGACACACTTCGCGTAGAATCGGTGGATCTTCTCGACGCCCTTCTCGTCGATCTGGGGCGCGCTGCCAGCATAGTTGTATCTGTACCGGGCGATCTGCGAGAGGAAGAGAGTCACGATCAAGCCGCAGGGATAGAAGTAAAAGCCAATGGCAAGCCCAAGCTCGACATTCGCCATTGTAGCCGGGTTCAATTGGCCATTGACCGTGGAGCTTACCTAACACAAGAACTAAGAAGAACTAAGAAAGGTGAAGAAGGCTTGTTGCGATGTCGCCATCGGAAGCTCGAGCTTAAGGTGAGATCTTACGAGATGGACGGACAGGGACCCGTAAACAATCCGCGCCGTCTGATTGGCTGTGCCGTGAGTTGCTGATAGGCAGTCGCTGATAAGTTCTGTCACGTGAGGCCAATCCAGGCACGACTTCTTAGTCAGCGGTCGTTGTGTTGTTCCTGCTCTGTTCTTGCCACGAACGCGCGGTGAGAGAGGTATGTGATCTATCGTTGGCATGAGGACTCGACCATGTATGCCGGAGATGTGGTTCTTACAAGTGTTAGCTTAGCGTAGGTGAAATCTGCTGTGTAACTGGGTGGTTTTAGCCAAAGGCGCCCCACGTCGAGCCAAGGCGCAGAATGTTTGCGCTGTGAGCTTACTTCATAGATGAATGGCCCTTGTGTCTATGAAGGATACGATGAACAATTACTGGATCCCAGATAATATCGTACTTTCTTTCTTGCATTTTTCTTCATTCCGATCTCTCTCCTCTACTTACTTTTTATGAAAACTCACTCGTTCTTTATTTTGAGTGAATTATCGCTTGCGCCAACAATACCCAACGTTTGCCTGTGACCCTAAAACTGCTAATTAGGTACACAAAAGATCAAGGAAATGAATAACCAGTAAATTCCAGAAATATATCATAAATTCTCCAGTGCTGTCTACTTCTGCGTTCTTGGTGGTGACTCTCTTACCGTCATCGCTCCTTTTGAGTTTATTTGAATGAGACACTTCGTTTTCAATTGTTTCAATGTCATAAATTCATTAGGAAACTTCACGGGAAATGTCCAACACGTCCATCGGAATTTGTTAGGTCTTTCATGCCAACAATAGGAGTGTGCATAGACGTTTGCTATCCCACGAAGGTCTTAAAACTTCATGCGATGATCTTCAGCGTTCCATGTACTCTGTCTATGCGCCTAATTACACACCTCGCTCATGGGAGAGCACTCTATATTACACGCTACAAGCTGTACTAGCTGAATATGCAGTTCACCTTGCGCTTCGGCCGTACGAAAGGCCATTCCAGGCTGTTCATGATCTTCCGGAGATATGCGGGGAATATTGGAAAGTGAGGTTATATAGACTTCGCTTCTTGAAATAGACCACAAAGACCTAAGCGGTTTGAGCTGGCAGGCCAGTTGTATATAGAGTCGAGTTAAGCCACCAATAGCTGAGAAGGAGTTGGTTGGTCAAGGGCTCATGCAACCCTAGTTGATCATTGTCATCTGAATTGCTCAAGTTCCAAGCCCAGTCATCTGCCCTTGTATAATCTTTGGGGCCTCTTTCAAGAAGCAAAGTCTATATAACCTCATTTTCCAATATTGCCCAATACTGCCTACATGTCTTTGAATAGTTATGAACAGCTTGTAATGGCCTTTCGTACGGCTAAAGTGCAAGGCAAACTACATATTCAGCTAGTACAGCTTGTACGCGTGTAATACACTCCGACATCTTAGGCTAAGGCCAACATCTACTATCAAGTAAATTCCCATATCCGAATACAAGATTAGATAAGACTTAACAACATGAGATACTTGGCAGTTCAAAGTGCGAATTTATATAGCATTATAACATTAAGGTATTATTATCATAACCTTTCGCTCGACAGTGTATAATCTAAAGTCGAGTTCAACGGAACTCAATTTACATTAATATTCTAACTTTCACGTGTTTAGTACTGATACAACTAGAATCTCTAAGATAATTACCTTTTCCTACGCCGTAATGTGTACAGATAATTATACCGTAAGTGTGTGTATCATTAAACCTTGAAGTTGAATAATGAAATGTTGGCCCTGAGATCAGTGGGGTTGCTATCGCAACTTTCTATAATAAATTTTCTTTCCCGGCAGGCAATGACTTTTGTCCAAACACTCTATATACAAATATTCACCATGCTCCCAATCCTAGTGTGCCGACAGTCAACACTGAGCAGGACTCTGAGTTGGTGAGCCTCCTCGTGTCGCTATTGGGCAAGCCACACACGGAGATATGGCCCAGAATAGAAGATGCAGACTATTGGTAGAGGCACAACACGTGTCGGAATGGTATAACCCCCGGTGTTCATTCTTAAAATTCCAAAAAGGTAATTGCAGAAACATGTACCTAACGCCACTTAACAAATGAGGCATCAATGCTTGGTAAAACGAACATCATGTCACGCTTTACTAGATATTGCATGAGAAAACGACATTTCCTCGGAAGAAGTGAAAATACATAGAGAAGCAAGGGGTTCTCGTCACCGAATATGATTGTTGGAACTGGTATACCTAGCTTCTTCCTAATCTGTATCTATACAGGGTAGCATTAGGATTCTAGATAGTAATTCCCGCTAACCATGTCCTAGATGTACCTTACGAATTCGCCACCGTTATTGGGTGCAGCACCGCCACGCGGGACCACCGTGGTATTTAAGTTAGAGGATGCTCTTGCTTGAGAACTATTCCTCAACTACGAATTACAAATTCCAACGAAGATAGATCATGTCATAATTAGATGATCATTTGTTATTTTATTTGCACTCGAGCCAATAAATGCATTGCATTGATCTCTTTTCGTGTAACATCTGTGCGGAACCGACCTGAAGGAATACGAAATCTACTTGAAACTCCTACATCTTCACATTACTAAAATATACACACTAAAAACCTGTGGTAATTGAACATTGAGGCTCCACGAGCTTCCCACGTCTGGCCGTATAGCAACTATGGGCTAGCAGGTCTACGCGATGCATTCTATGATTTCAAATAGCTATGAACGCCGATCATAACAACATGCTTCTATGCATGAATTGATTACCCACGTGGTAACGGAATGGAAAGAACCACACGTGTGTACAAACTGACTCGGAATTCCAGATTAGATCCGCTCACTGCCAGTCTAGATTGGCTGATGTGCCCGTCCTTCGGGAGAGCAACTATGAAATGGGAAAATTAATAGAAGATCATGCTATGAAATGGTGCAAGTCACGGCCATCGCTAGCAGTGCAACTCTAAGCCCCTTATCCAAGCACGATTCTGGCAGGTGTAGTAGATAGGTTTATATAGAACCATTAACAAGTAGACGGGATGGCTACGGAGCCGATTGATGCGTCTCGTAGTCAGTTACGGAGCTTGTGGAGTACCGAGGTCAGGCCTTCTCACGATGCTTCGTTTTATGTTAATCAACGACGGCGCATTAGAGCTCTGCGAACACGATCGGGACCAACACTACTTACACGGAGAAGTGCCGGGACGAGACTACCCTGGCCAGTCTTGGTCGCCAAGGTGATAAACACTTGACCAGGGACGATCCCCGTGTCTCCTTCCCGTTTGCTCCACCGCTGAAACGACTCTCCACCCGTTGATTCTGTCCTTGGCTTCGAGGAGCCGAAGAAGTGAGGCCAGGAACTCTAGCATCATGTAGAATCCCATTGAGGACGAAAAATATATGGAAACAACTGTGGTCTAGGTAAGCGGGACATGTGCTGCAACGTATAGACAGCTACGGCGCATACGAGAGCCTATCTCGGTGAAGATAAGCTACAAACTAGTTGCATCTGAACAGCAATACCACCTTACAGCCTTGCCGAAGCTGCACTGCATAGGTACAAGACCGAACTTCCTTGACGCCAGGACCCTGGTTCGATATGCAGTGTGTATGCGGGCACCGTGGTAGTACTTGGGGGTATGGGGGCCCTAACGGTGACCTTCTCGTTAGAGTGCGTGATCCACGGCCGTTCCTCTGAATCCGTGTGATAACGCCACATATCCAATTTTCTAATTGGAAAGTAGACTTTCTGTCTATGTTGACACATACTTTGCAGTGGCCGTCGAACAGATGTCCTTCGCAGCGGAGCCACGAGGCGAGTTCTGAGTCAAATTACATAGTAGCTGCGTCATTTTGAACCCTGCAGCGCAGCAGAAGTGCGTTTTGCGCAGAGCGAGAAGCGCACCACGGAAGCACAGAAGCGAGCGTAGATCCGTGCGTTTTACGGTATACCGTGGGTTGCGGTAACACTGATGCTTCCTCGATTAGTCTTACATAGTACTACGTACATCTGTGTTAAGCAGACGAATCTAAATATACTTACTTCGACCAAAAGGCTGGCCACCTAGCTTAGCCTAGGGAGGCAGTGGAACTGTTACAATGTGCTGAAGAGAATCAAGACCCATAAGTTCAGTTGAAAACGGAGGCCGGTTCCTGCAAGCGCGGCGCCACCTCATCATTTGACAGTCGATCCTCGGCGGCGGCATGTGGCTCCCGAGGCTCCCAAACTGGAAGTGCGAATACCTGAGTAGGTCACCAGCTGAGATGGGGACGATGCGGACAATATAAGGTGCATCGTACGCGCTCAGGGACAAAACCAGGTTAAGGATTGACGTCTGAGGCGTTAAGAAGACGGCCGGAGAGCGTTAAGCGGGGGGCAAAGCGAGCTGTTACGGAGTATGTTCTCGACTACACTCCCGTACCGCTCGAGCAAGCCAATCATCGACCTTGTTGATGAACCCCTCCTACCTGAATAAGTAGTATAGCTAGATAGACTAGCGAAGGTCGAAGCGGGCGACTACCTTGATTTTTAGCCAACGCCATGATTTTTGGGGAATAGTGCGGGCAGGGACGAGTAAAGATTGTGAAGATAAGTCACAGAGTTGGTCACGCCATGTTACCGTTCCTTATCCTCCTCGAAATCTAAGTAAGAGGAAAAAAGGCGGAAGTATTCTAGCAGTGTCACTTCCAACCTAAGGTACGCAGAGGTAGAGAACCAGAAAGTGATCAACATTGGTTCTAGAGAATGATTCCTTGTGTTCCACATGGTATTATTAGCCCATCACGACCGTGTACTGTAACACTGTCGCATTCTGTAAATGTCAAACAAGGGTTTAACGAATAGAAATATCAACTTGACACAGATAGTACCGAGGACCCTGTGTATGTATTGTGCCAGTTCTATCGCCTTCCTCTCGAGTATGACCTCCTATGCTGGTCTTCCGAAGATTCAAATTGGCACCTTTATCACGACATCAGCATGACGAGCTAGCCGCCTGCCTCTTCAAGCAATACGATAACAATGATGAAGGGTCAATGGTTGAAGCAAATGCCGAAGGGCAGCTGATTGTTATAGACCCTGCTAGTTCGGCAGTGCTAGAGACTTCTCATGAACGCTACTGTAGGTGACGAAGTGAGCTGTCTCTTTGGCGTGAACGTAGATTTCGGCCGGGAGTAGAGGGGCAATGACCTACGATAGACAGGGCTTTTCATACATATTTGAAGCCCACAGGACTCGAGCCCTTTGCCCGCATTCGCTTGTTGTTTTTGTGCCCCCCCTCTTTGCAACCATTATTGATTCATGAGCCATGCAGCAACGAGATGTCTGCCAAGCCTAGAATTGGCACCCAAGGCTGGACCAGCGGCCCTTTTTGGGGAGTCGCCGAACTAGTCCAGTCGTCGCCGGCATGTGTCCCCCAGAAGTGCTGTTGCTACAACTAACGAGCGTCTCAAGCAAGTAGCAAGATTGGCCAACGAATAAGCACCCTAGCTCCTGGCGAGCCAATTGTATCGTTCAGATACCATGGTGATATGTTTCATTTTTTTGGTTTTTTTTATCGGTTAAGGTTAAGTAAGATGAAGAAGAAAACCTACTTAGTAGCACTATGGCAGGTTACATTACACGTAGGTACAATGCGGCAACGAAGCGAGCGCTGTTGATCGTAGACTGCTGCTCTACTAAGGTTAGATGCATCTGATAGCCTATTCCTGCCCTGCCCTGACCTGCACTCCATGAACCTACACTATCTGATGGTGGGCAACAGGGTTCACCACAAAGTCGAGAAAGTTTCTCTGCGTTGTTGTTGTTGTGGCGAACACTAAGTTTGCTTCCTTGCGCAGTTCACGCAGATCAGTCTTCGGTTGACGCCGACCGTCCGCGGGATGAGCACTAGTCCTGTAGCCTGAATAGGAAGGCATCGTCCGTCAAGAGATATGACGTGCAGACAAGCAAAGATACCGTTATTTATGACTACCTATCGAATTTGAAATTTCTCGCTCAGGTCTGCCATTGAGCTGATGTAAGATACCTTGTCGTCAGCGCAAGCTACGCTAGCAATTTTGACACATGCGGGATACCTATCGTGCTCTGTCCCTAAGAGGAAGATGGGAATGTTGGGCGTCTGTGGGCGTATGTACGCGTCCATGTATGTAGGTTATCATACAGTAAGGTGTGGCCGTGATAATGGCACTTCCATCTCATGTCTATTCAAGCTAGTATAGGTTTAGGCATTGGACCAAAACGGCGTCGTGCGTGTTGTGACCCTGTAGCTGCAGTTACCTAAGGCAGGTCGTCGAATGTTACCTCGACATCAACTGGCATCATCGGCGGTCTAACCTAGAACATGCGTTAGTGTAGATATACCTAGCTAAGGCAAGTAGGGCTATATGAGGAAGAACCCTTATGGCGGAATTAGAACAACTCATCTAGTGCCCTGATCGTCGATGACAAAGCAGACCGCCAAAGCCTGTCTACCTTTCGACCGTTTCTCGTATGTGTATATGCTGCCTGTACTCTCTCACAGCAATAGGGGAAGGGTCCTTGGCGTCACAACTGTGTAGAGTCTTGCACGAGGTTTAGTCGCATCTCTTGTGCCTGTCTGTAGCTTGCGGGATAGGGCGCGATAGGGCGCAGCAGGGCGCGGCAGGGCAGAATAGGTAGGACAAGGCGAATAAAGAAATACAAACAGGAGACAAGAATGTTGCCTGTCGTCGAGGCGCTCAGCTATCTACAAGGGTCCTCAACACCATGTCCCTCACGTATCACGCTAAGTCGTAGTTAATCTACACTACTTACACTAATGGCAAACGGTAATAGTCCCCCTCTGGACTAAAACCTGCCTATATATGCTTTGGGTAAGTCGTAGGGTATATCGAAGTGGTCTGTAGGATTCAGATCAATCATATCAGTACCGACCCCATTACTCAATCAGCTGATACTCTTTGCTTCATAGGCAAAGGAGCGATCGCAGGACACAACCCCTGGATTCTACATAGTACCGATGTTCTACACCACATCCCCGTCGCTGCCCTAGGGCCTGCTTGGAACCTGGAGGAGAGCAGCCGGCCACATTGACCGAAATCGCTGGCTAATACCTATGAGTCCCTGGACAGATTGGCCATTGTCGCGGCCCTCTAGTGTAGGCAGGTAACGTCTGGTGGCTGTTCGTGGGTGGGATCGGCACCCGCTAAGCAACCCCAGCAAAACCCTTCGAGCTTGCTCGGCACCGCCTGGTGCTATCCATCGTCTTTTCCATGCATGCTTCCTTTGTTCCTTTGCTTCCTTCGAATTGTATGTACTACCTGCTATAGCATACACGTACATTGATCCAAGTAGCGGACAGCAGGGCGCCGATGCGTCGAATCCTACTGGCTTCAATGTTACCTCAGCCCTCTCGGTTGCGCTCTAAAGTGGCAACACTCGCTACCGCTGCTCTAGGCGAAGAAACGCTTCGTCTCGAGCTATACGATGCGCTACGCAGCGTACAGATACACGTGTATCTACCATAGGCACTGAGGATGCGTATGCTAACCAGCCCAATGGTGTAGACCGTAACTAGGCCACAGGACCGTCTTTGCGCGTGCTGGCCCCAGTGCCTGTGCCTGGCTTCTTGGTATACATGGTAATACGGGTCGTTCAAATTGCCCGCTCTCTATCTTTGCACTTGGGCAGGTTTAGTGTAGTCGTTAATTCCGCCGACCGTTACGAGATGTACGGGGGCCAACACCGTGAATACCCCCGCAGGAAATTCCAGCTTTCGCTGTCCGGCGTCACCATTCGGGGACGTTTCCTGGGCATTACACTTTGACACGTTCACCGGAAACGTAACCCCTTCTGCGATGCTATGACCACTGGCAAGTATGTGATGTTACGGCGTGGCAGCAGCTTAATGGCATCAGCCACCGGTGATTGGCCTATCCGATGTCCGAACCAGGTCAGCAATGGCTGTTCACGATGTTGACATGAGCTGATCTGGGACTGGGCAATCCATCATATCTTGGAAAGCGCCTGTAGGTAACAGAGGCTAGATCTACAGTGGGCAGAGTGGGATGTGGGATGGACCTCTTTGAATACCTATGAGTCCTCGGTTGTCGATCGTCGACGATGGATGCTTCAAGGCAAGCCCATCTCCACGTTCGAGACACAAGAACCGGGGTCGTGACGAGTCCTGGAGTTACACTCCTATGTACATGCCTACATGCCTACATGACCTTACCCTTCTTCGTTTCCCACGCACGTTCAAGGTACAGGGCTTTTGTTAGCTTCCCTTCCTCCACTCGCTATCTTCTGTGACGCTGATCCATTGCAGCTAGTGCAGCGCAGGTTTGGTGGCGGGACGGGATGCATATAAGCTACTGTAGCCATGAGGTACTCGAAGGATCTTCACACTGTGGGTGTGTGGTGCCGCGAGGCATGCATCCCCATGCATCTCATGTATTCCATAGGGTGTTTGTAGTATCGCCCTGTGTCTTCCAGTCCCATATACGATGCAATGGAACCGCCACCACGTTTTATTATACATTGTCTGGCTGGCCCAGGTTTTCGAGGGGTCTATTTATTCCCTTCTCCTCCTATCGTTCCCATCTATCGACCTATTACGCCAAGATCCGTATCTTCGTACCGTCCTCTCGATAACTCAGTTCACTACACATGACCAAGGATAGTATGTCGGGTACATCGTCGCCGCGTAGCGGTCGTCCGCTTACAACCTCATATGCCGACCTGATGAAACCAGATGAGGACTGGCGGAACCTACCAGATGCAGCAGAGCGAAGGAAAATTCAGAACCGCCTCGCCCAGAGAGCGTATCGTACGTCGTCCCTTATTACCGTCTTTGACACTGCAGCATCTGGGAGTCTGTTTCTAACTACTTTGTTCTAGGACGCAATATGAGAGACCGCACAAAGGAGGTGGAGAAGCTAAAGAAACAGCTCCAGCAACTACAGGAGATCGTCAGTGGGGATTCATCAACCACGCCGCCACCAGAGCATGAAATGACTTCCGGTGGTAGGAGTCCTGCCAGCTCGGAAGGCACACCAGCATCCCATAACGCGGAGCCGGGCTTGGTGGCAGCAACGACGCCGGCAGCAGATGGATCGCGGCAGATGGGGGATTACATGCAAGCATGGTCACATGGACAAGGTCCCGAGCAATTAAATGGCCTTGGGTTGATGGCAGATGGCGATGCGCCTATGGCTTTTGACGCCTCTCCTACATACTACTCACACATCCCGACCTCCAACGACATTGTACCAGAACTACCAACAACCTCCTTAGGCCGCCGATCACGGGCTGTGACGGCAACAATAGCGCCAGGTTCAATACCGCAACACCCTCCTCCACCTAGGAGCCATAGCATGTCCGCGGCGTATTCATCCAACTGTTCAAGCCCTCTTCCCTGGGGTGTCAGCAGCGCTGAGGTGCATGAAGCGCTGCCTCTGTCGTCTGGGTGAGTAGTATCCCATACATACCTAAAATTACATTGGGGGGCTAATATTGTTTTGGCAGCTTCAACAATATGTACGTTAACGCGGACGAACTATCTATGTACCATCACCCCGAGTCGGTATACTCAATAGAGGATAGTCTCGCAGCGTCAACAGCATACGCTACCTCCCCAGGTTCCGACCTGAACAGCGCAGCAGGTTGGCCGGCCGTTGACAGAAAGCCAATTACACGCCCTGGGAGCTCGTCAGTGGCTTCAGCATTCATGGGCAACGTCAAAATGAGCGAGGTACCGGACATGCCAAAACCTCTTCCAGAAACCACAGCGCCCCTTCTTCACTTCGCTATCGCTGGAGGCAATGTTGAGACTCTACGGTTGCTTCTACAACGCCGCGACGTCAACATAAATGGCAAGGACAACTCTGGCTACACTGCCCTGCAACGGGCTGTAATGTGTGGTCGGACAGATATGGCCGCCATGCTCTTGGAGCGTGGTGCCTCAGTGGAAAGGGACGATAGCTGGCGTACCCAAAATGCCACGCCTCTTAAGGCAGAGCCTTAACGCCCGTATTGTGTCTTCTCTTTTCTGACGAATGTTCTATTTATGGGCCCTTTCACCTTTACATTCTTTGTTCCATATTATACCTCCTTGTAATGAAACAAGGAGCGAGGCGTTCAGGATCTTGGGTGTCACAAGGATAGACGCTTCACTAGAGTAGGTCAACTGGGCAAGGCATTTTTGGGGAAATTCTTGACAGGCTATCTGCCTGCGGACGCGCCCTGGTTGGGTATCCGCTTCGCTAAGGAAAGCGAACTTCGAGAGTTCAATACCCCAGCAGCGTATTTTTGGTCATAAGTAGAGGCGCTATGATGAGAGTTTACATTCACCATGTATAACGAATGAGAACGCCAACGCCATAGGCGGAACTAAAACAAAATACACTAGAAATTAATGAACGAGACCAAAAGCCCCCAAATGTCTAAGCCCAAGCCTAAACCCAAGTTGTCACGAAGTAAGCCAACAAAGTAAGCCGAGCATGCGAGATGAGGTCAGCAAAGGCCAATTGAGAGACACTGGAAGAAGGCCAGGGTTTACTGGGCGTTATCATGCCAAGGTGGCGTTAGACGGACCCTGCGTGCAGGAGCTTTATCTTGCATTTACGCGGTACGGAATCCGATGCTCTATTCACGACCGAAGAATCAACAAATCCGGCGACGATGAGCGCAATGGGTGCATGAAGTTGGGAATAAGACAGCATCGATTGACCAAACGTCCTGGATTATCAATTGACGGCCAATTGCTTCCGCCTCCGACGTGGCGAACATCTATCTGCCCTGGATATTATTCACTTACTTACGTAGGATCCTGGGAATGAGATTAGCTCTAACTTACTTACGTGTACTATCTCTTAGCAAAGGGACTGGACCAACTTCGTAAGATCCGGTAAGATTATCTCCGCAGTCCCGCGAACTATGGACCCAGTTCAAAAGGCGGGCTGCGCCGCTTTGGTTGCGCAATCCAAACCCTACAATCCAAGTCGACATCTGCTAGGTTCTCGGCTCAACCATTCCGCACAAGCGGCCCGGGAAATGAAATGGGCAAAATACCTGCCTTCTCACTGAAGACTCTTGAATTACTATGTAAGTCCTTGAGGCTATGGACAAAGCTGAAAAAAGGTCCTGCGCATGCATTCAGCGCAATTCGCATGGTCAATTCCAACGATGTCTTTACGTGTACTAGGCCAGGCTACCTGCACCCCTCACCTCTCTTGCGCCTCTTTCGTCAGTGGCCACGTCTATAACAGAAGAGAGCTACGCTACACTACCGTATTACTAAGGCAACCCAGGCGTAACCAAGCTTCGCGAAACAAGGCAGAAGCTAACTACATGTAGCTCATCTACTACGAGTCTGTACGGGCCTGAACGGGACCCCCTCTACACTGCGAAGTCTGCTTGGCAGCTCGCGGGAGGCGCCGGTTACATATGCAATCAATCGTGGGCACTGGAGGGTGTGAGGTGTAGGTAGGCTATCTGCAAGAAGGGTGAGCGTGCGCAAGTTTGTACGAGATAACTTGCTTCATCACGGGATCTGGGCCAATGGAATGGAATTTCGGCGGTAATATGGGAATCGTTACAAACCCTAGAACTTGATTCCCATACAATATACAACGCCTCATAAGCTGACACAAGGTCATGGGGTGTTATGATCTTTTGATCTGAAGCCCGTCCCCGGTGGCTGATTAAGCGGTGAATTGACTTTCGGTGCCTTTTGATTTCCGTTATTTTATTGTCAAATTATTACGTCCCTTTTTGTGCTGTAACGCCGCCTCATTCTCGCAAGACCAGAGCAGAGCCCTACAGCATCGCCGTAGCTACTGCACAGAATTAACTACTTGCCTCCTCATTCAAGGCCGAGTTCGGTCCTGAATTCCGTCAGTGAACCCCGATAATACCTACCCCACGTTCTACTACATCCCGTCCACGGCCGGAGAAAACACACACGAGCAACGCCCAGACGACACCCGCCATGGCAACTAAGGACCAGATGTGTTCTACCGGAATTGATAACGGCGATAATTTTAATTCAAATGTGGAACATAATGCGTGCAACGGTGTATATGCGGCGCAATCGTGTAAAGTTCTCAAGATGAGATGGCTGTGTTTAGTTATGGCTTACTTATCTACACGAATGCAACAGCCAGCCAGAAAACGTCTTTCCCATCAGCTTCTACCAGATTAGTTAGTTCCAAGAACTTACTGAAGAGGCCTTAACAGTACGAATACAGTATAGCTCACTTCAGCTGGTCAGCCACACGTCATGCGTGTACCATAGTAGGTAGTTGGTAACTGATGAGGTAATCTTCCCACTCTTCAAGATGGGGTTACTAAGGGTATTGTAGCGGTCACGAATAGCCCGTTACACGAGAGCATGGCGTAGGATGATGGTATGTGCAGCTGTGGCGCTCTCCCACTCATCCTTCGTCTCCCGTGGACAGGACTTTCGATTTTGGCCGACCCTTCGGCAGTTATAGTGTAGTGGGTTGTGCTGGTTTAACTAATGTAGCTCGCTTCTACAGTACAGTAGTTGAATGCAACCAAGTGGTTAGGGTCTTACTTACACACGCCTAAAGTGATTACGGGCTAGTTTACGAGACCTCTGCCAATACGCTTGCTGCATTAAACGCAGTGTGAGTAGGAGGACGGGTTGCTGTCGATGCTGGACTTTGCCGCCTCCCATATGAGGCACCATTGAGACGCTCATTGGTCTGTTTGCACAGAACACTCGAGCCTATCATATTTTGTCATCGCAGCATTGTTGACAAGTAGTGGAGATCTTAGAATCCATACCTCGGCGTGCTGGGCCAAAGCTGGATCTGGTGTGAAGCCTACACTGCCAAGTACATGTATACCGTTAGACTCCTGTTCGTTTTATTACGGTGTCTATTATTATCTCATCCATCTTCCTGTCAGTCACAATGCCTGCACATGTAGAGCGGTTGGTACTAGATCTTATCTTGTGATTCAACGGGAATGCGACTTTGTCGGGATCTTCAGGCACATACAACGCTAACATGTGCTGGCAAGGCGATCATGCACAGATCGCATATTTATAGCAAGATGATGTGACAGTAGCAATGTACGGTAGCAGTACAGTGCCAGGCGACTATGAGGCTCTCCGCTCTACCTCTAATGTCGTGTAAGTGATACTGCATTTCATGTAGGCAATACTGGACAGAGGAAACAACTCCACGCCGCCACGTCTCTGCCGTGGCGGAATCGGTACGTGTGCATAGGCAAATCCGCTTAGACCTACGCTTTTAAGCTTTCAGAAGGGCGGACATGCCTAAATTCCCACGTCTCATCGCCGGGCCTAAAACCTTGGAGTCGATAACTCCCGGAAGGAAAAGTTTCATGCAGATCTGCAGATGGGAAGAACCTTGCTGCATCTGACACCATCTGACACCGCCAGGACCCTTGATTGAAAAGTCAGACGGGGAAGCGGAATGTTGTGCTCTAAGGAGGTATGTTCCTGTAGGATATCTGGAAGTGGTGTGCACTGTACACTGAGAGCGGGCACGTTTTTGTCAGGGATTCTCTATGCACCTTTGCTCCTTTACACCTTCGTTGGATGATCGCTTCCGTTGCGGTGGCTTTGGGATTAAATGGGAGGGATACATCAAGACAGCCCAGCCCAGCCCAGCCTGTGACGGGAAATTTGATCTCGTTACGATACCAGATAGTGACTAGTACGCGGGTATCTCTTTAACTACCTGCTGTAAAGAGGCAAAACTGTAATTCCTGTTACCAAGATCGATGCACTAGTGATCTACCCCCCCGGCGATCCATTCGGAACCGAGAATCATTCTTCATTCACCTCACCCAGGTTGTGGTTACATCGTAACCGGAGCAAGTTTGCTGTGACCTTACTTAAAAACTCGCCTTCTTCTCATACGAGTACGGTAGGATTGGGCCTCAGCCCTACTCTATAGTCTCATGTAGATTTGTATCAGACACTACCACACACATACTGGAGAGGCTAGGAAACACGCACGGCCCTGCGTGAAGTAATGTAGATAGGCCAACGATGATCTATGCACTGTCTGTGGACAGCTGCATTTCGCGCCACCTACACTGCATATTCTGTGCAGCTGGAATATGTGAGGGGTCCAATTAAGCACAATTGAGGTCTTCGAAGGATTCTGAAAACTGGAAAACTTGGAAACGTGTTACGCGTCCGACAATCTCTGCGATATACGCCACCTGTTGCGAAGCGCTCATCGTCCAAAGACGCCGAAACACGCTGCCGAACAGCCGATTGACACCTAGAATAGATACGCTCACAGACATACTCAAAAAGTCATATACAGTACTGCTGGTAACAATATCGAATAGAGAGTGAACCATCCTAAACTAGCTAGCTAACGGAGAGTTTTGTGGTGGCCTGTTCGTTCCGCACTTCAATTGCGGACTAATAGCATTACGGTTACCTAAGGCATTCATCATATTGCATTTTCGGGTTGCCTTACAAGGTCCTATGATGAATTTCCGCCTAATAAAAATGTCTTGATGCATCACGCTAGTACAGCTGAACACGATGGGCGGGCTGCCAAATGTAGGTACGCAAGACACCACGAGGTTAGGACGCTGTGTCCTACTGGTATTCAACCTCGTGGCAATTTGTCACGACTTCGTGTCCTTCCGCCACGCAGGATCGGTCACAGCGGGAGGAAGCTTTCCCTTTCCCACACCTTCTCCTTTCGGGTACCGATTGCTGCTGCTACTGCTTGGTGCTTCTTCGGCCAAAGTTACGTTGCAGGAATCGGCATCGGCATCGGTATCGGCATCATGAATTTTCAATCTTACTTACTTCCGCGCGGCCCACGACACTAGAGGCACTTGTGGACGGTTACGCCCGCTGCAGGCCTCACTAGCGCGTGAAGAAAGAAAAAATAAGGAGAATACCAAGAAACAGTCCAGCTGCTGCTGCACCATTTAGATAGTGCGTCTCCTTCGAGTAACTCGTGGGTTTGGTTACTTAAGTTGTTCGCTGGGCTTAAGGATGTAGGTAGGTAAGCCAGTTATGAGCCCAGATGCGGGATTCGGTTAACTGAGGGCTCCATGGAAGTCATTAGAAACGTCGAATAATTTATCTATGTGAAACATCTCCATCATGATGTTTGGTTAAACCATAAGGCTTCTAGAGCCTATAGAAACAGAGAGGATTCGCTTAGTTTGCCTACAATGGGCATTAGCTCACATCCATGCTGGACAAGGATATATCTACCGCGTGCGCCCACCACCGGGGATCATCCGGCACTTGTTAGGTCTTACCGTCCGCCAACTGCCCGTCATGGATATGCCTGCTATGTCTGTATGTTAATCGAGTGTTTGGCTACCGAGAAACGTGGCTCCATTGGTCATCCGTTACATCCAAGCCGTTGCATGAATTGGTGTGGACATGTTGTGACGGTGATGGGATAGTTCGGTGAGGGGCTTGAGCTGATATAGATCTATATCGACTGGACTATGGCTCGCTCAAACATCTTAAGAACTATTCCCTGGTTTATTATTCATGTAACTTGAATTTGATATTCTAAATCGGTCACCCCGAGACGCGGGTTGAGTTTGTTTCGAATCGTTCCCAGGGAGGAAGCTTGTAACCTGAAACTCGGATCCGCTCTTAACATAGCGATACCGAGGTATTGGATCTTGTTGTACCATGGCTTCGGTAAGATCATGTGTATAGTCGTCCCATAACCCACAGTTCCAATTAACACTCTGCGGTTGCCCTTGCTTTTCATGTTCGCTCCAGTAGATGTATATTGTATGATACAGTTATGATTTTCATTTGATAATGCCGAACCCCCAATGGTAACTAGTTCAGACAGAGGGTTTTGTGTACATTCGAAACTGTTGATCTTACCCGTCAAGGGTTGTTGTGTAGCACTAGTGTCTTATAGCAACTATTTCCTATAGGTTTGGCCATTTGACGTACCTAGGCCCGTGAGTTGTTACCAGCTTGTGAGTCGGTTAAGTCATCAATGACACTAGAGAATGTCTATGTTCGTGCAAAGTAACTCGTGAATGAACAGCTTCTGATCTCTACCTCTACGTCTGAAAGTTCAATTAATCAGTAATTTTATTGGACTCAGCAATTGTCGAGTAGAAACCTGAATAATATTTCTTATTATATAAAAAATAACTTAAGTTTCCTTAAATTATATTAAAGATAGTATAGTTAGTTATCTATTATAAACCAAAGGTCTCCAGTCTATTACTCTATTTCTGACCCTGCGCAGGAACGACGATATAAGTTCTATATCTCCTTGTCTTCAATAATCTTTAAAAGCGATTCACCCAAGTCGCTAAAGCCCTCGACCTTGCCACACTTGTCGCTAAGGTAGCGGATATCACGAAACATACTGCAGGAACTGATTAGCACCGCTGCCCTTCCAGACATCATGGGGAACTCAACAGGGCACAAGTAGCATCCCTACTTACCAATCACGACCAGCCTCAGTCTTCAGAGTTGCCTCCTTAAACACGTGTCCTAGTTGCTCTCTGTAGCCGGAGAACACCGGCGCCATCACCTGCGCTACCACCCATGCTGGCCGGCGCTTACTGAGTGCCTTATATAGCTTAGTAGTGTCTCCGGTCAGGTCGACAATATAACTTCGTACGTTTTCGGCCTTTTCACTGTCCCACTCAATCTCACGTGCCTTTTTGGAGTGGATGCGTGCTCGCGACGCCATGATGTCCGCCAGTTTTTCGTAGATACTCTCCTGGTGCTCCTGGAGGGCACGCCGTACTTTGTCGAATTCGCCTACAAGGTTCGCGTTTGGCCGGCCGGCTGGCGCGTGGCGCCGTACAAACTCGCGAATATACGGGACGATGGTAGCGATAAATGTTACCGCCTGTAACGCCACTACTAGATTTGTTGTCGAGATATTCCTAAGGCCAGCAGATAGTATAGAGCCGGCGCCGAGGATGAGTTGGCGACATCGAGAGTCAAACGTCTGCAGGTATGATATGAGTGACGCGGTGATATCAGGCGTCATGGATGGAATACCGCCTATTAGGCGGAGGAAATTTGATATTCCTTCGAGGCAGAGGATGGCGGAGGAAGGGAGCAAGAATTTCTCCTCATCGATAGTGGCAGGTCGAGCCTTGTCCTTTACTTCGCTATCCTTGGTCACGTTTGACATGGCCCCCTCCCGCGAAAGGGACCAGATCTTGCTCATCTCGGTCCATTCTGGCGGGTCCGACGTGCTACATTGCAGAACTAGCTCTAAAATCTCGTTGTCTCTAGCGGTAAAGTCCTTATCTTGCCAGTCATCAGAACTCATTCCGTCGGCAAGAATCTTATTTTCCCTATCTCCGTAGGCCGTGATATAGCTCAGAATGTGGTCATTAACAACAGTTTTTAGTGACGTTCCTGCTCGTCCAGAGATAGCTTCACATTCATTAGTAAAAAGAAGATTGAGGGTGAAGTAGCAGAGAAAGGAAGGCAGTGGCAAGTTTATAGTTTGCTTAGATCGAACTTGAAGAATCTTGATAATTTTTTCGAAGCCGACATCCACTGCGTGACCCAAGAGATTTGAGACATCAAATGAATTGTGTATCTCCTCCTGTAACTCTGTGATAGGCGCTTTAGCGATATCTTCGGTATCAGTATTTTCGGAGGTACAGGCAAGATCCAAAAGGATGCTTGATTGAGTCTTCACTCGCCTAAGCGTCTCTGTAACGCCAATGAAGATGGACGAAAATAAACTTTCCGCATCTTCTGCGTTAAGAGCACGGATATTCCGAGCGAGGATGGAAGACCTCTCCTGACTTGGGCGACTACGGCCATCACCCACAGTTGATGCCGACATAACAGATTCTGCATCTTCGGTTGAAGGAGGGAGTGGCCTGCGCACTATATTTCGAATTTCTTTGAGCACTAATTCCCGGTATGCTAAGATAGCTGTTGCGATAGATCTTGATCGGTAGAGCCCAGAAATGTTAGGAGAAAGGGCGGTGCGAAATTCATCAGTCATGCCCATATAAGCTGGAAATGTTGAAAGTTCTCGAGCACTACCTCCCTTTGCCCGTAGTGACGAGGCCTCCCACCTAGAGAGAACTTCCTCTATCGTTATAGACTGAACATGCCGCCGGAGGTCATCAATAAGCAGACTATGAACCTGAGCCTCAAACACCTTACCGATCCGACAACGGAGAATAGTCAGGTCACCGGCCACACTTTGAAGTAACGTGGCCCCACGTAAGTCCCGAAGCCGGGATATTGGTGATGCTGTAGTCCCAGATATCTCATCGCGTTCGCCACTCATCAGCAGCTCAATAGCATCAATCTCCGTAAGAGCCTTTTCAACATCTCCTTTGTCGACTAAGGACTCGGAATAGCCAACTGCATCCACAACACGCTTCAACTGCTGCACAGCATCATGCAGCTGTTGCAGATTGTGATGCCTACGTTGTTTCTGTAAGAGTTGAAGACCGCCAGTAACCATGCTATCATTTAATAAGCCTAAGTCCTTGCGCAAAGAACTGATATGCTCAACAAATTCTGTCGCTTCCCAGTGAAGCTCTTTTAAAGAATTAAGAGCAGATAAGAAAGTAACTGAAGCCGTAGAAATAGAGTCAATCAGATGCATTTCCGCTACATCCATGTACCATGAAAGCTTCTCCTGCAAAATCGCATTCGTAGCTAAGACTTTTCTTGGCTGCGTAACGTTCTCATCGCTTGCTTTCTGAATCGTTGGGTCTGGGGGAACAATGTCGGATCGCTCGCTGACAACATGGAATGTTCTTGGGTTTTCGAGATGAAAGTGCTCGTCGAAGTATATGCTGGGGATTACAGCAAGTGGTGGTGGAGCGTAGTTGCTTCTCCAACTAAGGCTACCGCTTCCTCGTCGGTGAAATGGGCGTTTGAACGGTATGTCCATCGACGTGATGGACGTGATAGAGCCCTTACGAGTAGACTGGGCGTCGGGACTACCAAAATCCGTATTGCTTTCTGGCTTTGTCCGCACTTCGTTCTCACTGTCTTTTATTCCATGCAGCTGCTCATATAGTGCACCAACTTGTGATATATACGGCTTAAACTCCGCAATTTCGATGTGCTGTATATTCGTCAGAGCCACCGAGGGGATATCGCGTGTAGTTGGCGTGTTATACAAGCTCGAAGGCGGCGTAAATGAGTGAGGTTCAAGTCCGCTTCGCACGATCGGTGGCTGCAAGAGGGTAGAGATAGCTACAAGACCACGTTAGCAGAGAGTTGCGCAGCGAGACGCAAAATGCTTACCATTTTGACCTGGCTCAAAAACAGTCGCCGACCGTTCACTCGTAGCTGTACCAAGATAGCCGCTCTTTAGATGTATCAGGCTTGCGGTTGAGGCTTGTCTTGACTTCGGAGAGGTTTGCATCTGGCTATGCCTAGGGGGTGTTGTTAGTATCAAAGTATTAGTACTGTCTTTTCTTGTTTTTGAATTGAAAACTGGCCACGACGAATTGAATGTACCTTAAGGCTCCAGGGGGGGGGGGGGTAGGAAAATGGTCACAGCTATGTTGTTAGGTCCTAACAACCTAGTACAGCTATATAAAGCTAGCTATCCCTTTGAATACCACGAACGCTCCAATCCTGCCAAGACTTTAGATGTCCAATCAGAATTTCTTAAACATATAATCACGGGTTCTAGAAATGGCGGGTCTGGGCTGCCATTTTTGGCAGGCCAAACCTTGACACGGGAACTTCATGTGAAATTTGTTAGTCTTTGAGCAACGAAGAGTCTTATGACTGCAATTGGCGTATAAAATCTACATTATAATTCATGTGGTGCCGAGCAGCCTAAGCTATGCTTTACAACATGTTTACATTCTCGAGCCCTAACAGTTACTCAGAAGGCTGCAACAGTTATTTTCTTAACAATCATCAACTACGTTAGCCCACACAGGTGCTCAGGAGAGTCGGGAAATGCTCCCTTCATCATGCCAGTCATACAAAGAAGGTACTCCGTATAGAGTGTCAGCTGTATCACAATACTGCCCTATCATGACCCTATGTAGATGATTTGTTATTGCACAAGGAGGGAAGTTCTAGTTCCCATCCCCTATTCTAATGTTTAGGTTTATATACAGTGTTCCTTGGTCTGTGCTGTATTCCGGAGATTAGGCTTTGTTAGTTCCGTGACAAGCTGTAGGTAGGATAGTTACATGTAAGACTCATACAACAACAATAGTCATCCAAATCACCTATACTTGAGATCGTGAAGCCTGGCATGTGAACTCTTGCAAAGCATGCATGGAGAAGAGGGGTTGAGAAATATATCGAGAATGGGTTTATTGCTTCAACGCCACAGCTTGGGGACAGTTCGCGTCCAGGGCTATCCAGGAGCGTGGCCCAGCACCACACGAAGTATCCTCAAAAGTTATATGATACGTAATTCCAAACTATCAAGTTCAAAGCCAAAACAATGCTGTGTAGTCAATATACCACGTTATGACTTCTTGATGGGATTGGGAGATGGTTGAACGTGGTTAAAAGATTTCAATCTTTATATTATACCATTCTCTCTCTACCAAGGAAAGGCGCTACACAGAAGAGCCCAAGTGAGTATTAATGAAATGCGGACTACATAAGATAATTGATTCAAGATTGTGAATATAATAATATAAAGCAAGCATAGTCGTAACACCAAAGTTGGTTCGCCACTCAAACATAGTACTGTGATCATAGTTAACAGGTATGAACTACGTTCATTCTCTAGAAACATCACTCAAATGAGCTGTTAGACTCGTAATATGGAGCCATGTCGATCCACTTGTACGGGATCTTCCTAGCACAGTGGTAATGCATCGGTGATGTAGTATAGTGGTGAGTACAATTCGTTGTGGCTTCTAGCACATCGGCTCCGAATAGACCCAGGTTCGATTCCCGGCATCGCCATCTTTTGCAGATTCATAATCCTTTTTCGTCTCGGAGTTTCCTTCGAAGCTGAGCTATGACAACAGTGGCTGGTCAAACTACTGGGCTCATATCGCCTACCCAAATAAAGAAATACCAGAGTGACCCGAGAGCAGACCCGAGAGGAAGAAACAGGCGCATGAGGCACGAAAAGTCCTAAACAGAGTGGAGATAGAGCCACAGCCTAACGCGCGCGACAATTGAGAATCTGACATCTGTAGCAACTACAAGTAAACAGAATATAGCAGACAGGCGCGTCCCCAATGCTCTTACGGAGGCTTGGGTAGGCTGCAACGTAGCGTACCCTCACGACACTAAACACCATCAATCGATCAGTCAATCAATCAAATGGAGCCATATTGATCAAGAGAGTCATAAATGCATATCCTTACAGCTGGGAAGTTAGGCAGGTAATTTAGGCTTCGCCTGCAAAGGTATTGAACATTCCTACATAGCACTTAAACAATCCAATGGTTGTTTATACTTGCAAGCTCAGCCCAGTTATTGGCTTTGATGAAAATAGCATAGGGATACTCCAGAGAAATACAGCAATCATATTCAGCGATACGGTGCTCGTTTCATAGTCTCGTTATCATGATCTAGACCATAATGTAAGGTAGGAGAGATGGAAGGATCTCTGCAGCTCTATATTATATGGGATCAATCTAAATTGTTTCAATAAGAATTCCATGTTTGATTGCTACTAAGATTATCATAGGTATTAATATCAACGTGAGAGCTAAAATATCTCCGCGCTCAAATAGCAGGTAGAAGGTAGTCAGTGGTCAACGGACATATCATGGAGAAAGAGAGAAAGGTATTGGGCTAGTCACTCTTAGGGCACAGAACTATGTATGCTTGTGCAATTAGATAAGTGAGCTGAATCTTATACACCACATTCTAACTAGGATCCTTGAGATTAGAATACAAATTATATTCATCAAGAAGGAAGGTAATGGAAGGGCTGCGAGTAGAACTATTATATCACACTTGCCATTATGCTATATTATCATAGCTCAGGGTTTTACTTAAAATTTATAATTATATTGCCACTTGCACTCTAACCAACTGGGAATCGTAAACGCAAGGATTCTGGGCCATCTGTTCTTCTAAATTTGATATTTAACCCCTTGTCTATCTCAGACTACTACTTGCTACAGCCTTATATCATTATAAGAACGAAGAGATTTCAAGCACTCATACACCAAATGATATACGCCACAAAATCCCAAGGTACTTCGAGCCGTCGTAGATTCAACTCTCACGGGTATACAAATATTTCTCGCCAAATGTCATGCGTTATGAGAAAGATATCCGCTAAGCAAATACATGGGATAGCAAATTTTGCAATGAGCGCCAGCTCATGGAGAGTCCAATTCATGATACTATTAGTCGTAGTCAGCAGCGCAAGCAAGCCAACTAAACAAACCCTTGAGTTGGAAGGGGAAATAAAAAGGGAATGCCCGATCGGATTGCTCTTTTCACCTTCTTGGATCACAAGGTATAATGGTGAAGACTCAATATTTATGAAATAGTCATACTTCATCCGCCTTACGAAGTGGTAAACCTGCCCTCTTCCCCAGCACATATCTCCGAGCAGAGATAACAATGAGAAAGAAACACCAAACTTGGTCAATGGATTTAACATGTAGTTGATATCTTTATATTAGAACTAGAACTTCAGCTGGAGAGGGATAGATACGACAAATATCCCCATCAGTTCGGATGTCAAACAAGAAGATGCGTCACCTTTCTACTACAATGCGTTCACACTGCTTAAAAGTCTGTACAAGCATCGTTGACGCATTTTAACATAGTAGCCATCTGTTGTGTCAAATATACATGTCTCAGAGAGACCTGGTTCGTTACCGGTATGACCTGACCTGACTGTCTGACGCAGGACGATACTACGCGGCACAACAAACGAATAAGATGGGGGCTGGCTTATGGGCATGTAGGGTTCATCAATACAATGCTGGCACGAGCTCGCTTAGCAAACGAGTAACGAGGCACACAATTGAGACGTGCGACGGGGTGAGGTAGGCGCTTAATGTAGGCAGGTATTAGATAAAGTACCTAGGTAGTATTCCTGAATGTCGTGGTGTGCGTGTGACGCGCGAGATGACGGTAAGTACCACTATTCATAACCTCCAGGACCTACAGATCTCACTTGTACATGCTCGTCCAATATATACATACCCACCCAATTTCATTCCAACCTCCTCCAACCCCCCAAAACTGCACCCATCCCCATCGTTCGTTCCTATCATCTCCCCCCCGGCGCATGCAATGCACAAAGAAAAGACGAGGGAAAATGCGACGACAAAGTGGATATATCCCAGTGAACAAACAGAAAAACAAGCGAAAAAAAAAAAGGTCTTCCCGACATGGACGAATAACTGAGAGGATTTGAGCAAGTATCCCCAGGGTATTTCTCAGTCCGTGCAGCGCCGAGCCACCAACAAAAGCGTGAATAAAACAGCGTAGTGACCACCTGGAGGTAGCTCCTTCAGCCCCAATTGCCAATTCAGTCCAGCGGGCTCGATTCTATTGGCCGGAAACTTGCTCAATCAAGCCCTGTCCTACCTCCTCCCCTCTTTCTTCCCCGCCTTACGAAGTAGGTACCCCTCGAGCTTCGAGGCGAGAGGTCTAGATAGAACACAACACTACTTATCGTAGGTAGTGCAGTAGGTAGGTAGGTAGACGCATGGGGAGAGAACCCGGGAACCTGGTACCGTAGAATACCTCACACATGATAGGTATAGGTACTCTACTTGCGGCATGGAACGATCGATGGCACGGCGTTGATTGTACGACCTGATTGTACGACCTGATTGTACGACCTGATTGCACGACCTGATTGCCCTAGGCACGAACGATGCCGGACCCCCTGCGCGTGATGCATCTAGACCACCACACCACGTAACAAAGAGAAGGGAAAAGAGAGGTGCTGCAGGAAAGTATAATAATCCTCGGCTGCGCATGCATCTGTCAACCACGCGAGTTCCTTCCTCTAAGTTTAGATCTCGTTGCCCTTTGACTACGCATCTCAACTCACACTCTTCCTCCTCCTCTTCCTCTTCCTTCTCCTGGGGGTTCTCACCTGTCTAATATCGCAAACGTCCAAGACATCGCATTCTCCTCGACATCAATCCACCAATATGCGATCTTCCGCCCTCGTCCTCTCTGCCGCCACCGGGCTAGTGTCCGCGCACTTCCAGCTCACATACCCGACCTGGCGAGCAGACACACTAGCAGACAACACGACGTTCGACCAATGGTCATATCCTTGTACGTAATCATAATTCTACCTCTCTATATATGCCTCTTATCTGTCTGCGTGACGAAAGTGACTTCTACCAGCCACATATATATGTATCTATTTTATGCGTATATATTTTGAAACTGAGTCGACTAACTCTGACAAATGAAACAGGCGCTGGCGTGCCCTACGGCACAGGAAACAAGACGGAATGGCCCCTCTCGGGCGAAGGTGCCTCTGTGGCCCTTGACCTGCACCATCCGTGGTCGTACGTGTACATCAACCTCGGGCTCGGCGACAACGCGACCAACTTCAATATTTCCCTCACCCCGGAGCTGCTGAATGTCACTGGCAAAGGCGAATTCTGCCTCACCAATCTGCCTCTACCGGGCGATATCACAGACGGCCAGAATGCCACGATCCAAGTGGTCACGGGCGGACAGTCCGGCTCGGCCTTGTACAATGTGAGTGGGACGAAGTGCCCTGACTAGAAAGAAACAAAGTTAACATGTCTCTAAACAGTGTGCCGATATTGTGTTCAGGTCCTCTGCACAATCACCCTCGAGTGAAGTGTGCACCAATAGCACAGGTGTTACAGCGACCGTCGTGGGGCAGACCGCAACGGACTCGAGCGCGACCCCGGAGCCTACGCCAAACAGTGCACCGTCGGGGACCTTTCGACTTCCGTCTCGGGCTACTAGTTGGGGCGTGGCGATTGCTCTCATTTTGGGAGTCATAATGTAGGAGGCTAATGGTCGGGGCCGTGTACAGTTGTCTGGGCGCTTGAATGATTTTGATACCCCGTTACTGAGCAGTGGAATTTTCTCGCGGTTTAATAGAAGTCTATGGGTGTAATCTAACTAAAACGGCAGAAGTTAGCTAGACGCCTGAAATTCGTACTCTACCGATAACTTTACCTGTGAGACGTACTCTTTGTAGTATGTCAAGTCCCTCTCCCCAATTGCAAGGCATTGAGGATGACTGTATAGGAAAATAACGCTCAAGTTTCAACGTAAAGTGATAGCACAATGAACATCAAAGCTGTGAGCTAGAGAAAAGCAACTAGTCTTCATTGTTTGTGCCATGGGAGTACAGTGTTGGACGCTCAGACTTCTGTGCAGGATGGAGCCCTTCTGTGGTGCGCATATCTTCGTAGGGTGTATGTAGTGGGTTCTGGATTAGTTGCCACGCACAACCTCATCTCGCGAGGATCGTTTCTTTGTCCGGATGTAGCTCATGCATAACTTTGGCCATAGTGATGCGTTGAAGTGGATTAGGTGTCAGCATTTGTAACACGAGAAACTCGATTTTATCACGAGAATTCAGTTGGGCTTTGGACTCGTTGACCTCACTTAGCCACTGTTGCATTTGTGTGACAGCAGAGGATGTGCGGCTAGAAGACTGTCCGTGTCTGCGATTCAGATCTGCAATCATCCAGTATAATTGCTTTGGGTGGCCACGGATTCCACGAGCGTCGGGAAAGGGGATCTTTCGTAGCACATAGAGCATTGTGACGCCAAGGGCCCACACGTCTGATGCTGGACCGCGAAGCTTCTGCCCTATGAACTCCGGAGGCACATAATATGGTGTGCCTCCGTTAGTAGCGGGGTCGACAGTGCGAGTGGATAATCCGAAGTCGCAGAGGACGGCACCCCTATCCTTGGAATACAATATGTTGGCGGGCTTGATATCGTTATGAATGCGCTTTTTCTGGTGTATGTAATGCAACGCGCCCGCAATGTCTTTAAGAATGCGAATAGCGTCAGCGCGACCGCCAACGAATTTGTCTGTTGTGATGTCACGCCACACATTACGAGCGGCTAGATCCTTGCCATCGACATGCTCCATATAGAGCGATAAGTAGCGCGCATCACCACCATGTAACCTGACGATGGATTCGTGTTGGAGATCTTCTTGGCTCTGATATTCACGCAGCCATATATCGGCCTGGCGTATCACATTCCGATGCATCGCATCCTGGGGTCGATTGTCTGTCTGGGGCCCACGGGTCTTGAGGACTTTAACTGTGATGACGCCGTCGGGAACATGAGAGTGCTCAGCTGTATATACGGAAGAAGCCCCAGTGGTGGCGATCTGATCGCGTTTTGTCAACTGGTACCCATCAGTGTCACTATCACCAGGAATCGCCAACGTCTCATCTTTCTGGACTTGGAGTAATGCGTGACCATTGGGTATAGCAATCTCCTTCGTTTTGGCTGTGTTGAACAGAATGATGACATTATCCTCATTCTCTTCGTTGGTATCGTCGCGTCGAAGACGCTTCTCAATCACTGCATTTTCTGTCGCGAAATCGTCGGATGAGAATGACCTTTTACCCAACGAACTCGACAGTATCTGGCTTCGGGCAGGTGAAGATTCGAAGCTATCAGACGGAACATGTAATGTGGCAGGTCTTTTCTCCAAGATCCGAAAATCAAGGACGGGAATACCAACACTGATCCTCCATGTACCTGGCGACAGCTCTCGGGTTGCGCCCGGTAGAATCTCCTGTTTATAATTGGCGCCAGCGTGATCTGAAAGAGATACCCTGGCGAGGACAACAGGAATCTCGGACTTGTTCCACAGTATCAAGCTATCGCTAGCGGGATCATAATAAAGCTCACACCATAGTGGAGGACGGTCACCCTCCTCAGCCTGTGGAATCCTGATGGAGAAATTGATGTCCTTGGAGGTTTGGGTCACAGCTAACACCTTGGACTTGGACTGGCTAGAATTTCCCACCTCTGCCCGCAGAGTAAGCCACTGACAGTTGTCGTTGCCAGGGCTGACAGAGCGGCTTTTTGTGAGTGGCCGCACCAGGATGCGGAGGCCATTTTTGTGGTGGTCTTCATCAATCACCAAGTGGTCCAAGGGGATATGGTCGTGGTGAGCATCACCGGATTCATCAACTTGGATGCTTTTACCCATTCGCAGTTGGAGTTCCTCAGGAGTGAATGGCTCCGTTTTCTCTTCGGAAGGGTAAACCTCAGCAGCCATAGTACGATGGAAGTGAGGGTTGCGCAAGGGGTATATGCAACATAGATGAGAGTAATTTTATATAATGAGAATATAGTAGGACTATGGGACCTGCCTGCTGTAGGATATCCGAACAGGAAAAAAAGGAAAGAAATAGAAATATTACTCGTCGACTTCGAGAGAATTTGACAGATCGATCAACTCGCTCACGTTAAAGGGCCAGATGAAAGTTGAAATGACCAGACGGAGCTATCACTATCAGATGGGCTGTCCTTGGGACCTTCAGTTAATGGGTCTCAGTGCTCAAGCGGCGGCAGAGACAGTCATCGAAGGGGTCAGAAGCGAGCAGGATAGAAAGGGCGTGAGATGGGTGGGTGTGCGGCTGATCCCGCTGGAGAGGGTTCCCTCAGTCGCCTGGCAGCAGTTCCCCGTCTCTTGCTTTAACCAACCAGCTGGATACATATGCCTAGGTAGGTAGGTAGGTAAGTAGACAGTAGACACCGCAGGTATAAATAACACAGGTTCCACTGGCGCGGCGTATTAGTCAGTTTGGAGCATCGCCTCGCTTGCCTCATAAGGACTGGGCTATGCTACCCTTCCTCTCACCGTCTACACGTCAACCTACAGCACCTACCTAGCCCTGTACATGCCCAGTACTTGTCAGGCGTTCAATCGGTAGACTTGTTGCTCTGTGACGAACGGTTTGATAAACTGCTCAGGGAGAGAAAATGGTCATGGTGTAAAGAAAGAATAGCGGTTATGAATGCCTCAGGGAAGGGCAATAAGGTCTATGTAAAGCTTATTTGGTCTGTTGGTCTGGTGGTCTTGCTCAAGCGACACCATACGAGTTTGGGGTGTCGGTCACACGACGAAAGCCCAGCAGGCAGACACACACACAAACTGCTGTAGTCGTTCGCTTAGTGTGTCAGTCACGGCTCTTAGTGTGTGAGCCGACACTTTGACCTGTCCCCTGACTGGACAAGCAAGCAAGCGGTACATGGTACTTGGCACCAATGCGCTGCTGACCTAATGAGTGATTGTAGTACAGAGTCGTGCTTGGGATGCTTTTCCCAAGCAAAAACTATTAATCCGACGCGGGGCTCACCCACAGTCTTGGGACATACTACGTTCGCAGTAGAATTGGTAGGAGAAGCCTTGAAAGTCTTGCGCGTGTTGGGTTGGAGTCAATCAAGAGTTTTGAGTTGGCCTAGTCAAGCCGGTAGGAAGCCATATTTAGGTGCGGCTGTGGGATCCCTCCCTTCAATCGAAGCCGCAAGAAAAGGCCTGAATAAGTGAAAACGTCGCGGGCATTTCAATATAGCGGAGCATTAAACACCACGATATTTGGAACCAAGCACCACTTGAGAACACACGTCGACTGGGGAAGGTGATACCTAGTATATAGGTTAAGAGGCATGTTGACCGTCGGACCTACAGTATGGTGTGGTTGAACAATTGGCAACGGTTACAACTACTTCGTTCAGTTAGCAGGCAGGCTACAGAGACAGCACAGACGCTGAGTGATCATCAGATGACGATGGAATGCCCTGCTGACTGGGGAAAGAGATCGAAAAAGTGTTCGAGGCCCCTAGAAATGCAGAAACCCACATACCTACTTGTTAGGACTGGTAGCACACATCCTACTCTGTACATCTCCATTTAGAGTCGTAGGTCTCTCTCACTTGCTGTCGAACCCGGTGGAAGATTGGCTTGAAGTTGTGTAGCCGGGCCCAGCCTACCGAGATAGCTGCTGGGCGAAATGGATACATACGAAGTAAGGGAAGAGTCATTATGAGAGATATCGTCGAGGGTTGAAATCATCTCCTAGATATCTCTTGGATGTGGCAGGGCATTGTTGAGAAAGATCTTACACCACTCAACTCCAAATCACTCATTGCGGGTTCTGGCGATGCTTGCACTTTTTGCTAGGCATTTTTGGTTGGGCAAACGTCCAATGTTCAGAAATGTCTAGAAATGTCAAATGCCAGCTGGGCAGGAATGAGGGCGTCGTATGCCTGAGGGAGGCGGTTGCCGGCTTTAGGAAATGGCATTTCGTCATTGGCTTGGATTAATCTAGACCCTTGTGAAACCCCACTGTTGTCTCACGATGGATCAAATTGATTGGGTGCACTGCGCCGGAAGTGCTTCCCCATTTGGAAATAGCTCCGTGGCAGTGCACTCCGGCCGTCAGCCAACATCCGCCAACATCCGCCCACTTCCGCTAACAGTTAATGCAGCCTCAGCGAGATATCGGAGCTAATCTCGTTGTGGTCAAAGTCTCCCTCAAATTGGTGACAGAAGAGGACTAGCCTCGTGGAAAACACGATGGATGAACCTGGTGTGAACCGGTGATCAGACAACAGCCAACGGCCCCAGGCCTGGCGAGGGGGGGCTAGTTGTTGCCCCAAATGCCTCAGGCCGCTCTTTCAGCAATTGTATGGGTACCGCCGGCTGCCCACCACCCCTACGTCGTCGCCTTTGCCCATCTCCAATTCAAAACTCAGCGAGCCGCAACACTATCCTTCAAGAGCCCACGGCAACAACAACGCACAATAGTCTTCCCCAAGCCTCAATCTTCGCCATCGCGAACACCCAAAGCCAACCGATTCCAGATTTTATGATTTGACCCAAGTTACACGTGAAACTGAACCACAATAGCCAAAATGCCCGACCTCAAGTAGAGTCTAGAATGCTTTGCAAACAATCACAAGACCCAAAAGGAAACAAAGAGAACCCAAGCCCAACAAAGGACGCCAGCAGCCCACCTCGTGGTCTACTGCCTTATTAACTATTGTCCCTCCGCCCTCCCCAACCAAACCCCTTCTGTCACACCGAACCGATAATCCGTAAAGACAAACGAGAGTCCACAAACCCCGAAGCCCAGCAGCAGTGACGCTAAAGACGGGGATTCAAGTCCGACCGACGCCCTTCTACGCGAGCAGCCCGCTTGGATATCGTTCCTCGTCTCCATCGTCTACCTCCTGGACCTTCTGTACCTTTCTCGAATCAGAGAATGGATGAGCCCGATGGCGGTTGTTCCTGGCAAGCATGGAAATTTGGGATGAAGAGGGATGACCTCTACACCAAACTTCAAGATCAGTACAACACCGTGACTCTGTCCATACAGGACCCCGACGCATTCCAACACGATGTCTGCGAGATCTCCAAGACGGCTGTCGATGTCGACGAGTTTCATCGCATGCTCGAGGAGCGCAAGGAATTTCGACTCAATCAGCTGAACGAGAGTCTTCAATCGGCATCGGTCGAAATCATTGCAAACCCCAACCTCATTGGTACTGACCAGTGGCAGCATGCTATACAGCTCTTCCGTACTCGGTCCTTCGACTCACTCGTCAGGTACTTCGCGTCATATCTTCCCGACGATCACCCCTGGAACACAATTCCTCAGGACCCGAGCACGAAACCATTCTTCGATGAGGTAGATGATCCTACCCCAATGCTTACCCGGGAACCTATGTTCTTCATAAGCGATACCCCGAACGGTTTGATTCCAGCAAGTCATCTTCCACCATCTCCCCGATCTCTAACGATGTGCTCGGACTCGTCCAGCGCTTCCACACCCGCCAGAACACTCTCGTTCTCGGAACCAGAATCAGATGACATGACGCTCTCAACTACCCTGATTAGGGAGTATGACGACGAAACGTCTCAATGGGACGATCCGGACACACCAACCACGCCGATATCTGAAATGTCTGATATAGCGCCGTTGGAATATTCCATGAACAATAAGCATAGCAACATTCCTTACCATGATACCCATGAAGTATCTAAGACTTCCGCCTCATTGTCCTCTGAGGTTATAGAGGATAGTGCGCATGAATCCGAGACGCCAACGCCTCGCGAAGTGGCCAGAGATACGTATTTATCAGATGAAAAGTCAACGACTTCGTTGGCAAGGACATTGACGTCGATGTCACCGTCGTCTAAATATACCCCATTAGAAAGAAGGCTTCGCGAAGGGAGCCCAGGCTCGATCCGAGCACGACGGAGGAGTCCAGAAATCGGACGCATACAGAAACCTTCCCATGACCCTATACGCGCAAGGCCAAAAAGCCTCAAAAGTTAGTTGGTCCTTCAACCGATGCGACTTTGTATATATGTCAAAATACTTATAGATAATGATGTAATGCCCTTTTTATGATCAATCACCCTGGTTTCAGGGAGGCGTTCTGGTACCTGGCGTTTTGCTTTATTTGGGGGGGTGATATTCTTCATGATGTTTGACGCTAACACGTATGATACCACGATATGCCATGGTACAACAGAGATTCCCTTTTCGCATAACGTACCGAAATGACATAAATCGAACTAGGAACTGCTGCGTAGGGTAACGACCAAAAGGCAAATTCCTCGTTCACTAGAATAATTGGTTTCAAGTGCTAACATACCCCAGAATGAAGCCCGAAAAGAGTGGTGTACCAACCAAGGATGTGGTTGCCTACCGGTCCCCCGCTCTCCCCATTCTCTACCCAATGCCCGTAGTGTTCTGATACGCACGCTAAATGTCCATACCTCTCTAGTGCACCCACCCACTATCTGATCGAAGGTCTAACGTTGACAGATGCCCATCTCGCTCCACCACCACTTCCATGATGAATAGAGAGTTCTTCATGAGGTCATCAAATTCTAGTATGTAAGTGAGTTAAAGGAAAGGTAGGTTCTCAGCATATGAAAATGAGGTCATGTAAGTGTATAGTATAGTGAGTTGGGAGTAGATATTAAGATAATGTATAGTTTCTTTTAACATGTACAGTATTGCTCTTCTTGAACATAGACGATCAAGTAGGATATTTTCACTGCTCCATCTCTGTCTAATAATATCGACATCATATCTATTCTTCGTACCGAGATACCAGTATTCGCACCCAGTGAACCAGGGTAAAATAGAAAGAAAGAACTCCCTCAGTAAAGCCCCCCACCCAAAATGCCCGAAACCCTCCGCGAGAAAGCAACCAAGAAGGCGCAGGGCCCGAACGCCAACCCAAGCCAACTCGGCGACCCGATCAGCGTGAAAGCCGAGAGCAGCGATACCGTGCCCACGGACGACGAAGGCGGCGCTGCTTCACAATCTTCTTCGAAACTACCGAGCCAAGCCCGCACCGAGAGGAATCAGAAAGGCGGACAAGGCGAGAGGCTGCGCGAGAAAGCGGCGAAGAAACTCAACGGCCCGGATGCGAACCCGAGTATGCTCGGGGATCCGATTAGTCTGAAGAACGAGACGACCCCGGGCGTGCCTACAGACAGTGAGAAAGGCGCGAGGGAGGGGGAGAAGGTTGGGAGACGGGATTCGAGGTTGTGAGGGAGATAGGTAGGAGATGGGATATATCGAAGGATGGATCTTGTATGATGCGTGATATCTGATAACTAGAACAACTATAATGTTATAAATGTATATTATTTCCTTTGTATAGTACCTCTGTTCCACTGTATCAAGTGCATTCTAGTGATATTATTTCATAAATCATCATAGGATGAGTATCATCTATGATTGTGATTATATCAATCAACCCCCTTTACTCTATTATCGCTTTTATATAGGTTAGGTATATTGCGAGACGCAAAGAAGTCCCAAAATATAGAGCTGTCAAAATCATCTATTACCTCCAAACCACGCTCGCTCAATTCAACGGCTTCAACAACCCATGCGCTTCGAATATGCGCTGCAGTATCTCCCTTACGACCGGCTCTTTACGGTCATTATACTGCTGAGTGCCCTCGCCCGCCGCAGCCGCTGCCTCGGCAGCTTCGCGCTTCATACCCGTGTACAGCCTGCGATCGTCCTCGTGCTCTCTAAGCCAATCGCGGAAAAGCCTGTGCCGCACCAGTTCAGGACTGTCGGCGCCGAAGACGTGCAGATTCGTGTACGGCTCTTCGAAGTGGAAGAAGCGGTGTCTATGCGATAGATTCGGGGTTAGTGAGCGGTGCTCTTAGTAGAGATGTAGATATGGTAGATAGTTTCTTATGCGGGGATTGTGGGGATGTTATCAGGGCATAGGGAGGCGGAAGTGAAGTCTACCAGAGCGAAGAAAAACATCACAGCGTACTGGTACCAAACGGGTTCGCGGAGTAACAACACGAACCCCGCGGCCTGGAGATCAGGCACGTAGGACTCTTCGTCGGCCGGGTCAGCGACCACGAGGTCGATGTCGATGATGTCCTTCGCAGGCAAGCCGGGCACGCTGGTGGACCCGACGTGCTGGACTAGAATGGCCCGGTCCCCGAGGGCTTGTCGGATGCGTCTCTCGACGTCTGCGAACATGGCTGGCCATTCGGGCCTGTACTCGACGATCTGGAGAGGTTTCTGTGGCCGCCTGCCTACCCACTCGATGTCTTTCTCCTCCACCTCCACCATCGTGGTTATTCCAAGTATATCAGCCATTATTAGTGAGAATCTATGAGGAAAACTGTATGTGATTTAAGTAGATTTTGAGGAGATCGCAACATCAAAGTTGATGAGAATTGGTTTATTCTCATGGAGAGCTATGGGAGATGTTACTAATCTCTCTTATTTACTTGAGCAAACAAGCACTTGAATTCAACGACATGCGAAGTTAGGCGGGGGGCGGCTCAGATGCGGATCACCACTGATGTCGTATTCCGTATTTTCTCGCATGTTATCACTAGGCCTGGAATACGCACGCTTTCCGGGTTGCATTTTGAGACCATACCTACCTCCTATATAGCACTAAAAGACCCTGCGTTATACTGAATTAGGTGCCTTTCTTCAGGCCGCCTAGTACCTACAGAACAGTACCTACAGGGTTAGGTTATCAAACGCCAAGTTGCAAGTCACTGTCCTAGAAGCCAGTACACACTTGATAATTATATTGCTACTCGCTTTTGAATGCATCATGGGATATGTCTGGCTGTCCGAAGCCTTTTGAATCCATCGCGATAGAACTTCCGAGATTAAACCTAGAGTTTGCGCTCCCAGCCTCCTTCGGCCTCGAAAATCGCCCCAACCGCCTTTGAGACTACAAGCAAGCGCCTATCGTGGTAACGTGGTGCAACCAACGAGATTCCAATGGGCATATCGTTGGCGCCTTTGAATCCCGGGATGTTGATGACGGGCGTATGTAGAGCCTTCAGTCCGGGAAGAAATGAGTTTAGCATACCTAACATGGATGTTATTCACTGAACTCACCGTCCACATGCTATTGAATACTGGGCTCCCAGTACTCTGAAGTCCCAACGGCGCCTCGTCAACAACGCTAGGCGTGAGTATGGCCGCATATCCCTTCGCAATCTCGTCGATCTTCGGGCGTAGCGCGGCGATCCCATCGTACGCTTCTAACTGCGCTGCGCGGGAGACCTTGTTCACATTCTCGATGCGTCCAGTCAAGAATGGGGAAAGCTTCTCCTTTGCAAGCCGATATTCAGGCAAGAAGGTTGCTCGGGCTTCATTTTCGGTCAAGACGTTGTGCCACTCGGGCATTCGATCGAACTCGGAAGATAGCTCGACCTCTTCGACCTCTGCCCCATGGCTTCGCAGAAGCTGCGCGGCACTTTCCAATGCCATCTTGGTCCCAGGGCCGGCTTTTGGCCACACTACCGTCTTCGCCACGCCAAACTTTGCGCCCCTCACTGTGAATTCGCTGATGACAGCTTCGTCATCTTCAATGTCGAACAGATCAGTCACGAGTTCCAGGTCGTCGACACAGCGTGCAAAGAATCCGATCGTGTCGAGGATGGGGGAATAAAACTTCAGTCCTTCGCGACTGATTGCATTCCACGTTGGCTTGAAGGCATAGACGCCGTTGAAGGAGCCCGGGCGGATTACCGAGCCCCCCGTTTGTGACCCAATTCCGACCGGCGCCTGGAAGTCTCCGACCGCAGCCGCCGACCCGGACGACGAACCACCGGGTGTTCTTGTTGGGTCATGCGGGTTGCATGTCTTGGGCCCGCCTTGGGTAGATGCGAACTCGGTCGTTGTCGTTTTCCCTGCCCAATCATGAATATACCTGGCTTGTAGTGTATATAGTCAAATCAGGCTATCTCACCGAGTATCAATGCACCAGCCTGGCGCAGTACTATAATCGACGCCGCATCAAGCTCCGGCGCGTGTCCGTCATAGATGGGAGAACCGTACTGTGTGGGCATGTCTCGTGTAGATGAGTAATCGTTCTTACTAATGCCGATGGGAACTACCTTTAGTATATATCAAGTCCTTCACAGCTACCGGAAGGCCGTGTACTGGGCCTCGTTCGCCGAAAGGGACGCGGTCGAGCCTTCTGGCTTCTTCGATGACATGGTCCGGTTCAAGATGCGTCCACGCCTGTACGGTCGAGTCACGCTCCTGGACTCGCGAGAGGAGGGACCGAGCATATTGTTCGATGGTCAGTGACCCGTTCTTGATGTTTGATAATGCTTGCGTAACTGTTAATCTGTAAGGATCCATGATGATTCCAGCTCAGACCTTATACACGTATACATCAGTCTCGCAAGGTCTATCATGGTAGAAAGACGACTTACGTTACGCTATGATCTCTGTACGAGGACTCCACTCGGTTGAACCCCGTTGGGGAAGATGTGGAAGTCTCAAGTCACTACCTCTACGCTATGCGGCCACGTTACATCCTTGACTGCTTGTAGACTAGACAAGAACTAGTCGTACAACAGCTCTGCAGTTTGTTATTTCTGAAAGGCATGATTGGCTTCTCCTCGCTATCCTGTCCACATTATAGGCGAGCATACTTCATCTACACACGTTGGAAATGTGCGATTTGACGTGGGAAGGGTCCAAGGTCCCCTGCATGATGCTTCTCTGGACGGCATCGATTTTACTCATATCTTACTCCGATTTGCGGTCAAGAAGCTTCGGTTCATACCGTATCGAGCCTAAGGTGGGCGATTAGCAATCATGATCTGCTTATAGCCTTCCATGTGGGATCAAATCACGTTCTATGTTCCCGCATAGGCAACACTCCCAATATTGTGGCGCGTAGTGTTGCATCTCATCCAGCAATACATGCCTATCAAAGTAGTACATGTACAATGTCTCAAGGCAGACCTAGAGCAACGCTAGTGTTAGCTTCCGTGGACACACATTGGTCGCCTGATTACTATCTGTACGGAATGCGGTCAAGAAAGTGTGTGTAAGTGAGTAGATGGGGTCCAATAGGGATAGCGGATATGACACTTAAAGGTGGCATGGAACCAACAACCACCAAGGCAGTTTAGGACTTGCCCAACATGACCGAATCGACCTCCCCACATACGCAGATATAAAGTGAGCGTCCGTCGCCAGCGATGAAGCTACTCATTAGTATCGATGCTTCCCGATCTCTGACCCTGTTGTGCCCCTGACAGCCTGGAGCAAAGATGTCGAAATTGTTTAAGCCCATGCGCGTGGGCTCCATGACCCTTGGTCATCGAATAGCAATGGCGCCATTAACGCGGTATCGCTGCGACGACGACTATGTCCCGCTTCCCATGGTTAAAGGTGCGATCAGCGGGACCTGACCCCTACGCTCTTGCATATGCTAACCAGCTCAGAGCACTATGAGCAGAGAGCTGCAGTGCCCGGAACTCTCCTTATTACTGAGGCTACGTTCATCTCCAGATCATCGGTCGGTCGGGACAATGGCCCTGGTATCTACAATGAGGCACAAATTTCAAGGTGGAGGGAAATTACAGACGCCGTGCACAAGAAGGGGTCTTTTATCTACTGTCAGATATGGCATCTTGGTCGAGCAGGAGTCAGTTATCCTTTAAGTCATATTTTTCACGTCCTACCAACAATCATCGAGTGAATGCTCTTCTCGGGCCAGGTCATACCTTCGAATTTCCCCAGTGTTTCAACATGCTTATGCTCATTGTGGTGATTGCTAATCTCTGTTGCTCTAGTGGCCAAGGATTCACGAGGCCAGGGGTAATAAGCTTAAATCTTCTAGTGCCCTCCAGATCAATGAGACAACCGGCTTGCCAGAAGAGATGACAGAAGAGGACATATGGGAGGTCATTAACGACTTTGCAGCAGCCGCCAAGAACGCAGTGAAGGCAGGATTCGACGGTGTCGAGTTACACGGCGCCAACGGGTACTTAATCGACCAGTTCCTGCAAGACGTGTCCAACAAGCGAACCGATGGCTGGGGTGGCAGCATCGAAAATCGCGCGAGGTTCGCGGTAGAGGCTACTAAGGCTGTTGTCGACGCTATCGGAGCCGACAAGACCGCTATTCGACTAAGTCCTTTCAGCGACTTTCAAAGCATGGGCATGGAAGACGCTGTCCTCTATCCTCAGTTCGAGTATCTCGCCCAGCAGTTGAAGCCTTTAAATCTATCTTATCTCCACCTCGTCGAACCGCGCATCTCAGGGAACACGGAGGCCGACTGTGGTGCAGGCCACAGCTTAGATTTCTTGTTCAAGGTGTGGGATAATCAAACCCCTATTATGCTTGCCGGAGGGTATGTGCCGGAGTCTGCGATGAGGGCAGTTGATGAGAAGTGGAAGGACTCTGATGTTATTATTGCGTTCGGAAGGTACTTCATCTCGAACCCGGACCTGGTCTTCAGAATAAAGGAGGGCATCAAATTCGCAGATTACGATCGGTCAACGTTCTATACCAAGAAAGCGGCGGAAGGGTACACCAATCTCCCGTTTAGCGAACAGTACCGGGCTTTGTACGAGACGAAGGCGTAATCATGGCATCTTCCCTAAGGCGGTTTTGGCGTATAGAGAATTAGATCGCGAGTTAGCAGGAATATACCAGCTAGTAGACCAAATAATGCATAGGCTTGGAGAATCAGATTATGAGTCATGGGTCGTCAAATAACCCTTGAAAGTTAGTAGGCACACTTTTCCGAGGCAGTTGTGGTTAACCTATATTTGGTTCTGAAGGAGGTCCATAGGTACTGGCATCTGTCAGCTATGGAAGCTCGGCTTCAGGGGCAGATACTGCTTTCCAATATTTCCACCTCCTGCTATTTATGAATATTTCGTACTTCGTATGGAAGGTGTACATCCACAACATCAGGGCAACACTCGGAACCTGGCTCTTGGAGCATCTGGAAATGAACCCAACGGGAAGCCTTGACCCGTGAGGCGAGGCAGCGCCTGTGCTTGAATTCAGCTGCCCATCCATGATTGAGCAGGTTCGTCTCCGGCCGTGCCTGTTACGCACCTACCTGCGTCCCCAGAACCAGCCCAAACTTTTTCATATGGTCCGCTCCCGTGTGCTGTTTTTCCCAGCCCAGTCTTAACAACTATCCAATTACGCGGAGCATTAATTCCATATTGCACACATCATCAAGTCAGTTTTTGCTCAAAATATTGCCAACAGCATCCCTTGTCTGCTGCATTTTCTACTCTACACCAGAATCAACAGCTTCAAGTATGCATCCAAATGTTGAAGAGAGTATCGCGGACGGCTTGAAGCCGCACCATCACTGCAGGTTCTCCGTACGGGCCCCCAGTAACAAAGAGTCAGCTCATCTCGAGTCATCAAAAGGGCTAACTTGAGATTCTACTCGCAGACGCTATGGAACGGGTACATAATTGACTCCTGCTTCTTTATGAAGTCATGGCACATCCACTCCATAGGTGCCTTCGTGGGCTTCTGCGTGGGCGTGACCGTCGTCGCCATCTTTTACGAGTTGGCACAGTTATTATGCAGACTGTACGACCGCCGTCTCAGACACGAAGCCAGGGTCAAAGAGAGGGCAGAGGGCATTGAAATGGCGAACCTACCCGGTGCAGCCAACGTGAACAACAATGACAACAATAACAACAATAACCAGGCAAGCCCGTTTCTAAAAGATGTGTTCCGGCCGACTGTCGTCCAACAATGCATCCGTGTGCTCCTGTACTCGCACCAAATTACCTTGGAGTATTGTCTCATACTGCTCGCGATGTATTATAATGTCTATGTAACCACCGCCATCATCCACGGCAGGATGATCGGATTTTACATCTTTCGATCAGAGCGAGCAGAATATAACATTCTCCGCATCCTAATGTGGCTGTTCGGAGAGACGTACCTGGGTTCGTGCCTCGACTGGTACCCGAGTAGCCCCGAGCTGTTAGCTGACCAGTCTTGATGCAGATATATCTGTGGCAAGAACTGCGGCGATATATCGCCAAGGGGTCCGTATCATCAAAGAAAGTCTTGAAAAGATTGTTGTGTATGCAGGCCATTATTTACCACCAGCCGCCGCGACCCCCGAGGCAGCACTCTGAGTCAGAATCAGCATGAAGACTTCGGGATTCCATACGCCCTGGTGCGCCCTTAAGTTTTGCGCCTGTAATAAAGGGTTAGAGAAAGATCCAGCTTGTATTCAGTTGGTGCATATCAACAGGTTGTGAGTTTGGACAGATTCGGATTCTGGGATGTTTCCGAGGTTACTGAATTGTGGTATGGGGAAGCTTATTAGGAATGATTGACTTGTAGCCCTAGCTTTACTAGACAGGCTTTAGAAAGAGCAGATCCACAAGTACGAATGTTAAAATACTTAACTCATTGCAATCCTACCGTATGTGTTACCAAATTATTCAACGTGCACCTGAGCACAGCGTAGTTAGCCTCCTCTATTCACTTTCATTACTTTTATTAATCGAAGAGATATCACTCACCAAGGGGACGTAATGACATGGGTTGAATTCGCTTGGACCTCGATTTCTCGACGTAGCCACTGTGATATAAAGATTGAATATCTATGGCTGGTAAAGACAATCTACCACAGCATCACCAACAACTGCTAACAAGCTTTCTTCGACCTACGAAAAACAATATCTTCTCAGCACTACGCCATAAGACAACCTCACATCACAGTAACAAGGCGATACGCAATGCTACGATCCCAATACCCAAGTCAGATATCAAGTCCGCAAGAAGCAATGTCACAACTATCAACGCGGTATAGCTGCGTGTGCACTCGCACTGTATAGCACTGTCCATTTTACGATATGCACATTTCCGTGATATGATGACAAATCCCGATCCTTTCGCCTCGTCGCAGCATAACTAAGCCTTTCACCAAGTTTTGGATGACGACATCAGAAGAAGGCAGAAGAGGAGAAGAATACGACTGAGTGAAGCATAAAAAAAATCATATCTATTGTTCACGATTTGCTGTATTGAGGGCGAGCGGCCGAAGTGGGAAAAAAAAAAAAAAAACTCACGATAAGCGAAAGCCCCTGGATGAAAGCAGCACAGTATGAACGGACTCAAGCTCCGGAGCTCACAGGGCACGTTCACACCGCGCGCTACTTGGCGTTGACATTTCCTCTTGTCTACTGATCTCATTTGCACATGATGCCGGACAACATGTACTGACTGCTAATTGCACAGGCTGCTGGACGTGCAGGCTGCGGCGCAAGAAGTGCGACGAGGCACGGCCCGTGTGCGCCGCTTGCGGAGGCCTGGAGATCGACTGCCATTACAGCGATGCTAAGCCCGAGTGGATGGACGGCGGGCCGCGCGAGAAGCAGATGGCGGACGAGCTGAAGGCCCAGGTGAAGCAGAAGGCGAACGAGAGGCGCGAGCGGAAATGGGGCCTGCTGCCTACCATGACGGACTTCTCGCCCAGCGCGCAGGAGCAGCGCCAGGAGTCGGACCGTGTCATGAGCGACGCTGGAGACCCCGTGCCTAGCGAGGATGGGTATAACCCCTCCAGCACGACATTGAGCGAGTCATCGCAGTCGCCTGCGGGGTCGAGCAGCACGTCGGCGTCGTCGCCGCCGACGAACGACGAGTCGCAGATGAGCGCCGGACACCACCAGCCCGTGCGGCCCGCCGTGGGCTCGTTCCCGGAGCACAGGTCCGAGGTCGAGGTCAACTTCACCATGATCTACCTGGACTACGTGGTGCCGTTTCTCTTCCCGTTCTACCGGCCGTGCCTGCTCGAGTCGAGCCGCGGGTGGATGCTGGTGCTGCTGATGAAGAACCGCGCCCTCTTCCACACGGCGCTGTCGCTCGCCAACTGGCTGTACGCCGTGCTCTTCGACAGCCTGAACGGGCAGCACAGCGCCTGCCGCCGCGCCAACTGGGCCGAGCTCCAGGTGCACCAGGAGACCGCCATCAAGGCGTTGCAGGAGGACATCAAGGCGCTCAACGAGCGCGGCGTCGCCAATGCCTTTTTGGAGAGCGTCGGCTGCATGCAGAGCGTGATCCAGCTCCTCGAGTTCGATATCGCCATGGCCGACATGTCGAATTGGCAGGCCCACCACGATGTCGCCGTCGCGCTGTTCGACCAGCTGATTACGCACCACGCCGTGGCCCCCATGGGATCGTGGATGTCGATCCTAGATCGCATCGGGGCCCCCTTCTTCCGGGTCAGGGTAGAGAACGAACGGCACATCCTCGCGTCCGACCAGTCGGCCTTCAAGTTCTACACGGCGTACCTTCTCTGGATCGACGTGATCGCCGCGACGGCCCTGGGCACGGCGCCCCGACTGCAGAAGTACCACGCCGAGCTCCTCCACGGCGACGACCCCGTGATCCAGCTCGGCGACTACGTCGGGTGCGAGAGCTGGGTCGTGCTCGAGATCGCCGAGGCCGCGGCCCTGGCGACCTGGAAGCGCGAGCAGCATTCGAAAGGGTCCCTCTCCATGATCGAGCTCGTGCACCGCGCCTGCGCGATCCAGACGCGGCTGCGGACCAAGATGGCGTCTCTCCCGTCCGTGCCCACCTCCGACCGCGCCGGCAACATATACGACCCATCGGCGTACCATCCGGTGACGCCATATTCAGGATTTCAGTAAGTCCATCAGCCCTCTCACTTGAAACCGGGAGCTTCCCCCCTTTTTCTCACAAGACGCGCAATACCTACCAACAGCACTCTAACCCTTTCCCCAGCGAAATGCTCGCAGAATCCTCCTCGAAGAAATCCCAAGCCGTATCCCTGCACACGCGGATCTGGGCCCAAGCGACAATGACCTACGTCATGGTCCTCGCATCCGGCCTGCAGCCAAGTCTCCCCGAGATCCAGACCAGCGTGGAAGCGACCATGGCCCTCCTCCGCGCGCTGCCGAGTCCGCTGGCCCTGCGCACCGTGATCTGGCCGTTCGCGTTGACGGGCTGTCTGGCGCCGGCGGGCCAGGAGGCGTTTTTCACGGGCCTCGTGGCCGACATGGGCGCCATGCACGTCTTCGGCACCGTCAGGGAGGCGCTGAATATCATGCAGAGCGTCTGGCAGCACCGCGAGAGCGGGTGTTGCGCTGAGCCGCAGATGTGGGATGTCGCGACGTGTTTTAGTGTTTTGGGACACCTTTCTCTCTTGGTTTGAGCGGATAGAGCGGCTGTTGTTGGTTGTTGAAATTTGACTGGACTGCTTGTTGAGTGAGAGAGAAGATCCGACGCCACAGGCGTGCGTGTGTGTTACCGTTACTTGTACCAACCTAGGTACTCACAATGTTCATATCTCCGATTTCACAGCGCTTTGCTAGCGGTGGTAGAAAGATGTTCGAAGATTGAGTCTGCCAGCAATAAAAGGGTAAATTCCGTATGAGCAGAAGGGTTCTACGAGGAGTAAATTAGACATTTTACGAAGCAGGCATATATCTGTCACACGGCGGAAATTTTGGAGGGAGCATATGGTTATTATGGTTTATTGTTTCATTTTGAAATTCGATTAATTGACAAAAACGATTCCAATGCATTTGCGAGTCCCTAAAAGCCTGACCATTCACTACCTAGAATTTGCAATGCACACACAGAGCAGCTCACATTCGATATCGTTCAGTATCAGTTGGTATCATGAAGTTTTGGCATGCTCATCATCAATTACCAGTTCCACGCCAGTTTCCCGTAAACGCCTTGTTCCATTCATACCGCTTATCGGCCGACACGAATAACGCCGGCAGCTATCAGCTTTCGAATGTTGCTTGCTACAGCGGGATTCCGCATGTGCTCCTGGAGCGCAGCAGGGTCCGACTGAGCCTGTTGAAGAATGGATTGCATAACAGGGTCTTGCATGATGGACATAATCTAGACAATTCAAATCAGTATACAGTTCTTGAAGACAAAGCTAGTAAAGCCTGAACTGTGTCGTTTTCACTCACCTCTGGGTCCTTCATCAAGCGATCTCGGGTCTGTTCCTCGGACTCATTCTCTCGAGCCGCATACATGGCTTGCAAAGCCTTCTGCTGTTGTTGGTCAATCTCGCGTGCGTTGGCACCGTTGTGGTGCTTGTTGTCTATTTCAGTGGCCTCGTTGCAAGCATCAATGCACTCAGAATACTTGCGCATGCCAAAGTAAATCTGCGCCTTACGAATGTAGGCACGGATGAATTTGGGGTCCTTCTTGATTGCGGCGTTGCAGTCATCGAGCGCACTGGGGAACTCGAAAAGCTTAACAAAGGCTGCAGCACGGTTACTGTAGCCACGGGGATCCTCAGGAGCACGCTTGATCATTTCAGAATAAGCGGAAACTGCGCCAGGGAAGTCCTGCTCCTTAAACTTCTTGTTGCCTTCTTCACGGGCCTCTTCAGCCTTGGCTGGATCAACGTAGGCTGACTTGTCCGCCTCGATCTTCTTACGTTCGGCAGCGCGAAGTTTGTTGACAGTGTCTGGTGTCCGGTGCTCGGTGAGAGATTTCTGGTAGTTCTCAACAGCTAACGCCAAGTCGCCCATCTTTTCGTAGGCAGATCCAATGCGGGCATACGACTTAGCAATCATCTTGAAGTCGGCGTAGATCATGCGACCTTCTTCAATAGCTTTGGTGCAAGCGTCAATGCAAGCCTGATAATCACCCTTCTCGAAATGGGCTGCGCCCAGGTTGTTCAGATATGTAATATCTTTGTGTAGATCCCAAGCCTTAGTGTAGTGTGCAATAGCTTGGTCGAAGTTTCGCTTCTTATAGTTCTCAGTGCCGAGTGCCTTCTCCTTGTCAGCCTCCTCCTTCGCCTTCTTCTTCTCCAGAGCTTCCTCGTCAAGCTCTGGTTCAGGTTCAGGTTCGGGTTCAGGGGCCTTGGTGGCTGGTGAAGGCTTTCGGTCGGGCATCTCGACATCTTCCTCAGCTTCCTTCGATGAAGTTCCGGGAGCACCGCCAGGCATATCTTCAGGTGCGCGCATGTCCATGTCTATGCCCATGGCAACGCCGAGTACCTGAATCATTCTGGGATCGCTAAATAGTTCTTGGGTGTTCTGAGGGTTCTTTTGCAGTGCCTGAACCTTGGCAATGAAGGAAGGATCGGAGAAATAGCCACTCGTCTTGGGGTTGTTCATGAGTTTTGTGAGGAGATTGGGATCGCTAAACATCTTGCCAATGCCTCCCATTGGATCATCACCACCGAACCCGCCAGCACCACCTATCCATATAATGTCAGAATATCTCGATTATAACAGCAACGGGGGATCTATATATACGTACCAGCTTCTTGTTCCATGGCCCTCTTCACAGATGCTAAGGAGCTTTTCAGACCAGCATTATTAGGGTCTAGCTTTAGACCCTCCTCGTATGCATCATTGGCTCCAAGCAAGTCACCGGAACCGTGAAGAGCGGCACCCTTCCGTCCCCAGCCTCGTGGCCAGTCGGGCTTGATCTCTGTCGTCTTCTCGGCATCTTTAAGAGCACCTGCCCAGTCTTTCTTGGAGGCGTAGGCAGCAGAGCGGTTGCTGTAGAGGACGTGGTTTTCGGGCGCTAGTTCAATGGCCTTGGTGAAAGCATCTCTACAAGGGTGTTAGTCAGTAGAATAGGATTGGCAGGCCGAGGAGTGGAAATATGGCGATCCATGACGGGGATTACTATGGAGAAAAGGGAAACTTACATAGCCTCATCAAAGTTCTTCGCGGCCATGGCATTATTGCCCAACGTCTTGAGCTCATCTGCAGACGCCATGGTGATTGCGGGGTGTGACGAACAGGCGATATCAAGGTTCAAGTGCAAAGCTAACTGAACGAACTGTGGGAATCAAGGAAGCTTTTACGGGAGAAGAGTTGCTAGAACTCGGGATAGGATAAGTAGACTGTCTGATTGCCCCGGCAAGCAACGAGAGGGCAGACAAGGCAGATATATGCGAGCAGGGCTGAGAATTGGCAACGAAGTTCGAGAGCTTTCTATGCGGGCCGTTCGTTGTCTAGGTCGGTGGTAGTGGGGTTAGCTAGGAGTTCGTGTTTGGCTGGCTTGAAAACTGCTTCCGGCGGCGGCAAGCTCAGCGTGCGTTTAGCGTACCTTAGGTATGCTCAGCGCTAGACCTCGGGGTGCTGCTTAGGGCTGTTTAGTGATAAAGTGTGCCACTGGCCAGCCTAAGGTAGGTACCTAGGTAGGCTCAGGGACCTAAACAGGTACCTAATTGTAGGTAGCCAGGACGCTGCCTGGAATCTGGAGATGCCCTGGCAGTGGGTACCTAGGGACACTGTATTTAAGCACAGTGCCTTGAGTAATAGGCGGCCACTAGGCGCCCACCCAGCTGTATTCAAGCCCGATAAGAGCTCTTTCTACCTTGCGATAAGGAAATATTTCTGCCAGGGGTCCTCGCGCTGGGCTCGTTCGCATCGCGGGGCAAAATCTACGTATGAAACCTCCCAACGGTTAACCAGGTTACCTTGCCCGTAAGGCACCACTTACACATGATCAAAAGTCTGATCTGAGGAATATGAGTTCTTCTTCGCCTGCCTCCCAATCCATGTTAATCCAAGATACCTTATGATAGGTATGAGTAGCCGCTCTGCATGCTAGTCACTCAACTGGGCCTCTTGGCCAGATCTTACCAGCTCCCATTATTCCATCTCACTCTTTACCACGTCTTTTCGCAAACCCTGCGCCAGGGTCGCGTGACTCACCACCCCGTCGCGAAGGCTATAGGGCAAATCAGCCAGAATGGATGAAGATACAGCTGCGCTCAAGACGCAGCTATATGCCGCCTGCGAGGAGGCTTGCAGCAGTGATCCCGACCGACTGTTCACTCAGGAGGATCTCACAGCTCTCGATATCATCCCGCCAAAGGACCTCAAGAAACTGCTGCAGCTCATCCAGATCTTGACGAATGAGCGCCTGTTTGCCCCCGTTCACCTCCACAGTGGCTTAGCATGGCGATTGCGTCCAGAAGCAGAAGCTGCCAAGTGAGTTACAAACCCGTATTCTATCATCGTCATATCTTATTTGCCGGGATGCATTTACCTGACTATTTCATCTGAAAAGATACAAACAACTCACCAGCCATGACCAAGTCCTGGTTTATGAGATTATCGACGCTGCCGGCGCCGAGGGCGCTTGGCAGCAAGACATCAAGCGCCGACTGAACGTGCAGGATAATGCCTTGAGAAAAGCGCTCAAGGAGCTTGAGACGAAGCGCCTGGTGGTGCAGTTCACGACTGTCGAGAACACGACGAAGAAGATGTGGATCAAAGCCAACATCAAGCCTTCGTCTCGCGCCACCGGCGGTCCATGGTACACGGACCAATTCCTCGACGAGGCCTTCATCGAAGCCTTGCAAAGTGTAGTTATGAGCTTCATAAAGAACCGAGGAAGTTATCTAAGCAAGGGCGATAGAGGCGCAAGGAGCGTAAGCCCAGTCCTGCCGAAGAAAGGCACAATCAACGGCGCTACATCCGAGGCCGCCATAAAAAGTAAAAAGCGCACAGCAGACGCTATCTCGAAAGACGACGCCCCAGTAGCGCCGACTTCGCGGCCCCGAAAGACGATCCGCCTGCCTCTACCAGCCGGCTACATGGAATATCCCACGACCGAGGAGATCACAGCCGGCATCCAGGCCGCAGAAGTCGCCAAAGGCCAACCTCTGAAACAAGAGCATGTACAGGAGCTCATCGACATCCTAGTATGGGACAACCGCGTCGAGGAGATCCGCATGGGCAACAGGGTCGGGTACCGCGCAACCCGCATCTCCAAGCAGAACCCCTCGCTGTACTCCAAGCCGGGCGACGAGGACTTCTGGGAGCCGCGGAGCAACGGTCAGACGACGGTGCCGTGCGGGAAGTGTCCTGTTTTCGATCTCTGCGAAGAAGGTGGCCCCGTCTGGGCCGGCGGCTGTGAATACTTTGACCAGTGGCTTGCGTAACCGCGTATCATAGACCTTAGGATCGTGGAGGCAGGAGAGGCAGTGTTGCGTTGTGGGCAGCTGTTTCAGTTTATATCATGCATGGCAACGGCGTTATATGGGAACAATACCTTCTTCAAGAGGAGCACAAACATGATTTGGGCTGTCGAGGCATACATACACAGGCCTCTGAAAATATATACATTCACAATAAATCATATTTATCATTCAAATTTGCCAGATACCTGCCATTTTACTAGGTAGGCAGCTCCTAATTTCAACCTGCCTCAGTTGACTTCGTCCCCGATGTTACAGTACGCCAGTTGTCAGCGCTTCATTGTGATTACGGAGGTTCAAGGTATATTTAACGCATTAGGCGCAATCACGTTATAATATTAGCGATGAGATTTTTTTCCATTTGTAGCTAACTAGCTACACTCTCTGCATTCACCGAAACTTCCAATAATTTCGGATCTCATACCATGATGGCAGAACACATGCCGCGACATGATGCGCTAATCTAAATTGTTACAGTTGGTGACGTGTGTGTGCATTTATAGGACACCGGAGTCGACAATGGTGGGGCGCTTGTTGTATTTAACAGCACCGCTCTGCGAGCCAGTGGCCTCGATGGCCTTGACAATATCCATACCGTTGCCAGTGACCTCGCCAAAGACGACGTGGCGACCGTCCAACCAGGGGGTCTTGACAGTGGTGATGAAGAATTGCGAACCGTTGCTGTAGCACTATTGTTAGTTGCCTCGCTTATTTATATATTCTAGAGCCAACTGTAGAGCTATATATAGAAGACGACGAGTATGAGGCTGTAGCTGAACTTACGTGTTAGGGCCAGCGTTAGCCATAGAGAGGATGCCGGGGACAGTGTGCTTTAGAGCGAAGTTCTCGTCGGCGAACTTCTCACCGTAGATGGACTTTCCACCGGTTCCCTGTAGTATTGTCAGCTACATGTAACCAGCAGCCGTCATCGTAAGGGTATGCTTACGTTACCACGGGTGAAGTCACCACCCTGCAACATGAATTCAGGGATGATGCGGTGGAATGAAGAGCCCTTGTATCCAAAGCCCTTCTCGCCAGTGCAGAGAGCCCGGAAGTTCTCAGCGGTCTTGGGAACCTTGCCGTCGTAAAGGATGAACTCTAGGCGACCGGTTTGGGCTATGTTTGAAAAAGAGATGGTAAGCTTCAGGATATCTCCAAGATATAATTTTCGATGGCCCACAGCCAATCAAGGTCATCAAAGGAGATGGAGATGGTCTGTCCAACATATATTGTATAGAAGTGCAGGCAAGAGAGACACTCTCCCATGATGCATGGTATGATGCTGGGTTTACAAGCAGCAAGCACCACGTGGGATGAAGACCAGCTCACTCATGGATAGAATAGGTAGGATAGCAGGGCAGGGCAGGGCAAGAAGCTCACTTACTCTTGATAGTACCAGTAGGACGGCCATTCTCCATGACGGGGCCCTCCCACTCCATGTCGAAGTAGACCTTGGTGCTTCCGTGTGGGCTGCTCATGTTGGCGGCGGATGCAGAGAAAAAGCGAGGATTGAATTGGGTAGTGAAGGGGGATGTAGGAGCTGTAGCTGGCTTGGTGAAGACGAGCTGAGGCCGGAAAGTTGATGTTTTAGTAGAAGAAGAGAGGGGAGAAGAAACACCGCCGCGGGGCAGAACTTTGAAGAAGAGGGATCTGCTCATCTAGAAGGAGGGGTCAGCTACTCGAGCTTTTTCTCGGCCAATGATATCATGGAACGGTGCTATGCTGGGTCACCTTGGGGGGTGCTTGCTGGGGCTCGATGGTGCTCGATGGTGCTGCAACGGGGGGCGGACAGAGAGGCGGGCAGAGGGGCGGAGGAGCTGGGTAGTGGAGGGGTGCATGGGTAAGGGGGGGTACCGCCGCGACACTAGCAAAATGTATGGGCGTTGAGGTACCGGGAAGCGAGGAGATTGCCGGCAAATACTTCCAGCGGTGGGGCAGACGAGCAACCAGCAAGCCAGCAAGCAAGCAAGCAAGCGCGCAGACAAAGTCAGCCACTAGGTAGGTACCGTACCGTACCGTAAGATATACATGTAGGTCAGAGAGTGAGAGAGGGGGTCGGTATGACGAAGGACCAAGCAAAGGCACACATGCAGTTGTTCGGAAAATGGATGAGGCAAAGAAAGACCTTCAGGGTGTTCAAGGCGCCTGCCCTACCGTAGGCAGAAGAAGCATGCCACTAACAAGCTTGCAGGACACATGCAGCAGCAAGCAAGCAAGTAAGCAAACAAGTAAGCAAGCAATAGCAGTGACAAGTAACAGCAACAGCAGCAAGAACAAGAGGGAGTGATGTAGGATCAACCAAAGCCAACAGCAGTCGACTTCTTCTCGTCTTTGGGAACCCCGCTACTTCGCTTCCATTGCTCCATTTGCTCCTGTCAGCTCCAACTGCCAATTACATGTCTTCGCTCTTGCTGCGCCCCCCATACCGAAAGCAACGAGGGGAAGAGCTCTCTCCCTCTCTCCCCCTCTCTCTCCATACCGCCTTATGTGCTGAACACGACGCCACCTCGCAGATGGCACAGTCGACTTCGAGTAACAACAGTGCTCCTTCAAGGCACGCTTTGTCCGAAACAGATATTCGTGCATTGGGACATGCCCTCACTTGTAACACAAGCCAAATCTTCAGGTATGGAAAGGGGGGGTTAGGCCACACTATGGCTCGTGCGAAGGGCGGGATGGCAGGATGGCAAAGGGTGTGATTGTTTCGCGGTGAACACTGAGACAACGAACGTAGTACCTAGTACTGTACTTCCATGCTCGGATCCTTTAAATAGCATCCCTAAGTCTTGTAGAATGTAGGGATTTGGGGTTTGTCGACTTTGGCTAAGCTGCAATGTACCCACCCCCAGTTCCTTCTGATATCGTTGGCATAACTAGACCAACAATAAACCAAGGGCGAAGCTCACTTGAGTCTGGAATGGAGGTTCTTGTGAGAGGATGCCCTTCGGAATTTCCCAAAACCCATTGGCCTGAAACAGGCTTGAGGTGTGTAAATGACATAGTTGAGACAGTTTAGCAGGTCTCCCTGCTCATCTCCCATCTAGCTGGTGCAGTTGGAAGCATCTTGACCTGAGCTGGCAACATGCCTGGGGAACTCTTGGGAACTCTTGGGATATGATTTATACACAAGACGAAATGGTCAGATAGAGAGAGAGATCCAGACATACCTTGATACAATTGAGGGTATAATGTACAGTGTGAAGGTACTTTCTGGTTTACAATGCGATGATGAGATACGGTCAGGAATTTTTTAGCCGCTTGAGAGCTTGGAAGATTCAGGACATGCATAGGTAGGTCGTTGGTTCAGGTGGTTGGTTGGCCTGAGCGTCAAGACTGGCAGGTACCTATGTACCTAGATAAGTACTTAGGTACTTTGGTAGCTGGGAAGAGATATGTACTTGGGTACTTCCTCGGTTGAGCTTAGTGCGATCGGGACGGGACCTTGTGTGACCTCATCTCTTATAGTTACTCGTTAGTGCAATCTTGTTATTTAGAAGCATATACCGTCTCAGCACCTGCATCCATAAGTAGATAGATACTACTATGTACCTACCTAGGTACTGAAATCAACGCCCGATTAATGGTCTGCATCTACCAAACAAGTTTACAATTTGATTTCTTACTACTTGAGGGGTAAGTTATCACTAACAGCACTTGTGTAATCATATATGAGAGAACCATCAAACTGAAGTGCGCACACCCTGACCTCTCGAATGCCGTCCAGCTTCGCATATGTACTAATATGCTTAAGTATCCAAGGTAATATTAGTTAAAGCCACGTGACCTTATCCAGCACCGACCACTGCCCGACACCCCCTTGCCAAGCCTGAAAGTGCCAGCCAGCATCTACGTAGGTTGAGTAAGTTGAGTTACGTACATACCGGTCCTGGATTTATCTAGCTTCTTGTTGTCGCCCGACCGCCGTTGTTCTATTTCCCGACTCTCTGCTGTCAACCCTGCACCACGGCGCGCCGCAAAGATGGATTTCAATAACTTGAAGGACCAAGTGTCCAATTTGACCTTGTACGACCTCAAAGCCGGTGTTCGCAAAGTCCAAAATGGTAAGGAACGCTGGACATTCTGGCTGCCATGTATGCCCGTTATCTCCGCATTGTTACTGATGCGCTCCGTCAACCAGCCGTTATGAACTATACAGAAATGGAGGCCAAGGTGGGTTTCATTGAGCTTCATCGCTTGCCTCTATGGCATGGCCCGACTGACCGGCCCTACAGGTCCGCGAGGCGACAAACAACGAACCTTGGGGAGCATCCTCGACACTGATGCAAGAAATCGCCAATGGCACATTCAACTAGTATGTCCAGCCAACAATTCATGCCGCTTGCGAACCAATTCTCACGTAGCCAAGCCAAACTCTAAATGAGATCATGCCCTTGATCTATCGCCGGTTTACAGAGAAGACTGCCGAAGAATGGCGCCAGATTTACAAGTCGCTCCAGCTGCTAGAGTTTCTCATCAAGCACGGCTCTGAGCGAGTCATAGATGACGCTAGGGGTCACATAACACTCCTTAAAATGCTGCGCCAATTCCATTACATCGACCCAAACGGCAAAGACCAAGGCATTAACGTTCGAAACCGCGCAAAGGAATTGGCCGAGCTACTTGGCGACGTCGAGCGCATCCGGGCCGAGAGAAAGAAAGCAAGAACGAACAAAGCCAAATACACTGGCGTTGAGGGAGGTTCCATGGGTGGTGGCTTTTCCGGCGGCAGCAGCGGTCGATACGGCGGCTTTGGTAGTGAGTCTACAGGCTACGGAGGCTCCCCGGCAGGTTACGGGGGTTACTCTGGCGGTGTATACGGAGACGGTGGCGGGTTTGGAGGCCAGACGGATGAGTGGCGAGATTCTGGTAACCGTGCAGATAAGTTTGAGGAATATGACGAGTTTGACGAGGGCGGCGCAGCCACATCAAGCTCATCTCGTCCAAAGGCAACCGAACGCGCCGAGAGGATGGGGGTAAAAAAGACAACGCCATCCCAACCACCTAAGAAGAAAGAGCCCGAAGTTGATCTTTTCTCTTTTGATGACGCCGAACCTGCACCTGTGTCGACAGGTGCGACACTAGCGTCAACAAGCAATTCCGGCTTGGCAGATCTATCAAGTCCAGCCGGGGATGACGACGATTTTGATGACTTCCAATCCGCTACGCCCGCACAGCAAACATCTGCACCTTCCAGCAACTTTGCTATTCAACCGCCATTGATGACATCGACCCAGACAGCGCCCCAGTTTGCTGCGCCAAAGCCCGTATCCGCCCCCGCACAGGCGAGCCTCTCGGGCATGATGTCGTCGTTGTCGCCTCCTACGAGCACTACCTCTACGCCTGCGGCTAACTTCTCGTCATTCAATCCACCTCCCTCTATTGGTGCATCTGCCCCTCCGAAACCGACTGGGTACCAAGCAGCCGCCCCAAATTACTTCCAATCTGTACAGGTCCCTCAGTCGACTGGACCGTCTGGCTCAGCAATGGGATCGCTATCTCCGGCGGGCACAACGCCATCCGGCATGTCGGCACTCAACAAACCGGCTGCCCCTGCGGCAGCTAAACCCAGCACGGGTGCTGACCCGTTTGCTAATCTATGGGGACAAGCTGGCACTGGCCTCAAGAAGAGCAACACACCCACCGCGGGGCCTAAGTTAGGCCAACTCGCCAAGGAGAAGACCAGTGCATCTCTGTGGGGAGCTCCAGCAGCAAGCACGCCGAAGCCTTCCACTAGCACAAATACCGGCAGCAGCGGGCTGGATGACTTGCTCGGCTAGATTGATTAATGAACACTGCTACAATGGCCATACATTCGCGGCCGTTGGATTAGGAGCCCCAGGTGGTTACTCGAGATGTCGATTCATAGCCGTCTAGGAGTGGTGTACTACGATGTTCAGACAGGGGTTGTGAAAAGCTGGTTTCCATGAGCGGCTGCATGATGATTTTGCTTACAAGTCCTTAGATCGGCGTCATGGCCCGCAAAATGTGTATACTGCCATGACAAATTATTTCTCTGATTATCAGCTGATTTTGGTCTATAATAGACAGAACTTGTCGTTTATCCAAGATAGGTATTAACTGCAGGCGAGAGACGAATTGATGTTATGGGTGACGAGGTTGGGTTTGTTTACACAAGTCAAGTCATCCAGGTTTGAAAAATTACAGAAAGCTTGGCCTTAAAAGCATATCTCATATTTTAAGTAATACTTAACCTTGAACTTTGGTTTTATTCTTGTGAAAGTCTAGAGCACAGATACAAACCCCACCATAGCTCGATTGGCTAATATTGAGCGTTACAGCTTCAGCATTAACACACGATCTGATCTGTATCTCAGGTCGCGCGACTAACTCAGCCTCATCCCTTCATATCGCTATCTATCGGCGTCCAATGAATTGATGTCGAGCTACCATGATGCGTCCTGCAAGGCACGAAACTCGGAGACCTGAATGACTTGACTCTTTTACCTAGTTCCAACCTTGAAACATGCGAGGGCATCCGCCGGGCGCCTAGACGATGTCTTGGCTACCGTAAACGCGGCCCGCGCTTAGAAGATCCCTACCGACCCACCGACTTCATCTCGCCTCAGCTCTAGCCTGAGCCAACCAGAGTGCGCCATCGACGAAGCTTTCACCGCAGAGGTGCGTAGGTAAACTGCACCTTGGCAGACGTCCCGTCCATTGGTGCGGATACCTACAGCTGGGAACGAGCCTTCTTGTCCTCACCATAAGCGACCGCGAGGGTCGGTCCTCCGGGGAAGATGGGCTGGTGGAACTCGCTGCTCCACTGGTGCAGGCGTGCTGCCGATCACTGCGAGCTCATTGGGTGTGTCAGCGCGTTGTGATGCCGCCTAGTGCTTCAACTGCCGAGCGCGGCGGTTGGGTGGGTGAGTGAGTGAGTGACTGGAAATAGCACAGCGATGCGTTCACGGAATGCATACGCGTCTTGAACTGTGTGAAGAAAGTGCGTGTTATGGTTATGGTGATACCATTGGCAAGTCGCTGGCAATACTTAAACATGTCTGCTCCTAACCTCGCAGAGCCTCTTCTTCTTTCCCTTCACTCTCATGTCACAGTCACTTGAACCTCAAAACAGCATTTTCCTTTAGGTTGTTTTCCTTTTTCCCTCTCTCTTTCCTTATTTTCCTATTTTTCTAGTCTCTCTTCGGGTTATCTTTCTCTCTTTCCTAAGGGGTCTATATCATTGGGAAAAACGGTCTTTCGGTTTTCGTCGACGACTTTCACTTACACGGCAACGTCTCAACGCTTTTTCACGGGGGTTTTTCCTATCTTTCTAACGACGTCAAGAGGAATATAGCAGTCGAGCTGCTTTTCTTCAAACAACTTTCACTTGCATCGCCAAAAAGCCAAATTTACCATCTCTGTGCCTCTCTTCAAATATCTGGCAATAGTCTGTCTCTTGTTCGGCTAGGTTCAGGTACTCGATTTTCTCGGTACCTCCCTCCCCAATCGTTCACAATTTCTTCCCCAACTCCCCCAGCGTCTATCCCATTCCCGAAGCCGCGCCTCCCGACGCGGACCGTCTCTGGCCTCACTCGCCCACAACTCTCGCTCATCACCGATTTCGAAGCCGGGATTCCATTGAAAATGCGCTTCCAGTCACCCCAGCTCGGCGCCCTGGGCGTCACCTTCACGGCCCTTCGCGCCGCCCAGTTCCTCTCGCTTGTGACCATCGTCGGCTTGACTGCCAACTTCATCAATGAATTTGCTTCTTCGCAGCGCGAGGTTCCTGACGTTCTCGTTGGGACTGTCACTGTGGTAAGTATTGACATCCTCTCATCTAGTCCCTTATTCACACTCAGTTATAACTAACATGTTCACAGACCAGCATCGCCACGCTCTACGTGGCTATCTCTTACATTCTTTACTACGACGGCATGCTCCCTCTCTTGGTTGCCGGCGGGGCTGATTTCGCCCTCTTGGTAGCACTCATCGTCGTCGCCGTCACCATCGGCAAGCCGCTGTCTATGCTCCAGTGCCAGCTACTCCCGGAATCCGTCTCAACGACAGAAACATTCGTTACATACATCACTGGCCGTGGCTATTCGTCTGCCGCTGCCAGATACAACAGCTATCTGGCCCTCATCACGACCGACCAGCCTCACTGCTACGAGATCAAGGCAGTCTGGGGCCTCGGCATTGCTCTAAGCGTCCTCTTCGCCTTCTCGGCCATCGTCTGCGGGAGCCTCTGGCAGCGCATCAGGCGTGCTAACGCGCCCGCTCCTAAAGACGTCGAGGGCGCTTAGGGGTACGCGGGCGTCCGTGGTGGCTTCTTCGGGGCAGCTCCTCCTCCTCCGGTCCAGCAGATCTCGGGCCCTATGGCCCTCGGCACACGGCTTCTGAGTCCTGGTATCGGATCGCGGTACCCGCCTCCGCTTTCGCTACCCCAAGCGTCGTATCGTCGCCCCGTCGTCCACGGCGCCGCAGACGATTACTACAACGACGTCCCCCACCACGTGCTACCGCCCCCAGCCACGAGTACTAATGATGGTAATATTGTGAACAGCCGCCTTTCAAGAGGCCGTTCTCTCACCCTGTCTATTCCCCCTCCCCCTCCGACACACTTACTCGCTGTCGAACCGCCTTCCCAACCTACCCCGAGCCCGCAGAGCTCCTCGCACGAGGACTACATCCCCATACTACACCAACCCGTGCTCAAGTACGGCAAGACACCCGCGAAGACACCGACCCTCGTCGTCGTACCTCCTCCCTCGCCCAGCGACGACGGATTCACACCCGTCACGCCACCCACCCCGTCACCGCGCACCAAGGCCTTCAAGCGCATCCGCGTCTCCCAACTCCCGCGGGACGCCCTAGGTATCGCGGCGGCGGGATTCTCGCGCCGAAAGAGCCAGCGCGGCGAGAAGGTGGAGGAACCCGACGAGGAGACGATGCCTCTGTCCCCGCCGTACGACGCGCAGACGATGGACGCGCAGGTCGCCGTCAAGGCGAAGCCGACGCGGAAGACGCTGTTCGGCGTCCTCGAGGGATGGTGGGATCTGGGTCTGTTGGAACGGGGTAGGAGTTTGAGGAGGAAATGATTTGATGGGATGGGACTGCGGAAAGGATAAAAGAGAAAAAAAAAACGAAATGAAATGAAATGAAGTTGGGATTTTAATGTGGTAATATGTGGGCGATCTGGCTGGCTTGGGTTTGCTTGGGTATTTCTGGTTTGGGGGGGTTTGATGCTTGATTTTGGTTCTAGATTGGAGACGAACAGATTGATTGATACATGGGAATAATGGTAAAAGTTTGGAACATGATATATATCTACGCTCTTCTGTAATGTTTCGGCTTAGAGAGATTAGTTTCGTGCCTTGAAATAACTGATAGAAGCGATTCAGGGCTTCATTAGGCTCGTGTTTCGTTCTAGGTATTGATAGTATCGTCATTGGGCTTGTACGTGTTTACACTATCTTGACGGATTTGGTAGGTCCGGTCACCACTAGGACTCAGGAGGTTTAAATGAAATAGCGTGTCGGTCAGGTATGAACATGTTGGAATGGAATGTCATACAAGTCCTACGACTATGCAGGTTGGAAAAGTTGTAGCTCTGTCGTCAAGCTTGTGGCTCTCTTGACCATGTTTAGATCACGTAGATATCAGACATGAGGAAAGATACACGACCTGCCTTACAGGAATCCAGTTACTTGAAACATAACGCAAGGGTTGGGTGGTTCATGCGTCGAGACATTGCGACTGATGCAACAGCGTGTTGTTCGTGTACACGTACGAGGGTGAGGATTACACTATGAGCTATCAGTATCTCCTGCCACGTCCGGCCGCTTGGTATCTCATTTCCTAGTGCATAATGTGTCCCAGTATATCTAGCTTGAGATGAAGCTTTCAATATCATACTCTCGCAGCCGTGCTCGTTGAGGGGCTGCATGCGTTCATTTGAACTGTGCTCTTTACTAGATCCGAATTTTCAACCAGTACCATACCTAATGCCCAACATATCTACATATTGATTTATTTCATTGTGCCAATACTCAAATAGAATTTCACACCCGACAATGGCCGAGTTGGTACCTACGGTCTAGCGAAGCATAGCATTGTTACACAGCCTTTAGCATTACGACCCAGCGACGCTACATACCGAGGGTCCCATTCCTTCGTTTGCCTAATTCTTTGTTTTTTTTTCTTCTCCGTTTTCTTGTTTGACAGACTCAACTCATTTACCAACAACATCGTATTGTCTTACCGTCATTGGTACTTCAGAGGTTATATGTACTAGATAGCGTGATATAACCGCGGATTTTGCACTGTGAGTTGTGTCTAAAGACTATATTTGACTGCCTCATTCAGTATGCCATCTGGGATAGGCCTTGATTACATCACTGCGAACTGATCCTTGAGAGGATCCCTGCTTAAGTAATTGAGCATGAGCATGATCCTCCCCACCTGACAGGGCCCTTGCATATTCTCTGCCCATTTGACTGGGAATTAATGCAACGTAATGCTTGAAATAAAACGGCTTGTCATTTACACTAGGTATGCATATTATCTCATCTGGGGGAAATGATCTCTACTAAACCTAGCCAACTTCTAATGTGCGCATCGATTTTCACGAACCGATGAACCGCTACGGCGGATTGATTGTTATGTGTTTCCCAGTTTTACATCGTTCATCCTTTTTTTAAATGGCCTTCTATAAGCAGTAATAACAGGGCGGAAAGGGGGTGGGCCAATATGCGGAGGCGGATCACTGTGTCCACATACATAGTACATTTACATACTATTCCTTCCGCTAGAACTTGGTTGTTAGCCCCTCTGCGGAACGAGTCAGGTTACTAGTCGAGGCGCTGTCAAAAAAACTAGTCCGGTCCACCTACATTATAAAATATAGCTTTAGAAATGCTGGTAGCAAGGTAAAACACAACATAAAAAAACACCTTCTACACCTTTAATTAAGTGTATAACACACCTATCACAAGCGTTAAAAATCTGACAAGAATAGGTCAGAATAGGTTTGAATAACTTCAAAAACGGGTTAAAAAACGGCTGTTGAAGGTGTAGGTGGGTGGTGTTGGTGAACCGGACTAGTTTTTTTGACAGCGCCTCGCTAGTATACGCTGGTAGAGAATAACAGAACACGAGGGACATGGGTGAAGATGTCCTAAATAATGTGATGACATCAGATAGGACTGGATATGCGTGGTAATTTGAATCAATGCAGATTAATGCAGTCACACGTTATTACGTGGACGGTTCCGAGATGTCAGATGGTAGATAGCCGTCAATTTCCCGACGATCAGCGAGAATCGCATGCACGCACAGTTGCACTATGCCCGTTGGTGTTGGTCAGAAGTGTTCGTGTTGGTTGTCTTTCCCTGTTTATAAAGCGACCCGTATTCCTTCTTGCTTGTTGCCTTGTGTAATAAACAACGGCTTGTGGCGAAAGAACAAGGGCCACAAAGCCGCCAACACCTTGGATTCTCGTAAAAAGGTGAATACGAGGAGTCCCTGGGTACTCGGCTGGGTACGTTGGGCAGTTTAAATAGCGCCAGTAGGATTTCCAGGGGGGTTAGTCGAGGTAGTCATGTCTTACCCGTCAGCTCGGATACCCGAAACGAAACGAAACGAATGACGACGACCTATCGCGCCGCCCTTTCATCAAACCCGGTGTGACGGGCGCTTAGCATGACTGGACTGACGTCTCGCCCGGTCTTGCACATCGCTGCAGCGTGGCGTAGATCTGCCCGCGGGGTTGGATGATCGCTTAAATGGCCCATCCCGATGAAACGATCTAGACCAGGGCTTGCCAGGTTCTGCCAGGTACAGACGACGCTAGGTAGACAGTTCCTGTGCTGCGGCCAACGCTATCCTTAGTAATCTCGCCAAGAAACAAACAGCTGAGCCAAGAGGGCAACAAAGACGAGTCAGCCCCCTGGCTGTTCTTGGGCTTTGTATAAGTCAGATGAATAAAATGTGAGGCGGTAAGCGTGGTGTAGTCCTTTCTTAAATCCTTGTGGTCGTCTGTTTTGGTCGTCCTTGATGTGGAGTGTAGAGAATCGCAGCATATTTTGTTGTTATTCCCAACCCCTTACTTCCATTCTCTTCTGAACGCCCGACTCGGCTCGAGGCACTTACAAGCATTCGTTTCTTTTCCGACGCACTTGATCGTGTAGTCTTTCCTTTTGCTCGAGTACAGGATACTTCGCTGCTTTTTAAAACGATCAATCTTCCTCCGACGAAACATCCGAAGAAATCCAGAAAATAAACAGTAAAAATGAAATCACAATTCTTAACCATCGTGGCTCTTAGCCCGCTAGCTGCCTACGCTTTACCACAACACCATCGCAAGTGTGGCAGCAAGCCAACAACAACAGTGACCACTGGTGATCCGCTCAGCGAAATTACCAGCTTCACTACTGTCCCGGTCGAAAGTCTGCCCAAAAAGACTTACTCAACTGATTATGAGACACCACCAACAACCATAGAGACTCCTACATCAACCATAACTACACCGCTAGCATACAGCGATGTCACGACATTCAGCGTGGTCCCTCTTGAAAGTCTCGCAGACCAAACATACCAAGATGGCTACGTTGTATCAACTGTAACCACAGGTTTGCCGCTTACCGAGGTAACGAGCTTCACTGTCGTACCAGTAGAGAGTATTCCGACCACAAGCACTTTCTTAACATTCACAATCACGCCTACCGAAACGCCAACACCTGCCTCATCATCTAGCGCAGCTAGCTATGTGGTCGACGGGGCCTACGCCAAAGCCACACCTGTCGCCTACAAAGTCAAAGCAACCGAGCAATGCGGGAACGACGACCGGCTGATCCTGCCCGGTCAGCCCTGGACCGTCGCCAACTCAATGTACAACGCAGACCAGATGGTGGGCAAGCAGTGCACGAACTTTGACAGCATCCTCGAGACTGCGGACGGCATCAAGGAAGTCAAGTGGACGAGCATCACGGACATTAAGAAAGTGGAGGACACTGCGGACGTGTGCAAGGGGTACACCAACGTCGGCATCGGCAAGAATCTGAACAAGAAACTCAAGGATATCAAGTCTATCCCGGCCTACTTTCAATGGGACCGCACCAACACTACTGATTTCAGGGGTAAGCTATTTCTTATACATGAATTGAACCGCATCTAGTCTCAGCATGCTAACACATAATCTCAGGAAGCAACCTCTTCGACTTCATCACAGCACCAACAGAAGGCGACTTCAAATCAACCGCAACCTCCGAGTTCATGCTCTGGGTGCGCATCTGGGGTGGCCAGGTGCCCATCGGGTACTCGCGCGGGCCCGTGGCGACCTTCGACATGTTCGGCGCCAGCTGGAAGCTATACGAGGGGAAGAACCCGGCCAACGGCGTGACAGTGCGCAGCATGCTCGTCGACGAGAACTACGACGGCGTGTTCCAGGGCGACCTCAAGGAATGGCTCGACGCGATGGCGGACAAGGGGTACATCTCCTCTGACCAGTACGTGACGGTGGGCAACGCCGGCACTGAGGTCTTTTACGGAAACGCTGTCATGAAGGCCACGGTTGCGTTGGATATCAACTAGTTAATGCCGTCATCAAAGAGATAAAAAAAATTAGAAAGAAAGAGAAAATTATATATATAGCTACGAAGATACGGCTTGGTCGGAATGTGGAACGTTCTAGGTAGGCTGGCTGAATTTGTACATTGCCCCTTCGATTCTAAAAACCCCTTTATATATTCCCGGTAGCAATGCGTTATTACTTCCTAAACGTCTCTTCATCCCATTAAGCGTCATAGTACGGAGCCCGTGATGATAATTATCGGTCCCAATGTGTGTACATACGTAATATCGCCTCCACGTTGGTTTAAGGTTATCTGTCGCGGGGATTTTAGGTATTGACAGGCGGAGCTGACGAAGCAGTACGACAACCTCGGTCCATGATGCAGAGAGTTTTTTTTCCAATCTCACAATCACAACAAGAGAATAATCCCTAGTTTACCATCACTGCTGCCTGATTTATTTTTCACATTCTGCCACATCATCTCCAATGACGTTGCGCCTAAAACATATTTGACTTCACCCAAAGATCGGCATGACCAAAACTCAGCTATCCAAAAGCCTATTCCATCTAATTCAATCACACATGAACACTATATTCCATTTCACTCAATTATGTTCGCAGACTTCCGAAATCATCAAATCAAACATTTGCTTCGCAGCTGGTACTGTCTATTAGGCAGCAGCGTCGACTCCCGTGAGCGAACGCGTAATGCTTGCTTGGTTAAACACAATGCCGCAAATCATGATCATGATAGATGATGTTTAACAACCTAATCGTACTGTTTAAACTTGCATACAAACACGCTGAATGTCCATGAATCCGGTATCCGTACACATTATGTACGCAGGCCACCCCATTCCGTTCTCACCTTCCCATCAAACGATAACATACCATGAGTTAAGCTCAGGGCGTCACATATGACCAGTCGCGCTCCCGTCCGTGTTTCATAAATCTCCATTCCGCTCTCACTGCATCTCATATCAGACCTTCAAAATAGTTTTCTCACCCAATCCCAAAACAATAATCGACATTACCCCAAACCAGGACAAACACTATCCCATCACCTAACGTTTCTTGTAACCCCTTCTCTTACATAGAATACCTCCTGTATCAACCGCCTACTAAGGTGCGAAAGGTCTAAACTACCCTCAAGCATCTACAAGAAGTCTTACTCAATGGTACTTTAGGTAGGGTTGATGCGGCACAACAACGAAGATACGTGACCAGGAACATTGCGTTCCTGATCGTTAGGCATTATGGATGGTGATGTATACATACTATGCCTCACTTGAGACAGCGTCCCTGCTTCGGCCGCATTTCTGCGTTGCCCAGGCATTGCCAACGTGGAGGCAGCAGGGTCCGACTTCAATGCCCTCCTAATTAGCCGCAAAATGTGTTCAAAATGGGGAAAACCTATATAGGATTTATCTCACCACATTAGGAAACGAGCGACACTTTTACCTTTTTTTGACCGCTGGCGGATCGAAAACATGCTGTAACTACTGGAAGGAACTTAAATCGAAATCGCTAGTCGCTGGGTGGGAGCGAAAGACTTGGGTAGGAACAGAAAAAAAAATCAAATCTAAAAATCAAGTAAATGCAAAATAACGAATGGGAGGAACTTAACTCAAAATCGCTAGACGCTAGGTTGAGAGCGAGAGACTTCGGCAAGACGGAAACCAAACCTAAAAAAACAACAAGTAAATGCAGCATAGCGAACGTGGCGAAAACAAACGCTAGTGGTGAGATTAAATGGCGGGGGCAGGGGAGCGGTAAGAAAGAACGGGAAAGGGGGGAGAAGAAGCCAGACCGGGAGAGGGCGGATCAAAAGAAAGCGAATGGATAGGAAGAGGGGAGGTCGGGACCGGGCTGGGGGAAAGGGCTCGTGGGTTTCTTGCGTTTTCCTTCGCCTCGTGGGTTCCTTACGTTTTCCTTCGTGTCGTGGGTTTCGGCGTTTTCCTTCGCGAGAAGAGGAACGGGGGCGGGGAAGGGAAAGGAGACACGTGGGTTTGAGCGTTTTCCTTCGCTAGAAGAAAGAGGGGGACGGGAAAGGGGGGAAAGGTCTCATGGGTTCCTTGCGTTTTCCTTCGCCTCGTGGGTTCCTTACGTTTTCCTTCGTCTCGAGGGTTTCTTGCGTTTTCCTTCGCGGGGAGGGGGCAGGGGCAGTGACATAGAACTGGGGGAACGTGTAGGGGCATGGAAAAGGAAAGGAAAGGAAAGGAAAGACAGAAAACAAAAACAAAACAAAAACACGAAACTCGAAAGCATTTTTTTCTGGGATTTTCTATTTTCAACTTTTTTGTGGGATTTTCTCTTTTTAAACTTTTTTTTAGATTTTGTGAGTCACCGGCCATTCGACCGGGAGACTATATGAATATGAAACTGAAAACAAATGAAATCAAACCAGAAAACAGAAAAAAGGAAAGAAACGGGACGGAATGAACAGGGGGAGAACATAAGAAAAACATAAGAAAAACAAAGGAAAGGGGGAACACGTACCTAGCACTCCCCTCTTACCTCCCGAATGGAAGGCAAGAACTTCATCGGCCGAGGCTCGATCTTCCCCGTAAAGATGAAGTCGTAGCACTCGTGCCGCGACTCCTCTGAGGACGGTAATGGTCAGTGGCTGCTCGGGGAGATGGCAGAGAGACAAAAGCAAAGAAGACTTACTCCTCTTCATCCGACGTTGCACTCGCTTGCAACGCTCGCGATCCTCCCACCTCCAGACGCGGCGCTATATCGAGGTCAGCAACGTACGTGACTCGCCGCGCGCGAGGGGATTTCACGGGTAAGATGAAGAGAAGATGAGGGAGATGAGGTGGGCAGAGATAGAATATGGAAAGGAGGAAATCAACTCACCTCCCACGGCTCGGTGAGCGCGTGGACCGCGTCTGAGCATCGCGCCCGCCATTTGTCGACCCGCGAACGGGACGGCAGCAGGCTGCGGAGTGGGCGTCTCGCCCCGACGACGTCGGCCAAGCCGACGTTATCCTAGCGGTCAGCAAAGTACTTCATCGTGGTAAGGAGAATGGAAGCGGAGAGCAGAAAATGTTCGCACCTGTTGGAAAATATCGTCACGCGAGACGGTCCTGGAGAAGAAGAAAAAAAGAAGAAGGAGGGAAGAAGGAGGGAAGAAGGAGGGGGAGGGAACGCGGGGATTTATGTGAATTGGGAAGCCCTCGGATCAGTCGAAATAAGGTTACTGATTGTAAATTTGTCGAAAGCGGTTTTGACTTTTCAGTCTGAATCAAATTTTATTTAATGATGCGTTTATTTTCATAGCGTTTGATTGGAGTTGAGATATTGATGACGTGGTGTTATTTCGTGATCCTGAGGCAACGGAAGGGACGTGTCTGAGCTAGAATGTGAAGAAAGTTAAGGTTTTTGAATATACTGGCTCACGCAGCTCGAACGACAGCCAATAGCAAATACACATAAAGGGGAAGGGACGATGAGCCTGAGAAAATGCAGGATCAGAGGTATGTGATTGGCAAGGACTGAGAGTATATTTACGGAAATCAGGAAAAGGAGGTTCTCAATGGATCAACTCGAGGGAGTGCGTATACGCGTGCAAATACCTACGTAATGATACATATATAAATATATAGGGGCATATATTACAAGGCAGTCCGTCACATATATTACATGCTGATCTGCCTAGCTACCGAATATCTACAACACCCTGTTGGTCTACCGCATCCTGGACTTGAAGCTCTCCCACGAGTGTCCTCTCTCGTCGTAACCAGCTTGTGGACCAATATGCATTTCCTTCCAACAGCGAGCACAATACACGTTATCACCGACTTCACACCCAAGACAGCGGATGGTGCCATCTTCCAGACATACAACACACCATGTCTTCTGATCCTCATCTGTGAGTCCCTTACGCTGGGCTAGGCCAGGTATTGGACGATCGGCAGGTGCAAAGGTTGGCGCCTGGGGGAGGCCCAAAGAATCAACGGCAACCGTGGGTGCTGATGGAAGCCCTCGTGGGCCCGACAGCTTCAGAGCAGCCATGCGGAAGGCAATAGATGCCGCAAAATCAGCATCAGCATCTGACGTAGTCTCAGTAGATGATGCGGGCAGATCAGGTTGATCTTGGAGCTCGGACGGAACTCCGGGAAGGTTAAAGGGGGCTTCGTTCGGTGATGAGCTGGTCCCGCCCTGAGAACCTTCTTTGGCATCTCCTGATCGTGGGGCTGGTGATGGAGAAGAGTCTCTATTGGCTCTTTCCCAATCCAGTTCATCTTTAGCTTTGGCGAGCACCGAGTCTACCTCTTTCGTCATAACTTCTCCGTCAGAATCATCGTCACTGCTCTCTTCACCGTCTGTCCGAGAAACATCCTGGCTGTCTGTTTCACCTCTCACACCGGAAGACTTTCCCAGTTCGGTCAACAGCGCAGTTACTCTTTGACGTTCCTCTTCTTCAGCCGCAACCTCGTCTAGCCAGCTATCATCGGCTCTGAGATCAGCCAATAAGTCTTCAAGAGCCTGATCGTCTGTATAAAGAAGTGGATCAACATCATCGGTGACCTGATTAGATGCAGTAGCTTGCTTTGAGTCTAACTTGCTGCCCGTTGGGAACTCCGTGAGTCCGGTCGGTGGCTGTGCAGTCTCGCTGGAAGGTTGCGTCTGATCCGTAGTAGCGGTATCAACAGACGTAGACGCAGACGCAGACACAGACGCTTGGTTGCGGAGATTTTTGAGTCGTGCTGTCAAGGCATCTTCTCTTGATGGTGACTTGGCCCGCTCAATAGTGGATATGGGCTTAGAGCTGGCAATACAATCAGCCCATCTTCATTCTCGAACATTACCACCTTAAGAAGGGCTGAGGTTTGCACACTAATTTTCACAAACATGGCATTACCATAACGGAAGGAGATGTGGGAATATCTGAGGCTGTGTAGGCTTGCAAATAACGAAGCTGGGATTTTAATCTTACATTGATGAGGGGGGATCTGTCAGACTAACGGAGCTAGGTTTTAAGGCATTCAGCCGCTCCAGTAGGGACTTGTCTGATGCGGGAGGACCATCCATGCTTGGGAGCTTGCTTTGTAGTTCTGCCCTTGTCAGGGGAGCAGAGGACCGATCTTGAGCAAATGAATGAGAGGTAGCAATGAGATAAGGTTAGGTGATGATCTAATCATAAAATTGCTCATGTCGTAAATGCAGCGAATGGTGAACCCTGACTTGGCCACAATAGGTACAGTATGTATATAGGACTCAGTCACCTATATCAAGCTGAGATGGTGTTATTGTGTGAACATAATTTCCTCGGAATGAAATGCTACCGAGGTGGGTTTTGAGTATAGAAGCCAGCCTGACGTGTAGGAAGTAGATGTTGCCGGGACAGACGCCGTCCGTGATGCTATTGATGGCGGTCTATATTGGTCGGCTGGGCATCATGAATCTCGTTGGTAGAGCAGGTGTGAAGGGATGAGGCTGGATAGGAAATTCGGATAGCCGATCCCTCAGCAACGTGGAAGCGTGTAAACAAGGCTGACAACGCTCAAGACCATCGCGCCAGAACCCCAGATTCATGGATTGGTGTCCCTTGATGATATCACAGAAACTGTTGGATACAAGTTCACTCCTCCACAATGAGCTAAGGTTCTTAGGTACCTACACTGCCTACATATGTACATATGTACTTAGGCGGCCTAGAGCACTAGCAGAGAGACCGGTTTCCAAATGAGTTTAGCGTGCGTTCATTTTACGATGTATCGCGGCTTTTATGCCCGTAGATTACTGCGGCTCAACCACTAGACTATGGCTGAATAGTTTCCGACTAACCTCTTTGGCCACCGAACCGCCACCGATTACTTAACTCACTTACCTGCCTGTGCTGTGTGTGAGGGCATCGTCTCTGTATCGTCCTACCACATGATCAATCCCTTACCTAAGGGAGGAGGCACATGCAGGCAGTGTAGCAACATGCATGTCATCACCCGCGCAGCATTGGAATCCTAACGACATGGTCGACTACATCAGTGCTACGATGCCCAGGTTCTGGTCCCGGCGGTAATGTCCTTCCTCCCGCCCTCCTCACTAGGTAATCAAATAGCTTAGCATCTACACCACTTGATGCCCAGGTGCTTGGACAGTTCAGCCGCTTCTCCTGATTAAGTGTAGACACTATAATTTTTCTCAAAATCGCCTTTTTAGGGACTGTCTCGGTCGTTGCCCCCACGTGCTTGGAGAATCTGAATATGGAGAGCCTGAGTGGAGTCCCGGCTAGACATGGGTAGTATCATGAATTCCCAGCGTTGCCGAACTTCTATAGGAGCTTCGACCAATCGCATCCTACCCTTAGCGTATCATTCTGGGGTGGTGATGTCAATCGACAGACCCTCCGGTATTGAAGAATAAGCTGCTGTGAAACGTTTCATAGAATCATCAAAGAGGTAACCGAAGGCGTAGCTGGAACCCGCCAAATGATAAAGGGATGTGAGACTGCCGCACTCTGCCACAGCCTTCGGGGTGAGATGGAATGGAACAAATAATTACCGACTACAAATAGCCTGAGTCTTATATCTTCCACCTAGAGCGCACTACCTGATCACTCCTACATCTTGGCATCCCAATGGAGAGCCTGGTGATAGGACCCTTGGTTAATGCCTGGGGCTGTGCAAAACGGCACTATGACATCTTGCTGGCTTCTTGGCATGTCTTACTGTAACGACAGTAAAGTGGAAAAAAGCTGGATGGGGAGGAGGCCGTTCACCACACTACGCCATTTAGGACTGCCCATTTTGTGTCTGTCGTATTTGACATCACCGACACGGCGTAGAAACTTTGCCTCAAGCGTCATAGGCGATTGCCGATCGAGCGAATGCCTTGCGAAGTTGCGAGACCCAACCAACAGATGTTCGCAGTTCGACACCTAGACTAATCTAACGCCCTGGCGAAAAATAACTTGAATATTTGCGCCCTTGCATCCCCCTTCTAGGGAAGCTCATCATCATACCCCTGCTTACTTATCCAACACACAATAGTACGCTAAAGAGAAAGGGACCTGATCCTACTTAATTTCCCGAACCTAATTTACTCGTCGCCTTTTCTTCCTTTTCGCACACCAGATCTTCGAACACATAGACCGCGAATTAGACGACGGCTCGTTGTTTTAACTATAATGAAGTTGACAAACGTGATCCTCGGCGCGGCCGCATTAACGCACGGCATCAATGCCGTCGCCGTCCCAGAAGCCGAGGCTGTTGCGCTAGATACCCGGACACCTCAGCCAGAATCCGAGACGCATTTCGAGCGCTCAAGCAACGAAGAGCTATGGAAGCGTAAGGGTGGTGGTGGTGGCGGCGGTCGTGGAGGTGGTAGCGGTGGAGGCCGAGGAAGTGGAAGCGGTCGCGGCGGCGGCGGTGGTGCTGGTGGCCGGTATGTCTATGCAATATCCACGCGCATTTTCCAGTCATCAGACAACATGCGCACCCCATACCTACTATAAGTAGAATCAGCTAACATTCAATTCTAGTGGCCTCGGCTCGTCCACCAGCAACGTAGGTGGCCGCACAACGACTGGCAGCGGGCCAACCCCGGCATACGGCGGCGGAGCATACTACGGTGGCGGCGCAACTGTACCCTACAAAGCCGGAAACTCAGCAGGCAGAATTGCGCCTGCTCTTCTCACCGGCGCTGCGATCGGTGGCATCGGTTTCCTAGGCGTCAGCTACCTATACGGCGCGTACGCGTACCCATACTACCACCACTACTACTACCACAACGCGACGACCGACATGAACGAGACGAAGCCCGTGATCTGCGTCTGCGACCCCTACGACACTTGCACATGCGACGACAACGGCAACCAAACCTACTTCAACAGCGTCATCGGCAACGGCTCGTACGAAGGCCTGAACCACACCCTCGTCACCATCGCCAAGAACGACACCACCGGTAACCTGACTATCTACATCAACGGACAGGTGCCCAACGGCACCACCGCCGCCGGGGGTACCGAGGATCCCAGCGCGGCGAACAGCATGATCGCTCTCGCGAAAGCTGCGGGCTGGTGGCCTGCTGCCACGATGGCCTTCGCCATTGCCTTTTTAGTATAATCGATCAAAATTCCGGCTTTATCGGGATAGACGGACGCAGCTCTTCCTCCGTATCAACTTTGCTTTTCTCTACGATGAACCGGGGTAAAAAATGATATAGCCTCCTATGAACATACCAACGAGGCAGTCAGACTCTGATGTTTGCTTCGCTGAAGATATTATCTATGCGCAGCTTGACGGTCGCTGGTGTTAGGGAGTTTATTTACCCTTTTATTTTTCAACACGATTCGAATGAATTCACCGGCAGCCTGAGCTTAGCGGGGTTATCGGTTTCTTGGTGGAACGAAGCGTTTGCTTTTGCTGTGCTGAGCAGGAATTCATGGATGGCATTATGATGGGGTACTGCGGTGGCAGATGATAGATAGATTGAGATACCATGGTTTTTGAACATACGGCTTATAGTAAATATTGATTGTACATGATCTGTTGATGAAAGCCTTTTTTTGCAATATTTGTACTTTCCGGGATCGAAATAGCTATGTTCGAAGGAGAATTGGAGAATCCGCAGTATCTATCTATATGATTCTTTGCTAGAGAGCGATTACTCCTGGCAGTGCTCAGACGTGAATGGAATGATTTATATGTTGATAGCAAACTAGTGATTTGAGTTCGTTGAAATTACTTCATATAGCAGCGCTCGTGAAAGGCGTACTATACAAGCAAGAATTTGCTACGATCAATTACCCCGAATCGTGATATTAAAGCATAGATTCATTCGTCGCGGCACTTGGGCCAAGCCATCTCACCAAAATGAGTTGATAAACCAGCTCCTTAACATGAATAGCTAGATATCAAGGCCAAAATCAACACAGTCTACGCATCTGCGTTCTCCGTCTTCACCTCAGCCCTCTCCTTCCGTCTCTGGACACACCAATCGCCAAGGATCTTCCATATCCTCTCTTTCTCCTCCGGGCGCACGGTAGCCGCAAGACCGCTCGTGCTCGTCGCCACGAAGACCCTCGCGCCCTCCCATGGTCCATCGTCAACGCTTTCCGCTCTTTCTTCCCCTTCTTCTACATTTTCTTCATCGCCTTCCTTTTCATCTCTATCCTCATCATCACCTTCAGCCTTAACTCTCGAGGCCAGAACAGCATCACCGACCTTGACAGCCGCAGAATCCCTCGCAGGCGGCACGGCCCCCATCCTCTCCACCTGCCATCCGTATTCGAATTCCCCCCTCGCCAAGTTCCGCCCCTTCCAGACGCGGAAGATGCTCTCCCAGATGCTCTTGCCGACAACACATACGGCCTCGGGTCTCCATGTCCGACATTTCGCCTCCAGCACGGCGACGCCGGCGTCCATCTCTGCTTTGCTCAGCTCGGCGCCGTTGCGGCTTGGTCGGGAGACGATGTTAGTATTCCCCAGACTGAACCGCGCGGGCAACGTCCTGTCTTCCTCGGGCTTGCATGGGACGGGGGTGATGCCTGAGGAGTAGAGGAGTTTCCAGAATAAGTTCGATGGGTGTGCGTAGGCGTGGCCCGAGCGCGCGGTCTGGACGCCTGGGTTCAGCCCGATGAAGAGGATTAGGAGGTTGGGCGCTATCACGTCGGTTAGGGGGGGTAGATGGGCGTATGTGGATGGGGGTGCGTAGGAGGAGGATGTGCGGGTGCGCTTTGCCTTCTTTTTGGAGGGAGATGCGCTGTCGTCTTCGGAGGCATTTTTGGGGATGGTGGTGGTGGTGGTGTTGTTGCGACTTTGGGATTTCCGCTTTAGAGGCGTGGGTGATGAGGGTGTGATGGACCGTGACGAGGATGAGATGGCGGCGGCTTGTGATGAGAGCCGCGGACTGCGACGGGTTATTGGGGATGAGATGGGGTTTGATGCGCTGGCGCTGAACATGAAGTTCTTTAGCTGTAGACGGCCATTGAAACTGGGTTCTTTGGATGTGATGGCATTATGCTCGTCGGCCTCTTCGCTCATCCTTTTCTATTTTCCGTCCTGCGGCAGTCTTATATGAATCTGATATAAAATCCCTATGTACCACTCAATGCGCAAATCTCCAAATCTAGTTTTGATATATGTCAAAAGAAAGGAATGAAAGTTGTATACGTCGATAAATCGATTGAGAAACGAATGTGAATGAGATTTCACGATTCCTGTGGCCAAATTCTACAAATTCTTTTTCTTTTTTCTCTTTCGCAGGGGAACATGCCTTCTCGACTTACTTAGAGTGCTACCTCGATGAGCTGAAGAAGTCGCCACCTACCCCTGTAGACAGGTACCCTCTCCACTTTTATCGGTGAAGCTAGTCGCGACATGCAGGTACAAGAAAACCAGAACGAACAGTAGATGGCTCATATGGCTCATATGTGTTCTCGAATACAGGATATAGCTCATGAATGTGGTGGTATTGATTACCCTAGCACATATGTGTCGGGCAGCCATCATGCAAACAGCGGTTGAGGAATTAAATTGGTTGGGGATACAACATCGAAGTATAGGTTCCCCGAAGTAGTGTTACTCAGATCCAATCAGCATACGGATCTACGAAGTAATACATGCCTGAATCGCCATATCGCTCGTATAATGCGACACAGCCACCATCAAATATCTACTACGTATCTGACTTATGATCATGAACCGCAGCGAGTAGATAGCAGGAAGAAGCATTTTTTATATCCCAATTCGTCATCACTAGGGTGAATGAAGCCAAGCAGAGTCCGCAGAAACTCGTGTTGAAAAGACGAGTGGATATCTACCTAGGCAGGTAGGCTCGGTAGGTACTTACTTGACGAGAGTTTTGCTGTGTGAAACCGGTGGCAGGCCTTAGCCGATTAATACAGCGTTCGATACAATTGTTTCGGCCGGCGTGATGTTATTTCTGGCCACGTCCAATGGCGGAATCTGATGTCAGCCAGTAACATCAAGCTTCGGGTTTCTCACCAATGGCAGGCTGGCGCATCCCTTCGTGCTGGATGGAGAGGTAGACTGGGGCTGAGCGGTGAGAAGATGCCGCCCGGCTTTTCAGGGTAAACTCCAACAAAGTCACTGTAAATCATTATAACAGGTAGCAGGCAGGCAATTAATTTAGCAGGGGAGGTCGCTAAAGTAGGTACGAGGCGGAGGCGGCGGTAAGGTCGTAAATAGCGGGGGTCACTGGCGAGCTATGTGCTAGCTGTGCTGTAGCTGTTGCAGCTGAAGCCATCCTTCTTTGTAGGTACCTATGCAGGGCGGTAGCGGTACCTATGCCACTGCATGAGAGTACCTACCTAGCCCCTCCACCCCGCCAACCAACCCAGCCCAACCCACTTCCCACTTCCCACTTGACCCAGCTCTGCGTACATCAACCTGGTGATTCCCGTGTCTCTCGCTCCTGTTTCTCTATTCTTCGACTATAAAGAGCTATCATCCCAACTCAAATACCATTCTGTTTCCTCTTCATATTCCAATTGGCCTTCTCGCAAATCATTTCTTGCAACGCAAATCTCGTTGGATCCTGACTGACTACCTAGGGACTCCGTGCTAATATTACCCAGCAATGGCTCCTCCCGAACAGTTCACCGACGCCAACGTTGCGGCCCTTAAGACGAGGTTCGAATCCGCTGGACAAGGCCACGTCTTCACATTCTACAATTCCCTCGGCGACGTCGAGAAGGAATCACTCTTCAGCCAGCTCCAAAAGATCGACCCTGCAAGAATCAACAAGCTATGGGACCTCGCCCAGAACCCTCCAAAGGAGCCTGAGAACACCGTCGTCGAACCCCTCCCGGAATCTGCGACAGCCAGCATCCTAGACTCAAAACCTGAAGATCTTGAAAGATGGAATAACCTGGGCCTGGACCTCATTGGCAAGGGCGAGGTCGCTGTCATTCTCTTGGCTGGTGGCCAGGGAACACGCCTTGGAAGCAAAGCCCCTAAGGGCGCCTATAACATCGGGCTCAACTCGAAAAAGTCTCTCTTCCAAATACAAGCGGAACGCATCTTGAAGGTCCAGGAGCTGGCCGCCGCCAAAGCTCAGGACAAGAACAAGGCTCAGATCCCCTGGTACGTCATGACAAGTGGCCCCACCCGAGCTCCGACCGAGAAGTTCTTCAAGAAGGAAAAGTTGGCCGAGTTATCGGATGAAGACAACGACGCCCGGGCACAGGGCAAGCCCTACTTCAGTCTCAATGAGAAGAATGTCAAGATATTTGAACAGGGCGTCCTACCCTGTTACGACTTCAATGGCAAGATTATGCTCTCTAGCAAGGGTGAGGTGGCCGTGGCCCCGGATGGAAACGGTGGTATCTACAAGGCGTTACAGGATGAGGGTGTACTTGACGACATGCGTAAGCGCGGTATCAAGCACGTCCACGCCTACTGTGTCGACAACTGCCTGGCCAAAGTCGCCGACCCCGTCTTTATCGGTTTCTCTGCCGAGAAACAAGTCAAGATCGCAACAAAAGTCGTGCGTAAGCGCAATGCGACCGAGTCTGTTGGCCTAATTCTCTCCAAGAACGGACGACCTGATGTCGTAGAGTACTCGGAGATTGACAAGGAGACGGCTGAAGCCGTAGACCCTAAGCAACCAGACGTGTTGAAGTTCCGTGCCGCCAACATCGTCAACCATTACTACTCATTCGAGTACCTCGATAACATGGGTGACAGCGTGAACTCGCTTCCCCCTCACATCGCCAAGAAGAAGATCCCTTATTTCGACATCGAGAAAGTCGAGGCCGTCACCAACGTCACCAAGCCCAATGGTATCAAGCTCGAGCAATTCGTCTTTGACAACTTCAAGTGGCTTGAGCTCTCCGAGTTCGCCTGCTTCGAGGTGGAGCGTGAGGACGAGTTCTCGCCCCTCAAGAACGCCGACGCACCAGGGGCCCAGGACTGCCCCACGACAAGTCGACAAGACATCAAGGCCCAGGGTAAGCGATGGGTCGAGGGAGCTGGTGCGACGGTGAAGAATGGCGACAACGAGGGTCTAGAAGTGTCGCCTTTGACAAGCTATGTGAGTGCTTCATCACATTATTCCATTCAAATTTCATAACGATCCGTAAAGTTTACTGACCGTAAATACAGAATGGCGAGGGACTTGACAGCTGGAAGGGCAAGGAGATCACTGAGCCGGTGATCTAAAGTAATTCAAATCATTTATTTAAAAATAGAACATGTGATTGTACAAATAGACGGCGACTACGAATGAAAAAAAAAAAGATATGCGAATGACATGATTGAAATGAGACAGGAAGGGATTTGGGTAGGATAGGATAGGATAGGGTGGGAAACAGATGAAGAAGAAAAGTTAATAAATGAGTGAAACTAACTAAAACGAGATTCAACTTTTTACAAATTGATCTTTTCTTCGTGAGTATGCTACAATGATTCTTGAAGATGAAAAATTCAGCTACCTATGCGGTCATTAGTAGGGAGGACGTAACTACCTACCTAGGTAGGTTGTTCACATACATACCGGTAGTACAGACAGTCAGCACTCACAGACCTACCTCTGGTACCGTAAGACAAATGAGAAGATAACTAGGTAGCAGGTAGCTAGGTTCCATCTCCTCAACTCCCTTCCTCTAAATAACAATATATAGCAGATCAAGACAAAAGGGTATCGTAGTTAATTAAAGTAATTTATTACTTGCTTATTTAGTTATCTTACGGACTAAGTAAGTGAAATAGTCAAAGCCCCTATTTCGGATTCTTTTTTTTGAACATGGAACGCCCTGACCTTGGCTTCGCTTCGCTTGGTCGCAATCGCGGCAGATAATTATCAATATGTATGTTCCTTTCATCCGTCCATCCTTCATTCATTCATGTCCCTATTCCGAAAACATCGCTTGGGGCTGATTTCGTTTTTCCTTCTGCTCCTTCAAGTTCACTGGCACCGGTCGTACTATATACACGCTACATAGTCGGACGAGTCTGGGGGTGTTGGTGTTGTCCCGGCATGGACATCCTGGCCATCATGCCGCTGTACGCCATCTGCTGCGCGTGTGCCTGCGCGTGTGATTGTTGAGATTGGCCTTGCATTGGGCCTTGTCTAGGCGGTTGGCCTGGAAGTGGGAGCCGGGCGGCCATGAGATTCTGGTTGGAGGATTGTTGATGATCGAGGCTTTGCTGTTGTGGGGTGTGATTGTACCCGAGATTAGGATTGGGAAGTTGCATGTTTTGCCGATCGTGGTGTACGTTGGCATTGGTCAGCTGTCTCGCGATTTCTGCGTCGGAATCATGGTCTCCGTCCATATCGTCATCCTCGTCGCCGCCTTCTTCCTCTTCTTCTTGGTCGTCGTCACCATCTGCGTGCTCGTCTTCTGCTTCTCCTCCCTCGCGATTGGCATTGCGCCGTCTCCGCCCGTGTCCTTCCTGCCGTGGCTTGCGCGTCCTCACGCCGTAATGGGTAGGTGTGTTGTTGTCTTCTGCAAGGATCCGGCCAAAAACCATGTGCATTTGACGGTGCGCTACGCCGCCTTTGGAGACTTCCATCAGGATATTCTTCTCAGCCGTCTGGAAATCCGTCAGCGTTAGGAAGCGCGGCTTAGGACAGTGCGGTATGCGCTGCCGAAGTAGCTCGACGGTGCCTTGCAGCCAGAGAATTGTGGCATCAGATTTGTCGGGTAATATGGCGTAGCCGGCGCCTAAAGCGGAGTCGAGGCCATTGTTGATTCTTCCTGTGTCCATCGGTGTGTTTGACGCACCAGAAGCCGAATTCGGCATGGGAGTTGCAAGAGGCGCGGGACTAGCACTACCGTTGTTGTTTTCTACATCAGGGTTACCGGGAGAAGAGCTTGAATTTGGGTTGGTGGTTCCAGGCAAATTGGGAAATTCCTCAGGCATGGCCCGAGTGGACATCGGGCCTCCAAAGCCAGCGGTGTTCAGTACGCTGTTCATTTCGAGGATTGGTAGCACGGGCCTGTTTGCGATGTGCTCTGTGAGCATTACTAGGATGTCAGGGGTGCCATTAGGACGCATCCAGAGTTCGGTTGACCAGTGTGGCACCCAGAACGCCCCTGCGACCATGCCATCTCTCTCAAAGGTCCAGCAAAACAGATCCTGGCGTTCGGCCAGCTTATACATTATAGCCTGGACGCCTGTGGCGCCCTCCTTGGCCTTCTTCCGAAACCGCTGGACGGCATTGTCGACATCCTTGAAGGTGATGTAGGTGTTGGGATCCAAGTCTTTCAACTCTTGCCAAATCACCTTGATGCTCTTGCGCTCAACAGCACGAGCCTCGACGAGCTGGCGCTGCTCATCGGTCAACTTCCGGTGCTGAACGTGGGCAGCGGGCACGGAGGATGGCGGATGGTTGTGCTCCGGGATCAACACCCTTAAGAAACATCCATCGGGCCGGATATTGCAGGCAGCGGAGAAGGGACAGTCCGTCTTCTTGGTGGAGCTCCGTCTTATGCCAATCTGAGCGGCGGATTTGAAAACCCCCGACTTGTCACATCGAATCACATAACGGCGGTACAGCCCCGTGTCTTTACTCTTTGCCTGGCCCTTTGAGTTGACTGCATAGCCTTCGGCAGCGGCGTGTGCCTGCACGGTGCGCATGCAATCGTCCCATGTCGGGAATATAGCTCCATCTGGCGGTGGCGCGAGAGGCATCTTTCACGCCTTCCAATCTTGTGGTGTTTCTGTTAAAAAACTCAATGCATCAAATTAGAACCATGAGTTCTCGCTGCGGGCACTGGATAAGCGGCGATTATTTTCAGTGACGCGCGAGATGAAGCTGTCGTTGGGCTTGTATGTGAGGATGAAAGAGGAGACGAGGATGAAATGTTGAGGGCGTTTCTAGGATCGGGGCTGAAAAGAGGACACGGCATTCCCCACTCGAGCTAGTGAGGTTTGTACAGTGCGGAGTCGATCATCGATAGAGAAAGATACCTATAAGGAAGACCTTGTAACTGACTATTTTGTGGGAATGGCTCTGGAAGCAGGTACTATTACAGTGCACTTAACTCCTACGTACTGTAATGATTGAGCACTACATGTACCTCTCAAGAGGTACCTAGGTACCTGTATAGGTACATTTGTATCTTGGGAACTCAACTTGTAATTAAGTGATTCGTCCCCAGTATCATCAGCGCATATATCTATGAAATCCTTAGGCATCTATGTAGGTTCTGTAGTGCATCCATATGGGCCCAAATGCCTTGCATCTTACCATTGCCTCACTCGCCGCTATTTAGGATGGACGACTAGCAGTTTATTCTAGGCCTGGGTCGATCTTACAGGGCAGTGAATTTCTCATGAAGAACTAACACCTTCTATGGGATTTCACTTGTCTCATCAGATTTGTGTAACTAAGTCTAGTATCACATACAGTTTTATAACCGAGATGGAAATATTGAATTATTGACAAGAGTAGTAGAGTTCGGTTGCGTAATCAGGTGTCTAGGCAGGTAAAACTAAAATTAGGATAAGGAATCTATTTGAGGCTTAAGTTTAGGATAAGATACCTCTTGGCTAAACACAAATCTCAGCACTTCGAAATCAGATTTTTGCTTATGGTATGGAATCGGGCTTGAAGGGAATGACTAAGGAAAATGGGAGTATCGCATCTCAATATAGGGAATGTTACTCCTGTGTTTCACTCACTCGGGGATAACTACCTTATCACGTCAAATGATGCAATTTAGTTATGCCCAGGTAGACCCTGCACGTTTTGAATCGAACAATAAATTGCTTGAAACCAACCGTGATATTCCTATTATCATCTTGTCTTCATTGAACTGGCGTAGTTTATGTGTTTTTTTGACCACAGCGCCTAGTATAATCCAATGCATGAACCTGAACAAGCGAGATGTTTGACCATGGCCTAGTAATCCACTCTTAAAACTAAAACATGGCGACCAAAACCCAGACCAAAGAGGCCAGGATGGCAATCCCAGAATTGTGCCGCACCAAGCTCCCTGCTCCTTCGTCATTGTCATCACCTTCGCCTTCATTGTCTCTATTGCCGTCACCATCACTTTCGGATTCCTCAAGATGGGTCGTGTTGACACGCGTGCAGAGCAATTGGGGATACGTGACGTTTAAGATGACTGGGGCTAGCATCATGACCTGAAGCTTGTTGGCCGCAGAGTTGTACGTGGTAGTGTTTGTGCCATTGTAAGCCGCACTCGTGGCCGCCCAGAAGCGTTCGCCGCTGATGGAGTCCGACCCTTCCGTAGAATATATAGCACCCTCTTGTGTGCCCAAGTTTCCATTGTTAGCGTTCAGTATGTAACCAAACGTGCTCGCACATTGACGTATCGACCACCAGCTCTGAGCGATGTTAAAGCAATCCGAACGATGACCTGACGCACGGGCGACTATCGCATCAACACATTCCCTGCCCAGCATAGGGGTACAGTCGGTGCTATCGGCGTTGTCTTCTGTGTAAGTGTTGCTGATGTTGGCCGGGTTACCAATCACATCGAGCCATTGGATGCAAACAGCATTCGTTGAGGGAGGAAGGGCAGAGCTCAAGTTGCCGCCTTCAGGCCAGGTAAAATCGTACGTTGTATGGACAATATGTGGATCGTTGAGAGGATCCCTCCCAGCGGCAGCATTGGGAACGGAGAAATCACTGACGTTAACTCCTAATACATGATCGATAAATATGCATTCACACAACGGCAGAAGGGAGGAAGTGAGAGGCTCTTACTCCATGTCCACTCAATATCCGTCAAATTCGTAATGTTCGTGTTCCCTTCCGGTGCCACAAAAGGGTTGAACTTGATCGAGCGAGTTACATTGGGAGTTTTCTCGGCATGGCTGAACAGACCTAGAGTATAGTTGTCAGGCTTGGATGGGTAGAAACCTTGTCCGAGGACGTCCATATATATAACTCCATCAGCAGCGAGTCCTGGCACCACCAAGGGTAAACTGAATAGTAGAAAGGTATTCAGGGTATTAGGCATTTTGTCCTTGGTTGTTTAGGTTATGTTCCCGACATTCATTCTAGATAGCAATTGAGAATCGAACATAGAAAGAGACGAGCTTTTAAACATTAGAAGAAGGAGACGAGGCAGCACGACGACAAAAAACATCTTATGAGGTCAGCCAAGCAATTTATAAGGGTGTTGGTTCTCAGATGCATGAATGCTTGTGGGCCTCTGTAATTTTGATGTGGTGATCTCGATGAAGAACTACGCCGCATTACCACTGTAATTAATGTACCATCATTGCGGTGAAAGATGTACACAATCAACCGTGGTTCCAGGCATATATCCAATTAGTCAGTTAAGTTAGTACTCTCTTGCCTTAAGTTGCATGGTATTTCATGATTAATGCTGGTTCGAACTTTGGTTGCCATAGTTACACGAGAATCACCAACATACATACGATGTTAGGAGAATATTACCTAGTGGCGTCTACAATTCAAATCCGTCAAATATTGAAAACAAACAGAAACCAGTCCGAACCCCTGAGCCATTATGAAAAGTCGCTGGCCGTGAAGTTTCGGATATCACTGGAAAAATGCAGCCGAGTCAAGCGAACACATTCAATTCAGGCTGAGGGCGAAACATGCACACTATACCTACTTTCAGGAGACGGAGAACGAGATGGCGAATATACCTTGGTGCAAACCTAATCAAAGGATTATTAGTGAGTCCGTCGAGGTGACAAGAAATTTGAGAGCAGCAAGCAACAACCTCAAGGCTCTCATTCTTGCTCTGGGACATTGATATGCTGCCTTTCCTCTCTTCATTTCTTCTATATATATTTTCGGCTATGCTATCTTACATATAGCGAATACACAGATAGTTAATATCACTCTCCCTCATGCTTACTTGCTGGTAATGTACAGAGATTTTGACCTCGATGACCTGCCACGCACTTACACGCAGAACCTTACGTAAGGTAGCATCTTGCAGCTCCAATCACGCTAAGCCTAATTTGTACACCTGAATGCCCTCTCGGAGATTTTCAATCTCAACCTCTCATTCCGAGATTCACCTGAGCGAAAGTAGGCGCCTCAGTCTCTCAACTCAATTCTAAAGATTGCACGAGTCCTTTTTAGTATTGTGAGCATCGGCGATTCAGCAGGTCTTGGCGCTATCTGAGCAGGTACCTGCCTGTATTTTTCGAGCTCTCACCTCTGTCGACACGAACTCAGTCTTGTGCGAGCGCGCGCCGTGTAGATCGGGAATGATAACACTTATATCGTCCTCTGCTGACCAGCACAGATATAAGGTCGAGAACACATTACTTCGTCGAATACCTAGCTCATGTGATCTCGGCCCCCCGGCCAGAGCCCGGACAATCCAATCTTCCCTTGGTAGCTTATTTCCCTTTCCAGTTAACCCTCCAAGGACCCCTAAAGCTCGCGTATCAAAAGTCACAAGTGAAAAAAAGATCGTGAGATTTGACGGGACCCCCCGCAAGGATTTACACTACCCCCACGTTCGAAGAAGGCTAGGAGCAACCGGAAAGCGCACCCTAAGCATCAAGCCAAGAAGAGCTCTGTTCGCAAAGCTGTCCTAGCACCAGGTCATTCGGACAAGCAGAGATGATCAGAACCCTTGCTTTTTCTTAAAGACTCCAGTTCGAGACTCTTACCGCATGGAAACAGCAATCAATCAATAAGCAGCACTGCCGCCGCCGCTAGAGTCCACGATCTGGACATCCTGACCTGAAAAAGCGCATTTATTCTCCTTCTCCTTCTACATAAGTGTAGAAGAGATCTCTCTTCACCTACAATCTGCGATTCTTTTCGTTTGCGTCCAATCACAGAAACCAATTCACACCGCCAAGAGGGCCGGGCGATCTATACTCTCCAGAGCTTCGGGTCCCCACGACACAACCAAGTCTTGTCCCCACTTATGATCTCACATGGCACTTGCTTACCTACACTACCCACGATAGCTCGTTCATTTTCTCTGCTGAGAGCAAACTGACTGACTCTCTCACTGCCTACCTACTTATTCATTCGTTGAAGAGTTTTGCTTAGGGGCCTCGAACACGCCTTCATTTCAGCATTCCCGGACACTCGCTTCCATCCGTCGAGGTCGTGTTTCAAGCAGTTAGTTAATCAGTTGGTCTACGTGCCGTCATCATGCTTCGCTGGTAAGGTTCGCGCATTCTCCCCCTTTGACGAAACTGCCTGGTTAGCTGGAAATATGATTCTGCTAGCCAGCGCAGAATCCCGACGTCATGAGACGGTGGTGTTCGATGGGATGAAGAAGGGAATAATTCGAACAGGAGAGAAAAGAGGTGGGAAAAATGCAGTGATAGTGCACATTATGCTAACAATATCAATAGGTACCAACGCAGTCTCGCGGCCCGGCCGCTGCTGACGCAGAGTATCACGACGGCCGTGCTCTTCGCCGTCGGCGATATCACAGCGCAACAAGCCATTGAGAAGAAGGGCCTCGAGAAACACGAGTTTGTGCGCACGGGACGCATGTTTGCCTACGGCGGTGGTATGTCAATTTTCACTCTGTTACTTTACTCACGGCCAATTTTGCATTCCGAATTCCTCAAATCATTTCCACCAAAAAAATTTCTAGAGAGATAAAGAGATCAATGCCCGCATATATAGACCTATGTTTTATATTTCGTAAAAAAAGAAAGAAAAAAAAGCCTACTAACACGCCCTCAGCGGTCTTCGGCCCCGCAGCCACGACCTGGTTCAAGATCCTCTCGAAGCGCGTGGTCCTGCCGAACAAGAACGCCGAGATCCTGGCGCGCGTGGCCTGCGACCAGCTGATCTTCGCGCCCGTCTTCATCGGCGTGTTCCTGTCGAGCATGGCCGTGCTCGAGGGGAAATCGCCGAAGGAAAAGCTCGAGAAGTCCTACGTCGACACCCTTCAGACCAATTGGATGGTCTGGCCCTTTGTCCAGCTGGCTAACTTCAAGTTCGTCCCGCTGCAGCACCGCGTGCTCGCCGTCAACGTCATTTCTATCGGCTGGAACTCGTACCTCAGCTTGGCTAATGCCAAGTGAGGTGGGATGAAGCATGCGAGTGAAATAAGATGAGCACATTGTTCATAACCCTCGAGAATATGTGAGGTTGTAATGAGAGGAATATATGAGCTGCGCGAAAAGAGGATTCGCGAAGAAGGCAGCGGGCAAATATAGACGGCGGAAAATGGCGGTCGGTCGCGCGCTAATGGGCATATCAGCTGGCATGATGCTTCGGCACTGATAGACATAGATTGGGATCCGGGCTGCATTGTCGGGCGTTTTCGCAGATGAGCGTGTGGTCTTTTTCTGCTAGACTTTCCTATGTGTACCTTATCAAGTCACATAATACTGATTCTTGTGTTGAGTTTCACTTGAATGGTGGCGAATCAGGTACCATGAGTATCATGAATCAAAAGTAATTGATATATGTACACATACATGTGTGGTGATATGTACTTGTGCGGATAGCAATTCAACATATCAATCCTGTGTTGACCTAACTACTTTCAGGGGTTATAGGCTCATGTATCATTATGATTATGTCGTGAAAAAAATAAAAAAAATAAAAATAAATGCAGTATCAATCGCTAGTTTTTAATGATGCAGTTATCCCAATGCCCTGATGGAAGACCTGCTTCGCTTGTAAGTGGGGAAAAATAGAGGAAATGGGACCTCGTCAAGAGAAAAGGAATTCTTTAAGCACGGGGGAGCCAGAGAACTCCGGGTTTAACATAATACAGCTGTTAATCATATGTCAGTTCAAAATTCTCTGTGTTCTAGGTGTTTAGTAGACGAATTCGGAGGACGTACGTTAAAAAGTATTGGAGACCAGCCCGCCTCTGCTCCAAAAACCTGGGTCTGAACTTTGAAATGAGACTTTTCGGCGGGAGTTCCGGCACGGCGGCCTCGAAGCCAGGGAACGTCCGCATTAACCGCCAACGGAGATCGTCGAACTCGGAATATCGTTTTCGAATGACCATGAAACTGCCCTACGCGATCATAGAAACATCAGTCTTGAAACACGTGCATTGCTTATCAACAACCAAATCCCGAGAGAAGCCACTAACACTCAATGTCTCAACCCGTATGTTCCATACAACGAATGCGCCGATGTTTGTCGCGCTGCCGTTCACGGTAACATAGTCGGTCACTTCGACGCTTTTTGCCCAGCACGCGCTTCCCCGGTCGTCGGTGCTGCTGTTCTCGTTATCTTGCAGCGTTATGCCCAAGCCCGCGGCGACCAATGAATCAACCGAAGCGCTCGAGACATTCCGCCCATGACCCGATGGGTGGTCCTGGCTGCTGCGCGCCGTCCAATATGGCGGGGATGAAATAGGCGACGTTATTGGCGACTGGGGATTGTTGTTCGCGCCCGTGCTAGCATTTGCGCCCCCGGTCTCCTCCATGTTCATATCTAAGCGTAACGTTGGCCCATCGCCGCCTTGGCCCGAGTCTGGGTGGTCCGCAAGCGCTTGTGTACTAATCGCCTCTGGAGCGAAATTCGCAGGCGGTGATAAAGGCGATGAAGGAGATCCAGAGTCGGTGTCGGTCACGGTCGCGGGCGGCGAGGGCGGTGGTTGTGGGTTAGGCATTGGAGAGTCTTTGTTTTGGGCAAGGTTGCCGTCTATCCGGGTGCCTTTATGGGTCTCTAGAGACTTGTGATTCGTTGCTGAAGCCATCTATGTGTCCATGCGCGAGGAATGGGGGTTTTTACTTTGATATTAGAGGTCCAAAGAGGCGGGCGCAAGCTGATGGGGTCGGATGAGGTCGGATTGTTGGCTTCGAAGTAATAGTCAAGGATTGAATCACAAGCTGGGTTCTTTATGATGGATTTGAAAAGGAGTAGAAGCGGTGATAGTGGGTGTTCAATGGCGTTTTCTTTGTTAGGAATCGGAATGGAATGAAATGAGTTGAATTAAGGTGTGCTTGAATTGAAGTTTAAGGAAGCTCGAGGTACGAGATTGTTGACTTGTTTCGAGCGCTGTTGGCAGGGTTGGCAGGTGTTTGTGGCGGGGTACTCCAGCCTAACCTTGGGTGACGTTAGGCACTTTAGTGCTTCCCTCTTGCCCTAAAAGCTGCCGCAAGTCGCAAGCCACAAGCCGCCAGCGAGCCCACTCCACATGCCGGATCGCCCAGGCCGACCCAGACTTCGCCCTAATAGTATCGCCTAAGGTCTCATAGACATGCCGCGCTACTGTGGGTTGGGGAGAGAGATGCTGGTACAACGTTGGAATAGTTCTAATTTCTAATTACCGGAATAGTTGGCATATATGTAGGCCGGATGTACATGTAGTATCTGTGCTGTTATGAATACAGGGTTCAATGTTGCACATGGCTGGGAGTTCATTCGGTTCTGGTTTAGTCATGGCGTAGTACTATTGGCTTTGTGTGTAGGTATTACCTACTCTGTTACACAGTTGACAACCCTAAGCCTTTGAGAAGCCGTGAATGGTCAAGAACGGCTCAAGCAGAACGTCTAATGTATAGCTTGAAACCCAAAACGATCTCTATGTTACCTTGAATATATCGACCGGCTTGACCTAATATGAGATTTGACGTTTTGATCACTCGTTATCGCTTTGAACGCCAAATATGCCCAACAGAACAGGCAATCAAAGCCAATGAGAACAGAATTTCTAGGAAAGTTGCCTGGGTACTTATAACGATATATATCCCTGCATGACGTGGTTGAAATAGCGTTCAAAAGGGACATTATGGATGAGCTTAGTCCATTCTGGCAAGACCGTACGGGACAACTGTGATTTTCCCAAAAGGGATCCAATATCAAATTGGCTATGACAGCTCGTTGCTCGCAAAGCTATCCGGGTGCCCTGAATCAGTTATGACTCAGCAGTATCATCCTATTTAACTAAAGCCGAAGAATACATAATAATTAAGTTGTACAATCATCCCAAGGCGAACAACTTGTCATGGAGGAGCACCTAATGTCGACCTCCAATTCAATATGTAGTATGATAGATGAAGTGATTGATAAGACCAACAGAATTGCAAAGTATGATCGAGATAGGAAAAGCCGAGCATATAGATAGCTGCTGCTTGTATAGCTGGTGGTCTCTCGGACGTACCAGATACGTTTCTCCGAGTGGGTGGAAACCACAGAGTTCAGGATGCTGATACGTATTTATAATTTTGGGTTGCTTCAAAGCCTTCCTGCATACGCGTACCTAATACAACCTTCCCGGATAAGCATGTCTACATAAGTAATGGAGCCTGTAGTGAGAAATAAGCTGATCATTCGACTTTCGCCATGCAAGTGACTTAGATATAGGTATAGTATTAGGTTGCTTGTTGTACAAGAAGTCAGAACTCGCAATACATGATCCTAACTAGGAAAGAAGAGCATGCTTCTAGTTCTGTTAATGGCGTATTCTAATACGGGTGTATCCATTAGGCTTGACTAGTTTAGCACTATCTGTGTATGACACCTGGTTCATTAGGGTCTAAAGGGTTTGGGGTAGGTGATCTGCCGGACGAAAGAGATGGGGCGCCCGGGTTTCTGCTATTTTCAACCCACCCCCGTATACGAAACTTACAGAACTAGAATCTCACGCCAAGGATAGTAAGAGGTCGTTCGTATCTCACTGGGCTGCGCCGGTTGTGGTTATGCAACCACGGTAAGACTATGCCTGTATTGTCGATAGTGTGCTGGATTCTCAGGGTTGCTTGAAGAAGCTTGGCATAGTAATATTATCTTGCCCCGAAGCGACGAGATGATGGCTTTCCCCCCTCTCTTCTCTCTTTGTAACTCGTTCTGAATTGATAGAATCATTGCTGTAACTGCGGTATTCGAGGGCTTGTGTTTGACAGCTTCTTTGGTTTATCGGGCTTGTTTCTGTTGCTTAGTTGCGCCGCATTGCAACATATTACAACATCCTCGTTAACGATCACGCCATCCACAAGTCGGGACAGAATAGCATCCCCGGTAACAACCCCTCCAACTCGGGACATCGCAACTTTCTCGTGAGAAATCACGTCATCTGCCAATCGGGATAGGACAGCATGGAGAAGTCCAAACCCCAAAGCTCAGGCGAAGGCCTTAAAGTCATCCATGCTAGCTTGTTTCGCAGTTAGTCTATCTTTCTTGTTCTTCATTTCTCTATCCTACCATGGGGATTATGGCATGTGGCCTTCGAATACCGGGTGTAATAAGTGCGATGTAGTTCTCGAATCTGATGGGCTGCCTAGCCGGTGACTTCAATGTCGCCAGCAGGATAGAGCAACCAATTACTGACCGATTCTCGATATACTGCTAGTGGCCACCAAGTCGATGGCAGAGGCTTACACCATCCTTGGCTACAATGTCAATCACGCACTCCTACAAAGCACGATGGAGACCAAGTGGAACCTGATAGAGGAAGCCGCCGAAGCGACTTGGCCGAAAGTGCCAGGCGCCAAACCGCGACCGCCTTTCACGAGGGAGGACTGGGACGAGCTCTGGGGATCAGAGTACGACGTCGTAACAGACCTCGCCTCGTGCTTCACCATCGAGCTCATCAAAGCCTACCCAGACGCCAAAGTGGTCATCGTGCAGCGGGATTTCGACGGCTGGTGGAAGAGCTTCACGACGAGTCTCAAAGACCGCGTCTTCGCACCGGTCAGGTCTTTCATCATCGGCTTCATCACCTCGACGTTCCTGGGGATCCGCCCCAACCAATCCATGAAGAAGGTCCTCCTCGGCTTCTTCGACGCGAAAACTGGCAATCAGATCGATAAGGTTTGCGGTAGAAAAGCCTACGATGAGTTCTTCCGGACCATTCGGGAGATTGTCCCCCCTGAGAACAGGCTGGAGTATAAGGTTGGCGACGGATGGGAGCCCCTCTGCAAGTTCCTTGAAGCTCCAGTTCCGAAAAACACGCCGTTCCCACGAAGTAATGACGCCGCTGCGCTCCGCAAGGAGGCCAATGTTAGATACAGGGAGTTTGCCGTAGGCACCGTGAAGGTCATCGCTGGCAGCGTGGTTGGGAAGGTGCTCGCCGGAGCGGCTTGCGGGTGGGTGGCATATCAGTGGCTTCAGATCTGAATGTATGTAGTCGTTTTCAAGTATATAAACTGCTATAGAAACCGTATATATCAAGTACATTGCTCTATGTGACCCCTCTCTCTTCCTCTATCTGTTTCTCTACAAATGCGTGCGCGCGTGCTTTTGCGTGTCTTGGAGTGGATCACGTTAAAGCATAGTAAAGTCCAGCGTTTGAATAGTGAGATGAAAAGAATGAACTTAGTCCTTTTCCTGTAAGTAAATATACTAAAAGGATGTAAATTACCAAAGCTTTACCAGCCATGTGTGGCACGTTACACCCTTTCCAGAGATTACTACCCTAGCACTAGACTGCTACGGGATCGTACGTAATTTGTATCAGGGAAAGGAATATGTCGGCGTACGTTGCACGAGGTGTGAGGCGTTTGATGGGATCTGTGATTTGTTGTACGAAAAAACTTGTTAATATAAATATCCTCTTTGAGAAGATAGACTCGAGCTGAACTAGCAAGTATGAGCGCTAAAAGGGGGCGCGAGTAGCTGCTCAATTGATGAGTAAATCTACTTGAGATTCAAATACGAAGTTCAATGAAAACGAGCGTAGAACTGGTTGGAAACATGTAATCAGCAAGACGAATTCTATTTTCATTATACTATCTGACTTTTGGTAGCTACGGAAGTAGACGACTCATTTTCGTGCGCCTCTCTCCTGGTAGGCTCACACAACTCTTCGTCTTCGTCATCTGTGACCCTAACCCACTGTCCACTTTCATTGGTATGTCTAATCAGTTCTATATGATTAGTGACACTGATACCGGCATGATTGCTTCCCATATGAGTCCCAGGGGAAGTGACGTTGACGGCATTGTGCGTTCCTTTGCCGTAAAGACCCATGTGCAAGGTCTCCTTGTAGCTGCAGACATGGCTGCCGTTGCTCATCCTGCAGCTTCCGCCTCTGAATATGTGCTTGTAAAGCGGGAGATAGGTTGGCATCGAGACCGCTAGCATGCCGACGACGATCTCAAGCAAGCTAACGATGACGGTGGGTGCAGCATCCCATGTCCTATCGTTTGCGCTGACTTTGATGGAAAATGGGAGTCGCACGATGCCCAGAGCCCAGGCACTACAGTAGACGAAAGTTGTGGGTCAGAGTTTCATGGATTGGAGTTCATTACATGCTACTTACCTAATCCCAACAGCAAAAGTTGCTAGCACTAGCCACCTTTCCTGCCCCATCACCTTGTGATTCCAGACTAAAGGTATCACCATAGCCATGATAATTATATCCGTGACAACATTGATAATACCAAAAACAAGATTCCGTAGGCCCAAGCTGATACAGAGGTCTCGGGTATTCGGTCGCCAGACATCGTCGATAGACTTGCATTGGAAAATAGCGACAACAGAACCAGACATGCCCCAACCAAACACAAAGAGGGCAACTCCCCACACGCAGTAGCGAAACTTTGGCCCTGGGAAAGCCCTTGCGTATAGCGCCAGGACACTGAACTTGATCAAGGTAATGGCGAAAGTATATGCCACCTCACCAACAACGGCTATCTGTGCCGAGTTGTTAGTTTACAGTCTATTTTCCCAACGTCTTGGCAATCCAGGGGATCAGATCTCCAGTCTCAGTAGGAGGACACAGCGATGAAGGGACAAAGATCGCTGTAACTTACGACCTGAACTTTACGGATGTCCGTGACCACTACCGCGTGCCGTCCAATTTCAAACTTAGTTCCCACAGCCCAAGAAATGTTCACAGCGGCGAAGAATATCCAGGCCACAAGCAGAAACCAATCGCTCGCGTCCAGATGAAGCCGACCGTGCCGTAACCGTCGAGACAGAAGTCGTAGGGACACTATGACCGCCGAGGCAATGGCCGTGCAGACGCATGCCATGATGAGCCCAGGTACCCGCGTCTCATGGCGATGCTCGTACTGCCACTCCAACTCATGCTGCGATAGTTCGAAGCTTATGTTGACCATCGTGATGTCCAGCTGTACTGTATCTCAACAAGTACGCTGTTTTTTTCCCTAGGTCACGTAGATATTGGCGGGCTGATCCGAGAAGAGGAGCTGGCGGGCTGGCTGACTAGCGATGAGCAGCCAGCTACCTACATATTCCGGTCATGGAGGATGAAACGGATGGAAGGAATGGCAGACAGGGCAATAGACACCTCCACAGGTAGGGAGATAGATGGGTAGATATGACCCGTCGATTGATCAACCGGAAAACGGCTTTTCGCAATGCTTTATTTCTGCAGGTGGCTAACGCAGGATGTTGAAACAATTTAGCTAAGTTGTTTCCGAACCGGGCACCATCATTCCCTACCGTGCCCGAAGCGCGATTCTCCTGGTCTGCTTGGCAAATCTGTCACTATAGGCGCTTAGGGCACATACTTTAGTATTCTCATCAGTTTGGTCGGCGATATCTTCGGTGCTACGCCGCTAGAAAATCCCCGGAATGCTCCACGCCTCCCCCCTTGGGTGTAGATGCGGGTGCGGTGATCATGTCGGGCTTTGGGCATGGAGCACGATCCGTCGGGATATGCTGAGACTCTTTGCGTCTGCTATTATTGATTGACGGCCTGTTTAAGCCGCAAGCACTATTAGGAGTGGCTGACCGTGCCCGTATAATCGGGCCGTTCGGTCGCTTTATGTCTTAACGGTCGGGAGGAAGTGCCATAGTGTGGCGTGAGACATGTGTCCACCATATGCTGGGGCGCCGCCAGGATGGGTTCAACTCAGACATGGAAGGGGAGCGTTGAGACAGAAGGGTGACATGTAATAAAAAGGAATATGGACAGAATCACAATCCATTCACTTCCCCTTTGACAGGATTCATGATAGGTATGGTATGTGAATACCGAGCCATCGCCGGACCTCTTTGGCTGGAATGAGCGGGTTCATGGTCTCGTGTAATCATATAAAGCCTGTTAGAACTCTATACCTCTTCAACGTCTGATCATACGCGCTATTCCATGTACGACTATTTTCATGATTGTTGGATAAATCGTTTGGCCGGTGGTGAGGGCAAGGTTGATTACATCTAGATGGATAATAGAATTCGCATCTAAAGATCAGCATTTTGAGATCTCACAAGCGCTTTAGCTGCAGCAAGTTTTAATGATCCAAGCTTAGCCTGTTTATTGTACCTTGCAGGCATCTCATGCTGAACATCATACCAGGACCCTGCATACATAGAGTAGATTGTCATGCACATCATTGCAACCTAGTGTCGGATCCTGCCCCTCGGACTCTCTAGTGGATACTAGGGTGAATGTTGATTATGTCCGAGACAAAAAGGAGAGTGGCGACATTGAATACGAGGTACTCACTTCTAATCGATATGGGGAAAATGAAGATGAATATGGAAATTTAAAATATAAAATAAAACGTACAACACCAGGGATTCGCTGGTCGTCACCGACCCAACTACTAATCTGGCGCTCATACCGGCTTATCTATGGGAGAGCGGACGGGATCCCGAGTTTTCCGATGGCTATGGTCGTACGTGACAGATCTCAGACTCACGATGCCTTATAAACTTACCACAAAGGTTGAAAGTAGTTGGAAGCGAACTACTTGCTTGGCAGTTAACTACTTGACCACCTACTCTTCAGGAAGGACTCTGACTTTGCAAGTCTTTTATGTTAGGTTTCCCTATTAGCGTGCTATGGCCCGAAGAAGATAATGTGCTCTTATAGTCGGACGTAACCGGCCGACCGGCCGATTAACATCGGGGCATGATAGCGCTAGATCAAGGGCTCATTACCTCTCACCTTCTACAGCTTGAGCTGCCGGGGGTTGATTGACCGGTTTTATGATGATTTATAAGCTGCTTGTTGTTAGCAAATGCGCAACTCCTCATTGGGCAGACCTATGAAGGTAGACAATGTCGGAGCTGAATGTAAGAATGCCGGGATCAGCCCCTCTCCTGAGTGTGCTCCGGCTCTAGAAGCCGTGCCCGCGGGATATTGCGGGGATGGGGACTGACGCCATTATTGACTTTGGAGATCCAAGGTGTCGCTATTCCCTTGCATCTTGAACACTGAATTTCAATCAAATGAATTATTCCAATACCTAACCTATTATAGTTCAGTAACGATGACGCTTCCGACGATCGCGATCCTGGACGATTACCAGGAGTTTTCAAAGGCCCCCTTCGAACGGCTACGATCTTCCGGATACCAGGTAACGACGTTTAAGGATACGCTTCTACCGTATAACCACCCCGATACACCTCAGGATGCCAAGGATGCTCTTGTCAACCGCCTGGAGCCGTTCAACATCATCTGTAAACTCATTTCATAAGTTTTTTTGGTTGAACTTAATCTGACGATTTTTAGGCTCGATGAGGGAAAGAACACCATTCCCAGCAGAATGTAAGTCAATCATATCTGCCCTGCTTGCTCTGTTTCAGTGTACGAAATGTTTCCAATAGAATGAACGGACCGAGACTGACGCTTGACCTTGGAGTGACCAATCGGCTTCCCAACCTGAAGCTACTCCTAACAACCGGGCCGCGAAATGCAGCAATTGATGTTCAAGCTCTTCAAGCTCGCGGCATACCAGTTGCCGGCTCGAGCGGCTCGGGTGGCGGCAGGGGTACACCATCCGGCCCTGACAGCACCACGCAGCACACGGTGGCCTTGATCCTGGCTCTCGCGCGCAACATCCCACAAGACGATGCCACGGTGAAATCCGGAGGGTGGCAGACCAAAGACGCTATTGGATTAGCAGGCAAAATATTCGGCACTGTCGGTCTAGGCAGACTCGGGGCCACAACGTCTAGGATCATGCACCTGGCGTTCGGCATGCGAGTAATCGCGTGGAGCACCAACCTGACTCAAGACGCGGCGGACGAGAAAGCCAAGGCGATGGGGCTGCCGATCGAGGATGAGACGGGCGCTAAGACCTTCAAGGTCGTCGCTCGGGACGAGCTTTTCAGCACGGCGGATGTGGTTAGCATTCACCTTGTGCTCTCGGAGCGGTCGAGAGGTCTCGTGGGCATGGGTGATCTGGGGAAGATGAAGAAGTCGGCACTACTGGTTAACACGTCCCGAGGACCTATTGCGAATGAAGCGGAACTGCTCGAAGCTGGGAAAAGGGGGCTGATCAGGGGTATTGGGCTGGATGTGTATGGCCTTGAACCTCTGCCGCAGGATAGCGAATGGCGGTCCACAAAATGGGGAGAAGAGGGGAGGAGTAGTGTGGTGTTGACGCCTCATATGGGATATGTTGAGGCTGAGCCTATTACGGCGTGGTATGGGGAACAGGTTGAGAATATTCTGCGATGGCAGAAAGGAGAGGCGCTGACGACGCTGTTCAAAGATAATGGATACTGAGGGAGAGATCACATCTAGGTCGACTCTGTTTGAGCCCGTGGGGCAACTATCTACCTTGGTGGTGTGGTGGATATGTCTGCCTTGCAAGAGTAATTCATTGACTGGAGGATCATATGCAACTCCTAGGTATGTGTGAGGCAAAGGTTTAGGCACATGAAAGGGTAGTACAATGATTTGAATTAACTACCTACATTCACTCGAGGTATTTTCTCCTTTATATCTTGCTATTCTTTAGTAATTTGAAGGGAGTGAGACTTCCCAGCCTTTCTCTGCTTGTCTAAGCTATGCATGGGTATGTGATTGCATATAGACACCTTAGGAAGTATGCACCTCTAAGTCAATTATCTACATCATGAACAAAGGACTCAACATTATCTGCCACGTAGACAAGGCGTGAGTGCGAACGCGTGAGAACGCGTTAGAACGTTATTTGCCCAGAGTCTTTGATTCCCTACCAAGTTTGCTCAAAAGGTGCCAAACATATAACTTGAAGTTAATGCAGTTGGGTTGTGATTTACTGCCAAGTGCCTGGGTAGGCACTTATTATACTAGGTAGCATTGTCACGTCTCTTTCATAGGAAATTGAACTGTTTGACGCGTCGCGTGGTGATGATGTGTAGTGATGGTTGACAACATTGCCTAAGTAGGTACATGGAGGAAAGAGCGCGTGGTAGGTAGGTACCTGCCTACTTCCATCTCAGTTCCACCTCTCTCGCTGATTGTCCTACGTCCTCTTCTATCTGCCTGTCCTGCCTTTCATCTTCTCCCATATGTAATCTGACTCTTCCTCTCGCCCTCTTCCCGGACATTCGGTTTCCACCATTGTCCTGTAAGCACCCGGGAGACAGTTACAGCAGTGTCACAAACTGCATCTTTAACATCTTGTCTAGTGCAGAATCTTGACTGATAGGTCAGTCTTATCCCGTTGCTGTTGGATCCTATCCGGATCAGCACCTCTTCACATTACTTTTCGTTCACGTCTCCAGGGCGCTCGGAATTAGATGCCTATCTATCTTGACATGTTATCCATTTCCTACCTTCCTTCCAGTCCTCATCCTCTACCGGTTCATCCTACCGCTCCTAGTACTGTATAACCCAAGCATTCGAACCTGACAGAGCCTTGATCCTGTTACTGATTCGGGCATCTTCCTAATAGGCTGTGACAAACATGGCTACCATGGTCAATGCGGAAGTCGACAAACATGCCCTTGGGAGTAGCGTTGCCGCCCAGGGCATCAATGCAGTTGCTGAAGCGAGTACAGACAGAAGCGCAGGTCAGTACTCATCTTGGTCCCTTTCTCCCTTCCATTTCTTTTCCAGCTCATTGCCCAAGAGACTATTTAAAATCTACCAAGCATACTGACATGGCAGCAATGCCTGGCTGTCTAGGACTGCCTTGCGCCTTTGAACCCAAGTCTTCAAGCAATCCTCAGGCACCAGCTTCTGAGGGTTTGACTATGGCCACAATGACGACTGAAACCCCCATCCAACTCGCCCAGTTCGCCCAGCTCGCCCAGCCCGCTCAATCCGCCCCCCCTCCATCACCCTCTTCTGCCTTTACAGTTGCAATACGTCGCGCCGCCAAGACCAATGTCTCCTCTCCCCTTTTGCGTGGCCCTGTTCCTCAGAAGGGGTCTGGACAGGATCGCTTTCGAGAGCTACTGAAGGGAAACGAGTTTTCTCGCTTAGCCGCAGCGGATCGCAGCAGCTCGTATCTTGCCTCCATCAATACAGGTACGATTCAACGACGGACCGGGGTTCTCCAACGCTATTGTGCGTGGCCTGCTCCTCTACTGTTTTAAATACTTCTTGCTGTCCCTAAGAACCAATTGCTAACTAAAACCCTAGCACCGGATCTCCCTAAGGCCAACCCTCCCCTCTTCACACTCAACACGACCACATCTACCCGTCATAGCGGCCAGGCAATGGATTGCGCTATGGATCGCGCGGTCGTTACGCCAGCCGAAGTCAAGGGAGAAATGTCCCTGGAAGCCAAGAAGGCGGTTAAGGAACCCTCCTTAGTGCAGCCTAAGGTAAATGCTGAAGATGGGCTTGGCCAACATACTCGTAAAGGTATTCATACTCAACCCCTTGCGACTGCACGCCTCAGTGCTCAATGTCAGTTGCGTCATTTCAATCCCAAGTGGCAAGAGACTTCAGGTCCCAATGGCTTCGAGTGTTCTGTCCAGTTACAGAACAAGGTTATTCACGGCGACCGTTCCTACCAGACTGCCTATGAAGCTAAGCAAGCGGTGGCTAAGAAGGCCCTTACTTACGTTCGTCGTCTACCTTGCGATGACCCGGCACAGAAGCTTGTGATGCGAATCAGAAATGGCGAGAACCGAACAGACATTTTCCTTAATGGGAACGTTGTTATTGATGGTAACCAAAAAGGACGAGTCCAGATGAAGAGTGAGCCTTCTGCAAACGCCAGCCATGCAGGGTCTACTGGCCAGCATACCTATGCCACGTATGCAGATGCCAATGCAGCTGCTTGTAACTGGATTGCAAGTAACTACACCGACCATAGAGCCCTAGTTCGCCACATTCAGTCCTTGTTTGGAAGCACAGGACCTAGCCCGGCTGTCATCTCTGACTCTAAGGCGTCTCAAGCCTTCTTGCAAGGCTTGGCCCTGGGCACGTCTATGCCCGCCGCTTCAGCGTATGATCCATACCATAAACCTCGAGGCAGGCCCATTCCAGCTTCATCCGGTGATTCATACCGTCCTTACGAGGCTCGGGAGCGATCCCCTGCACCCAGTGTGGCGCGCAACTACCGGGACCGCTCCCCGCTGCGGCACGCACCGTACGAGTTAAACTAGCGGCAATCCACTTGAAGTGGTGAAGGTAAGAAGAGTATGTGCCTAAGACTGTTATACAGCTAAGGCACAGAAGGCCGCAAGGCTGCATTTATGGCGCGTTGATGGTTTGCTTGATTTCGAGGATTCACGGGAGGGTCTTCAGTTCTTTGATACACGTTGTTTATTTGAGATTGATAGCTGGCACGGGTAGGGTATGACATTCTTCTGACATGGTAGGAGTTCAGTCAATTCAGATGAAGGTTGAGGTTGGGGTCAGATTTTGCTGGGCATCCTTAGACCACCATCCAGCCGAATAACAGTTCCGTTAAGCATGGAGTTCTCAATGATCTGTTTGACAAGTTGTGCAAATTCCGCGGGCTTACCTGCTCTGCGGGGAAACTCCATGGCGGCTGCTAGCCCTTCAAAGAGTTTCTTAGGCAACACGGCCGTCATCCTCGACTCGAAGATGCCCGGGGCCACAGTCACACAGCGAATGCCATATCGAGCGAGATCCCTCGTCATTGGCAGCGTCATGGAAGCCACGGCACCTTTGCTTGCTGCGTATGCTACCTGCCCCTTTTGCCCATCAAACGCCGCCACGGACGCCACCACTACAATATTGGGTATCAGTAATTGTGGTTTCAGATTTCCAAGACATGACTTGAGCCCTGTAAAAAGGAACAAATTCTAGAAAGTGGTGAATAAGCCGATGGCACCGGGGAGTGCTTACTGATGACGACGCCACGCTCCTGGTCGTCACTAACCGGCTCAGTCTTGGCTAGATGAACGAGGCATTGCCGCACTAGGTCGACAGTACCACGTAGGTTAATATTAACTACAAAGTCAAAACTATCCAGGCTAAAGGCGTCGCCATGCTTGTCCAGTATCTATGAGAGTAATCAAATCAGTTTACCGTGTTTAGCAATTGAGGGAGGAGAGAGAGAGAGAGAGAGAGAGAGAGAGAGAGAGAGAGAGAGCAGTACCGTAGACGGATTTCCCACGCCGGCAGCTGGTATGATGCCACCCATAGGTTTTGTAGTTTCCCTGATCCATTCTACGACACCGGCGACAGCAGCCGTGATGCTCTCGGTTTCTGTGACATCACAGACAAAGAACTTAGCAGCGCCCTGGGGTAGCTGCTTGACGAGTTCGGCGCCGAGATGTTCGTTCAGATCGAGAATGGCGACGTTCCCTCCGTTGCGGCAGATTTCTTGCACGGCGGCTTGTCCCAGGCCGGATGCTCTGGTAGTGAGTTGGTTGAATTAGTTTTGGATGTTGGAATTGCTGTATGGTGGGCGTTTTTACATGTGATTGTGCTAAGTGGGTTGGTTTCCAAGGTGGATTGGGGTGGTTGTTAGTGAGGTAGGTAAGGAGTGGGAATGCATACCCGCCTGAGACGACAAATGTTCTGCCTTCGATCTTCATCTTTTTTAAAATAGGTGACGGGATATAGTGTACTTGAAATAATACCAATATCAAGTTAAAATGGGGATAGTATGTATAGAAAAGGTGTCGGATAGTAAGTGTTATATGGCAATGGAGGTTAATATGTTGCTGTCCGGGTGGTTAGGAGGCCGGATAGCCTATTGGATACCTAGGTATAGCTGGAGCTCCGAGGTTGGGGGAGCAGATATGCAAGCCACGGCATAAGTACCTAGGTAGTACGTAGTACGACCTATGTATGTAGGCCCCTGGGTAGAGGTACCTACCTAGGTACACCCAATAGCGAGGTCTGTAGGTGTGCGTTACAGGCTCGCGCTGTCACCTGAGCAGAGCTTGTTCTCACCGCTCGCTGTACTCCAATGTTACCTACATGAACTGAACCATTCGAGCCATTGCAGTGCCTTACGTGTACTTTGTACATAGTACAGGCAGTAGCCAAGACAGGGTTTGTGGGCGGATGACACAATTCTCGGGACCCCGGTCGGTACCTATTTCCAGGTACATTTAGTGCCACTGTTAGGTACCTACTGATAAGCTCGTGTGACATGACGACGTTATCTCATTTCAATCCGGCTCGTTAAAGGGCGGGCTGTTTTACAAATCACATACCTCACCAACCCCGGCCCCGAGTTGAGAGAGAGAGCATAACGACTGCTGCTCACGTCCCTATCCCACTGCGCTATCTATCCCCGGTATTGCTTCACTCATCCTGGCTTGAATACTCTGTTCTGCGCAAGAGGAGAGCGGATCCAGCGCCAACATGACACGCCCGCGGCGATCCTCCGTGGCGAGCGAGGAGAGCACGGGGACTGCCGGTGACCAGGTGCGTCGCCCTTCCCGATTAAGCCGTTCGCAAGGAGGGGTCATGGTTGACTCAAAACTAGGAACTAGGGAGCATGTATGATTACCTAGCCAAGATAATACTGTTAGGACCGAGCGGCACTGGAAAGTAAGTCGTCCTCCTCCTCCTTCAATCTCATCCGCTGTAGACAATGTTCTCGGCGTCCAGTCGGCTGCCTCGGACTCCATGTGCGCTGCTGTGTATCGGTCTGGAGATACCACGGGAAAGACGCCGATAGGCCACTGTATCGGGAACGTGCTCGGAACCCCCATCAAAGGAAAACTGCTAACAAGTCCCCTCTCCCTCTTAGATCTTGTTTATTACACCGTTTTGTAAAGAGCGAATGGCGTGTCCTCTCGTCGCAAACGATTGGGGTTGAATTCGCGAGCAAGATCATTAAAGTTGGCACCGGCGCGCGGCGGAAACGAATAAAGTTACAGGTAAACATCAACCCGATCGGTGATGACAGGTGCACCGTGGTACGGTTGACAGGGCTAATTGATTTTTCAGCTATGGGATACAGCAGGCACCGAGCGGTTCCGCTCCGTTTCGCGATCATATTACCGCGGGGCAGCGGGCGCTGTTTTAGTCTACGACATCACTTCTCATAATTCCTTTCGAGGACTCCAACCTTTTCTGAACGATGCGCGGGCGCTCGCTTCTCCGAACTTAACCCTTCTCCTCGCAGGCAATAAACTCGATCTCGCCAACGACTCTCTCATCGACACGAGTATACCAACTGCGACGCCATCGAGCACAGGCTCGAATTTTCCCTACGGCACGTCGGCTGGCACGGCAAGCGCCGGATTAGGTGCGCAACTGCGCGCCACAGTCGCCCCGGAAGGGCGCGAGGTCTCACCCGAAGAGGCATCACGGTGGGCCAGCGGTGTTAATGTACCGGTTACCATGGAGGTCTCGGCGTTCTCCGGCGAGGGCGTAGATGAAGTATTCGGACGGCTTGCGCGCATGATTCTAACGAAGATCGAGCTGGGGGAGATTGATCCCGATGATCCGATGAGCGGTATACAATATGGCGATGGAGGCATGTGGAATGCCGGCGCCAGCGACGGCGCTAGCATTAAGAGCTCTATGACGGCGGACGAAATCGCTCTTGGAGGAGCCAGCGTAAGGAAGAGGAGACGAGGCAAGAATCGCGTTCCGAATTGGGGAATGCGGGAATGGGAGGAGGTTTTCACGCTGAATCGTGGACGGGGGAGGGGAAATTGCTGCTGAGAGGACCTCGTTGTTACGGTGTGTTTTTTTCCTTTCGCGAGCGCGAAGGGAGGAGTTAATAATGGTGCTCGTTCTGAAAGTTACGACAGGGGCGTACGGCGGATCGAACGAAGACGTGATGCGAGTAGGCACTCACGGTTATTATTGAATCGGGGAATGAAATAGGTTAGGTCGACGCCGTCCATTGGAAAACCTACCTACCTACCTACCTATGAGATACCACCCTTACTATGACTACAAGGACTATCTTATCTGGGTTTGGCTGGAGTCTGGTATCTGGATTCTGGAATCGAATGAATCATGTAGGCGCACGCACTCGTTTTACTCGGCGTTCGGAGATTGAACGGAACAACATGCATGACGGACGAACTGCAAGACCTATTTTTTTGTTTTCTTTATTTGTCGATGAGGTTGGTTTTGTGAGATTTGGTTGTTGATAGATCAGATCAGATCGGATCAGTTATATTTATTGTAGAGCAGGGCAGGGCTGAGAGATGGATGCTTTGCTTTGCTTGGCTGGGTTATATATTTAGTTTAATTTAGTTACCTGCTGATACTACGTACGTAATATGAGATTTCTTAGTTAATAGAATGGTTATATGTATTTGGACTTTTCCTTGAGTATGTTTATTCTGATATCTTTGGATGGCTTGTACTTACTGTAAGTAAGTAAATGGTTCGGGTCCCGCACCAATCGTGGCTCTGTACCTACGGTAAACTAGTAGGGGTCAGTTTCCTGAAAAAGGCGTCGGGGCGCGATACTCCGTCGTTGAAACGTCTGATTTGGGGAATGTGTTGCTGATGTACCGGTATGTATGTCGACATTTGTACCTAAGTATGCAAGGTGTAGTAGGTAGGTATTACATAATGAGATGTGAAGCTGTCTGGATTGCGGTGAGAATTGGAAGATTGGGTTGGTTGAATAGAGAGAGTGAGAAAGACATACAATTCTGGTAAATATTTTAGAGGTAGGTAGGTAGGTGGCAATATCGGGGATACTGGAAATATTGGGATCTGAAAACTCACGTTGGCGTTTGTTTTTCCCCTCTCGTTACGCCTCGCCTCTTTGTCGAGCTCGATTTACCTCCCTATATCCTCGGTATAATAGATGAGCCAGGCCTGCTGAGACATGCATCGCGAGTCCCCGCTGTGGAGAGCTTGCATACCTACCTAAGTACTGCAAACTGCCTGTTGCGAGATCCATCTCGGCGGCAGACAAGCCGTTTTCTTATTGGAGTTGAGGCGGTCTTTCTCGTGACATGTCGTGTCTACATTTGTTGTTTTGTTTTGGGGTTGAAAAAGGTCATGTGGATGTGGGAAGCTGTAGATCGGACCATTGCCCTACCTCGAGAATATCTGGACGTATAAAATGCCAGACTTTGCTTGCTCTTGCTGAATACGGCTTCCTGTCTAGGTTACCTAATCGCGCGGTTTCTGCTTTCCGAGCTGGAGATTGCCTACTTATTGTATTAGTCGTCATCTTGGGGCATTTTTGAATCTTGAGTATCTTCATTTTTGAGTTGTTTTTCTCGATCGTTTACTATTTCTGCGTAGATCAAGCCCCCGGGTCGCTGTCGATTGTTGGGCTGAAGGGACCGTCATTTCGTCACCCCTCAACATCGTCCCCCGCCATCATGGACCCCCGCATTGTTGTGCCCATTGACAAGAAGTGGGAGTTCAAACAAGCCGACAAGGCCGACGACGCATATCTCCCCGTCTCCCAATTCCCGACCAATGTCCATCTGGATCTGTTGGCTCATAAGCTGATACCCGATCCCTACATCGGCAAGAATGAGCTCGATGTGCAATGGGTCGGCGAGAAGGTCTGGGTCTACCGGACCAAGTTCACATCCCCTGAGACTACGGGTCCGAAAGCTGTGATTGCCTTTGACGGACTCGACACGTTTGCCACCGTCGTGCTCAATGGCAAGACAATCCTGGAAACGGAGAACATGTTTATCCCCGAACGCGTAGATGTCACGGGTGTCCTAGCTAAGGCAGGAGGGGAGAACGAGCTTGTCATTACGTTTGATAGTGCGTATATCAGGGGCTGGAAGCTTGTTGAGAAGCATAGTGATCATAAGTGGGGTTGCTGGAATGGCGATAACTCGAGGTTGGCTGTGCGGAAAACTCAGTATCATTGGGTAAGTCGGACATGAATGATTGAGCTGTGATAACTCCATGATATTGACGTCTTGGGGTCTAGGGATGGGATTGGGGACCAACACTACTTTCATGTGGACCGTGGCGGCCGATTAATCTCGAGATCTACGAGGCTCGGATTAGCGATCTTTGGTGTGATATTAACGTCGACAAGTCTCTTAAGGGGGCTACTGTGGTTGTCCACGCACCAATCGAAGGCAAAGCTTCAAAGCTGCGATTAGACATCTCACTTAACGATTCACTTGTGGCTAGTCAGGAGATTGACGCTGGGTCCAGTGCAACATTTATAATTTCCGACCCGGAGCTCTGGTACCCTGTCCGATACGGCAAGCAGCCGCTCTACAATGTCAAGGCGACGATAGTTCAAGACGGTAAAGACATTGACAGCATATCCAAAAAGATCGGTTTACGACGAGCTGAACTGGTTCAGAAACCACTTAAAGGACAACCTGGTACCTCTTTCTTCTTCGAGGTCAATGGTATTCCCCTATTCTGCGGCGGCAGTGACTGGATCCCCGCAGACAATTTCATCCCGCGTATCAGCAAGGAAAGGTACTACGACTGGGTCAAATTGGTAGCTGATGGTAATCAGTTCATGATTCGAGTATGGGGAGGCGGAATCTACGAGGAACAAGCCTTTTACGACGCTTGTGACGAGCTCGGCATCCTAGTATGGCAGGACTTTATGTTTGGCTGCGGCAATTACCCTGCGTGGCCGGAACTACTAGCTTCGATCAAGCGCGAGGCCGAAGAGAACATCAAGCTGCTCAGACATCACCCTAGCATCGTGATCTGGGCCGGGAACAACGAAGACTACCAATATGCGGAAAGTGCCAATTTGGAATGGGATCAGAGTAATACGGATGCCGAGAGTTGGCTGAAGACCGATTTCCCGGCGCGGTATATCTACGAGAAGATCTTACCAGATGCATGTCGCGAGTATTGTCCGTCAGTATATTACCATCCGGGTAGCCCGTGGGGTGGCGTCGATACACGCGATCCGACGGTAGGCGATATCCACCAGTGGAACGTATGGCATGGATCGCAGGAGAAATACCAAAATTTCGACAAGCTGGTAGGGCGGTTCGTGTCGGAGTTTGGAATGGAAGCTTTCCCGTCCGTGAAGACGATCGACGCGTTCCTACCGCTCGGGAAGGACGATCCAGATCGCTACCCCCAGTCGTCGACGATAGATTTCCACAATAAAGCCGATGGTCACGAGCGACGTATCGCCCTGTACCTGGTCGAGAACATGCGTTATGCGCCTGACCCGCTCGAGCAGTTCGTTTACTGCACCCAGCTGATGCAAGCCGAATGTCTCGCTTCAGCATACCGGCTGTGGAAGCGTCAGTGGAAAGGACCAGGTCGTGAATACTGCGCCGGCGCGCTAGTCTGGCAAATCAATGACTGCTGGCCTGTGACGTCCTGGTCTATCTGCGATTATTACCTACGACCGAAACATGCGTACTACACGGTGAAGCGCGAGATGGCGCCCCTGAGCGTCGGGATAACCCGTCGCGTGCATACCCACCCGAACCCGAAGAACAAATACTCCCGCATTGACGTCACGACACAGATACAGGTTGAGATCTGGGGTAGTAATCTCATGCTGGAGGATCTCGAGGTGGATTGCCTTGTTCGTGCGTGGGACGTCGAGACGGGGGAAGAAACATATGCGGAAATCGTCCATGAGAAGCTCCTACTGCCCAAGAACCAATCTACAGAGGTGATAGCTATGGACGTGCCTGTGCAGAAGAAAGGCGATGAAGGACAGACTGTCGTTGCAGCCTACCTGCTTGAATCATCCTCTAAGGACGGCATTGACGGCACGACGCCTACGCAGATAGGCAAGAAACAACTTGCGCGCTACGTGAACTGGCCTGAGCCTTTGAAGTATCTGCATTTGCAAAAACCGAAACAGCTGAAGGTAGAGTTGAGCGCGGATGGAAAGAGTGTGGCGGTGAGCGCGGAGGTGCCTGTTAAAGGCGTGGCTGTCGAGTCTGAGGATGATGCCGTGAGGTTCGAGGATAATCTTGTTGATATCGTGCCGGGCGAGACGGTGCGGATTCCGGTGTGCGGAGCGAGTGAGGACACGATTGTTACTACGAGGTATTTGGGGATGATATAGGGGTGTTTTCTCGTGGATTGTTGTTGTTGTTGTTGAGATGCTTGGGGTACCTTGATGGTTAGTATAGCGTAGAGATGAGAACTAAGGTTATTCTGACTGATTCCGCTCGGACCTCTTCGTTCGTTTTTATCCCGGGTAAATCTTTTCAACCTTGAGTTCCCCAAGCAGGGGATATTGCTCCATTTGTTCATGAGGCTATCATCGTATGATGTATGAGGGGCCGTGACATGCACCCTGTTTGTGAAATGGTAGATATATACACTACCTACCTGACATACCATCTCTGGTGTTCAATTTCCAGCATATTATCCTCGAATCAAATATACAAATTCCCCAGAGATTACTCTCGGTAACAAGTGTCCACCATCGCTATTACCCAAACCACGAAGTTCCCCGATTTCCGATATCCCCATCACAATTTCACCTAACCTATTCCTTCTTCTCGTTCGGACCCGCGATCAAGATCTTGATAACCTCGCCCTCCTTGACCTTCTCAAACGCCTGCTCGGCGTCCTCGAAATCCACGACGCCGCTGATCAACTTCCTGACATCCACCCTGCCGCTCGCCACGAGCTCGACAGCGAGCTTGTAATCCCCGCTGCCGTACCGGAAGGAGCCCTTCGCCGTGACCTCCTTCAGACACATGGCCATGATGGGGAACGTGATCTCGTCGCGGCCCATGCCGCCCTGGACATACGTCCCGCCGGTCCGCACAACGTGCAGACTCGTCTGGATGCTGGGTTCCGCACCGCTCGCGTCGATGACGACGTCGGCGCCGCCCGCGAGATTGGGCGCCAAGGCGCGGATGTTGGATGCGTTTTCCGGGGCCGGGATGCGCTGAGAGGAGTACGTGTGCGTTGAACAGAAGGATTTCGCGAAGGCCAGCTTCGACTCGACGATGTCCACGGATACCACTGTCGAGGCCCCGAAGGCGCGGGCTACCGCTGCGCAGAGAAGGCCCACGGGCCCGGCCCCCATTACCACTACGGATTGCCCCGGCGTTACCACCGCCTGTCGCACGATGTGCACTGCTACCGCCAGCGGCTCGACCAAGGCGCCTTCTTGCAGGGTGACGGACTCGGGCAGCTTGTAGCAGAAGTCCGCGGGGGACACCCAGAACCCCGTCAGCGTCCCGTGGTACGGCGGCGTCGCGGCGAAGCGCATCTCGGGACACAGGTTGTATTTCCCGCTGAGACAGGGCCCGCACCGACGGCAGGGGTAGCCGGGCTCGAGGGCCACGCGGTCGCCGGGCCGAAGGGTCGTCACGGCCGACCCGACTTCCACGATGGTCCCGGCGGACTCGTGGCCCAGGACCATCGGCTCCTTGACCACATAGTGCCCGATCGCCCCGTGCGTCCAGTAGTGCACGTCCGAGCCGCAGATCCCGGTGTAGTTTATTGCGACGAGGACGTCGTGCGGGTCTGAGAGGGTGGGCAGATCGCGCGATTTGAACTCTACATCGTGCGGTTTGTTGAGGATGAAGGAGAGGTTCTGGGGTTGGGTGTTAGTTGATCAGTTGGTTGTCTTGTATTCGATGGATGGGAGGGTGGTGCTGGGGGATAACGCACGCTGGCTGTCTTGGGATCCATTGTCGTCGTTGGGTGTTGCAATAGGTTCGGAATACTGATGAGTTACGACGAGGAAGAAAGAGAGAGTCAAAGGCCCTGTTCTATTTCTCCCACTTCGTCGGGACCCGCGGGTTTTCCCTTCGGGTTGGAATTGTCCAGATGCCGAGCACGACGGTTGACGATGGTGTTTCACACGAGAAGGGTTGGTTGGTTACACTTATACGTTTGGAACGGTCAAGCACTTGTTCTGTTCAGCTACCATTGCAACTTTATATCATGGAGGGGAACAATTCCACTTCTTATCAGAGACCAGTTAAAAGCAAGTACGATTATCATTATTTATTTGCTTTTTCTTGTTTCTATAACTCTTTTTTTTTTTTTTTTTTTTTTTTCCTCTCTCATCTTGCTCCATCGTGGCGCGTTCGGAGCTCGTCCTTCACATGACGCAGTTCTAACTTACACGATAGCGGGGGCTAGGGAAAAGGATGTCGTAATAGGTATTGCCCGCATCTCCAATTTTTGGACATTGTACTTACGGGAGTGGGGGAGAGCTCGGGGAGGAGCGCGTAGAGTAGCTCATGTGGGTTGGGACCAATTTAACCGCCTGTTTTACCCGCACCAATCGACGTCTGCGGCAATGGGAGTCTAGATAGATGCTGTTGGGATGGCGATACACTTTTGCTTGTACTGTGGTCGCCGAAGAGAGGGGATTCTCAAGGCAAATCACAGGCGCAAGTTATTCTTCCCTTAGGTGGGTAACTGAAATCTGCTGATGAACAAGAACTTAATGGCGCAGAAATCTTTATCTGTGAAGTTTGCCTTGCGGTAGTTGTTCGTGATGTGATCTCCATCAACTCTGGCTACACCAACCACACTTACCTTACCGTATTAGGCAAGAATAGCCATCACTTCTCCATTGCCATTCACTGTGTAGGACGAGAAGTGAACCTGGAAAAGATAGTATATGCGTATATAATGCCTTTCCACACAGCATGAGCTACATGGAATCTGAACGATACACGTCTTGCATATTCGCCTGACTAGCGGTCCTATTGTCCATGTCTAGTGTCCCAGCTCGCCCTCACATCATGTCATTTCATGTCTCCGAGGTGGATTTTAATAGTTATCTCGCTCAGTCCAGGGCTTCAAGGCTTCCAAGAACTTGAGATGTAGTTCAGGGTCTCCTGTGCCTTCCAGAACGGGTTGAAAAATGTCGTCGCCGAACTGGCGGAACATCAGTAAAAATCCGGCATGCGTAAAGTCGACGTAGCTAATGGTGTCGCCCAGGAAGAACACGCCCTTGTCATTCTCCTTCAGCATCGCCGTGATGTTCTTTAGGTAAGTCGCCGCCCCCTTGTATGCTTCTTCCGCGCTGTGTTCCTTCACAAACTGATCCAGGTCCATGCCGACGTGTCCTGAGCGGGTTCTGTTCCAGTACTCGCGGTTCAGGTCCTTCAGAAGTCGGTCCCGCACTGCTGGCATGAAAATAGGTCGCAGATTTTCGAAGACTCCTTTCAGCTCTTCAATGTATCTTTGAACGTGCGGCCAATTTATGGGTAGCGGTGGCGATGGATATTTCTCCTCCAGCACTCCCACAATTACTTTGGAATCCATGATGTAGGTACCGTCGGGCATAATAACGGTAGGAACAGTATATTGATCCTTGCCCGGGATGCTAGACACGTGGTCAACCACCTTAGCTTACGGTAATATCATAGGAGAGGGGTGAGGCTCACTGGGGTTCAAGCCTTGGCTTGATTTCCGGGTATTCAAGCTGTCAAAGAATGAGCATTATGTGGCATATCATAGCGTCGCGGGACTTGCCCATTCAGTCTCATAGTCCAGCCCCTTGTAGTTCAAAACCAATCGTGCTATGTATGTAAGCATATTTTTGCTTACACTTAAAACATGATGGGTGCACACGTACTCTTCCATGTGTTGAGGGACCAGGCGTGGTTGGGCTCTTTCGATGGTATATCAAAGAGGACGATCTTCGAGGAGGCCATTATTAACCAAGGCCTAGGATAAGATTCTCTACGGTTGTTTCGACTGTGAGTATTAGGATGGTGAATTTTGCGTCTTATACTCTATCTACCGTCTATGCGAGGCTTCAGAGGCACAGGTTTTCCTCCGAGGCCTCGCGGAGTTTATATATATATACATATATACAGTACAGATGTATAGTCGAAGCGATATACGGCGACTACGTAGTGTAGATGAGGGGGTTGAGGGTGTACCAGCTATTCTAGGAAGCTTGTTTCGGAAGCTTATGTCGGTCTAAACGCCCCTAATCACTTTGTAGCTTATAAATCAGAAGATAATGGATAATGAATGGGTCAGGTATGCCGTTGAAAATCGTTGGGCTACATTGGTAAGCCATGCCGGATATGAACTTAGAGGAGTGACTCACTCGCATGCCGAGGGTACAAAGTTGTTCCTCTAGCGGTATTAGAGACTGTTTTCTTAGATTGACTGCCATAAATATACAGACTAGCAACCATTTTCGGATTGTGTATGTTATCTGCGGTCATCTCTCAAAATTACATTGTGTTTCTAAACCTCCAACTCCCCAGCGTCTGTCCTAACACACGGCCCTCCATCTCTTCCCTTGATAAGACTCATTATAGATTTCTACAAGCTGGTATTATATTACTCTACTACAATTCAAGCCGTTCGAGTCTCGGCCATTATGAAATATATAACTCGACGAATATGAAGTACTGTATCTGGTTGAGATGTGATGCAGAGCATTGAAACCCCGCCTTTCTGCAGAATTGCAGTGGGGTAAAGTTGTACGGTACTAGTATTTGGAAAGCTTACCTAACCTATTGCAGGATATTCAATTTAATGTCATTACCAACAATACCTGTACAATACAGTAGCTTACCGCTTGGGAGTGCCTGTGGAATCACCATGCAGCAGTGGAGTAGGGGTAGTAGAAGCGGTCTTCATAAAGTAGGTAGCTACATGTATTGTGAAAGAATTCGTCAAAGAATATTGCTAGCAGTGAGAAAGAGGGCAGAAGCTGTGCAGCAAGTTAGCTGCCAGTCTCTTGCCAATGCTCTGTGACAGACGACCATTCACGAGGGACTCAGATTATTTAACCTGCATATAGTCACTCGAATAACCTGACCTTAGACTACCTAGAGTGTATACACATGGATGGGAGCTTCTCATTGTAGTGGAGAATGGAGATTGGGGTAGATAATGGGGATGTTTGCCATGATGTTTGCCATTGAGCCATTGAGAACGATAGGTTATCGATAAGCCAGGCATATCGCTATATCGGCCAGCCATCCCCAGCAGCTGCTTCATCTCGCCTCTTCTTCCTTCGACAATCAGCTCGCCAGCATCCAAGTCTCCACGATGGCTTCCCACGCGGCACCCGTAGACCTCAATGGTCATGGCATTGCATTAGGATCCTCACAACCCAAGAAGGTCGCCTATTTCTATGATTCCGACATTGGAAACTTCGCCTACGTCGCCGGCCACCCCATGAAGCCCCATCGCATCAGGCTGGCGCATAGCTTAATTATGAATTATGGCGTGTACAAGAAGATGGAGATCTACGTATGTTTCCCTGGTCCAATACTCGCACTTCTGCCCCATCATTTACATACACCCATCTAAGAGCGTCGCGCAGAAAAATACTAACAGTGGGTGTCTCACCTTAGCGAGCCAAGCCTGCAACGCGACTCGAGATGACGCAGTTTCACACGGACGAATACATAGACTTCCTGCAAAAAGTCAGCCCCGAGAACATGGACAACTTCCAGCGCGAACAAACGAAATTCAACGTCGGCGACGACTGTCCTGTGTTTGATGGCCTGTTCGAGTTCTGTGGCATTAGCGCGGGTGGCAGCATGGAGGGTGCGGCTAGATTAAACCGACAGAAATGCGATATGGCCGTGAACTGGGCTGGAGGACTTCATCACGCCAAGAAATCCGAAGCTAGCGGCTTCTGCTACGTGAATGGTATGTGTCCTGGCCCTGCGCCGTTGGACAATTGAATTGCCCAGCTTGTGACCACAGATGATTTGGGCTGACAAATCCCTAGACATTGTCCTTGGCATTCTTGAGCTGTTACGGTTCAATAAGCGCGTCCTCTACATCGACATCGATGTCCACCACGGTGATGGCGTCGAGGAAGCCTTCTATACAACCGATAGAGTTATGACTGTATCTTTCCACAAATATGGCGAGTACTTCCCAGGGACCGGCGAGCTTAGAGATGTTGGCATCGGCACGGGCAAATATTATGCTGTCAACTTTCCTCTACGCGATGGCATAGACGATTCATCTTACAAATCCGTTTTTGAGCCCGTCATCTCGAGCGTCATGGAGTTCTACAACCCTGATGCGGTTGTCTTACAGTGTGGTGGTGACAGTCTTTCTGGCGATCGACTTGGCTGCTTCAACCTGAGCATGGAGGGCCACTCCAACTGTGTCAAGTTCGTCAAAAGCTTCAATCGACGTACCCTCGTTGTCGGTGGAGGTGGCTACACCATGCGCAATGTGGCTCGAACATGGGCTTTTGAAACAGGTTTGCTGGTGGATGCGCACATGGACCGCACACTTCCATTCAACGAATACTACGAAGTGAGTTACTCATCCATTCTCGTTGAATAAGAAACTGATGATATCACTTAGTATTATGGTCCCGACTATGAACTCGACGTCCGAGCTTCCAACATGGAAAATGCAAACAGTCCCGAATATCTCGAAAAGATCAAGAACCAGCTGATCGAGAATCTTCGGAGGACGGCACATGTCCCCTCAGTCCAGATGCAAGATGTTCCACGGCATTCTCTCGGTGCCATGACAGATGAGGATGATGCTGAGCTGGACGATCTGGATGAAGATGAGAACAAGGATGTGCGCATGACACAACGTCAATGGGAGCAGCGGATAGAACGTGACGACGAGTACGAAGCAAGCGACAACGAAGAAATGGAGAAGGCCAATGGCGTTCACCGCAACGGCAGCTCTCGGCGAGGCTTCCAAAATTACCGAAATTCCGATGCGGAAGCCGACAGCGGGGTGGCAACTCCCGCCGACGCTGGGTCTGAGACCGTCATTAAGTCTAAGGAAGTTGACGAGGTTATGAAAGATGCAGATGACGCAGCACAAGATGGCGCCGCTGAAGCTAGCGAAACTTCACGCGATGCTAAGCCTGCAGACAATAAATCGGATGAAGGGGTTGAGGCTGCAGGCATCGCGGAACAAGACGAATCCCTTGCAGAAGCTCAAGAAGCTTCCAAATCTAGTAAAAACATTGACCAGGCCGAGAAGGCTGCAACACCCACTCGAGACGCCTCAAAAACGGCAGATCCAGCCTCGAAAGAAGACGAGGTCATGCAAGATGCTGACGACAACTCTAAAGAACCTGAAAAGGAGGCCGAGAAGAAGCAAAGCGCGGAACCTGAGCCAAAAAAGTCACCAAAAGATGACAAGAAAGACACTGATGGAGACGTCGATATGAGCGAAACACCCACGGACAAGAAGCAAGACGAGAGTAAGAGCACAGACGCCGAAGAAAAAGCCGAGGAGCCTCCGTCGACTGAGACCACCGAGAAGACAAAAGACACTACTGATAGTAATTAAACACTCCGCAAAACCGCACCACAGGGAAGTGTTTGCTTATGTACATCGAGAACGTGGAGGATTGTTTTCTCTTTAGAGGTGAAAGCTGTGTTTAATGTATACCACTTGAGTCAAAGCGAAAGGCGTTCCGGACCTAAAAGAGGATAATGGGGGCCTAGTGTGGTCGGTACATATATACATGTATTGACTGAGAAAGAGATCGATGACATTTTGTCCGAGATGGAGATCTTTTTTTTCGGGGGGTTGAGGAAGGGGGTTGACTGGCTTCTTCCTGTGATTGCTCGCGATGTTTTTTTATTTATTTAGTAGATGATGTGTATAATTGAGTCTACAACTTGCAAAGTTTGAAAAATTGATTTCGGCATAAGATTGCGTGTTTATCTCTGTGGGAGGAAGGAATTCCTTTGCTGTGAATATCGGAATTGTAAGATCAGTACCTAGGTAGTTGATCTGATCTGATCTGATCGTACTGGCGCCATGGTATTTCTCTTCTCTCTGTCTTTCCCTTCTCATGCGGAATTAGGCTGGCTTCCTAGGTATCTACCTATGGAAGGACCTAGGTGATGTAGGTAGATAGATAACTTCTTATACCTACTTACCTATACCAAGGATACCTTGCGAACAACGAATAAGTCTCGTACTATACTATTTTGACAAGTATTTGGGTCTGGCGGAGAGTTCTGGGGGTTTGGAGCTGGGGTTGAACGGATGGTGATATTTATATACCGAATCTAGGTAGGTAGGTATCCTATATATACATATACGTATACATAATTATATAAAATTATTCACCCATGAAGGGATACTGTAGGCTCGATGACAGGGGAAGGATGGGAAGGAAGGGTTAAACGCGGGGAAAAGGAAGATTAAGCGAGATATGGGCTAAGGGTACAGTGAGTTCGATCTAATTATATAGAGGGATAAATCGAGATCCAGATATACAACATATTTTCTTTCTTTCTCTTCAGACTAGGTAGGAATTTATCTATCTACCAACCAATTAATTAGATAGCAATGAACGCGAAAGGATGGAGAAGATATATAGGTAGATATTCAATGACGATATACACCTATTAAACAATAGATATGCATTTGGAAAACACGTAAATAAAGCAATGTATTACGAAAACTTCGCATGTAGATGAACTGCCGGCTTTTATCTTTGCCGTGTTCTTGCTTCTTGTTCTTGTCCTATGTCGTCGTAGATGAGCGAAATATGATTCTTCGCGATAGGATGGGATCTTGGTGCTAGGGGGGTTCACGTAGCGGAGCGATTCTGGTTAATTTATTGATGGAGATTGGGTACCTAGGTGTTCTAGGTAAGTAAGGAGGTATATAAAGTATGTAAGTTAGGAGGTAGGTAGGGTACCTATGCAGTGGCTGCTTGCTTGCTTGTCTGCCTGTTTGCCAAAAGCTGTCTACCTGAGTAAGGGAAGAGCTCAGGCAACAAGTAAATAGACCTTTTTTTAGATGTTTGTTTTCGAGCTCTTGAGATTGATGTGATTAGGAGGTTTGGAATTGTTTTAGTAGGTAGTGTCGATTTAGACTTGTCAATGGGCTTGGCTGTCCATACCACTGATGTTCTTCCGACATATATCGAGTAGATAGACGACACCAATTACCAGCTCGAAACCCTGTACATAGTAATTTACCTATGCACCAAAGAAAGGAAAAATGTCTTAATCAACGTACGTAGGTATATACTTAAACAGTTATATATATATATATAGTCCGGAGTTATTTACAAGCTATCATCCCCTGAGCTCATCACATTACGTCATACCAAGCACAAAAACTGGCATCAAACTATCATCGCAGAGACTTGATTGTTTTATATCAAGACATCGATATTAATTGCTGCGACACGCTACGATGAGACAATCCTGATCAACCAGTTCCAACTGGCTCGATTGATCAAGCCCGATGTTCCAAATCATGCATCAGAAAACAGACAATTGAAAAAAGACAAAATCAAAACCCCCCTTCAAAGAACCAATCAATGCTGCGATTCTCTCTCTACCTCTCGCCTGTCGTTTTCTCTCATCCACGTCATCTCTGTCGTCCCCTTCTCCTTTCCTCTCCGTCTAAAAAATCAAGGAATATCGCTGGAAGTATGTATGTATGTGCGTATGTATGGACAGGGGGGGTATCAATCCGTGTGCTTTTGATGTTGCAAATGATGAATGAACATGATGCTGTTTCAACCCTCGCTTGTTATATGCAGTCAAGGAAAAAGAAAAGTATGCGATGGGAATTGGGGGAAAAAAAAACATAGCCATGGCCACGGGCCAAAGCAAGCAGGAAAGGGAAATGTAATGGAGAGGCTGTGTGCGTTTCGCACTAAGCGCTTCTCCTCACCCATGTCATGAACATGTATTCATTGCAAGCCCCTGGAATAATGATAATAGTACAATAAGACGGACATGATCCAACTCCTTTTCATCATCTCAAAGATTCGGAAAAAATTATGGCAATGGTGAAGATGGATTGCGACAGTAGTATAGTTTAGCGCATGTGTGAGGAGTCGATTGTAGAAAGTGTAGTCAGAAAGTGTAGTCGTATATACGGGATGGGTCGTTTGCTGCTCGGCTCAAGATTGTGTCATGACGGGTGTTGGTTCTGGTTGCTGCCCTGGCTCCGCAGCTTTGACGGCTTGTTTCTTATTTGCAAGAGTGGCGCGACGTTTAGCAACAGCTTGGGACATGGACCCAGATGCCCAGCGCGCTGGCGTGTTGTTAGCATGGATTTATGCAATGAGATAAATGGCAGCATCTGGTTTAGGGATTCATTACCTTTCATAGAATGGGACATTTTCTCGGACTTTGTCATTTGGTTATAGTCCTTGATATCGGCTGGGTCGGTACCGTAAGCAGCAGCTGCGTTACTGGTGCTACTGCCGCTGTGGGGGGGTGTCGAGCTTGATGACGATGGAACAGAGAAAGGATTCGGAGGAGGGATAGGCATTGGGTGAGGGGCAGAGGCAGACCCATTGTAATTCTTAATTTTGATCTTAGTAGGTGGTTTCGTGGTCGGATGTGTTTCTGGTGCAGGCTGTTGAGTCGGCATAGGAGAAGGAATGGGTACCGGAACGGGTGTCGCTGCGAAGTCTTCGACCTGTGTTTTCTTCGAGCGTCTGACGCGCTTGCGCTTGGGCTCTTCCTCACGAGGTTCATCCTCCGGATTCAGAGAAAACTTCTTTTGCCGCTTCTCTCTAAGTTGGTAGTTATTTGATGTTATAGTAGACTGGGTAGCGGTTGATGACGAAGTTGGAGGACGAGATTCGTCTGCTGTGTTATTAGATTGCATAGATGATGTGTAGAATGAACCCGAGGGAACCTCTGAGAGTCGTGAGTTGGTACGACGTAATTCGGCCTTGACAGGCGTTCGTTGATCGACACCATTGGTGGTAAGTGCCTCTTCTTCCTCACCGGCCTCGACAATTGTCCTTCTACGTCGACGTTTCCGCGTAGGCTTCTCTTCATCAACCTTCTCGACCTTCTCGGGTTGTTGCTGTACCTGTTCGGCTGGCACAGGAGTAGCTTCGGGAGCTTCCGGGACAGGAACTGGTAGGGGATGCTTCCGTGGACGGCCTCCCTTACCTTTCTTTTTGAGTGGTTGTGGTTCAATAGGTGCCGTCGCCGAGGCTGGCACCTTAGGATTAGCCTCACTATTCTCTTCGACAACATCTCCCGCTCGTCGACGCCGACGTTGAGTGGGAATAGGAGTTGAGCCTCTGCTAGCGGCTTCACTTCCGTCGAACAGTGCTGGAGGCTTCCTAACACGCTTGCCATGGACGACGACACCGTCATCGGCTTCCGCCGCTTTGGCTGTTTGCTTTGGTCGATCTCGTAAGCGACCTTTTCCCGAGCCCGGTTTTTGCTCAAGTGGATCTTGGAAGCCAATTTTAGCGTCTCTATCGTCATAATCGAAGTAATAGTTTGTAGCCATGAGCTTGTCTTGATGTCGGGCATAGGCAATTTCGGGATGGGGACGATCAGCCCGAATGCCTCGAATAATAAAGTCCTTTTGTACTGGGTTTGCATCGGGATCCTTGCTCGTAAGCATTTTAACCCGGTGTTCAAAGGCTGCGTCATCTGTGCGATACCGGACTGCATTGTCCTCATCGTCTGTAATCTTTCGTAGTTCATTATACTCATCCTGCCAGGCCGCTAAAGCACGGTTGACAACTTCCAGCCTCGCCCATACTTCTTCCGGCGGTAGAGACTTGAAGTCTTCCAATAGGTCAATAAACTCGGACGCATCTCTGGCCTTCTTGAAAGCAATCGGCCCTCTCACAGGTGGCTGGCTATAAGGAAGGTCTATGTCCGCTGTGGGGGAGTTTGCCCTAGTAGGCAAAGGCGACATTGCTGGTGTATCGTCCATAGCACCATCTACAGGAGTAGAATCTGGTACGAGGGGATCAGTCATGGGAGTGTCTTCTAGTGCGATGTCTGCCTTGATATTATCGGCTTGGGCACCATCAAGCTGATCATCTACAGCATCGTCAAGGACATCTTGCTGCAGCGGCGGCAATTCAGAGGCAGGCTCGGCTTCAGCCTGCGCAGGGGGCCACTCAATAAAAGCGCCGTTAATGTATGGGGTAAGATGTGCATATGAGGGGTGAAGAGATTCGTCGACAACACTATTAGAATGACCAGGTCGACGTGTATCGGGAGCCTCGTGGTGTTTGACAGCGTCCTCATGGTCGAAGTCGACCTGAGCCAAACCTAATCGAGATTTGCGGGGAGTTGAAACTATATCGGACGATGTTGTGACATGAGACGGCTTTGAATCGTCATTTGAGACGCTAGAGCTTGTATTTGAAGTGGTGCGCCTGAGGGTAGACTCATCGGATTGCTCGCTTTGATGACCACCAACTTCAATGGTGTCCTGGACCTCAACATCTTCCATATGCTGATCAGGGATTAGGGCCTGATGCTCTCCTGTTGACTTTCGTAGTTGATTGCGTCTACGAAGGGATGATGCAGGTGGGAGAAGCTGTTCAGAGGAGCGCCTCTTGATGTGAGCGGTATTGAAATCTTCCTCCTTGTCAAAATCATGAAAGGCAGTATCTGTGCGCCGCCTTTTTATGGCTCGCGCAGCGGAAGGTGTTGATTTGCTGTTGTCGCTCAGATATTCCTCGGTGCCTTGGTCGAAGGTGTAATCAACACGGGCCCGCTTTCTGAGTGAGCGGCCACCTTTGTTGTCAAGGTCGTCAGATGAGGGCATAGTGCCATCAGCAACACGAGCACGAGCACGTGTTCCTCTAGAGGCAGTAGGACTAGGGGTTCCAAAGGAAAAAGATGAGGAGGCAAGACTGTCAGCTGGTGTGGAAGATGGGAGTTGTTGGTCAACTTGCTCAACCGTGGTGATAGTACTAGAGCCGAGATGCGAAGAGGGACCAGCCGGGAGCGCGTGGCGTTTCCTAGCAGAAGCGCGGCCTCTACCGCGAGCTGCGGAGGCCGGCGAGTCCATTGTTGCAGAATGCTAGGGGTATACTATGCTTGTTGTGTTGTTCAAGAGATTGGACGAAATACAGTCGCGTGGTGCAGATGCAAGAAGATTTCCAGTCGGAGATTATGTAAGTGGGGAATCTAGCAGGAGGATGTGTGTAATTGAAACCCGAAAAGCCGGCGACAGACGGTGACGTTGATGACAACGACGCCCAACAAGGCAACAGAACAGGACAGCGGAGAAAGAAATGAGAAATCAGGTCAAGAGACTACGCATTGCACTTGTTAGTAGACGAGCATTGGTGAATGCGCGCGCGCGCATTGAGTCGGGGTGTAGCAAGGAGGTGAGGAAAATTGTGTACCTGTATGAGTACAGACAGGCTAGGGTAAGGTAAGTAAGGTTAGGTAGGCCAATAATAAGACTTACATCCGATGACAGCTCCAAAGGGACGACGGCTGTTCGCGATTGACGGCCACAACGAGATAATTAGCTGGGATAGCTAGATGATTGATCGAGGTTAGAGAGGCTTTTCCAGCATGTAAAAGCTGAACCAGGAGACAAAAGGAGACAAGAGGAGACGAAGGAGTGCGCTGCGGTTGCTGGCACGTAGAGGGTACCGGTATTTTGTTGAAACAGAGAACATCGGTAAGCCGGCCAGACAGGCTTTGCTTTTAAGTGAGAAGCAAATAGGGTGGGTGTGGATGAAGGAAGGGATAGAGGAAGATGTGAAACTGTCTGTGTATCTATCTATCTATCTGACTGTGTGCTCGCGTGCTCGCGTGCTCGCTGTGTGTGTGTGTGTGCGTGTGCGTTGGGATGTAATCGAGGCAAGGCAAGGTAAGGTCCAAAGTGTAACAGCCTCCCAGGCGATGAGATTTTTGATAGCTGTACTTACTTACACGGTTAGTGGCGACGAAGAGCCTTTCTTTATGTGCAAAGAGAGCAGGACACAGCACGGGAGACGAGGAGATGGATGTTCAATGGTTCGAGCTGGTCTCATCAACGAGCCCGGCGAGCAAGAGAATAAACACCAGAGATGAGATATAACACGCAGTCTTCTTGTTCCTTAAGGACCGACACTGCTACGTCTCATTCAGGGTCACTTGGATTGTCTGCTATTTTGGAGCTGGAGATGCAGTGAGTGCTGCCAGTGCTGCCAGCGCGCACACAAGCCACACCAGACCTGGCAGTAAACCGGGAAGCCCAGCCACGAATCGACTTACTTGCATGTACACCTACATGTACCCTTACATGTACCCTCACATGTACCTACACCATGGCCAATCAGACATGGCACATTGGAGTCTCTCTACTCCGGAACGGGCCTAGAGACTTCCAAGGTTACTTAGAACGTGGGTAACATGGGGGCAGTATGGGGATCTATACCTACCTACATGTAGGTTACTTGATGAATGTGCTATTTTCAGGGGAGGTTACATCAAGTTTCTTACAAAAACAGGCTCGAATACACTGCATTACCTACCTATAACTAGGTATGAAGATACAGCGCACCTTTAGCGCACCTTCAGCCTATCTCCAGCGACTCTTTACTGAGATTCGTAACCTACAATCACACCAATGTTACTTGCCCATGTTACTTCCATGTTACTTGCAACTTGGAATTGTCTGTTTCTCACCATTGAGCCCCGGCATCTTCCCTTGCATCCCTTTCTATTGATCTATCTTGCCATATTACTCTATTTTCGTCACAAGCTTAGCAAACCAATATTTACCAGCGTGTGATGGTGCATGAATCCGGTGAAACTCGCCTACCTCCTACTGAAGTACCTACTGTACGTTTGTGTAAGATGCCTTCGTCTCGTCAAGAGACTACCTAGGTATATCCATATAAGGCCCCCTTTGTAGCAGCTATACAAGATAGGTAGGTAGGCCTATGATCAGTAAAACTAGAGATGGCTAAAGTGGATGTGCCTATTACTTATATAATAATCTATCAATAACAACAGACTTGTAGATTGGCTAATTGTATGCACATTGTACACGTATTGCATCTTTCCTCTTTCTTTCACAAGGAAATAATTCCAAGTTGGAGTCGCTCTTTAGTGCAGGTACTTACCTATGTATCTGGCATAGGTACCTTGTCGGCAGGTAGAGGTATGTAGGTAGCTACATGTACTATAGGCAGCTTACCTTAGCTACCCGCACCCAGCAACACCTGACGTCTTCCCACTCCACTTCGCTATCGCGACATCACATCGCTGCAAATAAGCTTAGAGACCCAACATCACACATCTCTCGTCAAAATGTCGTCGAAGCGGTCCAAAGCAACCACCGAAGACGAGCTGGGGGAGCTCTTCGAGGGCATTGACAACAATAGCGCAGTGAAGAAGTCCACCAAAGCTAAGAGCGCCACCTCGAAACCGCGGAGTGACAAGCCCTCCAAGGATAAGAAGGACATCCTCGCTGATTTGGAGAGCGAGCTCGGCGGAGAGGAACCCGCACGACCACACACGCCTCGCGTTAAACGCACGAGCGCAGCGACTCCGCCACCCGCGGCCGCCGCCGGTAGGCTCTCCGAAGACAAGCCTACAGCTGCCGCCGCCGCCGCTGCTGCTCGGAAGTCCGCCGATAGCACTCGTTCTTTCCACGCCAGCTTCACCCCGAGCGCAACTAGCTCCGATCTCCAAGATGCCGAGAAAAAGGGTCCGGTCGAGCAGACAACCCCTGCGGCTGCTGCTGAAAGCGGAGGCGGTTGGTGGGGTGGGATCTTTGCTACAGCTACGGCCACGGCCAGCGCTGCCATGAAGCAGGCCGAAGCCGCCTACACAACGATCCAGCAGAATGAAGACGCTAAGAAGTGGGCTGAACAAGTCAGAGGCAATGTGGGAGCTTTACGAGACCTTGGTGAGTGCCATATGCCCTAAATCCACAATAGAGGTGGCTGTACTCGGCTCCTCTTTGCTTAGAGGCTTGCTTGAAAGCTGGCTTGCGAGTGTCAATTGGACTAACATATCATGCCACTAGGCGACGATCTTCGACATCGTGCTATGCCAACTTTTGCCAATATTCTACACACTCTTGCCCCACCAATCTCGTCTCACGAACGTCTCCTTATTCACATTACTCACGATTTCGTGGGGTATCCCTCTCTTGACCCCCTCATATATGGCGTCTTTGGCCGCGTCATGTCACAAGTCGAGGGCGGCGATCTGCTCGTCATTCAGCGCGGCCACGAGAACACTGCTCGCCGTTCCTCCGACGCCGCCCTCTTCGGCGGTGGCTCCAGTTCGGCGGGCTGGCGTGACGGCCCCTGGTGGCGACAGGTCGACTCACCCCGGGACCTTGGTGCCGTGAAGGGTCTACTCGAGGGAACCAAGCTGTGCCGCGTCAACGCAGAGAGCTATTCAAACGACTACCTTTCAGCGAGCGGCGGCGTAGTTGAGGCCCAGAGACGTGCGTTAGAACCCCTGAGCGAGGACAACCCCGTCCGGACCAGCGATATCTTCCTTGCCGTGCAAGCCATCATAGTAGAGGAAGATCCCGCGCTCTTCGCCGGCAGCACGGCCAAAGAGGCAGAAAAGGACACAAGCGCCGTTGCAGATGACAGCAGCGACCCGCAGGTCTGCTTCGCTATCTATGTTCTTGACCCGGTTCACGATATCGTGTACAGCACTCTTAGCCAGAGTATCCCCCTTAGATGGATCAGGTGGCTGGACGCGCCAACCCCGCTCACACCAGCAAGCGAGAGCGAACAGGCCGTCCCCGCCGACTTCAATGTTCCTGATGAGATCCGGGAGATCGTCGAGAACGGCGGCGTAGACCCGCGCGAATGGGTCGCTGAGTGGGTCGAAGAGACCCTCAGCCTGTCCATTGGTGTAGTCGCTCAGAGATATGTGGCTCGGCGTATGGGCGTTGGTGAGGGCGGTCTCGGAAAGGGCAAGCAGAAGATCGAGACCCTAGTTCAAGAAGGTGCTGGTGAAGCTGCGCGTGCAGGTCTACTGTAGCTTGTTAGATGAAGAGGGAAGTTGAGAATGTGTGAAGGGATAAGGCGGTACTTTGTCGCTATAATTACCTGGTTTTGCTGTTTTGGGGTGTCCAAGGTGTTCTGTGGGCCGATTATCCTTTTACTCAGCCGGACTGGATCGAATACCTATTGATGTATGAAACTTGATCCTTGAATACAATTATGTTCAGCCGTATTTCGAGCTCCTGTGCGAATTTGATGGCGCCTTTATATAAGTATTTCAAGGGGTGACACATGCCCTGTCATCGCCTTCGAAATGTGAACGCGCTAAGGACACATGTGGACAAGATGTTAGGACATCCATAGCCAGTCTGTCAAAGGAATACGGACGGGGGTCATACTAATAACATCGAATTGATGGGAGAGCAAGTAATCAGAAGAGTGAGCCCGGAAGTCTATTACCAGGTGTCTGTCTACCTACCACAATACGTAAAATAGTCCACCCGCCAATCGAAGAAGTAATACTCTTAATAAAGATAATAAACCTCCTAACACCTATCTCACACAAACTACGCTAAGCGAAACAAATCAAGATGAAAATGACAAACTCATACACACACTTCCTCACCCCCACAACTCAACTCAACTCCCCTATCCCTTTAGCCTCTCCAGCTTACTCCCCACATCCTCCAAGCTCCCAACGACTTTCAACTCCGCCTTCGCAAGTCTACTCGCGCCGTCCAGCTCGACGCGCTTCAAGGGCCGATACACAGGCTCCCACATCTGCTCGGCGATCCAGTCCTCCAGGTCCGCATCTTCAGCGGGTATATCCCGCACCGTGGCCACGCCCTCCCGCACCGCGCACCGAATGACCTCTCTCGCGACGCGCACAGAGACGTCCCGCACGGCCTCGACGCCAGGGAGTAACGGCGCCGTGGGATCTCGTAAGGCGGGGGATAAATCCGCTACGCCGCGGACGGCGGCGACGAGCATTTTGTCCGTGAGGAGACGCGCGCGAGAAAGCACGCAGCCTAGGCCTATGCCGGGGAAGACGACGCTGTTATTGCACTCTGCTATTTCGATGGTGATATCGGAGGCGTTCTGCGGGCCCCAGGGTCCTGTGACGGGCGCGAAGGGACTGCCTGTTGCGACCAGGGCGCGCCCGGAGGTCCAGGTTAGGATGTCCTTTGGCACGGCCTCGTGGAGACGCGTGGGGTTGGACAAGGGGAGGATTAATGGGTGAGGGGTGTGCTTGGATAGTTCTTTTACGATGGCTTCTGTGAAGGACCCTGGGACTGTGGATGTGCCTATTAGGACGTTCGGGTGGACTTCTTTGATTACCTCTAGGAGAGAAGGGGAAGAAGAGGGGGAGGAGGACCAGGAGGATATGTCTTTTGCGAACGGCTTTTGGCCGGCGTCGAGGGAAGAGGTTGTTGTTAGGAGGCCGGGTTTGTCGATTAGCCTTTGGGGTGTTAGTGGGAGGATGAAGGGTGAAATTTGTATGTATGGGATAGGGAGGGGTGAATGAGGTGGAATGAAATGAAACGAAATGAAATGGTGAGGAGAACGGCTTACCAGATCTGCTTCGCAGCCTCGTCCTTGCTGATCCCCTTCTCGGCAGCGATGGCGTCGCGCACTTGGTCCGCGATCCCGACACCCGCTGTCCCCGCGCCGAAGACTACGAGTTTCACGTCCTCGAGCTTCTGCTTGCTGACGTGCAGACCAGCCATGATGGCCGCGAGCGTGACGCACCCAGTCCCCTGGACGTCGTCGTTGAAACACGGGATCTCAGGGCGATAGTGATCTAAAATCCGACGGGCTGTTGTTGCAGTAGTTAGTTTCAGATTTACTTTGCGCTGCTATACTTCGTATGCATATACAAGTTATATGAGGGCGGCAATACCGTTCTTGAGCCCGAAATCTTCAAAGTGGATATAGGCCCTGGGGAACAGTTTCCGAGCCGATTGCACGAACTCGTCGACGAATTTGTCGTATTTCTCGCCGCGGACGCGTTTCTTGCGGAGTCCGAGGTAGAGGTCGTCGCCGAGGAGCTTCTCGTTGTCTGTGCCGCAGTCTAGGACTACGGGAAGCGTTCGGTTGGGATGGACTATTATCAGTTTCGGTCAATTACTGGTAAATTTAACGTGAGTCTTAGGTATTTGCGAAAGGAAAGGCTGAAGGCACATCCTTTGCTTTCAGAGTGATTTATAGGCAATGAGAACAAGAAATAAATGGTCTCATAAATGCTTACTCCCGGCGCATAGAGTTGTTAGCGCGAGTTTTGCTACTGAGATCAGGATACCGCCCGCACCCTGATCCCCTATGCCGAGGATTTCTTCGCCATCTGGTTATCGTCAGCCACTCTGCTAGCTTTTCGCCTTGATCTGGCGTTGGCATGGGAGCTTGGCGAGCATACCTGACACGACGATATAATCAATGTCATCGGGCCTTCCCCACTGTGCCAGGTCATGAGAGACTCTATCTATGTTGTCGATATTCAGGAAACATCCCTCGGGTCTCCGGAAGAGGCGAGAGAAGTTCTGTATAGCATCGCCTTCTGTCGGCGTGTAGACCACACTGAACATTTCTGACAAGTGGTCTTGTAGAAGCTATTAAGAATCAGCAGTCTGTTCGAAGCCTATACCCCATTCCTGCCTTCACACATAGTCATCGGCCATGAATGAAGTACTAGAGGATGAGAGCGGGGTGGGTTGGAAAGAGTGGTGCTCACTCTAAAGTATAGCACGGCATTCTGCTCCTTCAGCGAAGTCAGGAATGTGTTCTTGGCGAGGTCGTCGGGGCGCGTCGAGTATTGCTGGTAAGCTCTTTCCACCTGCTGCTCGAGGGTCTGAACACTGTGAGGTAGCAAGCCGGTGAGATTGAACTCTTCTCTTTCCTCAGCAGTGTGTGCAGAGCCGCGATTGAAGTAGGGCGTGTTCAGCAGTACGGTTCCACTCACGGCGCACTCGATAGGACCGCGAGTGCTCAGAGGTAGGTGAGAAAACTTGGATGTAGACGGCATCTTGGACCGCGAGTGTGAAGTTGAGAATGCTGCGCGAACACTACGATGCTGTTTGAATGTCAGGGCACGCCGAATGGGTTGTGTTCGATATATTAATAGCATGGAATCTGGACTCGCGACCACCGACAGTATTTAAATCGTCATCCTGATGATGTCGCGGTTTCTACTTTCTACTCTATACTTCTGCTGAGCTACGAAAAGTAAGGCGAAAGCAAGGTTGCAATTCCACATGGTGCCATTCGATGAGGCGGATGTGACGTCGTCCAAAAGGTTGCCCCCACGGCCATCGTTCAGAGAAAACGGGACAGTGCGGGGCGAAACACGGCGGTCAGGGCTCGCTAAAGGACGCGGGATGGCAGGTTACGGGACTTTTTAGCTTACGGCGATGGAAAGCTGAACGCAGCAGCAACACACAACATACGACACGACACAAGGGACGGACAGGAGCAGGGGATAGAAGGGGGGAATGGTAAGCTAAGCTTTGTATTATCTATCGGGTGATACTTAGACACTGCAGCTGAAATGGCACAGCAATAAGCAATAGGGTGAAGGGGTGAAGATGATAAGGATGTAGGAGCTCTAGGAGCCTCGCTCACGTGGTGGGGAAATCAATCCGATGCGGAAAACGCATCAGGTGAGCGTGGACTATGATGGTCCGTTGTCGTTTGGTCTTGCAGCACTCGGTGTCAACGAGCAGTACGAATACCGCCCGTCGCCTCGATCATCACCAAGCCTTCTCGAAACCCCAGCACAAGACGTGCCGAGGCATAAAGACCTTCGAAAAGAAGACTCGTGGGGAGATTGGGAGTGGCTGGTACGAGGGTTGCTGCGTGTGCTGTGCTACATACATGGATGGTATGAGAGAGAAGGCGAGAGAGAGGTAACAAACCTGGTGATTGTAACGATCACAAGCATCATGTTCTTCTCGTAATGAGTCGTTTGTTGTAATGAATGCCCCTGTGACCGCTTGCTCGTCGGCTACATGTCGACATGTCGTGTTATGTTGCTCGTGAAATACAATGGGAGGGAGGGAGGGAAGACGAGAATTTTGACGCGGAAAAAATGAATTGGCTGGATTGGTTCGCCCCACAGAACCAGACCCATGGCCTGTGCAGATTTAGGTAGCCTAGCCAAGTCCCTACCTAACCTAGCAGCCACTTTTCCATCCAATTCAATACCAACATCCATGATAACTTACATGTCTTATATCTTGAATTTCATGTAGACGATCTCTGACAAGTTCAGAAAACCTCTCTAAATGATGCCAATCAATATATGTTTTGTTCGGGGACTGAGTGAGGTGCAAAGATTACTTCGAAACTTGATTGGAGTATTCGGCCCTGCCTTGACACGTCCCTAGGCAGGATATTATCTCAGACTCCCCATCTTAACTGTGGTGAATATCCGATACTACCAAACACATGATGTAACTGACTGGGAATGAAGAATCCCGAGTTGCGTGTGCAGTACCGAAAGCCATGGGTAAAAAAGAATGCCCCGACCGCTGTTCAGCCGCCAATCAGCAAACAATGACAACCAGTTAGTTCATCAGACACAGCAAGAAGAAACGAAGCATCAATCGTATGTAGGATCAGGTTGAAATTATCGAATCGAACTGCATTCTATCCCATCTCTACATAACCCGTTCAGTGACCCTGTGTTATACATAAGAAGCATAGAGAGCAAACAGCCTATGCTCTTGTATAAGAAGCGAGCCTGGCCCCTGAAAACCCAATACCCCCCTATCCCACACTTCAACGTCTCCAACTCGTCTACATGGGCATGCTCATGCCAGGAAGCTCGGTAAGCCCTAATCGATACGTTAACACTTGCCGTCCGAATTTCAATATACGGACATTAGCCGAGACGGATAAAGTACTCACATTTGTCGCCGATATCTTGACCAGACTGCTGCTTCTTGGTGCAAGCAATAGCCTGCGCATCGGTTTGTCGCTTGAGAGGCGCGCATCGGTCACCGGAGCAATGGCCGTCCATAGCCTTCTGGAGGGCATCGCCCTTCCAGCCGAACAAGTAGTCGCCGTGCAATCCGTAGCCAGTGTTGTCGCCCATGCTCCAGTACCAAGGGGGTGAGCCGTCGGCAGGCCACTCGGCCTTGTTGTTGAACTGGCGCGTGTCGAACATGATCTCGTACATGATCTGGGGGATCTTGACGGGGTGCGTCGAGGGGCAGGCACCGCCGCTCTCGAAGGTGCCGGACGCCGGGTACGCGACGTGGCTCTTGTGGTTGGCCGAGTCCAGGTTCTTGCCGTCCCAGCAGGATGGGAAGTGGATGGACACGCGCCAGCCGCCGCCGCACGGCTCCTTGGGGAAGGCTTGGGTGTCGGAGCCCGTGCATGGCGCGCCGCCGAACGGGTTCTGCTGCATGTTGGCTTCGCAGCGGTAGCAGAGCTGCTTCTGCATGGTTGCCGCCTTGCGGTTCAGGGAGTCACCGACAAGCATACGGAAGCCCTGTTCCACTTATAAGTCACCGTGCCCTAGTAACGCGGGGATCATCTCCGAAAAACCTACAGGCTTGAAAGCTGTGACCTTGGCAGCGTTTTGGTAACCTCGGATATAATAGACGGTCACGCCGCCCTGGACACCAAGCCCCAGGTTAGCGAACTGGGGAACCCGCTTGTACGTTCCGTTGCGGGCTTTGAAGTACTGTAAGTGGGAAAAATGTGTTAGTCAGGATGTTCTAAGTCTAGTTTTGTAGTACCCGCAGGTCATCTGACACCAGAAAAACCAAAGAGTCAGCCGCATGAGGACCAAATACGCACCAAGTTTGCTGTCCAGTAGTTGCTGAAGTCTTCATTGTACGTGCAGCTAGTACAAGTGGAAACCGACGAGGGGTCGTGAGACGACGGCTGCATGCTTGCGTTGAATGAGTTTCCGCCGACGACTTGGTGCATGTGTGCCGATGGGACATTGCCAGGCTCAACTAGAGGGTCGACTTGGTCAATGACGAGCTGCGAGCAGCCAAAACGCATGAGCTCTTGAGCTGCAGCGAATTGCACCGCCAACGCGGGCACGAGGGTCTTGAACAACATCGCTGGTGCTTGTATCGTCGTTCGCTATCAAGCAGGCTTTCTTTGAGATTCTCAAGTAGCAAGTAAGTTAGTACCCAAGGGAAACGGTGCAGACGAAGAAAGGGAGAAGCGAAGGATGGCAGCCGAGTGGCCAACGATGGCCAGATGGTCGACCTATATGGTGTCTCTGGGCTCGCCAGTCAGGTAGCCGTGTCGACCGGATAAAATCAAACCCATTGCGGATACGGCCATAGAACTTGGCATCGATTGGCAAACAGAGGTCGGGGGTCAACTACCGCGGATCGTCCCTCTCGGCGGTTAATATAAACGTCCAAATCCGGAGCGAATCTCGTGGAGCGTTCATATTAAACATGACAGTGCAATCTCTTAGGTGCGGATAGTGCGGACTCGGTAGGACATTAAGACCGTCTGCACGATTTCGGCAACACGATCCCTTCTCTTTTTCAAGATTGCAATACGTCACTAGGCTTAGATATCCTTCTGCATGGACATCCAGACATTTTTTTGGGTGTGATCGCGGAAATGCCATTGTTGAGTGGGATGGATACAATGACAATGAACAGTATAGACCTACAGTCTGATTGTTGGAGGTAATAGCATGCAGGATTTATCCCGGATTACCCATGAGGCCTTATGACATTATAAAAGGGCTATCGTCCTATAAGATTGCCGCTCGCCCAGGCTATATATTGTGTGGCAAGTATAAATATTCACGCAAATACTATGACACATCATTGCCGACAAGCAGAAAGGCCCATGCCAAAGCAGTCTATTTATGGTAAGTCTAATGCGGACATAGGGGGAACCTACGTGATGGATGAATATGGTAGCCTTTTCGTCAAATCGACATGGTAGGAATAAAACTCTAACAAATAATTAGCTTTGGAAACATGAAATGCCTGCACGAGATTTTGGTGGGAAAGGTTCTATCGAAGCAGATGGATCGTTCAACTACAGGATAAACTATATAAGTTAAAGCGCTAGGATTTTACTAGTGTAACTAAGTCATGAAGCTCAAACATCACTCACCCTAATTAGAATATCTACAGCCACACACATATATGACACACTTTCGAATGGGCCACTGAAGCAAAGAGGAGGAGAAATGGGGCGTGCAAATATAAACCTCTGTAGCCCTCTGTTCCACGCGCCACCCATTCGCCTCGTAAACACCGTTTCTATACTTACATGTGACTAGTCTTACTGCGTGCCCTATCATATTACCAGTATGATCTTATATCCTTTCTTGGCTCTCCTCGGCTGTTAGTTATCGTGCTTACAATGACGACGACTCTGCCATATGTAATACTATCTATAATAGGTAATATGTAATAAGCCTCAGTTTATTTGTTCTCTATACGACTGGCGTTCGACATAGAAACGCTTCTTTTATAATTCTCTTTCGAAAAGGGGCTGTATCATGGAAATTTATGACTTGTGCAGCCTTCACTTGATTCTATCTATCACGAACCAACAGAGATTTCTAGCTAGACATCGCACTTTAAGCTCAAATATCTATACCTCTATACATGAATTCTAGGCTGATACAGTAGTTAAATTGGGAGCCAAACGGTACACCAGAGCCTAGCAAAGGAACTCTAGCCTGGGTCACTGATGCGTGATTTCTCACCGTCCCACACAACGACTGCTTAATGCGTAATCTTCAACTGGAAGACATGAATGTCCCCAGTGTCTGTAGTTGATAGATCCTGATTGTAGTTTCCAGCCTTGAAGAACGCCTTGGGGGTAGTGAAATAAGTCCTCAGGGTCGTGAAATCGTTGTTGTTGATTCGCGCCAGCAGCTTGCCGCCCTCGAACCGAATCTCGTACGTGAACCGTGTGCCAACCTTGACCGTTCCCAGCGGTTGTAGATCCTGTCCAGCCCCGCCGGCCGCGGCCTTCGCAGTGCCGAAATTAATCTGTCCGTCGCTGGTGTAGTACAGCTCTGCGAAGGGCTTGTTGAACCCACTATCGGCTTGGAACACCTGTCCGATACAAATGTTGTGCACGTTCGTGCCCACCAAGTCCATAAACAGTCTGTTTGTGCCCGAGTTGGGACTCCAAGTGGCTTTCTCTCCAAGCTCGGTGCGGCACTATATTTCGGTAGTATCAGTAATTACTCTCCGAGGTAAAACTGGCGGGGCTAAGGAGTGCTCTGCATGATTTCGGAGTTACATACGTGCTGGCTCTCGGCGAACTTGACACAACCGGTCTTAGAAGGGGTTCCAGGGGCCTTCATCACGAGAGCACCATCGCCGCTCTCTGTGAAAAAGTAGTGATGGCCGGGATCTTGATACCCGTTGCAGCCCACGAGCTGGGCTGGTGGAACAATCTGCGGTGAGCCGTTACCTATGGGGAGTTGGAGCTCCCATTTGCTCAGGTCGAAGTTACCGCCGGGCGCACAGTTGGGGTCGAGGGCTCCGGCTAAGCCTAGAGAGGCGACAAAGATGAGATTACTGGTCGGCTTCATTTTGGTGGTCGATGGGTGCAGATTAGTGCGTGAGGGGATGTGTTGTCGCTAAGTTCGTGATGATTAAGAAGTTTGAATGTGTCCCTACTCGTTGGATTGGCTGCTACTATATAGTTTTATGCTCACCTAGGGACTCAGAGCCTCGTTTCACTTCTCCCCTTTGAGTGATACTTTCTAAAAGCTGACCTCAAATCCAGAAATAGCATTCAAGATCTGTCACTCCTTTCAGGTACTAAACGGCCGTTCGATTGCCACACAAAAGTGAACTCGCTACCCTCAATACAGCACACCATTTAGCCAATCATGCTCGACAATTTGAAACGGCGGATACTGGGTTGCCCCTATCTGCAAGTAATACCCGATCATTCCCAGCTTCATTTATGAGCTTCTAACGCTCTTGGGAGCCTCAATAACCAAATAGGTAGGTGTATCAATCGAAGAGCATCGAGCGCGCTAGTACCTGTTGTTGAACACGGCGGAGTTCAAAAGCGCATTGATCAAAAACGCCTAGCTGACGTCAGCATAAGCCTAACCACCTCACGCTCAGTCTCTCCCATCGTAAAGTGAAAATTTATCAGTTCACTTAGTCCCGCCAATCTTACGTAAACTTTGCTAGGACGAGAAGGTCATCTGATTCAGCTACGGCCTCGCGCTATATCATGGCTTTTTCTTTTTCACTGTTACCGGGAAGCGATGTTATGATATCTTAGGCTAGGCACTATCACGATCCCAGGGCTACATACAAAGACACTCGATGCATATAGCTCTAACTTATGCACGTGAGGGTATTCGATATCTCCGTACAATAATATGCCTCAGTATAGTACCCGGGGCCACAGTTGCGTAGGAGGGATGAAATGATATTCTATTGCTAAATTCTGACAACTGCGGAGGCGGTCGGGGGCTGAACGATAGGTATCTCCATAGCCCAATTGTATACTGATAGGGCCGAGTTGGTATGAGGACATCAGACCCAGGAGATTTTGTGGGCTAAGGTTATAGTTCAAGTCATCATCAGGTAACTCTGATAATATGGCAAAAACACTTACTAATTTATGACAAACTTTCAAAGGTTTCGTTATGGTTGTATCCTCTCACGCAGAATACGATTCATCTTTCTTTGATCCATTGCCAAGGCTTCTTCGGCTATCAATCACACAGAAGGGGAATTTTCTTCTAGTTCTTTGCCGACCACTCCTAAAATCTTGTTAAACTTGCAGCATTTCAGGAAGAGGCTGAAATTAGGTATCTGGCCACAAGGAGCCTTCGAGTTTAGTATTTAGATAGATAGCGTAGTATCACCATAGCACGTGAGAGCTATCCTTAGAGCTTCAATACAATGGTCAGTATGTATGCGTGCCTCTATGTATAATACCAAGATGTCTCCAGGCGCATTTACGACCTCTGTGTGGCGAAGCTACAAGGCGAGTTTTGACGAATACCCGCGAGTATCCATTTGAGAACCCTAGCTTGATTATCAAGATATGACATTTGCCATCGTATTGATTAAACCTCGCATTTACGTGCCTACAACGCTGCACCGCGATTGACTAAGGGGAAGCCGGTTTGTTCACGAGATATCAACTTTCATCGGCCTTACCGTCCTTCCAGTCGTGGATTGTATCGAGACCTCACCGCCGAGTCGTCGACGAGGAAGTTACGTTGCTTCACACTTAGATAGAATGATATAGGGCAAGAATTTCGGCAACATATATCAATGACTTGACATGCAGGATTTACTATATAAAGGGGATACTCACCCCTTCTCAGTGACCTGTACTCATAACAACTCATCAACAACTCTACTTCGAACAATTTTAGACATTACAATTATACCCAGCTTTCACAATGCAATTTTCCCAGTTCATCCAGCTGTCCGCCATCCTGGCAGGAGCTGTGTACGCCATCCCGAGCCCTCTACCCAACACCATCATGCTCTCCAACGGCAACGAAACCGTAGCTGTCGAGGTCGATGGGCTCGATACGCGTGCCATTTTTGGCCGCTCAGACACGGATTGCAAGGGAAGCTACTTCTGTACTAATAAACAATGGTTCAAGGACCAGTGCGCACGGGCAAAGGACAAGCTCGAGGACACCATCTACACGAGCGGTGGCGCGTAAGTTACACCTCTTTCATCTTGGAGACTCCATTCCTATCCCTTACCCACTGTGGTATAGACGGGTGACTGATTTATGCACTATACAGAAAGAGCGGCGTGTGCGATGGTTGGTGCGGCCTCTTCGTCAAGGGTAAGGGGTGTTCTGCGACTGGGGCAGAGCTTGCCAATGGCTACGATTTGATCCGTGCTGGCGGTTGTCAGGCTTGTGGCTCATTGTACGGTGAGTTTATCTACGTGATGATGATGACGTAGACTGAGTCGTACTAACAAGTTAACAGCCGGAAGCTGTACGATTACAATTGACTACGTCAGTGGATGCTAGGTCAGATCTGCTCATAGCAGTGCTCATTACTCGAGTTTCCATGGTGAAGGATTGTCTGTGTGATTTTGTGGGGGATTCAAGATATTTACTTGTTCAAGGCATTGGGTTTTTCTTCTTACATCATGGATTATAGAACTGCTTATTTCCTATCCCAATATAGACTCCACTCTTTTAGTTTCTCATATGCTGTCAGTTCAATCTTTATATTACAAGTAGTAGTCCCCAGCACTAGATGCCCACTCAATATTTCGAAGCAAGTTGCTAGAGGACATTTTGCAAGTACAGCGTAGAAAAACTGTGGTAAGTACACAAGCAAGGAATGCCAAAGTGAAGGAAAAAAGGCTCTTTGCTGATGCGAGTTCAAACAGTCGAGGCCGGACATGAGTAGCAGCTCTATCTAGGCGATTACTATTGGCTTAATTCTAGGAGCGTCTTCCTTTCTGCATCCCTTTCTTTTCTAAGAACACTATAAGCCCATTATATCGTATGCGCGTGACAGCAATCTAAGGGATTAGCCAATTAGCAGGAATTACTAGCTCTCAGCGGTGTGATTTGCATTTGTATTTCCTTGCACAAGAGATTTATATCAGCTTCCACAAAACGCTTAGTTAGTAGAATAGAGCATTGATACAAGAGACTAACGAGATAGAAGCTGGCCGTATGAGATCTCAATTCCCCTCTGTTAGTCGGGCAGTTTTAGTGCTGATTTTCGAAGTATATATGAAGCAATGAGCATTCACACAAGTTGACCTCTCTGTTACCTGCTGCATGTAAACCTCTTCTACTAATCTACATCTCACTCAACAACATGATGACATTGGGGCTTCCGTCCGATTTTGGCCCTTTCAGAAACACGTCTCATTATAGGCTTAGTATCTTAGAGGAGAAACCACAAGTTTATCGTGACAAAGATGTCAAAACTTCAACGGATTGGTCAAATCCTGACTTCACCTTTCATGTCTGCGCCTATATGACGAAGACTTCATCCAGTACTAATCAAGGCATAACGTGTCTGAATGGAGGTACTAGATGAATAGTGGAGTGTCTCCGAGGAACTCGCCGAAGAGGACATGGATTTGGGCGCGGATAGCCGTAAGACACAAGGTGGATTAGCAATTTAGCACTACGGCTATTCATCTTGTGCATTTCTTGTTCGGGCTCGCGCAGCCCTCAGATTCTTTATAGGACGGAAAAATACACGCTTATGCCTCGAGGATGCCGGTACTTGGGGCATGTTAACAACATTCATAATAGTCTTCAAGTTGTGCTATGAGAGAGGCCGATGTCAGGGAGTAACTTTTGTAAGAAAGGCGGTTGAAAGACGTCCAATTGTGAGAAGTCTTTTCTTAAAATTCAAATCACCCATATGTATATATTGCCATTAATGGTCCTGAAGGATGCTGTGGGGAAAGTCGTATATAAACAGCCAGATCATATTGAGGACATCCTGGGACATTTATCAACAAATTGATACCTAGCCTATTGTATATGATCATACGAATGCATGTTACTAGACCAGAGGGTAAGGAGAAAGAACTCCGAGTAATGCATGGACCTTAAATGTAACACTGTATGCGGTAATAGATGCGAAAAGGACGAATGTTACAGTGATATTGCGGACAACGAGGGGCAAGGTTTGCGCTCGATGCTCTACCTCCAGCTACGCCAGCGTCTCATTCGCGTTACCGTAATCTCCGTTGTTTCTGATCGATATATGTGCCGACGCCCTACACCTCGGATTTCGGATGAACGAGGGGTGCCTGGTTCATGGGCCATTTCCCCGTACTCCATAAGCGCGTGAAACCGCCTTCGACTCCCTGCCCCCCTCCCCCAACAGGCTCCCCAATTCCGAGATTTCGGTTGCTTAAGATCTCTTCTTGCAATTTGTGGCCTTGGACAATTATAGCCGTAAGATGAGGCTGGTGAATCTCTGCGCTGACCTTTTGTATCCAATCGCATTTATGCATAAAAAGGAGGATTCACCGACGATCGACGCGAGTCTGCAATTAAAATCTGCAAGTAATGTAGTATACGCAGGAACAACATACATATCGAGTGCAACTCGTGATGATGAATACCGCTAGAAGAACAAGGGACATGCGAAAATGAGAGTAAGACTTGGATAGCATTTGTCACCTTCCAGCTTAACACCACGTTACTATTTCGGAACGCTGAACCGGCCCCTTACTGTCCGCGAACCTCCTTTGCACTAGATCCGACAGTGTGAGAATGACTGAAATTATTGGTGGCACTCAACATCTCTCCCAAACAATGAATTGATCAGTGGCGGCGACCTACTTCGTACCATGCATCAGTAGGGTTGCGATGGGATCCTGGGGGCATGGGGGGTATTGATCATCATTGGCTGGCCGAGACCATTATTGCGACCTCTGTCCCTTAAGGCCAAATGGATCAGAACGCATGGCACTCGAGGTGAAACGGGTTCAGAAGGGTTTCGACTGATATCTTGAAATGCAAGATTAGTCGGATAGGGGGGTTGACATGTATCCACAACCCATCCATTGCGCATCAGCTAAGTAGGTAGGCAACTAATTTACTACTTCCTCAATCACGTTGATGATCGTCAGGTTTCTTACTTCCTCTTCCTACCTTTCCCTATTCACAACTTATGATGAAGCAATCTAAGCCGGTATTTGACAATGAGCGAAAATTCAACATTTATTTACGTATCTGAAAGTGTGAGTGTGAGTGTAGGCGTAGGGTCACAAATAACCCTAGGTTCACAAGCGCAGCCGCCGGAGTGGACTACAACTACAGATCCGCTCACAACTGTCTTCACGGCGCCGCCCGTGTGCCAGACGCCTTTCGCCTGGCTTAATGACTGCTACGGCAAATACCATTGCGATGCCCAGTATTTGCCGTTTTTATATACAGACTCTCCCGGCAGCCCTCCGGTAGTATGCTTACCACAAACCACCATATTCTCCGATGGCTTCACAGATGGACAGTATGACTATAATCCGGGGATCTACTGCCCCAATGGGTTGACAACGGCTACCAGCATTGGGAACCAGTTCCTCTGTTGTCCTATGTTTGTGCCCTCCATGACACCCAAGACGACGCCAATAGCTAACATTTATGGGTATATCAGTGGCATGACGTACTCGTTCGATGGGAAGTACGATTCATGTGCGGGAACTGTGACGAAAGGAGTGTTCTGGGCAGGGCCAGGGAACTTGAACTCAGGCACCATAGCGAGGGCTATCACATTATCTTCCGGGGATGGCACGACAATATTCTTGGGTGCACCTCCAGTTTGGTTGACGCAAAATTCGCATAATTACTTTTCAAACCCGGCCCCAACGTCCATCGACAGACCGACAGACACGATCAAAGAACCAACATCGAAGCAGACTTCTTTGACAAGTCAGACTACTACTCATAGATGTTGGGATAAACGTGACTGCCTGACGACGTCCTTGCCAACGAATACCCCAGGCCCTCCGTCCCCGGGCCCCTCCCTCGGCGTCAAAGTCGGCGCGATTGTAGGCGGTGCGGTCACGTTCGTACTTGTTGCGGTGGCAGCCGTCCTGCTGCTTCGCTACCGCCGGCGACGCCTCCTCGCGCGCCAGGACTCCCCCCTGACGGATCTTGACGCAGACCTAATACAGCAGCATTACCAGAAGAAGCACCTCCCTGAGCTGCCTGTAGTCGAGTCGGCGGCCGAGCTCGAAGGAACACATGTCGAGGGGCACGGGCCGGGGATATACGTATGGAAACCCGAGCTCGAGGGTACGGCGGGGCTATCAGGCGCAAAGGGAGTCTACGTGAGGAAGAAGTCTGAATTAGAGGCTAGATATAACGAAGTCTTCCCTGGTAGTCCCATGTCGGAGACCAGGTCAGCAGCCACGACGGCGCCTGAGTCACCGGTTGTTGGACCGTCGTTTACGAGGTATTCCGTGCCGAGGTAGCTGTTGATATTCTAATGTTCTACAAGTTGGGGATGTTGATTCAAAGATTCGGGTACAGATGATAATGATAAAGATGTGTATAATACTCTTATTCTTAAGACGCAGCTAGATAAATATAACAAGACTTCGCTGAACGAGTGTGTGCTTGGTGCAACGCCCCAAAAGGTATAAAAGGTGAGAAATAGACAGGCCGCCATAACAAAAATAAAGGGCAAAAATATTCTAAACAGAACATTCGCCTTTCCAATCAGCGCGCCACAAGTGTCATCGTGAGAATGATCCCTTAGCTGCCGCCGCCGCCACCACCACAACCGCCGCCTCCGCCTCCGCAACCACCCCCTCCTCCACATCCTCCTCCACCTGAGCATCCTCCTCTACCTCCGCATCCAGCGCCACTCGTGGCAGAACACTATAATCCATTTAGTGTCGGTTCGCTTTCTAATTTGTTGGGTAAGATAGGGTGATTCTAGACTTACGCTGACAGCATTACCTCCGCACGCACCAGCAATTGCCCCTCCACACGCTCCCGAAGCCAATGTGCCGCCGCACGTCCCAGCAGCACAGGCGCCGTAGACCCCGGAGCCAGCAGCGATAGTCGTGGTATCGTAGTACACAGGACAGACGCAGTAAGCCGGGTAGACATAAGGGGCGTAGAGCAGGTAGGGCGTGCCCCAGTAATAGTAGTAGTAGTCGTCTCTGGCAGGCAGCTCACGGCCCTGCTTCTTCGCACGCTTCCGCGCCTTCTCGTAGTTCTCGTCGAGGCGCTTCTGGTGCATAAGTTGCATGCGCTTGTGGATCTTAGCGCGCACCTTGTCGTGCTCTTCTATGCGTACCGCATTGTGCGCGGAGATGTGTGCGCTGTTGTCTGGTGGGCAGAGCGCGGCGCGACCGGATGAGTAGAACCTTTCGGGGGCTGGATTACCATTGTTAATAATTTTGGAGTGCTGGTTTTAGGAAAAAAATGATGGGTACGAACCTTTGTCCTTGTCGCTCTGGAGTATGGACAGTTTGCTGGCTATTGAGGAGGGTCCGTGAGAGGTTCGCACAGACTCACAGTACCAACAGGTGCATTCTGAGTATACTTCACCGTAGAGCTCCTGGTATGTCTTGCTCGTCCACTCAAAGGCTGTAGATAGCTTGCCCTCTTCAATCTTGTCGTCGTGGTCTACGAAATAGGTCGTCTTGGAGACCATCCACTCATAGTAGCTGGCAGGACTCAGTTGATGGGTGTGCCACGCAAGGTCTACATCGAGCGTTGGAACAGCAATTTGAGTTGGATTCTTGCCCATGATGTCGGTGAATCGCTCGTATTTCGTGATAAGACGGGTCATTGTCTCACGTGCGGCCGGGCTGTGAAGCCAGTCCATCTATCTCTGTGAGCATATAGTTAAATGCGGCCGATGAAACGATGACAACTCACCTTGTACATCTTCTCTGTAAATATGCCTTGCCGCATAACAGCACCGCCAAGCTCTAGAGCAAAAGGAGAGCTATTTCCCCAGTACCTCGACATCATCTTCCGTACATGGACCCGAGCATCGCGCCCTAGGCGGTATCTTCTCTTCTTCTCCCTTGGGTCTATGACGGATTCAACGAATTGGATTGCGGCGGGGTCAGCGAGCTCTTTCTCTATGATTTCACGAACTACACCCATCGTATAAGGCGGAGGAGAGTATAGTTTACTCCGGAGTTTGTATCGAATGAGTCGGTTTGGGAACGTGGGTTGGAACCGGTCCTTCTCTTTCCCGGGCGGCGGAAGCTGTTTCGTCATCCCGGTCCTCAGACCGAGCATTGTACCTGGCATAGGGCGCTTATGCTGTATAAGAGCCTCCACATCCGTGGTAAATTTGAAGACTTCCAGATAGTCTCTCTTGAGTATCCTCTTGCAGCCGGAACATGTGATAATAAAATCACGATCACCGTAACCCATCCCTCCGACGAGTGAAGTCGAAGGGGAATCATCTCGCGAGCCTTCGGGCATGCCGCACGTTGACCACAGCACCCCGTTTACTTTGCGGCATTTGGGGCAGGGTGGGAGGGTTTTGGTAAACGAGTCGTGTATGTTGTCCCATTTCTTCCCTGTGACCTCCTCCCATACGGCCATGTAGCCAGAAGACACTTTATAATTGAAGTCGGTGTCGATTGCATCGTTCACCAGCTTCCATGGCATACCAGCATGCCACATCTCTCCGAAACCATTCCGCAAACAGTCTTCATAGTAAGCTTGAGGGTTCAGCATGTGTGCATGCCATACCATGAGCACATCTTGAGGGGTATTAGTAGATCTCTTAACAACTTAACGCTTGGGATTAATACCTAAAGGTGGAAGCATGTAGTTCTTCCAGCCATCGCCAGATGGTGGACTTGTGGCGAACCGGGTGTACTTGTCTGTGTCTTCCGCCATGTCGTCTTCAGTCAGCGGGTTCTTCATGAAGTTGCGCCACCAGGCTTCGTATCGGTCGACTGCTCTAGCAACATAAAGCGCCCATCGCTTTTCTCGGAGCAAAGATAGGTTCTTCTTAGTTTCATCGTCGAGACTGTTGGTGTCTGGTGATGCGCTTGGTTCTTTTGTCTTAGGTAAGACTCGGCTATCGTAGAGCTGCCAGAGGCCATCGGTATATCCGACCGCTTCCTTCAGGTTTTGAAAAGCGAAGAGGAGCTTCAAGTGTGCCAAGCATGTGTCTTCTGTAACAGATTTGGCGACTAAGGGGACATTGAGAGAAGAAAATGCCACGTTGAGCTGCTCGATTTCTTCGGTAGATATGCCCGTACCGTGGGCGGCATCGTAGCTTGGTGGTGCGACATACCCGTCGGGCTGTCCTATGTCTGTCACGGCCTGAACCTCCTCAGGCTTACCCATGATGATAACAAGTCGTTAAGGTGCAGATAGATAGCTCAGTTGATGGAATCGATGGAATAGCTTAAATTTTCGGAGTCGCAGCCTGCTGTCTTTGTATCCCTCTTCTCCTTTGTAGCTGAGACAGACACGTGAATCCCCAGCCTCTAAGGCACAATTACTGCGGATACTTCCGAATCCAATTACCGAGGGACACCCTGCAGCAGCATCAATAGACGTAATAGGCGTCTGATAGCAATTTCTCGAAGGTGAACTGTCTATGCCTACCTATGTCGAGGCAGGCACGTGGCATCTCTAGTCCAATCGGTGACGTTCCGCATGCGTTATCATGTCATCCGAGATGTTGAGGCTGTGCAAAGCAATGGCCTGTGTAACGCTCCCAAAGCCCCAAAGCTACGTCAATGAAGTTGAGGCAAGAATCGCACTTGTTGTTAGGGCGTTGCATCCCCGCGAAGTGTAAGCCAACTAGCCGTGAGGCCATTATTCAATTGGCAGGCCAGATGCCGATAGAATGCGCGCCATCGTTCATGGGTGGGCGCATGGCGGCTGTGTAATCCTCTTAATCCATGACTTCCGCGAGCTGAAAGGCCGTTAAGCCGTCCGATACCACGAAGAGGATAGTGAGGTCAAAGCTTATTGGCGCCGTCATCTCACCATCGACTCCCTTAGCGACCCTAAAACGTTCTACGGCTTCTAGCGGGCAGGTCTCCGCCCCCAGTGTGTGCCTTGAGACTTTCAGCCGCAGCAGCTGATTGTGTTGTACGCGTACTCCGTCTCAGTTGAGCGTCTGAAAGCGACAACAGATAGGGACCTTTTTTTGTTCGAGCGCGACATACAACTCTTATCTACTGCTGAAAAGCGAAAAGCGAAAAGCTACAATCTTACCTTATGCAGAATTTATGCACGTTACAATGAGAGCTTTCGTAACGCCTGTGTAACAAATCTCGTAACAGTCCTAAGAACGATATCTGGAAAGGGAGTGTATCACATGATTGATGATGAGACATTCTCTCATCAAGTATGGCTCTGTGGTGTTGCTTTGCAAAAATCTCAGGACTGATAACACATATAGTCACGATTACAACAATGCTCTCAACCCGGAGATCATGTACTCAGGTTAATGCCTAAAATGATGCCTTCTCATATAACGATAACGCCGTTTTGATATAGAAAACGCCACGCGGTGATGACTCTTGTATGGGTGGGCGGGTTCTGGCTAAGCGCATTCTATACACAGTCACTGAGCTTTCATCGATGCGCACCTCTGTGTCTTCCCCTCCCAGCTGAGATTATGACTTCGTCAAGAAACCGATAGTCTCCAACTGCTTCGAATCACCCACAGACAAACTGAGGTCCTTGAACTCTTCCAGCTCCTTTTGAGTACTCTCAACATCTTTGACGACCATGCCCCAGGCGTCAGGCCCCAGGGGAAGTCGGATTGGGATTCGTTGCCCACGACTAACGAGTTCCAATATCGCCTTCGCCAGTGCCATAGGCTCCGCCCAAAAAGCGCGGCCTTGTTCGGACTTGATATAATCAAGTAATTGCTTAGCCGGGTAACTAGGATCTGCATAAGCTGGGTGCCTTTTGGCCACGGATTTCAAAGACGAGGTTGCGAAGTTGGTTTTTACTCCTCCCGGCTCAAGGCTGCACATGTGAACTGAATCAGGCGTTAGTAATAAGCGGTCAAATCATACAGCTAGGAAATACCTCAACTCACTATTCCATGCTAGCGGAAGCTCCTTAGAAACTGATTCAGTCCAACCTTCCATAGCGAACTTAGTAGCATGATAGAACGCTTGTCCCGGGTAACCGATGTAGCCTCCCATAGAACTCATGTTTAGGATCACGCCGCCTTGCTGTCCGCTCTTAGGGTTTTCTTCCCTCAGAATCCTCAGGCATCTCGTGCTAACATTGACCATTCCCCAGAAATTAGTGTCCATGATAGCTCGAGCTTCCTGCTCACTGGTGACCTCAGTATCTCCAGAAAGAGTGTAGCCTGCATTGTTGACAACTATATCAATTCTTCTGAACTTATCTAGTGTAGCTTTTAGGGCTTCATCGATTGCGTTGGTAGCAGTCACATCCAATTCTAGCTTCAGGACGTTGTCATTATCGGGAATTTCCGACAAACTAGCTATCTTACGTGCCGTGGCGACCACCCGGTAGGAGCTCTGTGATAATAGATGAGCCAGAGCGAGACCAATCCCGGAGGAGCAACCAGTGACTATACATTCGCGCATGCAGAGTTAGTCTTGAACGCATGCAACAAGGACACAATCATTCACTAACTGAACCACACAGCATCTGGGGGCAGATGGTACGGCGATGTATTGGGGAAACTCATTGTGAGCCCTTCGTTGCTGTTGCGAACGCAAGCTGTGGAAGGAAGATAAACAGAATAATTGGATCAAGCCGATGCAAGAGCAACGTTATTCAGCCACCACGAGTGGTGAACTGGGATTCTTTTCGTAGCATCTTCCAGCAAGATGGCCCCTGAGATCTCAAGCAGCGCCTTCACTATCATGGATAATACAAGGGGCCCTGCATAGTCAGCCAATGGTGCTCGGTGATGAATTCAACCCTGGACTTTGGTTACGCTACCGTAACCAGTTATAGTAGGCAACCCCCCTTGAAAGCAATCGCCAACAGTGAACTGTGACGCAGAGTATGCAACTATCGTATCATACCACTTAAATTTCCCACATCTAGCTATGATGGTGCGGAGTTAAGGGCTTTAAGGATACTGTCCCTCAGGAAACGGCTTCACCTGCAGAACGCCAAGCACACTGAACAGGGAACCAAAGCCAATCAGAGTTGAATACTGAATGCGTCTGCAAGGAGAAGCTACCGGCAGTATAACGATATCTTATCTCTCCGTAGGTGAAGGGGTTTACCGTAGATTATAGCCACGGCTCTTAGGCGGGTCGAATTGAGGTCAACCCACGATCGTTAAGATGCAAGGTGTTTGCGACAACTACCTATACACTCCGAAGCGTGGAAGTTGGAGATTCGTGGATGCAATCTATCGCAGCGAAGATTGTCTAGTTGCTTCCAACGGGAGCGCGTAGACGGCTCTTCGAGAATCAGTTATTAATATTACAAATGAATGAGTGTCTCTTATGCTACCTATTTCGCTAAACTAGATCTCAATCATCGTTGAACCCCTTCTTCCAATTTCGAGTCTAACCTACTTTCGGATACAAATGCTTACTTGTGTTTCTGTTATGGCGTAACAAGTCTGGATTTATGCTGCACTAGTCATCATTTGTGAAAGGCAGACTTGTACTAGCTCAGGCTCAAGGCTCAAAGTGGGATAAACAGACAGCTATGAGCTGTCATGCAAGCGCACAACGGCTGACTTCTTTACGTAGAGTTCCTTTCCTTTTTCACTGACCGAGGCTTCGTCATCAGGAGTACACTACATGTATCTCCCTACTGTCTAGACTTGGCCACCTCATCTAGTTGCCATATTTTGCGCGCATACCTGTAGTGCGCCCATCACAGGTCGGCCCTTTTAGAACCGGGGTATGTAGTCGTCATGGTGTCGCATGTTGCATTACTTAGCTATCAATACCAAAGCTTTGGAACGTCCACCTGAACTAGCGAGCACACGCCATAAAGGCATGCTGTATGAAGTAGTTACACCACTAGTCCCTTACTGGATAGGAGCTGAAAGCTTGAGATTCGAGTGTGCACTGCTCAAAGAACGGCGTCGTCATCAGCGTGGCTCGGCAGAAGCTTACCAGTAGCTTTGGGAACAAGCTTTTCTTTCAAGAAGATATAGCAGTAACTAGGGTCTCGATTCTGCCCCACAAGGAGAAATAATCGCATTTCAAAATCATTGTTGCGCTGTTGAGGGCTGGCTAAGGGTTGTTCCTTGATCCCATTTAGGCGCCACCAACGGTTTTAGTCTGGGGTTCAGATCAGTGTGTGCTGTTGCAACCAGAACCAGAGAGTTGATGCAAAGTCCAAAACCCACCTATGTTATATGCTAACTATTTACATTTCTCATCAAATCCAAATGCGTGCAATCGCACTCAATTATCGCTGAGTTTTGAGCATGAGACATGTGAGTCGCACGGTGGCTGTCTCATAGCGTTAAATACCAGAGCCCAGCATCTCCATAGCGCATATTCACCTAACTATCTAAAACGAGAATTCCACTTAAAGATGGCTTTAATGCCTCTCCAAACCTAGCAATTTCGAGTATCTTCAAGAGCGGTGAAACGAGAGTTTTTATAATAAAAAAAAAAAAAAAAAATCGTACAAAAGAAACTCTCCCGAGCGTGAGTCGAACACGCGACCTGTGGATTCCAATTTCAATTACAGTCCATCGCTCTACCAACTGAGCTATCAGGAGCCTAGTGTACTTAAAGGTCCATGAATTGGGCTTTATCCTTCGATTCTCTATTATCACAGACCTTTCATTCCAGTGCCTGTCCAAGTCCGAGGACATATCAATATCCTTGTCTGCACATTGACTGAACGTGACTTACCGCGTGATTAATTCACCATCATTCCTTGTCCAATGAACAAAGGTATAACAACGATCGAAGATATGAGCTGAAAGTATAGTGATGTTGACTCTAGATGACATCAAGCGGTAGCACCATGTAGCTATAGAAATCTAGAGCGGTCAAGAGAGGCGAGAGATGAGGTGCAAACTGTAAGAACTAGAAATCACTTACTATTGTCACAGAAATCTCGGAACACATTCTTCACATGTCGGTTTGACGAAATTGTCAGGAAGATGTACTGAGCTTATTTTATACGACTACAGTTATGTTCAGAAGTGATGATAGTTACTGTTGAGTTCCCTGTAGAGACCCTGGGAGAAGAAGATTATGTGACAAGGCAGTTGGGGTTTCTAGTGGACATACATATTCCTTGGTGCATGAAAGAAAGCTGCTGAAATGAATTAGTTAATTCTTCTGTGGTTTGTGCTTGTCTTTTAATAATAGCTCAGGGCTGTTAAAACTGGAAGCCTCAGAACCCGAAGACATTGGGCAATAGGCAAAGCTGACAAAGACAACGCTCTTCCACAACAGTCATAGATTCTTGAATATTCTTCATGTGACCGATGTCTTTCAGGTCATAGCTAAGGGCTTGACATCAGACATGTAGGAACCACAGTTGCGTGTGTTCATATCCTGCCTACTACCAGGAGTTACATAGAACAGGCTAAGTAGATAAATGGGCAGTTCCCAGGATATTCAGAACAGGTCAACATATCAGTCAGTACTCTATCTGACCACTCGTTTTCGCATACTCACTTCACTGAAGGGCAGTATACATATTACTCTAGCTTCTCGGTCTATTCAATATCACTCACGCGCGAATGCCGATACGCGAGCATTGATGAATGTCTGTCAAGAAGCTAGACAAGCTGTTCTTGTAGGCCGTGAAGTCCAAGGGGTCAAGGGCGACATTCTAAAAGACTCCGAACGTGACTCGTGGGTTGAGATGATTGAACATCTCGCGAGACATGATATCAACGAAGCCCTAGGGCGTGCTATCGACGTCAAGATTGTCATGAACTTAGGGTTTCATGTTGGATGCCTGTGGGAACCCGCAAAAAAACGCTGTGGGCATTCTTGGAACTACCCGCGGGCTGGAAGGTTGATGCCAAGTATTCGTGGTGCCGACGAAGGTAACCGCTTTACTTACCTAATATAAAGGGACTATCCACTTTATGCGATGTTTATGTATGGATATTGCCCAGAGCAATGATAGAAACACGACACTTACGAGAACATCATCTTAGGGATATGAAAAGGCCGAGACTATGAATAGTGTGGGAATGAGGAATTGGAGGACAAGGGTGTTTACATGTAGCGCAGCTGTGGGCTGCAACATGATGGTTATGGTCTTAGACGTTTGGATAACTAAAAAACGTAGAGCGGTATCCTCTAGCTAGGTGAAGAAGAATCAGAGAGACTGGTAAAGGGAAGATTACAAATATAGTATCATATTCTTAGACCACTCTTTCCTTACCGCTCGTTTGACATCTTTGTTCAGCAAGCTTCCTAGCAAATACTTTTGGCCCCCATCGACGATCCCATCCGTCACATCCAGTAGACATAACTAGGCAGGTGTTTTGCACATTTCCTCTCATATACATGGTCCCGCGCATTGCTTGGCATGAGAAAGTTACACGCCAAGAGATAAAATTTTCTACTCTTCAACGTCCCATCTATTACTAGTGGTGTTCAAGATGATCATTTCGGTGGGACAAAACTCATTCTTGGGACCAGTGTACTTCTGTATGGTAGAGCTGGGGTTGGTTGGCATTAGAGCAACTAACTAAACTGGGGCTTGCTGCAATCCTACCATCTACTATGATCGGGATGCTACCCATATTCGCGAAATATAACCAGGCGACCAAGACCAGATCTTGGCTCGCTCGGTGCGCGAAATCCTTCTAGCTCCAACTAATGCCGAAGAGCGTGGGTCGAGGTCTTGGATAGGGGAGAATCTGGCATGATCTATGCGGTGGCTTGAAGACGAAAGAGAGGGGAAAACACCAGGACGAAGGCGATGGGAAGGGAAGGGTTACAGTTGCAGCGTGTTTCGTGTGTCGCTTCGCTCGCTTCCGCTGACAATATTCCCTGGCATCGGGTCACACCATCCACATTATACTGCCTTTCAGTCGTCCGGCTCCTGTTCCGCTGCCATTCACAGCAATATATGCAAGAACTCCTGCCTGGTCGAGTGATCGCACATCACCAATGAGGTGACTGGGGCCCAAACCATCGGGTATGAGAAACTAGGATGTCCAGCCGAGCCCCCGGGCCCTAGTTCGACGGCATGCAGAAAACCAGGGGGTTCAATGCAACCCCTGGCAGCTCCGCCTACATAGCAGTCTTTTGCGTGTGCGGGTGGACGGCACACTTCCGTTTTAGTCTGAGGTTACCATAGTACTGGGTCCAAGAGATCATATCGCGCCATCCTACGAATTCACTCGATCCAACGGGATCAGTCCAGACGCAGGCTTACCAAACGTATACGCACACTGCATTGCAAATGGAATTATGACACGAGACCCATCCACGCCAGGATCTGGTTCCGGACCCATGTCACCGGGTCGTTGCCTCGTGCGGGATAATCCATTCTATCGGGTTCACTCGAGTCTTTGCGCTCTGGGGTGTAAGCGATATAGATATCGGAGGATATGTGAAGGCAACTAGCCCGCGGATTATATCCCAAAGGACATGGGGTCTTGATATTTTATACCTGCGCTGCCCATCGCACTCTCTGGGGAATAGGTCTTGTAGGTCTTGGTCTGAAGCTCTCTAGCCGATTTTCATCATTGTCTATCTCTTATTCCCATAGAATAATTCGAAACATCCATGGAAGAGCTCCAGAACATCGGCTACAGAGGTATTGGAGAAGGATTATCACCAGCTATTCGTTACAATGACTTATCGTCAAGTGAACTGTCTCTTAGCCTGATTGATGACTGGCAGACGCTGTGAGACGTCCTTCCTTCTGCTTTCCCTCCTTTCTTACTCACTGGTGGTAGACCTTCACTTCGAACTCCTGCACCCGAGCCCACCCCTCATGCATCGACAACACAAGCTCCTGTCCACAGTGATGTGGAAAATGAGTCCAGTGAAGGCCCTTCAGAAACACTTCACGAAACCCACCATATACGCTTAACACAGGAGCAGTCCTTGCATGTCGGTTTGACTCCTCTCGAGAGATACTGCTGTCATGCCGAACAACACGAGCAGCTCGCAGTAGGTCAGGTAACAGGCCGCGGGTCACTCGCACGACTGGGCGAGCTCAGCGAATCGCTCTATAGTGCCGCAAGAATACTTCCAGGATGCACATCTCGATCTTCAGCGCCTTCCCCCTCGAGCCAAAGCTCAAGTTCTGATAGAGACATCAACGTGACTGCCACGCTCGCGATTGATCTCTGTATAAAGGGCTCGTCTGAGCTGCAGACACTGTCGCACGAAGAACAGGCGAAACACCTGCACAAAATGTAGGCCAAAGCCATGAGATTGTAGAGAGGTATCTCTGACTGATATTCTGTAATGATGTAGTGCTAAACTGAGGAGGCGTATTAGAGCGGAAGGGGCAGGGCGAATGAGGAGGCCGGCACGGGTTCGCAAACGAAGTAACAAGTCAGGAGAGACAGGTCAAAGTGGCGATGGATCATAGTGAATACACGTATACAGTCCAAGAGTTACTAGAATACATTATCAGACCTACTGGATAGGGTAAGGATGTAATGGCTAGGTCAAGCGAATGCTCGACATGTATCATTAGGACGAGGCTCTAAACGATTAGCTCAGTCTTGATATGTCGTCTGGTAATATTTATAATCAATAAGGGACAGACTTTAGAATAGTAGAATGAAGCTATATGAACACTTCATACTGTGGGGAAGAACGCGACAAATTGCGAGGGGGTGCGCTTTGCGAATAGTCTCAACCTCGACCACACTGGCACTACATAATTCTGGCCTATGAATCTGTTACGGATTGAGAGCTCATATTACTAAACTCACCTTTTTGTGCTGTTTCAAGAGAGACAGGTTTACCTACCTACTTTCTTGAGCGACGCGTCTGGGCAACAGCATGAAGCCTTCACGCGCTCATTCACATGCTGGCCACATCGGCCACATCGTCATCGTATACCGCACATAGTCGTACATTAAAAGTTTTAGCTCGGAGGAGAAGAGAGAGGGTCCAAATTTAGAGCCGAGTGATCAAACAAGATAATATTCAGACCCTACTCGTTTTGACGGTGCTCTGGGTGTGGCAGCGTCCCGGCCCCGCTAATTCTACTAACCGTTTAAAACAATACTAGACTACGGTAGTTACCAACAGAGCAATATGCGCATATAAGGTAAGTTGCCCAAATTGTCAGATCGTCATCAGGAAGACATGTATCTACCTTAGCTAAGCCGTAGCTGTCTTGTTCGCGCGCCATTTCTCGTGAACGGTATCGTTCATGATCTCAAGAATCACGCGCCCGCAGCCTGCGGAGCGGTAGCAGCAGCGCAGCAACGGCTACTATAGACGCCTGTACCAACCATGCTGCCCCAAAACAGGCGTCTGCGACATCTCCAGGGGATATACATCCGCAATCTGAGCTTCACCAAGCCCCATGGCCGCGCTTCCGACGACCTCGACGCCGATCTCCATTCCACCAAGCCACAAGACCCCCAGCGCCAGCTCCAGCTCCAGCTCCAACATGCTCGCTCCTCCGAGAGTCTCCGTCCGCGTGCCGGTGCTCGTAGGCGCAGTACCGCTATCGCCAATGCCACGCCTGTCACCCGCCACAAACATTTGGAATACAAGGTCGAAAGTAGAGCTGCCGACGTGTTCTTCTCACTGCATTGCGATGGCGAGGACGACCCCGTCTACATTAGCGAAGTTGGCCTGCGATCTATGAACTTCAACTTTCGGTTCTTCGACCTTTCCGGTGCCGACCCTCGCATCACGCGATCGTCAGAGTTGAAGATAAGGGTATGGGCCAAGCGACGGGAATCATGGGGCTTGCTCCTGTCCCAGGACATCGACCTTCGCTCGCTACATTATGTCGGCAGTCTACGAAACCACCATTTCCCACCCAACTGTATCATCTTCCACCTTCAAGATGGCATGTACTCGCTTGATCTTGCTAGTAAACGCCCCGAGCCGAAGCAAACGCCGCCACTGCCTACTTCCTCCTACAATGTCCTGATGAAACTTTCCAATCTAAATAACTCAATTGAAGATGCTTTAGCTACGCGCAAAGCGCTGACTGCGCAGATCAATTCTTTGCTTGAAAAAATACCAGAAGATACAGTGCCGCAGGCGCAAGAGTCTGCCCGTGTCTCCGCATCTTACCTCGCAGCCCAGAAGCGGGCCGTTCGATCTGCCCAGACACGACGGGACGACCTCGAAACATCTATCCAAGCTCGACGAGATGCCATGAAGGAGGGACAGTCTGCGCAAGCCCGGGCCTCAGATCATGTTGAACACGCCCAATCCAAGTTGCCGGCGTCACAGGAGTTGATCTCAGCTACGCGCGAAAGCATTCATGGCCAACGGCGTCGCATATGTGAAGATCTTGCACACATTTTCCCCATCACACCAGTTCCATCAGGGGCGCCTCTTTCTTTTAGTATCTGCGGCATACCGCTGCCCAACTCTGACTACGACCCGACATCGTCATCATCTACGGAAGACACGCTCTCTGCAGCTCTAGGTAACGTCGCGCAGCTAACTCATGCGCTACAATTTTACCTAAGCGTCCCTCTCCCATATCCAGTGACGGCTTTCGGGTCGCGGAGCAGTATTCGTGATGACATCTCATTGCTGCCCGAGGCCCAACGTGTCTTTCCCTTGTTTCTACGTGGTGGCGCAACGGCACAGTATCGATTCGACTACGGCTGGTTTCTGCTAAACAAGGACATCGAGGCTTTGTGCGTGTCGGCTGGGCTTAAGATCGTGGATATTCGGCACACGCTGCCCAATCTCAAATACCTCTTGTATGTCTGTAGTGCAGGTAGCGAGGAGGTACCGGAGCGTAAACGCGGTGGAATTCGAGGGCTTTGGGCCGGCCGAATGAGAGGAAGACTGGGCGTGGGTAGTTCGCTTGCTAGCACTGATGATGGCGCTAGTAGTACTGCCGGAAGTCGTCGTGGTAGTATGGACAGCGAGATTTTGAGCGGCAAACAGAGAGAAACGCTGAGCCGTGCTCTCGGCCGGGAAAATGGTCACGGAAGCGGAGATCATTCGCGACAGAGCAGTGTTGGCGCGGCAGGGAGACAGCAGCAACAGCACTCACCCGTCCGTCTGCCGTTCGACGAGGGGGCTGCCAAGCTCACATTACGTACAAAGGGTCTAAGGGAGAATGTTGGTGCACATGCTTGAGATACCCATAGAGTAATAAAATTTGTCTTGTCTTGTCAAGATTCTTTTTTCGTGGAATTTGGGGTACTTATTTGACGGTGGTACCAAAAATTCATCCGACGTGCTACTAAATCTTACTACCAGTTAGATACCTTCTCATTGTACACACGACAGGATATGTTACGGCATTGGTTGATTGTCAATGGTCACGGCTAATTGGATTGTTGCACGATAGGGAAGCAGAAACGGTCGAGCACATGCTAGCCACTCCTTGTGCCCGACGGTTCCCGCAGATTGTAGTACAGGTGAAGGCTGATTGCTAACATATCATGGCTTGTTGTAAATGTATGGTAGAGAGCAATATTCTCTCTAGGGCATTACAAATAGAGAACACAAATGCCTTTCACAACGCAAGGGAGGCTTCGGAGGAGTTGCCTGACTCGGCACTGAGCAAACATATGCTAGGAATTCTTGTTATACCTAGGGAATAGGCTGATTGATAAGTCCAATGTATATTTCTCTCTATTCGAAAACGTCCTCTGAGGTACCTGTTGGTATGGATAAATCTCATGACATCCTCGTCCTGACTACCTAGGTAGGTAGGTATGTACCTCAGTAAGCGCGGGACTAAGGACATATCATCGCGTTTATTATTGCGGAAAGAGGGGTCACCAGAAGTAACGAGGACCGCGTATGATAAGGGCTGCTGACAATTTCATACAACCGCGAAGGGGCTGGCGGAAACTCCCTTCTCGGGTGGGAGCCTCGGAGCTGGGTAACGATCTCGGGCGTTAGGTGGGGCTTACGGCTCTTGCAATGCGTACAAAGGATCAGATTATGGTAGTTAAGTGCTCTAGCTAGTTTAGTTTTATTTTAGGAATAATTAAGCAGTAACTATATTAAATATATATATTATATTTATAAATAAATTTTAATACTTGATAAGGACCTTTATAATTCTTTCTTTATTTAAAATAACTAATAATTTTTATATATAAATTTCAATACTTCATATCAACAGGCAGAATTTAATAGGTAAATTTAAGTATCCTATTAAACCCTACAATCGATAAAACAAGTCTAGCAAACCTATCATTTATCAACTATACAAACCGCCACTTAACGTAACAACCTCTTCGTTGGGGCGAATTATACGAAACGACAACTGCAACCCCTTTGCCTTCTGGCTACCTTCGCTGACGAATCTTTGAACACTAGTTTACCTGCTCCTTGACTTTGCCAACGTCTGACAAACGAACAACAAACAACAACAATTATACGATTTACTTTAAATCGGCATGTTGGGCCTCTCTCTACCCAGTTACCTTAGATTCATTCGCTCGGGTCTTTCAGCTCTTAGGGAATATGGTGCTACAAGTGCCACTGATGCTCGCGAATAGTACCGAGTATATTTCCTCACGTGGATTTCGCTTGTTGTTGTTGTTTTGAGATTCGACTGACGAGCTGAGCTCTGTGGGAGGAGTATAATAGGGGTGCGAATCTCGTCTTTCCACTGCAACAAGAGTCCGCAAATTTACCAACGTCACGCTTGAGAAAATTCACGAGAAGCACTCGGTGCTCTAAAGTCATACGCCTTGTCGGGGTACGTGCTATCTGTCAAATGTACAAGCTCCTCCATTACCTCCTCTCCTCATTACCCTCCCTCATAAGTTAGAAGTGTCAATCACTTACTATCTCCATACGTTCTCGCTGACATCTTATTTATGAAGCTAATCTGCCTCCAGTATCTCGCGAGACACACCTCACAAGACCAACTCAACGGCCTTCCCCAAAAAGCATCAGTCTATCACGGGATACATCCCTCACACCCCACGATGTCAACTCCACCAACACGTATCAGTCTCAGACTCTACGAGCAGAAAACACGAGAGGAAAAGCAGAAAGCCGAGAGAAATAAAGAATGGGAGCGCACCTTTGGAGGAATCGCAGATGAAGATGACCCGCCGAGTCAGGCTAGCGGAAGTGGTAGTGGAAGTGGTAAGGGAAAAGGGAAGGAGGATGTGAAGGATACCAAGGGGACGGAAGCGAAGAAGGCGTAGTGATGGTAGGGGTTATTGACGAGGAGGATGGGATAATGAATGTTTTTGGGTATTTTTCGGTTACACTCTGGATGGGAATGCTTGGTTGCTTAACTAAAAGAATGTCTAGTTTTGAGAAGAGAACAGGAGTTGAGATTCAACAGGATTAATTTTCTGCATTTCGATGCCATTACTTCATGTCATACTCATATTTCACACGTGGCTTTTAATAATTCTCATCCCCTGATTTCTGTCAACATCTTAGTCTCACACTCGTGATTGATAGCTCGCAAAGCTTTCCTACCTGGCTTACTTCCGGTTAAATGCAGGGTACGATTTGCTTGAACAAAATATAGCATATCCATAGGAGTAATAGAATAATACATCTGGCAGCATTTTGGGTTACCAGTCATTATTTGATATGTGTGGTTTAGGGAAACAATAAGTAGCAGACTGAGATGAGTAATAAAACTTCTGCTAGAGCTGGCCTACATCTACAGACAAGTAATGAAATGATAAGCCACTCAAAATTGACGTCGGTAAGATACCCCGAGGCGACCGGCTTCTCGGGACGCGTGCCGCCGGACGGACAACCATGGGTCACTAGGGTCAATGCTTGGCTGGCTCTGTGCGGGGAAGCCATCACCGTCCACACGTACCTTTATTCTACATACACTAGGCACGATTCAAACCATCGTCTGCAGGAACCTGATATTACCCGCCAGCACTCCGCACGACCCCAACATGTCCTCGTCCGACTAGATGCGGAGAATGTCGCAGTACCAGTGGAAGCACGATGCTGGTCCACATAGATTCCGTCGCTCGTGGAGTGACTGTTGGTTCTATTGATGGGATCTGAGATTATATCCCCGGACTCTATGTCCTAATAAGTGGGTTTCTTGGAAAAAGTAGAGATGAGTGGATGGGATGATGGGTTCGCGATCACACCGTACCCGAGTTTCTGGCACCATATAAAGGAGTGCCGATCCGCCTACTTTCGCGAATGACCATTGAGATGCTTTTGTACATCTAGTCTGGTGTCCCGGCCGCTGGACTTTTGAATCCCTCGCTTGAAATCTGGGACCAGTAGGCCAAACTCTCCAGACCGAGATACCTGCGAGGATAATGGCTTCATTCATATGGCTGGCCCTAGCCACATGGGCCACGCTCATCGCGGCCCTCGGACAAAAGCCCATCGTCTCTTTCACACGCAGTCCGAAGGCGTTCCAAATCGCCGGCGGGAGCCTTTCAAAGCCCCAGATCCGCGTTTCCAGCGACGATAGCTGGGGCGTGATCCGCGCGGCGGGGGATCTGGCGGTTGACTTTGGCCGCGTCACGGGGAGGAATTTCACGCTTAGCAATGGTGAGAAGGGAGGCGAGGCGGCGGTGTATGAGTATGCGGTTGTTAGTGCGAATTACACGCATGTAGGTCATGCCTCTTATAATAATGATGCTTGACATCTGGTATGAAGAGCTAGGAACATGTGTCTGTCGTCTAGGATAGAACAAAGCTGATAAAAAACATCTCCGCTAGTACTCGACCAACGGCACGGGACATTTCACCGGGCCAGAGTATACCGATCCATCACCCAAAGACACGGTGATTATCGCGGGCACCCTAGGCCGCTCACGCATCATCGACGATCTAGTCAAAGCCGGCAAACTCAAAGTCACCGAAATACAAGGAAAATGGGAATCCTTCGTGACCCAGATTGTCGAGGATCCGATTCGCGGCTGTCCGCGAGCCGTCGTCATAGCCGGCAGCGACCCGCGCGGAACCATCTTCGGACTATACGACGTCAGCGAGCAAATCGGGGTCAGCCCATGGTACTGGTGGGCCGACGTCCCGATCCCTCGGCACAAAGACATCTTCATCCTCTCTTCACGAAAAGTCCAGGGCCCTCCATCCGTCAAATACCGCGGGCTATTCCTGAACGACGAGCAGCCTGGCTTATCAGGCTGGGTGCAACAGAACTACGACGACACGCCTTTCGGCGTCGGGTATAACGCGCATTTCTACGTGAACGTATTCGAGCTTCTACTCCGGCTGCGCGCGAATTACTTGTGGCCTGCGATATGGGGGTCGATGTTCGAGGTCGATGATACCGCGAACCAGCCACTTGCCGACGCGTGGGAGATTGTGCTGGGGAGCTCGCATACGGAGCCGATGATGCGCGCGCAGAACGAGTTCGGGACGTTTTATATCAACGAGGGCCTCGGACCATGGGCGTACGAGCAGAATAACGCGACTATTGATGAGTACTTCGTGTACGGCGCGCAAAGAGCGAAGCCGTATGCTAATAATAGTTTGTTTACGATGGGCATGCGAGGGACTGGGGATACGGCTATTGCGGGCCTTGGTGTTGATGCTATTGTCGCTTTGCTGGAGGCTGTGGTGAAGAGTCAGAGAAACGTCATCGAGAGCGTCCTGGATACCGATGTCCCGCAGATGTGGTGTCTGTATAAAGAGGTCATGTCGTATATACAGGAGGGACTGAGAATCCCCGAAGATATCACGCTGTTGTGGGCTGATGATAATTGGGGAAATGTGCGAAGAGTGCCTATTGATGATGAGAAAACAAGACCGGGCGGCGCTGGAGTTTACTACCATTTCGACTATGTTGGTGATACTAGGGATTATAAGTGGATTAATACGATTCAGCTGGAGAAGACGGCTGAGCAGATGCAGCTTGCTTACGCCCATGGAGCGGACAGGATATGGATCGTCAATGTGGGAGACTTGAAGCCTCTGGAGATTCCCATAAACCATTTCCTAGACATGGCATACGATATCGAACAATGGGGAGTAAGCGATGTGGGCAATTGGACCACTGCGTGGGCGACGCGGGAGTTCGGGCCAAAACAAGCAGCGGAAATCACGGACATCATGACGCGATTTGGCATGTATGCAGCACGAAGGAAGTTTGAGCTCGTCGAGCCGTACATTTACTCCGTGGTGAATTACAACGAAGGAGATGCTATACTTCAGCAATGGCAGGCCTTGGTGGACGATGCCCAAGCTGTCTATGACAAGTTTGGAGAGGCGTATCAGCCGGCGTTTTTTGAAATGGTTCTGCACCCGATCCTGGGAGGGCAGATCATTCACCAGGTGCACATTGGCGCCGAGAAGAACATGGTATATGCTAATCAACATAGAAACTCTGCAAATGATATGATCACTGATGTTCTGGCTCACTTTAAAGCCGATGGTGAACTTACGGCGAGATGGGACAGCCTCCTGGGGGGTAAATGGAAACGGATGCTTGATCGTATGTGAACAAGATAGGACGTGATGTTGGACTACTTAACTGACATGGGAGACAGAAACACACTTTGGATATGACGGTTACTGGCAACAGCCCATGCGCAACGTGTTACCTGCAATGGCTTATGTGCAGAGTGCTGTGTCATCTATTGCAGGTAATGTTGGCATTGCAGTGGAAGGACTGAACGCCAGTATTCCTGGCGATGATAAGTATCACGCAAACTCAGGGAATACCCTCGTTCTCCCGCCCCTCGATCCATATGGACCGTCAACACGGTGGTTTGATGTATTCTCGCGGGGAACGATGGATTGCGATTGGACAGCTACGGTTGATATATCGTGGGTGAAGCTGTCGCAGAGTAAGGGGACGATAGGGCCGGGAAACGGCACCGACACGCGTGTGCTTGTATCAGTCGATTGGTCGGCCGCTGATAGCACGACGGCCAATATCACATTTACTGCGGGATGTGGGAAAGAAGGGTTTACTAGCTGGTATAGCTCACCAACTGTCCAGGTTCCCATAAACGTGCGTAAGATACCCTCGAGCTTCACGGACGGTTTTGTCGAGTCGGACAAGACAGTAGCTATCGAAGCCCCGAACTACCAACGCATACACAAGCCATCGAGCGCGACAGGCTCAAACGTAACATATCTTACCCTTGAGAACTACGGGAGGACATCAGGAGGAGTCACGTTATGGCCCCAGACAACAACCCCCCAAACACCGAGTACAGCACCTGCATTAGAGTACGACGTGTACCTATTCACAGCGATGCCCAAAGTCAAAGTGACGCTCTACCTCTCGCCCACTCAGAACTACCTCTCAGACAAGACACCCCTAGAGTTCGCGGTGTCGCTATTCTTGGCAGGAGAAGCACAGGCCGAGCCGCAAGTGGTCCGTTTCGTGCCCGACAGCATTGGCCCGAACATGCCGGCGGGCTGGGGCCGAGCGGTGGGCGACTCGATCTGGGGCCTCGATCCTCACCACAACACGACGACGCGGTGGGACGTGGCGAGCAAGGGGGCATATACGCTGCGCGTCTGGGGCCTCGCGCCAAGCGTCATTGTGCAGAAGATCGTGGTGGACTTGGGTGGTGTGCGTCCGAGTTATCTCGGGCCGCCTGAGAGCTTCCTCGTCGGGAGAGATCAGTATGGCGCGAATCACCGCACGAGCTTTGCTTCGACGCTGTAACGAAGACAGCAGAGTACCATTACTTTTTGACAGTAAGGAAGGACATGTTCTCTGAGGTAAAACATTGTTTTAGGAATAGCAAGATAATAATAGAATTTAATCATACCTCAGGATAATTTGATCGATCAATTCATCGCGTTGTCTCAGGATGCGCTGTTCAGTCGCTATTGGCCACGTGCTGTAGACTGGAGCTTGAAACGTCCCAGCACGCGGGTAGAGTCTACCTAGGTACCTAAGTAGGTAGCTAGGTACCGTACTGCTTAGGTGGTAATGGGTGCCGAGGCGAGGCCCTGAAGTACTACAGTACAGCACTTACGGGGAGATTCCTAGGCACCCGTAGGTACCTTGCATAGGTACTGTGGAAGTACCTGGCGAGAACAGTGACCAAGACGGCGGGCGTTATTAGTGCAATTACCTAGCGATTACCTAGTGCAGTCGCAGCCCCGCCAAAGCCCTGCGATTACCCCATTAAGGTCCTAACAAGGTTAGACGATCAGGGAAGGTGGATCAAACACGGCTTTCCTCAGTGGGGTTTCTTGTTGCTACGGCGACGCTTGACAAGCAGGTGCCCCTAACAATCAACATGGGAGCTGCTAGCAAATGCTCCGGCCATTTTATTATCATTATCATCACATCATCCCGAATTTCAAATGACGATATCATCATACCTACCCGTAGTGTAAGTCTTTTCTTTTAACATTGTAACAGCACGCTGCCGTCAATTTTCCGTCGATTTGCTTAGACAAGCGGACGGCTCTTCGAACATACAATCGCCTTCGCAAACATCCATTCATTGGCGTTGGTGCACCGTCGTTCGTGTTTATCCTTTTCTTCTTCTTCTTCTTCTTCTCTGTTTATGTTGTTACCTCCGACCCCGTTGAGCTCGACACACGGCCACGAGAAGACGGATAGTCCGCGCCAGCGGTGATATACAAAGAAGCAAGAAGCCAAAAATGTCGGCGATAGACCCAGGCGCGTCATCTATCACCGTCGCAGGTATGAGACCCCCCTCTGTGCCATGCCACCCATATCCTCACATGCTAAACTATCGTCGCTTAGTTCGAGTGCGACCCTTCACAATCAGAGAAGCCGCTCAGATGTACGCCTCTATCCCGACAGACACACCAGTCATCTATAACAATCATTCAAACTGACACGGGTTTAGACAACGGCACGACGATGGAACAGTATTCCTAGGCGACGGCTCCCTAGCAGGCGCCCCAACACCTAGACTCAAACAGGGCGGAATTCGGTCTGTTATCAAAGTCATCGATGACAGGTGTTTGTGAGTGACTCTATTTAATAATGATAATACTTGCTACAGTATCTAACGCCGAGAACAACAGAGTATTCGACCCTCCAGAAGATAACCCCATCCAAAAGTTCTCGAGGTCTGTAGTGCCCCAGGGTAAAAAGGTCAAAGATCAAACTTTCGCCTTCGATCGTATATTCGATGAGAACACGACGCAAACAGAAGTATACGAGGCCACGACCAAGGGACTTTTGGACAGTGTACTCGACGGCTACAATGCCACAGTTTTTGCATACGGAGCCACAGGATGCGGCAAGACACACACCATCACAGGTACAACACAAATGCCCGGTATCATATTTCTCACGATGCAGGAGCTCTTCGAGAAGATCAACGACTGCAGGGACGAGAAACACACCGAGATAACACTGTCATACTTGGAGATCTACAACGAGACCATTCGGGACCTCCTCGTTCCTGGTGGGAGTAAGCAAGGCTTAATGTTGCGCGAGGATTCCAACCAGGCCGTTACTGTCTCGGGCCTCACTAGTCACCATCCAAAGGATGTACAGGAAGTTATGGATATGATTGTCAAAGGAAACGAATACCGGACAGTATCCCCAACCGACGCCAACGCTACATCATCACGATCACACGCAGTACTACAGATCAACATCGCTATGAAAGACAGAAACGCGGCCGTAAACGAACCACACACTATGGCCACACTGAGCATTATCGATCTTGCTGGCAGTGAAAGAGCTAGCGCTACCAAGAACCGAGGTGAACGACTGATTGAGGGTGCCAATATCAACAAGTCCCTGCTAGCTCTGGGAGGCTGTATCAATGCACTATGCGACCCTCGGAGAAACTCACACGTACCATATCGCAACAGCAAACTGACTCGTTTACTGAAGTTTTCTCTGGGCGGCAACTGCAAGACGGTCATGATTGTCTGTGTCAGCCCATCGAGTGCTCACTACGACGAGACACAAAACACCCTTCGATACGCAAACCGAGCCAAGAACATCCAAACCAAGGTCACAAGGAACGTCTTTAACGTGAATCGTCACGTCAAGGACTACCTGGTCAAGATTGATGAACAGAGGACTCTAATCAACGAGCTCCAAGCCCAGATGAAGGACTCCGAGCAAAGATTCTTCGCCAAATTCCGCAAGCAGATGGAGAAAAAAGATGCTTCAGTGCGCGAGGGTGTGCAGAGGATTCGAATTGCTTACGACAACTCGCTGGCTGAGCGTCAAGACAAAGTGGCACACATGAAGAAACTACGGGGCATCGAGCGACGTATCGGCTTGCTCTCTTCCTGGGTTGCCGCATTCGACACAGTTTGCGACACCCGCGAAGACGAGGATGCGATGCCTTCGACTCTATCAACTATGCGAAAAACGGCCCAAGGAATTCTTCTCGAGCTAGAAAATAGCAGACATCACCTCCATCAAAAGTTGAACAAGACGAACTGGGAGCGCGCTATTGACGGAGCTCTGCAGCACAGTATTAGTCAACTTCCCAATGATGGTGGCGACACAGGTGAGATTGCTAGTTTGACCAGGGAGGCGGAATTGGTTAAATCCAACTTTGCTCGAGAGGCATATCGGGAAGTCATGGAACAAGAAAAAGCCGGCGATGCAGCTACAGTCCAGGCCTTATTGACTGCTCAATTTGAGATACTCACATCGCTCTCCGAGACTATACACATGAGCGAAGAAGAAGCAGTTGCGCATGCCCGGGATATCATCCATCGCATGCTGGAGACAGGGTTCTCAGCTGCGTCTCAGGTAGTTAAACCAGACGGGGCAAAGATGCAAATAGAAGCATACCCGCCTACCAAGCGCGGAACACCAAAGCGGAAGAGGAATTCAATCCTAGCTAAGGATCTGGTGAAGCCAATTCCCAACCCAGCACTAGCTGCTGTCGCGGCATCTGAGCCATCATCATCCCAAGTATTCCTTTCGCCCATAAAGGGGTCGCCTCGTCGTCGGAAGGCTGTGAACCCTCGTAAGGGAGTTTCCTTCTCTTCTCCCAAGAAGCGGACGCCGTCGAAACGGTCAGTGCGCTGGCGTGATGACGACGGCGAGGATACACTCGCGGACTTTGAAAAGACACCTCAGAAGCTTTCGCCTGTATCGGAACACGTTTCACCTGAGAAGCCCTTGCCTCAGATCCGCGAGATTCTCTCCCCAGTCAAGGAAAACGACGACGCGGCTGAAGAGTCCAGCCCGTCACTACTCGTCCCTGAGATGACGAGTCTCACAAGTCTCCCCTCGAAACCAAGCAGATTCCAAGCCGGATTCCTGTCAAAGACCAGACAATCCACAAGCGGCGCCTCCCCTGTCGCGCCAAAAATGTCGCTCAACCTTGGATCTCCATCAAGCGGCGACGAGCGAGCGAGTCCGCTGCGCAACCTGGATATCTCGAGCGCTGCTAATATCAGGGCCCCAGGAAGGCGGTACACATCCCTCAGTCCCAAGCCGAACTCCGCTCCATTCCCCACCTCACTCCCTGTTCCATCCCCATCTTCAGGAGACGAGAACCATCCCCCTTCTTCCTCCGACTCCGAGACCTCGGCGCTGATCGATTCCTCAAAACTCCGCTCCGCTATCCACGCGAACAAGAAACCGAGACGCATGTCCTCGCTTGCCTCGGCCACGATGAGCAGCGCAGGAGGAGCTAATCTCCGACGCGTGTCAAGCGTGAGTTCATTCGGTGGTCATAGGGCCAGTAATGCGTATCATTCTTCGTCGTCGCTGTCGTCGAGCGCGAACGGGGTCTCGAGATTGAGACGTGGGAGCGCGGAACGGAGGAGGAGCCCGCCTATCCATTGCTCGCCGCCGGACCTGCATCTCCGCGATAACCAAGGGTCGAGAACGGCGGCGTTGACGAACGGACAGGCGCGACGGATGAATCTGGGAAGTAGTTCACTTCGAGTCTCTGGATGGGGGAGTCCGGGCGAGAAGGAGGCGGATCACGGAAAGCAAGGCCCGCGACGGATCACTATTGGTGGTGCGGCGATGGCTGGTGCCGGTGCGAAGAGTAAGGGGGGACTGATCTGGCGGTGAGATTCATGTGCTGGAAATCGGTCGTTGTTGATTAACAGAGGAAGAAGATGAAGCATTGCTTGGAGTTTCGGCTGGGCTACCTACTTAGTATATCCGTGGATAAGGATTCTTGACGTTTTCGTTTACGTTCTTGTTCTCGTGGCGTTGTATGGGAGGAGTTTTTTTTTCTCCTTCCCACGGTAATTAGTTTTCCTTTAGCCCTTTCGCACTTTGTGTTTAAATTCCAATTCGTCTGCCGATGGATACGGTGTTTGTATTTACATTTTTGTTTCTAAGTTGAGATTCGAGAGTCGAGGGTTGAATTAAGAGAATTCGGCTTGTGTTAATTCATTGGTACCTTAGGGGCCTTAGTTTGAAATTGCAACTTGATGAGGGTGTTGGGTTATGGAATGGGAGATTGTTTGATAGGGTATGAATATATGTGATGATTCGTCCATTCATGGATTGTGTGAGATTGTTTTTGAGTACATTTTTGAGGTGAGGCGTTGGGGTGCGATCAGTGATGTGAGGTGAAATGATATGAAATGTGAGAGGGGTGACGCTGTGTTATCGAATATCCTTTGCTAACAAATTCCCTTCCCATGCGTATCAAATGCAGTTCTTTAGTCTGATGGCTGCAATTATGTTGGATTGTATTGTCGTTTGGCTCTTTCCTACTCCAAGGAGATTGTTATGATGTTTATGTAATACTTGGTTTGTATGAGGGAGGTTACATGGTTTGCCAAATGGTTCGCCTAAATCGCTGTACCGCATTTTAAGCCCCCGTGGGATCGTGATGAGGCAACCCACTACTCAAATAGAAGACTGCAGTATCTGATATCCTGGGGGGAGAAGCGCAAAAATCCATCTATTAATAAGGCTATTATGGCTTATGTTGTCCTGAAGTTGGTCAAGCTTTCCGCTACCGAATTGATATTACTCGGCCGATAGAGTCGCGGTGCTCGGTTCTTTATTGCATCTACTACCTGATTGAACAAGGGCATATAATTTAACTTACCCGCTCCTTTTAAACCTAATTTGGGGTTGATTTCTTCTACCGTTACCGTCATAAACACACATCTATGTCTGTTATGATATGTATGATGCCACGCAGAAATGAATTAAATGCCAGCCGTTGTGTAGGGGAGCGATGTCCCTCTTCTCAAATTTCATACATGAGGGAGGACTCTAGTGCTACAACTGCGTGGCATGTGATGTCTCCTTGGGTTGAACTCCAGTCATCACACAAAAATGACACTGAAACGCTATTTTCTCCCTGAGGCCCTGGTTGATAGAATCCTATCACCGAAGCCAAGTCATGGCAAAATCGAACTAAGAGTAGTACCGTATCAGTCACGGGTATTCCGTCAAAACTGTGTGATGTCTCTGTTCAGTGTGTTCACACAGAGATATGGGCATCTGATTGATCGATTAATCCCTACAATAGCACATCTGGTTACTGTAGCTGGAAAGGGGCGTTAGTGCTTCAACTTGTACCACGCAAGCACTTATGCTGCGAAACGAAGGGTTGTGGTTTCAGGGAGAATATGAGCTTCTTAGATATTATAAGGACATCGTCCTAGGTACCTTGCAACGTTATATAAACCAATATTCACCCATCTACAACCCTACGATCACTTTGGATTTACAACCACGCATCCAGTAACGGCTACAAAAGCTTACATTACTTAACCTTCAACACTAGTTATACTGATTATTTCCATCCCAAATCATGAAACTCGCTCTCTTCATTGCCCTCGCGGGCGTTGCGGCAATAGTTAACGGGAGAGCTCTGCCTGAAGAGACTCCCTCAAGCGTTTCTCTTGCAACTACGAGCTCCTTTACACTGGCAGCTCCCGAAGACATGACGAGAATTGTTGCGTTTGACTCAGCTCCAGTGCCAGTGTTCTTAATAACATCGACACCCACCAGCGATTCCACAGCTATTAGTAGTATGACGAGTTCAACTACTAGCACAGTATCAGCGGCGTGCCCAGTAGTCACCGAGTCCTCAGCGTCTTCGTCTACCACGCCTTGCATGACTTTAATCAGTAGCACAATCACTCAACTCTTCTATGACGAAACCGGCGTTATTACACGCTTCCGCACAGAATATATTACGGCCACGGACGGTAGCTGTGGGAGTGCGATATCCATGACTGATAGCGCCTCGACCATGATCACTCTAACGAGTACGGCCATTGCCTCGTCAACTACTTCGTCACCTATATTCCAGTGGTTCACGAAAACAGTCACGCTGACCGTTCCAGCCACCGGCCCGTCTATCACTCCTTCGTAGAGCGAGATGATAACGACATCGAGTTCGTCGGTAACATTTGATAAAGGTTTTAGCACTCCGAAGCCGCCGTCTATGATATGTGATTTATATCAACAATACTGTCACAGGCAGAACTAACGTATGAAGCTGCATACTGGGGGGTTTGTTGCTTTTGCAGAGGCAGTCGGAGCTTAGAAATGCGTTGGAAAGGATTCTCTTGTTCGATGTTTCAGAGAGGAGTACTCTGTACAGTATTCCATTTGCATCACATTCGTTATGACTAGCTAGATTAGCATATCACTCTCACTTTAGCACTAGTACCGAAAATGTCAAAATATTAACCGATGAGAGAAGAGGTTTTTTTTTTTTTTTTTTCATCTCTCTTTTGATCGTTCTCAGCCTGTGACTCTTCACCCTCAGACTGCCAGCTTATTCTAAAGTGAGTGCGACTTGTCGCGCGCACAACATTGTATAACACTGGGTACTGATGCTGAACCTACTCCAACGCTGATTAATGGTAATTTGGCTAATGGCCTCTTACGTACCCCATCGAGCTAAGGCTACTTGGGGCTAAGGACTTCGCCGACATTCGCGTAGTAATACCAACTGAAGCACAGTCTTACTCGGCTCGGTTGTACGGTAGGGTTGATCTCAGGACTAGCAATTTTTTAGCATAGATGTGTTATCGGTAGTGTTTCATAGTTGAACTAGTAATGTATACGACCATGTATTTAGTATGGAAGTGTGATATCAGTTGTCGCAACTTTCGAAAGTAGCCGTAACTCGTCAGAGGTCGATAACGGATAGTGCATAGCCCATCAGACCAATTTGAGCTTCGTAAATAACAGCGAGTTGATGATGAGATAGCGACTGGTATACTGATACCAACTTGATGGCATTCTACAAGCACACCAGATAACAACTTATTCAGCCTCTTCCCAAGCCCGGCCCGCGCGGCGCGGGCCGGCGGGGGGGGGGGCGGGCGGGGGCCGGGGGCGGGGGGGC